TAAACGATTGAGCGTTGGCTCTAACTCATATACTGATTTGTTTTTGTATAACATGTGCGGCATATAGTTACTATTCAGTATTATTGGCATATTTTTCTTTTTAGTTATTGACTTTGTGAATTTGCCATTAAGTTTCAACCGTGTTCCTTCTAACATTTGGTTTAAAAATGTTAATTTGAAATCAAAACCTGTTTCTTCATTATACATAAAATCATAATCATCATCCTTATAATCTGACCAATCATTTTGTTTATTCATTAGATATGATCGATGGCCACCTTGTTCTAATACATCAATGTTATATGTCTTACCTACATTTGATGGACCTACAATCCAGTATTGTGGTATCTTATTTTTACCACCAAACATTGTTTCAATCCCAAACATAGACCACATATATAATTTATTTCCAGGGTTATTTTCCATATCGGCATCATGAAAGTAAGAATTTACAGTATTATATTTAAATAGCAATTCTGGATATATTTTGGTAGCCTTCCGCATATTAAGCTGCTTCGTAATTAATTAATATCCAAGTAACTGTTGGTGCATTTTTCTGGTCTTAACTTCATAATTTGGATCCATATTATAACAAATATAATCTTTTCCTTTCATACAGTAGCTAATGGACTTTTGTGGATTACCACCTGGTTTAATATTTGGAGTAACACCATCGATAGTAAAGAATTTATGTGCTGTTTTTGTGTCGAACCGCTCATTCATTTGTATCTATATATGAACATGTTTCTCACCAGTTTCTGGTGCAAGTTCATCACATGCAATTGCCTTTTCAATGCGATAACCAATACATTTATGTTTTATAAACCATTCCATGATTTGTTCTTTTGTTAAATGGAAGTCCTTACAAATATATGTGAACAGCCCTTTAGTGTTTTGGAATCGGAATTCTTTGCCGCCCTGCGAGGAATCTGCACCAGAGGTGTTACCCTCTAACATTGCAGCGGAAAATTGAGGATTTGAGGATTTGAGGAATTTTGCAAAACCCTTAATCCGTCCCATTATTGCAGTACAGTTCTCGTCCCTTACTTCCTTTGTTATGTTAGCCTTTTTGAGGTCCTTTTCGAGTTCGACCCTTAGTTGGTCAGCAATTGTTTTTTCACTAACATCTTAATGATGTTCAGTAAGATGCTTTGCTCTTTCTATTAAGAGCATCAATGTTATTCCTAAAATAAGAATAAATTCAGCCATAATGGCAATAAATGTGAGGAGGTTCATTTGGTTCATGTTGTGTTTTCGTTGGGGTAGTTTTGTTGGAGTGCTAAAAAAAATATAACAAATATATTTTGCTTTATATTCTGTGGTGTTATTTTTATATTAAAAAAAATTCAATTTTTATTTTTTTCAAATATTTAAATGTATGCATGCTAAGACATTCATGCATGAATTATTTCAATAAAAATTAATTTGGCTATCCTGATATATCTTAGCTAATAAGTCATCTAGGGTTACTAGATCGCATTAAAATCGTCATAACCATGGCCAGTCCCCAATGTTTGTAGACTGTACAGCTTCACTGCAATGGAGTTTCGATTGACTGCCGAGACATTCTACAAAGGGTTTGTCCCTTTGGTTACACTTGTCTGGTTGTGTAAGTCATTGTTGAAGGCAACGCTCAAGTCCTTACAGGAGGATGATGATATGTTCATACCACCAATTGAAATGCTTACCCGACAACCCACGATACCAGCTTGTATGACATCTCCAAGATCGAAGAAAAGGAAAGATGTCAAAAAGGACCTCACAAGCCGACGATCTGTATCTTTAAGTCTTAGCATGTTTATCTCTTACACTATTTTTTCTTCTTCAAGTCATTATGGAAATCAATTTCCTTTATTATAATATTCATCACCAATTCCTGCTGAAACACAACATCATTGTCCTCTCCAACATTATGTAAAGGAATCACTACGCACACGACAAAACTTGACCTCGCGCACGACATTGTTTTTGGCAGTTTAGTATTCCGCAGTTGTCGTGTGCACCGTCTCTTGCACAGTTTGAAAGACCCTGCACACGACATAGATGGTAGATACGGTAATATGTACCACAATGAAATCGAATAAGCTTACATGCGGGCGATGGATTATTAATGTCAGCTAGTTATGTGATGAATATATTACAAAAAACTTTTTTTTGTGTTTGCCTTTCTTTTTTTCTTCGCAAAGAATACAATGGAATCCATTACCGAGCTGTGTTTCGACACTTTAGACGGTCTAAAAGAAGCAGTAAATGGCTATGCGATCAGTAACGAGTTTTCGGTCATCAGTAAGATTACGAATAAACGTGCTTGCACATTAGTATGCAAACATGGCGGTGGCTATAAACCACATCGAGCAGCACAAGTGGATAAGATGGCAGCAGATGGTTGTCAGGTATGGTTCTTACACCCAAATATAATAAATAGTATGAGAATAACTAGGGCTATATTTTGTTACAGGAGAAAGAACATGAAGATAGTACCGAAGAGACAAGAACCAGGTCTGGCGATACCGAAATGTGTAAACCAAGAACATACACTTGCGCTAATGGTGTGGAAAAGAGGTATCCTAAGTGACGATCCGTCAAGACGCAGTGCTCGTGGTCGATATATGCCAGCTGTGGCAAGAAGACAAATTATAAATGGAAGGTGCAGACAGCGGTAGCCGACATTCCGCCACATAATCATCAACTTACACGAGATAACCAGATATAAGCGTCGTACCGGGCAATGACAGGCCATGAACAAGTCGATATTGCCATTGAACTAGACGCAAGGATACCGCCTCGTCAGATTTTACAGCTACAGTCGAATAAACGTTTTACTGCAAAAGATATCTACAGCTTAAAATCTCGACTGGAAAGCAATGATGCTCAACATGATGAGCTGCCCACTATCATGGAGTACTTCAAGTCATACAATTTCATTGCACGTTACCATACCGAAAGTGCAACGAAAAAAGTCAAATCTATTTTTGTCACGCACCCACGAAGCATCGAGCGCGCAAGAATGTTTCCAGAGTTGGTAGTTATTGATGCTACATACAAAACAAACATGAACAAAATGCCTGTCGTCAACATCGTCGGTATTGATAACCTCTGCTCCGAAAAAGGTGCTCGCAGTCTACGTTCGTTTGTTATTGGAACAGCTGTTGTTGCAGATGAAAAGGCCTTGTCTTATGTTTGGATACTGAAAACACTCGGCGAACTGGCATGGCCCGACAGCTGCGGAATCAAGCCCCATCTTTTTGTCACTGACGACGATCATGGTCTTACTTCTGCAATTGCCCAGGTTTTCCCCGGAAAAGCGCACATATTGTGTGCTTGGCATATAAGAAAAAACTTTGTTGCCAAGGTGACCAAGACATTTGTTAAAGATTCGCCGATCTGTGCAATCATATCTCGACGATGATCTGGACAAGAGATGAAAACGTATTTCTTGATGTCATTCGATTATTCAACGATAGTGTTTCCAAGGGACAGCCTAAAAAAGGAGGAGACAAGAAGCAGTTGCACGAGTATTTGAACATGTAGGATATTTTAATTGCATGCGAGCTAACAGATACAAATCAAGAATAATGTGTATGTCCTGCTCTTTTTATTGACTTGTACGTTCCTTTACTTCTTTATTGTTGTTCTAGCATATTAGGTTGCGTGAATACAAGAAACGATGGGCTGGACCATGGGCAGAGGAGCATATGCATCTTGGAGCAAGGTCAACTCGACGCATTGAAGGAGCACATGCCGCATTAAAGGATGTCTTGGGTAAAGCTGACAGAATGTTGCATTTGTTCAAATCGTTCCACAAATATCTATGTTCATCGGTGAGTATAATCATTAAAAGATTTGGATATAGAAAATTATGCTAATGATGCGATCGTATAAAGGATTCTCTGGCTTATATGCAACATGAGAAGGAGGTTTTATCGAAGTGGGTTGTCAAGGTTAAAGATACAGCAATAACAAAAAGAGTATCAGCTTTTTTTGGTATCATTTCGCAATTTGCGATCAACGTCGTTATATCTAAATTGTTTGCCGCTCGCCGTTTGACGCCGGGATCGTCGCAATGTAATAGCTGTGAAGTCTTTGTCAATTACCGTTTGCCGTGCAGACACTATTTTTACGAGTTTAATGATCAAGAAATCTTGCATCCCAATATATATGACAAAAGATGGAAATTGGTATCAAGTACAAGTATGTAACTTATAATGTCGCAGCTAAAGTCAATATTCTGGTATGGAATTAACAGTTCACATGTCACATAGCAAGAGTATCTGAACAACCTGTCATCGAAGAACTTGGAACCGATATCAACGATATTGAAGAAGATGCGTTGGAGCTAGATTATCAAGAGCTTAAAGATCGAATTGACAACTTATTTATCGATGCGCAGACGGGTCAACAAAAGCAAGACTTGATATCATGTATACGTACGGCTTTAGATCAGTACAAACCAATACCCATTGAAGATCTAGAGTTGCCGACCGCTGTCAGAACCAAAGGACGGCCGAAGGGTGCTATTGGATCGAGGCTACCATCTTACTTTGAGATTATCGAACAAGATGCGAAAGAAAAAGAAAAATCAGAAAGAAGAAAAAAAACTGATACTGAAAAAAACGAATCCAACCCGACGGTCAAAAAAAGTAAACTTACAATGATTGAGAACGGTTTTGAAGAGCTTTGGCCAAACAAAAAGCGTAATACACAGGCCTAGGGGATCAAAGGTATAGGCATATATTTGAGTAGTAGTGGTTTCATATATATGAACTTACACCGTTTGCTGTGTAGCTCGACAATACATCCAGATATTCCATTGTCGTACATTACAGACTCGGTCGAGATAAAGCCGGACGGATGGTGTGGGTTCAGAACTTTGTCGAATCTCGAATATAAAAGCAATCAAGATAAATACGCCGACATCAAAAGAAGAGTGCATGAGTACGTGGTGGCTAAGGGAAAAAGCATTTTTTTGTCTTACATCTGTGGTGGCAGCCAGACGGAATATGAAAAACTGGTCAAAAGGATGTCTTATGGTGTCCGTCGCCTTTGGTGATATTGAGGCCGACTGTCCCAAGGAGTACTGGTTTGACGGAAGCGTGGATATTCAGTTGGCAGCCAATGCTTTGGAGCGGCCGATTGCTTGCTATACGTCTGGTCTATGGGCGAAATATCATCCGCCGTCGCTGACATTGCCACACTCTGTACCTTCGGGCAAACGATATAGTCTCCTGCCGTTCGTTATGCATTTCGTGAATGGGAACCATTGGGAGCCGGTTCTGCTGCGATCATCTGTTAAAATGCAATGGCCCCCGTTATCACAGCGACATAAGCAGCAATGGAACGAGATCAACCCAGGTCACGATCACAAAACGTTTTGGAGGTACCTGCATATCAAAAAAACAGTGGATCAAGATTCAACAGCAAGTAGCCTAGAAAAAAGAAGACAAGCGTCACCCATTCTGATTTTGGATGAATCTGACTGCGATATTGATATGGGAGGCGATCATCATGGTACCTATAACTTGCCGCTCTGTATCTTTGTATTCTAGTAACTCTGAACACATTTGTTATACTATCTAGATCATGGTGCAATAGCATGTCCCCATTGCCAAACACGCCTGCCATTACCGTTACCTCCTGCTGTACAGAATCAGTACGATGAATAGATACAAAAAGAAGAGAAGCATAAGAAACAAGAAGAACGCCGCATTAAAGAACTTTCAACGTCTCGTCGCCGCCGCTTCGATGAAGCACGGATTAAACCCAAACCAGTTCGCTTTACTGAGCAATACAACTTCTGCAGCGTTCATAGGAAAGAAATGTTGATCAGGCCAGAAGGAATCGCCCAAGGTTACCCAGCTCATATCGATTTTGCGACCTTGCCTTTGCGTGTAATGAATCATGTACCAGTTATGCAAGATATCATAGTCGGCAAAACCGAAAGCACATTCAAACCGATGGAAACCGAATTCTACAGCCAACTTAGCCGAAGCGTTGCACGATCCGTATTCGCACGAATGGCAAGGGCTGAAAAATATTTGGCAAGTACAAAAGCTATCACTCATAAAATAAGTTACTAAATTATTGTTTAAAACAGCCTGGTTATTATGGACCCCGTGGAATGCAAATCATTATGGATTGTTTGACGAAAGAACTATCGAAATCGAACCACCTGACAGCAGCAAATACAGCCCCGATGCCACCACTTCAGTTTGTTCAGCAGATTCTTGTTCCGGAGATGGCCGCACGACTTATCCAAGAAGATAAGAATGTTTCTTACGACGACGTAGTGGATATCATGAAAAAGAGTGCTAAATTCGGCAGTGCCGTCAATCCCACCATGGATTCGGATGAAAGCGAAAGCAGTGATGAATGATTATAAAAAGAAACACGAATCATAACCCCTTATGCAGTTCTGCACTTTTTTGTGTCAAATGTCGTTTACCTCATCGTACTCGACGATTTATGCTCTTCTTGTCTCATATTTAAGCTCTTGTGCCTTGTCTCCGGATTAATTGTTCTCTACAATCATATCAAAACCTATTTTCCTGGTCTCTTATGATATTTCTTACTACATGAATTGTTCTTCGCCCTCCAAATATTCAACTATTTGGTGTACACATTATTATCATCTTTCATTATATACTGTATACGTCGAATATTACATTGACCGTCAAAATTTTAACTGAATAGAATTACATGACAGCCCTAGCTCTGGCAAGTTAGAACACGAAACACAGGATATGTCTTTGCATCCAATACCACCGTCATTGATATTAAAATTGTGAAAAAGCTTGGTGCACCGTCTACCCACTTTTCTATAGTCTTAGCTACGCTTTTTTTGTGCTGACTTAGAAATCTTCTCGCTTGTGCTTCACTATATTATAGTACTTATGTTGGCACAAATAAGTTGTTTGCTGGCCATTTGGATACACGGTATGCGAACATTCAAGTTACACGGTATATATCATCATAGTTCTGTCGTGCGCAGGGTCTTTCAAATTGTGCAAGAGACGGTGCGCACGACAACTGCGAAACTGCCCAAAAAAAATGTCGTGCGCGAGGTCAAGTTTTGTCATGCGCGTAGTAATTCCCTTCCTTGGGATAAATATGCAGTGCAGGAGCGCGCACAATTTCTTTTTCAAGTCAACTACCAGGATCAACAAACGTTCATATCAGATTCATGCAAGAGAATCTTCTAAAAGGCAATGACAGTGTTTCGTTTAAAAACTATTACTTATGTCAGAGAATTGATGCACAAGACAACCCAGTATGGAATGCCTTATGGACCACCGCCACATGACGAACGAAACAACAGGCTTTACGTTGCCGAAGCAGATTACAATAATTGCTTGGTTGGAACTTTGCAGTCAATTAAATCGCACCAACATAACGTTTATTATATGTGTATCCTGACGTAAGACCATATGGCTCAAGGCTTGGCGATACATCAAAAATTTGACCTTCTTTGAAGTCACCAATTGTTACTAGATCACACCTGAGTTCACAAATTTTTTACACTACTGTTATACAAAATGGTGCGTTCGCCTTATAACCATCAATTTTTTTTACCTCAGCTTTACTCTCTTATAAAGTCCCCAAAAATCAATTATACAGTCCAATGTGCTTCACAATACCTTTTTTCGCTCGTTTGCTTTCGTTATTGAAGAATAATTTTGTACTTTTGTAAAAAAAACTCACAACAGCTCCTATACGTATATACTCGCCTACATCCTACACGTCTTAACTTTTTACTTTTCATTTAAAAGATGCCGCCATTAAGACAAAAACAGAAGGCCACCCGAAGAAGGACGCGTGCGCCGGATGGAAGAATCACTGCTGCCAGGATTGCTGAGAAACAATCGAAGCGATATAAATCCCACCGGCGCGTGGGTGTACAGGATTAACTGCCCCGTTTCAGGGTATACGCCGTTTTTTCTATTGCTAATCCTATACATTTTGACGTTTCGCATATATACCTACTGTATCATTGTTCTTGAGACGGTGTATAATTTTCTTATAAGATGTAAACGCAAAAGTGAGTGCACGACAGTAATTTGATGACAATGTGATATTGCCAACGTAAACTTTTTCTTATACAGACCGCTGTAAAGAGTATATCACCAATATAACTATGTAGAGTACTGTAATGCGCGCCACGAATAATCCATATCGACATTGTGAAAAAACTTGGATAAGCTATCGCATTGTTGCACCCGGGGAGGGAGGAGCCAGTCAGCTAGCCGTCAGCTGGTTGAAGATGTTTGTAACTATCTCCATGTTTGTGGCTGTCACAGATAACGCTGCCTCTATATATCCTACAAGGAAAGGGTAGCGAAGCTCGCATGAGATTGATATGAGCTTCAGTTACTAGCAGCCATGGAAAAGACATAATTTGTGATATACATACTCAAATGGAGCATCAGCAATAACCAATGGCTCAACAAACAACATGTCAAAAAGATTTACTGCTACACAAATTTATTATCATCACTAAATTGTCCACGTCAAGTCAAAACCTCGACGCCGGTTTCGGTAACGAGCATAGTATGCTCGAATTGTGCTGATAATTTGCCATCCTTAGTGGTAGCCGTCCATCCATCCGGCCTGATTTTTTTTCAAGTTAATGTTCTGTTTTAGACAAATTGACAATTTTTTTTCCAGTGGTTTGAATTTACATACCATAACAAATCATCGTAAACACCTTCACACAGCATGGGTTCAATGGTAAAGATATGACCTGGCTTCAAAATACCGACAGCCTTGTTATCTATTCAAAGAATAATAATCATTAGTTCTCCTGTTTGAATGCGATGGAAAATGTGGAAAGTGTATAGGCACTTACTGGCATAATGAGGCACATCGGGAGCACAGTGAAACAATTGATTAATACCGTGTCCACAGAACGCTCGTACTACCGAGAACCCATTTGCTGTTGCATGATCTTCAATAATCTTGCCAAAATCGCGATATCGCATGCCCGGTTTGACTATTAAGAATTAGGCGGGCGATAAAGGTTAAGTATTCTTTTTTTGAGCACGAAAATGACAGCTAATAAGAATAGGAGGCTCTCTACCACGAACAAAGAAACATACCAGCAGCGATCGACTTTTCTAAGCATTCTCGGGTAACTTGAACGAGCTTTTTGGCAACAGGGTTGACGTTATCGCCGACGAGGTAGGTTGCATTTGCATCGCCATGGAAGCCGTTGTAGAAGCAGGAAATGTCAATGTTGAGAAGATCGCCATCCTCCAACGGCCGTTGATCAGGGATACCATGACAAATGACTAATAGCATTACATGTGAGTTGCTAATAATCTTTTTCTCTAATAGTTAAACTTCATCTTTTTATACCTTCATTCACTGATCTGCCATATTTTAAAGAACGATGTTAGTGGCTGGTAACTTGGAGAGATGTGGGCACAAAAAAAAAGAATACGTACGTGCAGCATGATTTGGGGAAATAATGGTAGTTGAGTGGTGAAGGATATGCGCCGCGCTCGATCGTTGCTTCGTGAACAATTCGGTCTATACCAAACGTGTGTGTGTAAGTTCCCTTTCTTGCTTTGCAATTTCCAATTTCCAACGGTATTACGGGTAACAACTAACTTACCAATTTCATCCGTAGTGACACCTACACGAACCGCAGCAGCTGCCGTTTCGAGCACTTCACGCGTGATCTGTTTCCCGCGATATTTCTGATTAGCCTCTCTTTCTTGCAAAAGCATTGCTGCGGCATCAAAAAGCCCATTCCCCGGTCCCCCCCACCCTTTCTAACACTGGGTAACGTTATAGCTTTATAGAAAGTGGTGTATAGAGCCATACCCGACAAGCTTCTCGAGTCGCTTGGATTTCCTCTGGTGACAACACTCTAATCTTGTTTCGAATCGGCGTGAATTCGGTTTTGGGAATGCCCGTTTCCGCATATTCTGGTCGCTCAATATGTTCAGGGATTTGACGGCGAGGAGAAAGCGGATAGACTGGACGTAATTTTCCAGTATATCCGAATGTTGAGAAGGGATCGTATTTTGCTCCTGATTGACAACAAAAAAGCATTGTTAATATCGACGACAAACTGGTACTAAAAAGATGGCCAGTAATTACCCTTGTTTGCTTTATGTGCTGCTTTATGAACGCCCTTCATAGAGTTTTAATTCATTTCATACAAATCAAGCGAGCGAGCGAGCGGATCGATTATTAATAACTGGTTTTAAGGTCAATGCGTCTAAATCAAAACAACAGATCTTTTTTTGCTTGAATTACCCAGCTCTTTTTGAAACAGTCTTGCGAGCAAAAGAAGGAACCTTCTACAACGTTTTGCTTCAAGCAAGTCGGGCATTGCAAATTGGCTGCCTCCTTGCAGCCTAGAGACGAACACGTTGTAGTTGGCATAGTCTGTCAGAATCGCGCAGTAAAAAGAATAAAGAAAGAAAAAAAAGGCATAAACAAATTGCGCGAATTTTTTTTTTATTCTCGAAGCTCCCTAATATATCAAACTCATTGCCAAATCCAGCATAACCGGGCAATTAGGGAAGGCGAGCAAGCTCTGTCAGTGCAGCTCTGCTGTGCTCCTTTTTGATGTTTTGAGAAAGAAAAATAAAAATTATCAGTACAATCGTCAGTTGCAATAGCAAAGAAATACGTTCCACTTATTCAATTTTTGAGAAAACGTACCCAAAAATTATAGAAATTCACCGTCTTAAATATGGGGCAGGTCTATTTGCACACCCCCTCATGAGCTGCACCATACCATAATGACACCTAGGCAGGATTTCCGTTACACACCCCGCTGACTTTTCTTTCGTGCACACCCCCTCACACTCTTTTGGCCGATGAGAAATGGTAGAATGCATAAAGAAAACTGATGCAGGATTCGTCTATTAATATAAGTTTAAGGTGGTAGCGAAAAAAAAACTAAAAAGAGAAAGTGGAAGGGAAGTCAGAAAGGTACGAGAAAATAAGAGGATCAAGTGTTAAGTAGCTGACTAATTATTTCTGTTCCAGGTAGTTAAGTCTTTGCCCTCAGAATCAGATGCGTGAATGGGATGCACTTCTTCGTCATTGGGAATTGTGAAATTAGGAAACGGTCAAATAGACCTTTCAAAAGAATCTTCAAATAGGGGATACCAAGGATCATCGCGAATGCTTTTGTATGGTCCACGACCCTCAGGGAATATTTCAGGCCACTGGATAGCTGCGTCTTTGTTTGTCATAACGAGTATGAAGTGGTTTCCAATAAGCTGCAGGACGATCGGGTGGGTGCGCTTGGCATGTACTGGGTTGGTTGTCAAAGGGAAGAAAATGTGCGATTATGCGCCATATATAACGATTGGCGTTTCGAACATATCAGCGGCAATTTGACTGCATTCCGGTGAGACGAATCATTCACTTGAATAAGGATCGAGTACTTTAAGTAAACGACCCTTGTCATAGTAATGGTTAAGCGTATTGGCGTTGGAGAGGTACTGATCGAGCATCTTAATCTTGACATCGACATATCGCTCCTCTGTGTTATACAGGTCAACAGCTAAGGCTCGAAAACCACAGTTACCATCTGGCATGGGATTATGCACCATTTTAACAGCTGATGGAGGAATCCATTTGCAAACAAGGTTGAGACTAGGTTCAAAGCGAATTTTTGGAGGAGGAGGGATGGTGAGTGCCATGTTGTTTGAAGATGTGGTAGTTGGTATTGTGTCGTTCGCCTCATTTGTTGTTGGCTCCATATTTCCATTCCTATAGATTGTGAAAATTGAAATAAAGTGGTGGCTACACATCTTAATGCATAAAACTTTACCATATTGCTGCAGCATCACGACCAATGCCGGTGTTTGCTTTCTTTCGGCTTTGAGAGTCTTGATGCTCTAAAGCGATCAGCTCACGCTTGTTGCTGCTGCTTGGCGCTTTTTGGGTGCTTTTGGGAATTGATTTTGGCTGCTGAAGCTGCTCAGCATCGATGAACATTTCATCATTGATGGATCGTAGGTGCGCGAGGAGAGTTGCACGTTGTTGGTTATCTGGAAAGCGGTGTAGAAGATTGTTGAGGCGTGTGAGCTCTGCTTCGATTTGCGATTCCAGGCTTGGGGCTGTAAATGGACCAGTCATCGCCAAAATGTTGCTATTCCTATTGCTTGTTGTGTTTGGTTCTCCTAATGATTACAAGAATCAGCTACATGGCAAGTAAAAACAGCTTTTACATGACAGCCCATGACTACCTTGAGGTGCCGTTTTCTCAGGATAAAGGTGCCAACGTCTGGGAATTAGGCTTAAGGGGATTTCACCCTGTGATGGAAGCATATGGCAGCACGGAATATCATAATGATGCTTGATTGCACATCGGCAGTGATCAGTCTTTAACGGATTATTGACTGTTAGCTCGTCACGGATAGCATAGAAAGCGAACTTGGAAATTTTACGTTCCAAAGCTGCCAAACGCTGTTTTTGCTGTGGTGGGATATGCGAGTTTCCGCCAAAACTTTCCTTGTCAATCTGTCGCTCCCAATTCAAATTCTATTATAAAAAAGAAAGCATGTAAGAGTCTCGACACTAACGAGTCAATATAATTACTATAAGATATAAATCTTCAATCGATAAAACTCGTCAATCTGCGTAAAGGCAATTAGGAGATTGCCACTTGAAGACATGATTGCCTTTTTCATGTTGGCATGCGTCCCTTCGACTCTGTTTGTGCTGTCGTTTCCGAAATGCTTTACATGGGTGAGGTAATTGCCTACCCACTTGTTCTTTGAAGCAAGCTTTCTGTATAGCGAAAAACATGTTAAAGTCCAAGTAGCAAGTGGCCAAAAAATCCGTGCTTATTCAATCTTACACACCTTTGCAAATAATCCATGACAACGTCGGGTCTTTTTGCCTTTTGAGCAGCCTCCTCATACATCTTCATTGCCTTTTCTTCGAGCTTATCGTTCGAAATCGTGGGTCGCATATCGTCAAACTTGTCTTGGTATTCACTAGCCATTATAAAATTAATAGCTTTTTCGAGTTCCTCGTAATGGTCCTTGACATCAAAAAGCTTTCGTAGGTTGACCCTGAAGTTACGTCGTATATGGATCTTGCATAGAATCTTTTTTGCCGTTGGAAAAACGCGGTCGAGAGCACCGGTCAAAGCTAATTCGCTGTCTGTTACAAACACACCAGGGGACGACAACTGATTAAGTGGCCAAACGACAGTTTGAAGCTTGCGAATCACCCAATCGTAGCTGTCATTGTTTTCCTCTGATACCCAGCAACCAGCAATGCAGAAAGTCATCAATTGGGGATATCCAATATTGCCAGTTCCAACAATGTTGATAATTGGCAACCGGTGCTTGTTTGTCTTGTAAGTGGCGTCCAAGGTAACAACTTCCGGGAATTGGAGAGCGAGTGCGATTGCCGATCTGTGCGCAAAGAAGAGAGACTGCAAAAAGCGTTTGTCACCTTCTTGTGTTGCTTTCCATTGGACTTCATAATCGTTTTCTTGAAGCTTTTTGATCAGCTGGAACATTGCATGGTCTGGGTCGTTGTTGAATATGCGCTGACGAAGATTCGTGATGTCCTTAGGATGGGCAATCTTGTTCCTGCTGGCAAGATACGACAATACAGCTTTGTTGGTTGCATGCGCTTGTACCATCTTCATAGCGACCTCCTCATCGTGATCGAGTCGACGGAGCATTGGGTACGAAGAAAGCTCGTTTGCCATCTCATGGTTGTGGCCGCCATCATAAAAAGAGACTATGTGCCATTGGTTGCTGGTCTGGTTCAAAGGACGAAGGATCATTTCGAATTTGCAACCAAACCGCTGGGAGTCCCTTTGGCGAGTGTCGATCTTTTTATCCTTGGATGACGCAATGGCCTCGCCCTTGTCACCTACAATAACCATTTGTCTTTTTGTGGTCTTCTGCTCTTCACACACGCCCTTGTTGACCGGCTCACCGTAATGCTTGCAAGCAATCTGGAGCTTCCTCTTACTTCCCATCTTATTACTTCTAATAGTACGCAACGAGACACCATTCTTTTTGCCCCATGCATATCAAGCAGTCTTTGCGGCATCGAATCCATCCCATGCGGTGTTAAGTTCTTCTGGAATTGAGTTCATTGTTTTTGACATTGCGTTTAAATGAGCAGTAATGAGGTAGGTAGAAATTTAAATAAATAAAAGCGCGTTTGTATCACTTCAGGTGTTCCTGGATTTTTACATAATACTAGCGGTCCTTCCTCGCTTCGCTCGGATGAATGAGCCCCTTCGCTTCGCTCCGTGTCATTCAACGGAAACGCGTCGCAAGGGGGTTCCCCCCTTGACCCCCAAACCCCCCTGTCGAGCGAGGTTGGATCAATGTTTTGGTATTAGATGCTTATTGTCTGTTTTCAAAATCAAAAGCAAGATCATTGTGCAGTGAGAAGTAGCCTATCATAGAAAGTCGTCAAAGTTGGATACTTAACTATCTCCAGTTTAGAATGCAATGCGAAAAAAAGTGTTGACAAAGATGATGTAGTGATATTGATAAAAAGAGAATAGGCGAGAAAAAAAAGAGAATAAGCAATAAAAAAGAGAATAGGTGATAATAAAGAGAATAGAAGATAAAGAGAATTAGAGAAGAACTTCATGGAAAACAACATTTCGGGTGTTTTGGCCTTGCTGACCCGCGATACTTGAGTTCTCGGGATCTAACATGATTCTTATAGATGATGGGGTGCGGACGCGCGACATGGCTACATAGAGTAGACCATGCGTGAACGGAGGTTCAGGTAAGTAGAGGCCAACAGTGTTAAAAGTTTGACCCTGTGCCTTATTGATGGTCATTGCAAATGCCAGGCGAACAGGGAATTGCGTGCGTTTAAATTGGGTAGGGGAGCGTGTTTCCGATGGTGTGAGTGTTATACGAGGGATCAAGACAATGTTACCGGCATGAGGCCCAGTGGCTATCTCAGCTTCAAGTACATATCGCTGGAAAGAGCGTACGATCAGCCGTGTCCCATTGCAGAGACCACTTTGGGTGTGCAAGTTTCTCAAAAGCATGACTGGGCAACCGACTTTGAGTTTTAGCAAATGCGGTGGGAGGTCGGATGGATTTATTGCATTGAGAAGCTCTGGTGGGTATGTCATTTGATCTTCTGGATCATCCAGTGTATCAGCGCTCTGGAATTCGTGTGCAGTGCCTGGGAAATGTTCGAGTATCAGTTCGTTGGGTGCTGTAACGTCGACATTCTTTGAAGTCAAGATAGAGCGACTGATGAGGTAATCACGATCCATATGTGGTGCGTTGAGGTTGCCGTAAATGGTTTCTATGAGCTCGTACATGTTGTAATATGGCATGAGCATTCGATCTGGAAGCCGGACTCTGTCATCAGTGGTTGGCACGAACAGCTCAGCACCATTACCAATGCGAAATCAAAATATTGCGCAAACTCGCGAAGCTCATTTGCATCATTGGTGTTGGCAGCTTGTTGGACGCGCAAGTTGGTTTCAGGTGGTGGATGGTGACGCTGGGCCAAATGGATGAGCGATTTAAGCACTGCTGTACGATCTGCGAGCGCGACGCATTTGGTATCACTGGAAGGACCTATTACCATATACTTTACTGTGGGACTACCGCTTAATAGTAAAAAACATGCAAAGTAGAAGAGAGGATACAATGTTGAGTACCTGGCAAAAGTCAACACCAAGGACCATAATTTTTTACCAAATGGAACATCGGCAAGCGCGGGATCGTCATGTCTCATGAGATTTGGATACGCTTGTACGTATACGTTGATACTTGTATTGATACTTGTGTCCAGCGTGTTTAAAGCGACGACACTTCTCATATGATGAAGGACGTGAAGTGAGCTTCATCTCGTGTTAATGAAGGTTATCCCCTTGAGTCTTTCCTCGATGCGATACCCGTCTACTCACATAGTCATACATTCATGTAGAACAAATTTCCTGATCTGGAGGAGCCACACATTTCGGCGCGTCATAAACGTGAGAGAGCAATCTGATTGGATAGATTGAACTGGCTCAAATGCTGTGTTCATTACTACTATATAACCGTGCGGCCGCAGCAATCATGGGGCTCTTCTTCCTCTTCGTCAACTTTTCTAAACCAAAGCTATTCAATGTGAGTGTCATTGGAACGGATTAGAGGATCGAAGAGTGTATGCTTATGTTGGTGAGTGAGAAGAGCGTATGAAACCGGTTGTGAGTATCTCAAAATCCGTTTATCTCACTTTCTTTCTTTTTGACACAAACCTTCTTCTCGTCTTAACCTGGTCCATCTCTCCCTCACGTTGGCTCTCAAAGCGCAGATGCAAGAGCAAGTACAATATGGAAAGTGTGAAGTGTACTTTGAGGTTTTGCTTGTGGATGTGATATACGAAAGAAGATCTGAATTTCGACGTGTCTAAAGAAGTGTGTGTACAGCATACAGTCGCTAATGTTATCCTCCTTTCTTCTCTGCTACTACTATAGGATTCTGACTTTTTGAAATGGTTGGTTCGGTTTGTTGTTTGCACCCCACCCTTAAACATAAGCAACAACTGTAAGTACGGTAGGGAATGAAATGTGAGGATGAGCTGGAGAGAAGTCGAGTGTCTGTTGGAGGTGCTGATGCCATGACGTGTCAGGAATAGTTGCATCTTCAGAACTGCCTGCTCATGATCTTTCTTCTTTTCATTCTACTTCAGGTTTCGCTTTATGCTGGTTGGATTAATTGTGTCCTGCGGACAAGTAACAGATAGTAAGTATAAGCAAAAGGGGACTTGAACATTGGTATGATAGGTGAGTAGGATGGCATGGGTGTTGGGGATGATGCGTCAAAGGTGTGCAGTGTGTACAGCAGCGTGACGGGAAAGGGCTCCTGACCATGACGTATGCAATATGGCAGTCTCTCAAAAAAGTTTTCTTTCTCTCCTCCCCTTTCTTCTCTTATTCTTTTTTCAGAATTGGTCATCCCCTTCTTGCTTTTCCTCTCTCTAACTCAAGGCTCTCTTCCTCCAAGCCAAGGATGTCATAATAGTAAGTATCGCTGTGCTTGTGTTTGTCTTTGCGTGTTTGAAGAACCAGGAAGATGTCTGCCGTGACATGTCAAAAAGTGTATGCAGCTGCTCATAGATGTTTTCTTTTTTCTAATAGAGGATGGCTCTGCGGTGATCTGTTTGAACTTGGATTGGCTTAAACCCCATCTTTCTCTGTCTATAATTTTGCTGTAAAACGACAAAACAAATGTAAGTATAGCTGAATCCAGCTTGGGATGGAGGAGAATGGTTATGCCGTGTCAAATATAAAGATAGCACAGTGGGTGCAGTCCTCTAATGATCTTTTTTTTTCTCAGCTAGAAGAAGTGTTTCTATCTTGGATGCGATTCTCTGCTCTGCTCTGGCCGTGTGTTCGGTTCTCCTGTGTCTCATAGTAAAAGTATGGGTAAGTATAGCACGATAGAATTTTTTGTGTGCGTGTGTGTGTGTTTTACTAACTACCCATTATCTGTTCATCTCTTTCGTTTCTCGGAATGGCGATAGTGCACAGACACCTCCATGCTAGTCAAGATTGATGCTCCACTGTCATCCCGCTCCTAGAAGCCGACCTGTCAAGTAGTCCATCGGCAGTGGTCAAGATCTATCCATCCATCTGGACGGTGGCGTGTGCTTTTTGCTTTGACTTGGACCTGAGGAAGTCCTTAAAAGCCTCATCTTCTTCTTTGCGTTCTTTATATATTTTATACCCCCCTCCCCTCCTCCCCTTGCTCTGACCCAGGAAGTCGTTAAAAGCGTCTATTGCGTTCTTCATATAGTTTATCCCCCTCCCCTCCCCTCCCTCCCCCTTTGCTTTTCTCTCGCAGTTCCTAGTAGCCTCTGTCTCGACCCATCTTCGGATGTTGCATCGTTTCACGCGAACGGCTGTTTTTTTACTCAGGCAGCCTCCGGGCGTAAGTCCTGCTTCATCTACAATTTTCCCGAGCCCACGGGTAAAAAGTGCGGCCGAGGTCCCCCATGAATTTGGGGAATGCTTTGCGTAAGTATTTACTTTCTCTTTTTCTGTCTGTGAATTTACATGGATGAGAGTTTCCTTTTTTGGATTTTTCAGCTAACTTTTAAAAATTTTAATAATAAAGAAGATAGAAGATAGATAGAAGAAGATAACTGTCCGTCATAACCATATACAATGATGAAAGGAAAAGACGTGTTTATTTATAATCTATTCAAGCATATACGTTATGCTGAATGATTTCTTCATTGCAAGTTCGCATAGCTTTAGGAATAAGCTGCATTACTGTAACTTTATAAAGAATGTGCATGACCAAAGTAATTTGCTCAGCAGGGTGTGTAACGGAAATCCTGCCTAGGTGTGATTGGGGGTGTGCATGAGGGTGTGTGCAAATAGACCTGCCCCATTCTTCGACTAGGCTGGATTTTTAATGAACACCTTGTGGCTTCATACAAGCCGAAACATCGGCTTTGTATTTTTCTTCTTGATCATCCACTCCAAATTCTATTTTCCGCATGTTAGGAGATGCTCTTTAAATAGAGACCCTCCAAGTGGGCTAAGCGTTTTGGGAGATGCTCTTTAAATAGAGACCCTCCAATTGCACAGAACGTTAAGCTTGCGATTTTTTCTCGATCTTTTACTTTAAATTCTTTTTTTACGCATGTCAGGAGATGCTCTTTAAATAGAGACCCTCCAAATGCACAGAACCTTAAGCTTGCGATTTTCTCTCCGTTATCCGTTTTATCCGATATTATGACGCAAACAGGATCTGGTTCGGTAAGCTTAAAGGAACGCACGTCATATTCTCACTACGCTTTCTTCTTTTCTATATTATCGTACTGTAGTCAGCAATTACGACACGAACGAGCCAGATACATTCGTAACAACGGACACTAGAAAGTACATTGCAGAACTTTCTCCCTATCTACGCAGAGACACAGCGAGGCCGATCATTCATATACGTTCATATTACTGTCGCAAATATATTAAGCAGGTTCTTTAACCACAAACACAATCAAGAAAGCATACTTTTCTACTTTATCTCCTCAGATCAAACCATGCTCTTTTCGAGTTGTTATGCTTGGTACATTTTGTTTTTTTTGAGCATGTACCCGGCCTGTTCAACATATTTCAAGACGGTGAATTTCTATAATTTTTGGGTACGTTTTCTCAAAAATTGAATAAGTGGAACTTAATTCTTTTATTCCTCGCGCTTTGACAGGCTTGCAACTGACGAATGTACTGATAATTTAGCTTTCTTTCTCAAAACATCAAAAAGGAGCACGACAGAGCTGCACTGACAGAGCTTGCTCGCCTTCCCTACTTGCCCGGTTATACTGCGCGATTCTGACAGACTATGTCAACTACAACGTCTTCGTCTCTAGGCTGCAAGGAGGCAGCCAATCTGCAATGCCCGACTTGCTTGAAGCAAAACGTTGTAGAAGGTTCTTCTTTTGCTCGCAAGACTGTTTTAAAAAGAGCTGGGTAATTTAAGCAAAAAAAAAGATCCGTTGTTTTGATTTAGCGCATTGACTTTAAAACCAGTTATTGATACTCGATTCGCTTGCTCGCTCGCTTGATTTGTATGAAATGAATTAAAACTTTTTGAAGGGCGTTCATAAAGCAGCACATAAAGCAAACAAGGGTAATTACTGGCCATCTTTTTAGTACCAGTTTGTCGTCGATATTAACAATGCTTTTTTTGTTGTTAATCAGGAGCAAAATACGATCCCTTCTCAGCATTCGGATATACTGGCAAATTACGTCCAGTCTATCCGCTTTCTCCTCGCTGTCAAATCCCTGAACATATTGAGCGACCAGAATATGCGGAAACGGGCATTCCCAAAACCGAATTCACGCCGATTCGAAACAAGATTAGAGTGTTGTCACCAGAGGAAATCCAAGCGACCCGAGAAGCTTGTCGGGTATGGCTCTATACACCACTTTCTATAAAGCTATAACGTTACCCAGTGTTAGAAAGGGTGGGGGGGACCGGGGAATGGGCTTTTTGATGCCGCAGCAATGCTTTTGCAAGAAAGAGAGGCTGATCAGAAATATCGCGGGAAACATATCACGCGTGAAGTGCTCGAAACGGCAGCTGCTGCGGTTCGTGTAGGTGTCACTACGGATGAAATTGGTAAGTTAGTTGTTACCCGTAATACCGTTGGAAATTGGAAATTGCAAAGCAAGAAAGGGAACTTACACACACACGTTTGGTATAGACCGAATTGTTCACGAAGCAACGATCGAGCGCGGCGCATATCCTTCACCACTCAACTACCATTATTTCCCCAAATCATGCTGCACGTACGTATTCTTTGTTTGTGCCCACATCTCTCCAAGTTACCAGCCACTAACATCGTTCTTTAAAATATGGCAGATCAGTGAATGAAGGTATAAAAAGATGAAGTTTAACTATTAGAGAAAAAGATTATTAGCAACTCACATGTAATGCTATTAGTCATTTGTCATGGTATCCCTGATCAACGGCCGTTGGAGGATGGCGATCTTCTCAACATTGACATTTCCTGCTTCTACAACGGCTTCCATGGCGATGCAAATGCAACCTACCTCGTCGGCGATAACGTCAACCCTGTTGCCAAAAAGCTCGTTCAAGTTACCCGAGAATGCTTAGAAAAGTCGATCGCTGCTGGTATGTTTCTTTGTTCGTGGTAGAGAACCTCCTATTCTTATTAGCTGTCATTTTCGTGCTCAAAAAAAGAATACTTAACCTTTATCGCCCGCCTAATTCTTAATAGTCAAACCGGGCATGCGATATCGCGATTTTGGCAAGATTATTGAAGATCATGCAACAGCAAATGGGTTCTCGGTAGTACGAGCGTTCTGTGGACACGGTATTAATCAATTGTTTCACTGTGCTCCCGATGTGCCTCATTATGCCAGTAAGTGCCTATACACTTTCCACATTTTCCATCGCATTCAAACAGGAGAACTAATGATTATTATTCTTTGAATAGATAACAAGGCTGTCGGTATTTTGAAGCCAGGTCATATCTTTACCATTGAACCCATGCTGTGTGAAGGTGTTTACGATGATTTGTTATGGTATGTAAATTCAAACCACTGGAAAAAAAAAATTGTCAATTTGTCTAAAACAGAACATTAACTTGAAAAAAAATCAGGCCGGATGGATGGACGGCTACCACCAAGGATGGCAAATTATCAGCACAATTCGAGCATACTACTGTATGCTCGTTACCGAAACCGGCGTCGAGGTTTTGACTTGACGTGGACAATTTAGTGATGATAATAAATTTGTGTAGCAGTAAATCTTTTTGACATGTTGTTTGTTGAGCCATTGATTATTGCTGATGCTCCATTTGAGTATGTATATCACAAATTATGTCTTTTCCATGGCTGCTAGTAACTGAAGCTCATATCAATCTCATGCGAGCTTCGCTACCCTTTCCTTGTAGGATATATAGAGGCAGCGTTATCTGTGACAGCCACAAACATGGAGATAGTTACAAACATCTTCAACCAGCTGACGGCTAGCTGACTGGCTCCTCCCTCCCCGGGTGCAACAATGCGATAGCTTATCCAAGTTTTTTCACAATGTCGATATGGATTATTCTTGGCGCGCATTATAGTACTCTACATAGTTATATTGGTGATATACTCTTTACAGCGGTCTGTATAAGAAAAAGTTTACGTTGGCAATATCACATTGTCATCAAATTACTGTCGTGCACTCACTTTTGCGTTTACATCTTATAAGAAAATTATACACCGTCTCAAGAACAAATATCATCTGTATTATTGTGTGTGTGAGTAATAGTATTGCTAGTAGTAGTAGGCCACACTTTTTGACATATCGTGATAATAATCTCAAAGTTAATCGTTGTAGTTTCGTTTTGCAAAAGTGTAACTTTTACCACTAAATGCGAATTATAGTGCGTGTACATATCCATCCCCCCATATTGTGAGGGTGCTGCTATTTAAAACTATGATCATAGCGTTATTTTCACAATAATAAACGAGAGTAGGCTATTATAGGAAAGTTTTTTGAGTCATGAACTAAGCATGCCAAAGAAACTTTGATTATCCATAATGTCAACGTGACACAGCGGCCGTCAAGAGACGGAATTCGATTTCAGCGAATGACGTCGCTGCCTCAAACTACGTCGGGCCACCCGCTTTAAAAAAACAATTTGAATTTTCCACATATTAAACAACTTGCAACGTAATATGGCCGAAGCCGATTGGGAATATCCACAACACCAGCAGTTCGAACGGTAACGCTTATATATATATACACATGTGCACACACATCTCACACAGTAAAGCGAAAGACGCTCATGTCAATTTAATGCAACTCATTTCCATGGACCTTTCAATTAAAAACATAGTGTCCCCACGCTCGACCAAGTCGATCCTAACGATCGCAAAGGTTAGAATTCTCGACATTTTAAACGCAGCAACAACCATAGCAGCAGCAATAGCAACGTCGCTTCAAATGTTACATGGAACACGGATTCTGACGAAAAAAAAATACTATATATTTATTGTAGCTATCTACGCAGCTCGTGCACAAAAAATTCGCGATGACTGGGTCAAGGCCATGGAAGCCCGTCTTATCAAGCAAAAGTTGGACGAGTGTTACAGAACCGAGGGCGTCAACCACTGTAAATATAAACCCACCACACTAAGAAACGAGGCATATTGTTATATCTCTGTATGTGTATATTAATTCAATGAGTTTCTGTGTTAGACGCAACCTGTCGCGACTTGGCCGATTTATACTTGAAGGCCGTCAAGGAAAACAAGGTCGAGGGTTTCCGCAAGAAATCCAGTGCATAGATTTATTTGTTAGAGGGAAAATGTAAGTTGGAAAGTTATTACTGTGTGAGAAATAGTGGAAGATAGTAGATAACTGACGCTTCTTTTTGGATATCAGTTAGGTTCACCTCTGTGTTTTTTTTTTCTTCTTGTTGCGTCAAACGATATATATTATACATAAAAAAACAGTGCATATATTCTCTTCATGTTCGCTCTGCCAACTTATAGTGCTCCAATGAACAGACGGCTTTGCCACTTGCTTTTGCAATGTACTTTTTCTCGTTTTTGCATCCGTGGATAACACATGTCACTCTGCGTGGAACCGACCTATGGCGGAAAAAGAGGGACAAGAGTGAGGTGCGGGTGGGGGATGGGTTATTAACAACTATTGTTTACCAGATCGCCAAACCCACGGTATCAGGGCGAATGCAGCACATTCATAATCCTCGTATTGCAGTTTTTACCTTTGCATGCAGTTATTGGTAAGTTCATCCAGCAAGCTTGTAGGTAATGACAATTGACTTCCCGCGCTCGTACTCGTGTAGCGTACGCTGTTGCTTGGTGTCATTTTCACCGGCGTATTGGTCTGGTTCGAGTCTTGGTCATCCTTGATTATCCGTTTGCTTTTGCTGGCCTGTTTCTTGAGCAGTCGATTGATTGTATCTTCCTGGATTTACCATGAGCGAGTGCCATATTGTTAGCTAGAACTCATTATGGAGGAGATCGAGTATTAAAGGAGGCGGCACCCCGTTGATTTTGGTTACCTTGTCCTTTTCAGCACGCTGTGCACTTTGATGCTTCCGTCGTCGAGCCACTTCAGATCGTTTCAATGCTTGTTCTTCCTGGGTAAGGCTCTTTTTCCTGTTGCTCTCTAATGACAGTAATGAGATACGATCAGTACACACACACACACACACACACACGACATTTCCAACCAAATGACAGATATAATTTACCCATAGGTAGCTCAAGGTACTTTTCATCTTCTTGTTCATTGTAGTATTTCGCTCGTTGACGTTTGGTCATGGCACGGCTCGAGATAATCTCAGATGGTTTTCCAAAGTCTTCCTCTTCTACTTCCTCCTCTTCCTCCTCTTCCTCCTCTACGTCCTCCTCTTCCTCCTTTACGTCCTCCTCCTCCTCTTCTTCTTCTTCAATACGATCATCGACATTCTGTTCTTGTTCTTGTTCTTCGTCTTCTTCACTCTCATTATTGTCTTCACTGCTACTACTGCTACTGACAACTGCTTGCATTGTTTTAGACATATTAGCAAGTACCGTGTTAAGAAAAGGGCAAGCTTGAATAGCATATTTGTATATATATATATTACCAGGCGGTTTTTTACGCTTGCCGCGTTGCGGGCTCTTCTTTGGCTGTATTGTTTCTTCTTCTTCCAGAGAATCGGACGAGTCGAGCAGCGATGATTCGTTGTCATCATGGTCATTACCATTGACATTGCTGCTTACCAAGTCTTGATCGGATTCCTCCTCGGAAAGAGGTACCAGCTGTCTTCGGCTTCGTGTGGACCGCTTATGTGTGAGCCTCATAAAAGGGTGATTTTTAGATATTAATAGGATAAAAGAAACGTAACAAAGAAAGGGCGTATGTGTATATAGAGGATGGGGGAGAGATAAAGAGATTCGAAGGCAGAGGAGGGAAGGGAAAAAGGAATTGGAAAAGCCAACCTTAAAGTGATGGGTGGTGTGAGTTTCTGTGTCTCTCTGTCTGTGTCTGTCACTGTCTCTCCCTCTGTTCTTTGTTCGCTGATCAGTCTCTCCCCTGTCGTTCTCTAGTCCGCGCGCGACATTACCCATCAACCGACCGATTAAATGATCTTTTGATAGAAAAGAAAACCGGATGCGGCGTCGCGTGACACATAGTGCCGGTCAGGCACAAATTTTTATGCGGGGACGACAGCAGATCCCTGTTGGACAGCAGGTCATGAAAAATCGCATATAGTACTACAGCTTCTCCGATTTGTTGATTGTGAAGAGTGCTATAGTATGTAAAGAAAGTGCTATGTATAGTAAAGATAAAGCGGGTCTGGTGTTATATCATCTATGGCTTATCTTGAGATACGCATACGGTGAAGCCCCAGGACTCATTACATAGCAAGATATCGATTGCTCTTACTGCTTTTATTGGCGGATTGGCACGACTTGACAGCTTGCAATGTAGTAAGTAATGCGGAGCCACAGATTGTGCCAAAATCTATTGTAGTAGTCATCACTGGTATAAACAGAAAGCTCAGTCTTGCAACACATTGAAATGGAAACTCGATACCTCGATAGCGCACAATTTGTAGTGAGTTGTCTAGTTTTAAAACACTCTATACTCTACGGCGTCGCTGTATACATCGTGTGGTGCTACTGGCATTCCTGCGTAGCCAACAATCGAGGGAGAAGGAAGAACGACGCATTAGCTGTTGTCGGAAGAGCAAGGTAAGGAAGAAGACATCTGAAAAGAACTGCTTACCGTCGATGCACTCCCCGTTAATGAAACATCATCCCGAATAGAAAGTTGTTCTGCACGCGAAATACATAGCATTAACAGTAAAAAACGAGGAATCAATTTCGAAGGAGAAAAGTGATCTAGTACTACAGGCCAAGCCCAGGCTTTTTTGCGGACAGAATGTCATGATCTACAGTGGCCGCTCGTTATAGTGATATTCGATATAGTGATATTTCGATATAGTGATGTGTTTTTGAGGTCCAAATCAAATTAAGCAGGGACTTATTACTAATTCGCTATAGTGATATGTGATATCAACCATCAGAAATATCATTATATCGAGCGGACCAATAGTATGATTTTATTTATCAGAAAAGGAAAAAAGATCAGTTTGCTCTGGTTAATATCTCAGAGTCTAGTCTACGCATCGTTTTTCTTATAAGCTATATAAGTGAGCATGCAGGTCGTCTTCAACCACCATTGTTTTCAATAAATCGCTCATATACTGCTTCCTCTCTCCTTTACTATGCAGTGGCTTCAATGTTTCCTTCTCCTCATCTCGTCTTCTCTAGTTACTCTCTTCTTCATCAACATCTACCTGTGACTTTTACATATGCAGTTACACTAGCCATTATATGAACGTACCTGAATCTCTATCAATAATAGCATCGTCAATGAGGTCGTTAAAAGAAGTTGGTGCATGGATATCCTCTACTTCTTCATGTGGTATCAAATCAATACCATCAACGCCACATGTTTCCTCATGAGTATCCAGAATCATAGCATCAAGCTCATCAGATAGAAGCCTTTCAGCTTCTTCTGCTACACTAAAATTTTTAAGGAGTTGCATACTATCAACTTTGACAGGACGTGATTCTAGAGCTTCTTTTGTAGAGCTCGCCAAGTACCCCGGGTAATCTATGTACCGGATATCTTTAATGGAACTACAATTCGATAAAGTAATAATTCGATATAGTAATGGGGTTTGGGTCTCACCGGGCATATCACTTTAACGAGCGGCCACTGTATGTAAGCGATGGCACAGACAATACATCGATTGAGCTAAAGAGAATCTTACTACGTCGCTGGTGTTCATTTACGTACAGTCAGTTTACTCCATTCAGACGGTGTATTGTTCTGACAACACACTGATATTTACTGACTTATACCAATCAACCCGTCAAAGCAACTCGCGATTTAGATACGTACGCATACGGTATCCTTATTTGGATTAGCTGATGTTAGCAAATTGCATGAAAAACACTTTAAACACTCTTTTCTAACCCATCCACTCCTCTCTTCATTCTCCTCTACTTCGCAAAGCACCACGGCATTCTATTTTAAACATCAGTCACAAACGAGAAATCTAGGTGACGTGGCCAACGATGAAGCTCATATTGCCACAAGTTAAACAGTGCAACAACTGCAAGGCCTCTCTTCTATCTTCTTTTTCTGCTTGACAAGAGTGGCTCAATACTTTCTTTGATCTCTCCTCCTCATGTCTTTTTCACCTTCCTCGACCTAGGATGGCATTGAAACGCACCATCCCTTTTTTTTAGCCCAGAAAGCCTTTGAATCAGTGTTTCCTATACTGATTTAATATAATAACAGTAATTCACGACTAGGTTAAATCTATTTCTTGAACAATCCCTTCTGTAACCATTTGGGCATAGTACCCGTTTTCTTTGATGGTGCTGACGATGATCCACCAGTGGTATTTGGCCCAGGGCTGCTGCTGGTGCTTGCTGGTGGCGGTGAGGGCAACTGAGGTGTGCGCAAAGCCTCCATCATGCTAAGGTATTCTTGTGTAACAACAGGCACATCTAGTTTTTTTTTTCGCGCAGCAATATATCAAACATTCCGATTCGTAAGCGGCACACTCCCTTCACACTAGCCAAGTCTCCTCCCTCCAAATCCTCTCATCGTGAGTCAGCCCACCACTAACCTCGATCTCCTGGTAAAGCCTTGTCAATCCATACAAAGGTCAAATTGGACGCAGGTGCAAGCCCGGCTTTGTATAGGGTCAGCATCGGCTCAACGAGCTTCGACCGAGGTGGAAGACACAATAGAAACTTGCGTTCGGGCGTTTGCAATGTCGATCGTACAAAGTCATACACGTCGCCCACTTTTTGTGTATGTACACATCCAATCAGTAACCCTGCTTTTTTGTTGTGTCTCTTTGCCTTTTTCCTATCTTCATTGTTGTCTGCTGCGAATGCATCCTTTTACCTTTTTCTTGGGATCTGAACACAGCTTGCAAGATAGTGCTATCTGGAAACCGGATACGGATGGTCGTCCGTGGGTATTTCTTCATACGATCCATTTCCTCGGCCTGACGAATCTTTTGTGTCTTCAATGGCCTAATTAGTTGTCGTCGTTTAAATTGAAGCATCAGCAGATGATATAATGCCACTATCACTACTATGTACTGAGTACTATATCAACAAACCACTACCCTCTCTCTCTCTCTTTCATCCTCTTTTTATCTCGAGTTATTTTCAGATAATGACCGTACCTGTTTTCTAAATTTTCACGTTGTTCGACATGAGACTTGTAGAGACTTTTTATCTCGTTGGCCGTTAATTTAAAGAAGGACTCAGGAAGTTCAACTGCGCAAATACATTAACAATCCAAGTCAATGATTTTGTTCACGATATAAAACGAATCTAGTAGGAAAAATTACCTCTTGCTGGAGCATTAGATGGAGGCTGCAGCATTTTGACCTGACGATCAAATGTTGGTTCAGGTTCAGGTGCTGATTGAGTAGTAGCAGTGGAATCAGGTGTGTCCATTTCAAAGAAGAGAAGGTTAAGGTCCAAGAGAAAGAGAGAGAGAGGGAGAATATGTCTGTGTGGAGAGAGAGAGTGAGGCACTTTAAGATTACCTCTTTCAGCTGTAATTTTTCCAGGCGCAGCGCATCTCTTTGTCCTGGAACTGGGGCGGGGGATGAATGCCTTGTCAAATAAAAATGTGTGACCGTCCCAATAGCTCAACTTGTTTTTTGTTTCAAAAAAAGTGACCTATACAGCAGCAATGGCAACATCAGCCGCATCGCCAGCACGACTGGCTCAGTTATCTCAACTCTCGTGCAAAATATTTCAAAATGTATACAACCCAACTGCTTCCCGTACCGGTAACAAGATTTTGCGTCAACGACTTCTCGGCCCTACCATGACCGCCTACCATCCACAAAAGCTTGTTCATTTCCGCGACATTAAAGCCTTGTATCCCGACCAAGGTTTTGTCGATGTGGACGAAAAGGCTCGTTTGGACGAAATCGCGCGAAGAAAGAGACGCGGAAAGGGTGCACCAAAGAAGGGTAATGTTTTATATCTGATTTTATCTCAGGAAATAGAAAGATGTAAAAAGGACTAGCGGTTAATGATGCGTTCATATGTATTTTCTTACAGGTCAGGGCAAGCGTGCGTCCAACAAGAAACGTTAAAACTATTACGATCACAGAAAGCAACAACACCACTTTTATCATTTTCCTCCTTTATTTTTCTACATGTACATACGATAGACATATATTCTTACATCGAATCCGAGCGAATAAAAAGAGAATTCGTGTATCTTCTCTTTTTTACAACAAACCGCCACGCTAAACCTGGAGTTTATTGACAGAACTGTCATGCTAAGGAAGCCTTTTACTTTTTTTCTGCACCGATATATTGGATAATCACGAGCTAGGCATTGCTTTGTTAATCGCACCAAAGCTACGTTGGATAAGGGACGTAGAGGATATGTTATACGGACCCCTCCTCAACTGCACACATTTTTTTTCAAAACTATACTTACAGAAGCACTTGTTATCCCGGTGCCTGCGTGATTATAAGTTACCTACATCCATTTCTTATGGAGCCCCTTATCTACACACCATCCATATCAAATGTGTCAAACATCCTGTGTGTTATCAAGCAACCGGCGACAGTAGAAAAAGAGCAATCAAATAGTTGAATCAATCACCAAGTGAATGCATTATCCACGATAGAATACTGGGTTTCAAAAAAAGCATACATTAATTTTTTTGCAACGCCCTTCCATTTATTGTCTTTTTCTCCTTGACATGACTGCGCACATGAGCAGCGACCATGCCTCAATGAAACTGAGGCAGCTGCTTGAGCTGCTGGACAAAAAGAACGAAGAGCCTTCCAATAATGACCTGGAAACTCGTTTTTTTAACGACATGCTCGATTATCTTTTAAACTACTCGTCCGATCACTGGTGGTGTTCCCAGATCGAATTGCCAATAGCCCAGGAATCCATGTGGCTCTTCTCTCTACCAGATCATGCACATATTACCAAGTACAAGGAACGATTAACGCTACAATTGCGGACATGTACGCGTTGTCTTCACGATTACTATGCTTCAAAACCCATGTTGCGGAAAAGGTAAAGGCTAGATCTACCCATGTAGACTAAAAGGGAACCACGGGAAATAGACAAAGTGAGAAAACTCGCAGCAGCTGTGGTAGCATAAACTTATACGTTAAGAGAGGGGAACACTTCTCACCTTTAATTCCAACTTCATATGAAATAGATACGAAACCATGTTTTCACCGGAAAATGTACAGAGCTTTTTTGACATTTTAAATCGGTTTGATCGTCATCGCGTAATGACCAGTTTAAGGCGCAACATTTATATCCAACGCGAAGACACATCAAAACCACTTTCTTTGTCCGATAACATCATGTGCGCCATCTTTGACATTCTCAATGCGCCTCATCTCCTGCATGAAGACGACTGCGACCAACTATTCTGCAATTTATTTGATAAGATGCACGAGTCCGCAGTTTTCCCAACGTTCACGGATGCACCAAACGGAGTCGTGTTACTTGCGTATCACCACCATCGCATCGTTCGACATTGGGCCAGAAAACTGCTCGACCGATTTGTCGCGGATGGCTTCGTATTAGAAGAACCCGATATCAACGTACGACTTACGCCACAATGGTACGCAAACCCGCCGTCCGATTTTGTTACAGACACAATCAAGTTAACCAGCGATGTCGCTGAACGCAGCAAGGCGTTTCGTGCTACTGTCACTTTGCTCGGTCCTGATCAGCTAAAGAAGATCATGAGCAGCACAACAACGTCGGTGCAACAATGGATACACCAACAGTACTCGAAACCTGGCAACAATATACAAGAAACGATCCGGACCATGACAATGCTACTCCAAAAGCTTGGCCAAAACTTTTGGGGAGACGAAGTGCTCGACGCAGATACCCACAGTAACTTTATAAAGAATGTATGCGAGGATGGAGGGTTCCGAGCAGCAATGGTAATTGCTCGAGAAGACAACACCGGCAAAATAAGACAGCGCGATGGAACACCATACCCGGAAGACAAGCTCATTGCACGGATTAGAGGAATGCTGGGCTGGATATATTTTTATTGGAGTGCGCTGCCGGATGAAGCCCAAGACCAAACTGCAGGCATTGTATTAGACATGCTCTGGGGTTATTTTCAGTCAGATAGCTGGGCTATCACATGCAAGGCCTATTGTGCCGAACTCGGCTTCAAGGTCATTGAAGATTCACTTGCACGCGACAAGTGCTCATACGACAAACTGAACCAATACGCCTCAAGGGCAGTGTGGTTTGCATCCATCCCTTTGACCCGTCTGCCACAGCCATTTCGATATATACCCGATCTAGCAGCAAGAGTACTCATCCAAGTGCTGCGACGAGACGCGCTAGATCTCCGCGAACGCATCATTGCAATGTCACAAAATAGCGAGCAAGATACATCCGCACGCATCGATTGCACAGCCGTATGGCAGGCCATCGGTAGCACCTGTGAACAACCCGATGGTATCGAGCCACGTCTGATACACGTAGCAATCGAGGGATATAGGCAACTGGTGATTGTTGACCTTTCCGTCTCCGACAAATCACATCCGTTATCTACATCGAACGAAGGCTCACTCATGATGGAACAAATCAAAACGCTTCGGATGACGCTCGGCAAAATAATGACAAAAGCGGTTCACTCGAACACGCACTCTCAACTCAAGCTCTATGATGACACAGAAGTAGTTCAATCTCTACTCGTGCTCACGTGCTCGCCCTACAGCCATGAAATTCGGACGCCTGCAATGCAACTTTTATCGGTATCCAACGCCTCAAACGAACTAGAGAGTTTCCGTCAATTTTTTGATCGACAGCCTCGACTCGTGCTAGAAGAATTCGCAGTCATTTTAGATGACTTTAACAACCTCGCCATTCCACTTGTAGCCCTCGACAGTTTCAACCTAGTAGCACCATTAAATCTAACATTGTCTTATCTTGCACATGCACTTGTGGGTGACGAGGAGAGCTACATGATGCAGCTGGTCATCATGGGAGAATACGGAAGCGAAGAGCACAGGGTGATCAAGCAGTTCTGGAACACCTGTTGGCGGACGATGGCCCTGATTTTCGGGAATGGCATGAAATGGTCGGAAACGCATAAACCCAAAGAAGTAGTCGACTCCATCTTGTCCCTCTTGGACACTGCCCAGCTGATGATCGGCGCTCGGCAACTGTTTCAGAAAGCAGTAGACAGCTCAACGCCTGTCGATACCTCATTTGGTGACGTTCCGCAACTACAATATGACCATGTCAATGAGGCAATTGACTCATTATCGCATTGGGTCTATGTTACACGGTCCGAAGTCATCCAAAAATTAGTGCCTTTGGTTTGCTTGACCTTGAAGCATCTGCAGCAAATGCATATGAAGATTTCAGTCGACGCTTACTATCGACTCATGTCAGCTGCAACCGGGGAAAACGCTACGCGCCTTTCGACGCAGGACAAGGAAGCCTTGTTTGTTGCTTTGAGCGGACAAGAGCCAAGTAACACCATATTTATCGATGACAGCGATGAAGAAATCGAATGGCAGCTTGTCGAACCACCACAACTCACCTCGCCTCCAAGGCCGTCCCATTCTTCCTCCTCACACTCATCATCATTGGTATCATCGACCACTGCGCCTCCAAAGATAACGTCTTACTTCTCCAAGGCTGCCACAGAAGATACGCCGTCGGATATAGCATCAGCAGACGCCTATGGTGCTGTGGATGTGCAGGAAATTGGTAAGAATATACACAAACGTTTTTGTTACAAGTTGTGCTAATACAGCTGACGATATAGCCCCACCGGATCCATCCACTGCTAATACTGCCGCCCAGGCGAACAACGACGATGACGATGACGACGGTTTCATGGATGAATTTGGAGAGCTAGACATTGCAGCGATACCCGATGAATGGTTTGAAGGAGATACATCTGCACCCATTCCTGTTACCAGCAATAGCACTACTAGTCGTAGCAGCAACGTCGCCAAGCCTGATTCTAACACTACTACGGCTGCTGGCAATAGCACTGGTCGGTCGAGCAAAAAATCGTCGATCGCATCCGCTGTACAAGCACAACAAGCGCAGTTATGGAGGCAACACGAACAGCGAGCCAAGGAACTGCTTATTCAACAGCAAGCCGTACAGCGAGCCAAAGAACTGGTTAGCCAACATCCACGCAAAAAACAACAAGAGCAACGATCGACGACTTTCATGCCCAAAAATCAAAAACCTTCGGTGTATGCTGTCACGTCGACTGGTCGAAAGCTTAGACCACCACCAACCGGGTTCTCCAAGCTCAAGGCTTTGCGCGAAGAATTCAGGGCAGAGCGTAAGTTCATTGCCGCATCCAAGTCTCCTTCTGCTTCCGCAGCCTCGCGTGGCCGTAAGCGGAACGATAGCGACTCTTCATCCGGTTCCGATTCCTCAGACGAAGACGACACATCTGGTTTGCAGGACCTTGTTGATGATATTGATCATAGCAAGCGCGCTATTGAAGACGAAAAGGCGGGCATTAAGGCACTTTTCGAACAGCCGGTCAAACGATCCATCAAACTGATTGAAACTCAAGAAACGCAAGCTTTTCTGGAAAAACGACAGTTGATCAAACGCGCAGACCAGCGACGCAAAAAGATAAAGCCCGATATTGAAAGATTCTTCAAAGCTATCTTATCGTGGGATGTCACTGTCAAATCGGAAATGCCACCCAACGCGTCTTCGGGCATGTACAAAAAAGTGTCTGACTCATTCAACTCGTACCAAGATTATTTGACGAATTTCGAACCGCTGCTGCTGCTTGAAGTCTGGATGCAACTATCACGCGCGCGCGAAACGTTATCGGAGAACGATGTGATCGATCGCTGTATACTTGACAGTCGTTGTCATGTGAATGATTTTGTCGATGTGACATTTGGTGTTCCAGCCGGTTCTGTCAACAGTTTGATTGTCGATGACCTTGTCTGTGTGGCTAATCATTTTGGTAACGAGTTCTTTCGGAAGGATGAGCTTAATTTCATCATGAGCGAGCCACTCTCGAAACCGACCGCGTGGAAAGGCCGTTGCTTCCTTGGTAAAGTTACAACCGTAACACAAAAGAAAAGCATATCTGAGGTGACTCTTCGTTGCTTTTTCAGTCCGGAACGTATCATCTTGTTGAACTCTTTGTCGCCCAAGACAAACTGGCGGATGCTCAAGCTGAATAGGTAATTTTCAGTATTCCACGTTTATCTTTCAGGAGAATGCAATATATATCGTGTCAACCTAGCTTTAACACTGTTTTCTCTATCCTTAAAGCATTGCTACCGCCCAGCGAGAGTATGCTGCATTACAAGGACTGGAGCATTATGATTTGGCCCAAGATATCCTTAATCCGAAGCCCTCGCAGATGCCTTCGTTCACCGATCATATGGTTGACAAGTGTATTGACAAATACGGAGTTAATGAGCCCCAAGCACGAGCCATTCTTGGTGCTTTGGACAAGAAGCGTGGATTTACATTGATTCAAGGGTAAGTTATATTGCCAACTTGACAATAGACCTAGAGTTGCATGAATATTATAAGTAATCTTTGTTTCTAGCCCTCCAGGAACAGGTAAAACAAAGACTATTCTTGGATTAATCGTCTCGTTGTTGGACGACCAGCGGGATCGACGACGTCAGAAGGAGCGTGGTATTCGAATAGACACCAATGGATCCGAATACAACGGTGAAAGCAAAATTCTCGTTTGCGCACCGAGTAATGCCGCAGTGGACGAAATTGCTAAACGATTACAAGAAGGTGTATTGACCTCCCATGGCATATCCAAACCTAAAGTGGTGCGCATTGGTACGCCAGAAGCGGCCAATGTTAGCGTCCGAGAAATTCTCCTCGATCGACTCGTAGAAAAGGAACTTGCACCAACCATTGGAGATTCCGAGGAGATCAAGGACTTTGGTACACGACGCGGTCAATTGAGTGAGGATATCCGCAAGATACAACTGGATATTGACGACGTGGATCGAGAAATTAACGAGTGCAAGGGCGCGGAAAACATGACGTACCTGATGGATCTCAAGAAAAAGCGTAAAGACTATATTGGTCAACGCCACAAACTAAAATATCAAATCAAGGGTATTGTTGAAGCGCAGCGAGATTTTACACGGGAGCAAGAGCTTTCAAGACACCGTGCACGACAGAAAGTGTTTGCTAGCGTGGATATCGTCTGTGCTACATTGAGTGGCAGTGGTAATGACATGCTTACGAATATGGGACTGATGTTTGACACGGTCATTGTGGATGAAGCTGCCCAGTCGGTTGAAATCAGCTCCTTGATTCCATTAAAGTATGATTGCAGACGCTGTATATTAGTTGGTGGTAAGTATATTTTCCCTTTAAGTAAGGATAATCAGGCTTCAATCGTTGCTCACTGCAATCATTCTCATATTAGATCCAAATCAATTGCCTCCGACCGTCCTCTCTCAGATGGCTGCAAGGTACAGCTATGAGCAGAGCTTATTCATGCGGTTACAAAAGGGTGCGCCGGATGATGTCTATTTATTGAGGTAAGGGAAGAGTAAAGCAATGATATCTCAGATAATGTACTTATGCTGGTTTACATAGCATCCAATATCGTATGCACCCAGAAATCAGTCGATTCCCCAGTAAACTGTTTTACAATTCGAGACTACTGGATGGACCGGACATGGAAGCCAATTCTGCTGCTCCTTGGCATTCTCAAGAATACTTTCCACCATATCGCTTTTATAATGTGGAGGAAGGTATGGAGAGGACTGGATCCGGAAAATCTATCTACAATGCTGCAGAGGCAGAGGCTGCTTTAGCGCTTGTGGATATGCTGGCGAACCGCCTGCCAAATATCAAGGTACATTTCAAAAAAAAGAGCGAGAGAAGAAATACCTCATCTAAGTTTATGTGACAAAGTTCTAGTAACTAAAATTGGTTTCGTTCAAAGTTTGCGTATAGAATCGGTATTATCACACCATATAAACAGCAACTAAGTCATATTAAGCATCGCTTTGAACGACGATTCGGCCCGAAAATCCTTGATGTTATAGACTTTAATACGGTGGTACGATTTAAGATTAACATGGTTGTGGTCTTATTCGTTTTCTCACAAAATCATTTTTTATAATAGGATGGTTTTCAAGGTCAAGAGAAAGATATAATCATCTTTTCCTGCGTACGAGCAATGTCTGGTAAGTGGTTGTTTAAGTGATTTGTCATCTGACCAGGGAGCCCAAGGCATTCTAACTTTTGGAATAATTGTTGTGGTATATCATACTAGAGCGCGGCATAGGTTTCTTGGCCGATATGCGTCGAATGAACGTTGGGCTGACTCGTGCCAAGTGCTCGCTCTTTGTGCTTGGGCATAAGCGATCTTTAATGAAAAGCGAGTATTGGGGTGACCTCGTTAAAGACGCTGTGGAACGCAGATTAATACTTGATGTGAGTACAAGTACAAATCCAGATTGTTTTCTGCAACCTCGTTTTTTCAACTGCATAAGATAGACTTATTGAGAAATGTGGGGGGCGCGGTGTATAGATCCGACCGCCTTATTTCGACTACCGTGCTATTACGAAACACGTCCCATCCAACCTCTTTGATTTTGAGGCAAAGCCAACCAAAGTTTCCCGCAAACATCTCCCTCGGTCCAAAGCACAACGGATCTCTATACCCATGATTGAAGATTCGATCAGCGATGCTTCATCAACCGGAAAAAGAAGCCGCACGAGCTCTCCTGTCCCAACAGCTCCAGCCCCATCCCACCATGAGCAGGCGATGCCGCGGGTTAACAAGAAAGTTCGGACATCATCGTCGGACTCTGATTCTCGTAGCATCGCTAGGCCATCGGTGGTGCCACTCCCATCGTCTGACAGTAATTTATCTAGAAGCGATTCTGGATCCTCGGTAGTGCCAACGCCACATGACACTCGCAGTATCACCAAAAGCAGTTCTACGTCGTCTGTGCTACCGTTATCTGACACTCGAAGCATCGCCAGAAATGATCCTCGATCCTCCGTACTACCTCTGACAGCTCGCAGTTCTCCATCGCTTTCTGCAAACATGGACACTAGCAACAGTCATAGACTTGTTCCTATGAAACGACCTATGCCTGCACAACAGCAGCATCGACATCAAGGAACTCCTTCTTCTGCTTCACCTTCAGTACGACGACCTGCGAAAATGACACTTGCTGAATACCGTTCTGCAAAAGGATTGCCTTCGGACAACCCTACTGGTTTACGTCCTCCTCCTGAACCATCTAGTAATTCTGGTGGTCCAAATCTATATATTCAAAAGAAAACGTCATCTGCTCAACAGGTATTAGTGGAAAAAGAACCGTTTTATCTTGAGTATCATGACTCAATGTGGACAAGGAATTGAATTGGCCAACCCACATATATAAAACAAGTACTCATCATTTCCGAAGCCTTTCTATTCTTCTTCTCAATCGCAGATGCCACCAAAGACGACTGGAGAGGCTCATGATATGTTAAATGCGCGCGATCGTGTGGCTATACAGGTAAAAACAAACTTCTTTTCTGTGCTAATTGTGGAGCACGTCATTTACTGAGATCAATTTAACAGCACCAAGCGGCCAAGGATGCGATGCGTGAGATCCGCCGTAACGAGCAAATGCAACATCAAAAGGCCGCACATAGCACGCACCAGCAATCCAAGAAATCTATGGACGATCTATTGAAGGATATCGGCCGTAGCCGTAGATGATGAAATTTTGAGAAGCATACAAAATTACGCCTATATTTATCGGTTGGCTCATGTCTCTTGAGGAAGAATTAGCTAAGTACAGGTGAAGAAGAAGGCAGTAATTATGCATCATGTCAAAAATTGTAAATATCTAATAATGTACATATACAAGCTCAACAAAAGTATATAAAGTCTAGAGAATTTGCTGCCAGTATAGAGAGAGTCGTTTGTGTGGGATAATAATAGGCTGAATGGATGTATTAGGAAAGAAAGCCGATCGATCAAGGTTTCCCTTGATCCAATAAAGTGAAGGTTTGGAATTTGTCGTCATATGGAGTGATTTGTTGGGGAAATAAGGTTTCCACTTGTCTACTAATCGAAGCTAGTATAACAGAGCACAAGGAAAAGAGGAAATAACTAAAAGCTGTGTTGGTTGTATTAAATTTACACGAGTGATACCCGCTAATGACATTACATAAGGTAGCCATTCTTTTGCAAGTTAATACGTATAACAACCATCAAAGAAACCTGTGTCTGGACTTGTTTCTGTCCACTAACCATGTGCGATAGCATGATTACACATGTGCCTGAAGAGAATGGGTCAGCACAACGTGTGTAACGTTGCGCCTACATATTATGATGGTTTATTGTGCTTGGTGCGCGCGCGGTTACCGGAAGCTAATTACAATATATCATACATACTATATACTACGAATCAAGCCAAATGTTTAACATGACAGATTCACTGACAACAAACAATCATGCAGATGTTGTGACACTTGTCCACACGGACAACATGCTGAAATAGTTGCACACCCAAGTGATTGCCTTGATGTTTGAAACAAACATGCATGCATCCTCTAAACATCTGAAAAAAGCGTGCCATTTACACGCCAATTTGAAAAGAAGCAAAAAGTGTAGGTGGTACACCCGAAGTACAAGAGCGAATGTACAACGATTTGAGCAACAGCAACAACAACAGTAAACGGGCATCATGAATGACAAGAGCTGCACTATACGTATCGGTCTTACAAATTAACGAGCACATACTCTTTTTTTACCCACTGTCTAGTTTTTTGTTAATCACCTTCTTTTCCCCTGTCCCTCTTTTTTTAGCCGAATGCCTCCGTCATTATAATGGATATTGTCAGCACCACCTTTGATCGCTATTGCTATAGCAACGGCGAATGCCACTGCGACTGGCGTCTCACCATCTACGGCTGCAAAGAAGAACGGGCTGCATTTATTATCAACATCATCAATATTGCATTATCAGTACTCGTCATTTTCATCGGTAAATCGCATGCACAAACAAACAAAAAGGCTCTATGAAACCGTACAGATTGCCAACATGTGCGCAAGTGCTCACTTTTTCCTTTTTAAACAACATCTCTTTGTTCATGTACATGCCATACATAAACTCTCATTGTAAACATAGGCGCAGTTTTGTTATATCATCGAATAATTGTCAAAGGACAGCGGTTCTTCGATAAGGCGGGTGTGCGGGGGTGTCTGCGTCCCAAGCCTATTGAAGTGATGTTGCTGTTTCTTACCATATACAATATACGTAAGTTACACGGAAGCATGGCCTCTACCCTGCTCTTTCTCTTTTCTTTTTTGCGTGACATGACACCAGGCCGATTGATTCATTCTATTTTCAAAAGTCCGATTGGTGAGCTCTGCCATTCTCGTGTCCGATGCTGCCGCTGGCAACCTGATGGCTCGACAGTGTATGTGAATTCTGTAAATGCTACGAGCACAAGTCCCCCTTGTCATCTTTGGTTTTTTGACACTCTAGAATATACTTTGGTATTTTTATCTAGGGTTCTTTGAGTTTGCTTGGCCTTTTGGATTTGGCGCTTTTGCCCTGTATTTGATTGGCATTGCACAGACGTTGGCCGACGTAAGTAAAGCGAGGACTGCTACTAATTGTTCCCTACCCCACAAAAAATATTACAGGCATATGCTCATAACCTTTTTGGTGTTATATCAATGTAGAGTCACAAGGCAATCTCGACGGGCTGGCTTCCGTCCCCATTGATTGTAGATATTGTTGGCTCGAGCATCTTCTTAGCACCTATTATAATTAATGAACCTACTTCTGTAATCACGGGCTATCTGTCGACCTATAATGTTCGTGCAGCAGATATTCTTGTGCGAGTACATTACAGTGTTTGGGCCGTCCATTGCGTTGCTCTGACAACAACAGTCATGTACTCAGGCATGCGACTTGTCCGGATCCTTAATACACATCTTGAAAAAATCAATCCTGGCGGCCCTCGTTATGATGGCATTAAAACTGGTATTGTCAAGGTTCGTTGGAAGCATGATGCTATAGATAGAAATATACGTTCAAGTAGCCACAACGCATTCACAACCTTGCTATCTACAGATACGTGCGGTTATGCTGTGTATCGCGATCTGTCTCAGCACGTTTGCAGCTATGATGGTGTTGTACAGTATCTTACGTGACAAGATTATGACAAGCACTGTAGGCAACATGGCATTATCCGGTGTTTGGATGCTGCTTGGTCCTGTTACTACGTTTTTTGTCGAATGTGCGGTGGCTTTTACGTATGTTTTTTTTTGCTCAAATGCTTTGTTTATACTTGACAGAGTACTTATCAATTGTGTAATCTTTTCCTAACAGTCCCAAAAGCGCAAACATATTCAAATTCGGAAGCAAATCAACGTCTTCCAACGAAAAATCGGCCAATATTTATGAAACAGAGTACACTTCGACTTTTGCAAATAATGAGGTCGGTACATTAAGTCGTAACGCTTTTGATGATTTGAAGCAACAGCAATTGCAACATCAACAACAACAAAAGCAGAATATCTATGACACACACAAAAGTACAGCAGCAGTTAAGATATTAAACGGTGGCGACGAGATCGACCTTGGACGCTCATATTCCACGGGTAACACTAGAAGCAACAACATCGCTGAAGTCTCGCTTGTGGCACTAGCACAAGAGCATCACAAGCAAACGAAACAGCAGCAGTATACAAAACAGCAACAGATCCATAGCATCCAACACAGCGGGAGCACAAGTGCCCAAACCAGTGTAACGGATGAAGATATCGTTCGTAGTCATGGATATTCTTCTAATATTAGTTTAATTGCTAACGGCCATCCCTAATAACTACCGATTCCACCATCTTGATAACAAAGGTTGCTGCAATCAATAGCACATCACACGGGTATCACCTCTATATTATCATCATCGTCTTATTCATCATCTTTAGAAATCTCGCCTATCTTTCTTTATTTTTTACCCCACTTTACAACGCACACACACGCACACATAGTTATACACACACACACACACACATACATACACACATACACAGCAACGGAAATAGTCTCAACCTATTATTAGGAAGTGAATCTGCATGCATCACCTTTTTGTTTATTTATCTTGTTCTTTGATTCAATCAATTAAATTTATGTCACTCGAAGACATGGTCGCCTTTTCATGACAGCCATTTACTCCACAGCAATCGGATTTTTTATTTAACCGGCCAGCGGATATACCCTGCAGACAACAAGCCTCCAAGTCACGCATTTTTTCGGTCCAATTTGGTGCGAGCGAAAACATACTCCACTTTCTTATAACAAAAAGCAATGTCTCAGCAAGCGAAGGAAGCCGCCAAGCGATTGAGTGGAATGTTCCCCAAGGGATCCGGTAAGGGCGTTGGCTCTGCTGCCGGTGCTCTTGTCGTTCTCGGTGCTTTGGGCTATGGTGTCAATGCCTCGCTCTTCAACGGTAATTGGTTTTGCCTTTTATTTAATTTCCACATTCTAATTTTCCAATTAATCGGGGAAACTGACAACAACAACAACCACAACAATATTGATAAATTGTACAGTTGACGGTGGTCACAGAGCTATCAAATACACTCGTCTTTTTGGTGTCCAAAACACCGTCTACAACGAAGGTACTCACTTTGTCATTCCCTGGTTCGAATCACCTATTGTCTACGACGTCCGTGCTAAGCCCCGCAATGTCGCTTCGCTTACTGGTACCAAGGGTAAGTAATATGGGAGTTCCAAGTGGAAACAGGAGAATGAAAGGGCCAGGAGAAGAAGCAAGTGTACTTATTGGGTTATTGTGTGGCGAATAGATTTGCAAATGGTCAACATTACTTGCCGTGTCTTGTCCAAGCCTCGCGTCGACCAGCTGGCTACTGTGTACCGCACGCTCGGCCAAGATTACGACGAACGTATTCTTCCCTCGATTGTCAACGAAGTGCTCAAGTCGGTTGTAGCTCAATTCACTGCCTCGCAGCTTATTACCCAGCGTGAACGTGTCTCGCGTCTTGTGCGTGAAAACTTGGTTCGCCGCGCTCTTCGCTTCAACATCATTCTTGACGACGTTTCGATCACCCATGTCGGTTTCTCGCCTGTCTTTGAGTCTGCCGTCGAAGCCAAGCAGATTGCCCAGCAGGAAGCTCAGCGTGCTGCTTTCGTTGTTGACAAGGCTCGCCAGGAGAAGCAATCCATCATTGTCCGCGCTCAGGGTGAAGCCAAGTCTGCTGAACTCATTGGTGAGGCTATCAAGAACAAGCCTGGTTTCTTGGAACTCAAGCGTATCGAGGCTGCTCGTGAAATTGCCACCATCATCTCGCGATCGGGCAACAGAGTCATGTTGGATTCTGACACCTTGTTGCTCAATGTCAACTCTTCTGTCAATACCAAGGATGGCAAGAGCAAATAAATTTTTCATCTAAGGAAAAGTTAATGATATACAGCTATAGTTGATATATAGTTTATTGGGGAGAATCATTTAAAGTTTGTTTATAGTCTCATTGGTAAAAAAAAAGTATCCCGTCTTTACACAAATTACACCATTAAAAAACTTTTTCATTTGTAAAATCCTAATTACTGCAACACTGGTTCATGTGTGATTGCTGTTGCTATAAATGTGTCCTGTGCTAAATACATCTTCTCAAAGCTAGTTGTGTTAAAAATAACGACCACAAGTACCTATAGCCATTCAATCCATCTATGGCGGTATTGAAGAATTGTTGGTCAATGTATGACTAACCTCAAGCAAATTGGCAGCTACACGATGACTATCATTTACTGAAGAATCTAATAAATATCCTTTGCTACTACGAAAACATCTCTGTATCAAAGGAAAAGTATCTCTCTAGTCATTTGAGTAAGACGCACCGTTCTTCAATCATGAACAGTTACCAATGGAAAACGTCCGTGCTTCGTTAAGTGTACTCAATCGACGATAAAGTCAAACAGCTTAGTTTGCTTCCTTAACGACACAAGGAAGGACAAAGAACCCGTGTTTCTATACCGCTGCTGCAACGTAAGCGTTCTCCTCACTATATATTCACATTATACCCAAATTATCTAAATATCAATGCAACGAAATATAATCGTTCGAGAAACCATAAGCGAAGTTTAAGGCATTAGTCAGGATTTACCTAGCTATATTAATCGCAATGATATAGTCTTGGATTATCAAGATACGCTGTGCTTAGCAAGTACTATGTTGAGTTTCTATTGAGAACTAGAGTGTTTTTTGAACTAGAGTGTTTATTCAAACTATATAAAAATCACAGTATATATTACATTTTTTAAAAGGTGCATAATGCTATAATACAATCTGGCTATGGCCGGACAAAAGGAAAATAAAAATTACTCCTCGTTCTTGACCATCATCGACATGACTTCATAAATCAGGTCTGCAGCCAAGAAGGAAGTGAGTTGCGAAGGACCATCATAAACAGGAGCAACTTCCACAACGTCCATGCCAACGAAGTTGTAGCCTTGCAAACCACGGAGAATATAACGCATTTCACGGGACAAGAAACCACCGCTCTCGGGAGTACCAGTAGCAGGGGCCATGCTTGGGTCAATCACATCGATATCAATGGACAAGTAAACCAAAGAGTCTTCCTTGGGGCCGAGAATCTCATGCATACGCTCAACAATACCATCAACACCAAGCTTGAAGATATCGTTGGCCTTGATGATGCTGAAACCAAGAGCTTGATCACGGGCAAGATCTTGGTCGTCGTACAAAGTCGAACGGATACCAACGTGCATGGAGGTTCCATTGGCGGTCAGACCTTCCTTGGCGGCGTGGTACAAGGGGTTACCGTGGTTGTACTTGGATTGCTTAGACTTGACGTTGTAGATCTCTGGGGGCCTGTAATAATAAACCTTCCGAATTAGCAAACTGGAGGGAAACTTTCTCTTTATATAGCGCAAAGACTACATCCTTGGGAAACATACCACGTATCCACGTGCGAGTCAAAGTGGATAACTTGCACAGGCTTGTTGTAAGCAGCATTCATTGCGCGGAGAACAGGCAAAAGGATGGTGTGATCACCACCCAAGGTAACCAAACGAGGAGGCTTTGCTTCGGTCTCGCCAACCTGAGGAGGACGAAGCAAAAGGTACTTGGCGTGATCCTCGATTTGCTGAATAGCATGCTCAGCGCTGAAAGGCTCAAAAGGAACATCACCACAGTCAACCATCTTTGCCCATGACTTGAAGGGGTTGATACCAACTTCCATGTTGTAACCCTACAGTTTACAATGAGCACCATACCAAAGCCATTGTCAGTTTCCATCATGCTCCAATATATATTCCTTCCTTCAACAATCAGTAGAGCCACCCTACCTTAATGCGCTTGGAGCTTTCACGGATGGCCGAAGGACCAAAGCGTGCGCCAGTTCTGAAGGTTACACCGATATCATAAGGTGTGCCTGTAAACCAAAGATAGTTTTAATGCATTATTAGCTTTTCACACGGTACAACCAAAGGCAGAAATGATATTCTTCTAAAACACATACCGATAACAGCAATATCGTAGTCCTCAGGAACACCTTCGTCCCAGCACTGCACATAGGGCAAATGGGCAAATGTCGAGATTCCTGCAAAGGAAGGAACGTAACCATCCTTTTCGAGAACAGGGCGTTCGAAAAGGTTGGTAATTTCAGAGGGACCAGAGACTACGGGGATTTGACCATATACTTCTTCGTGGTCACCATGAGCTGCAGCAAAGGACGACGACGAGGACAAAACGCCAATCAAGGCGAGACTGCTCAGAATAGCCGTACGCATGTTCTTCGTATGTAAAGAGTGAACAAAAAGAAGAAAGAGGGAATGCACTTTTGTTTTCTTTTTATCTTTTTTAATTATCTCGCTTTTGACTTTTCCAGCACCTTCAGCTTCCCCCGCACTCACAAACTCAACCTCTCACAATCAAATAGGAAAAGACTCTGTTCCAATAATTGGACACCAGGGACTGGAGATTTGTCATCGACGTACTCCGCAACTCCTACAGTCGAACTGTTCCGTTTTTCTATAACAGCGTCAAATAATGATTGGTTTTTATTATACAGAATGGAGATTAGGGATTATTGCTGCTGTAAAACATAGCATCGAACAAACAAATACTACTGGTTTCTGCTTATTCACACAGTTTCTTGCTGCTACTGATTGCCGCTTCCTCCTCCTCCTCCTCCTCCGCCGCCGCCACCACCTCCGCTACCTCGTCCTTGGGGACAACGGTTGGCATAGTGGCCTTGCTGACCGCATTTAAAACATGTGACATCCTCTAACCGTCTAAAGAATCCGCTCTGAGGTCGGTTAACATGCGAACGCTGTGGAGCATCATCTGAATCTTGCTGTTGCTGGCGGTGGTGATGGTGGTTGTTGTGGTGATGGTGCTGTTGTTGCTGTTGTTGTTGCTGTTGCTGGCGGTCGTCTGGCCCTGCAGCGTTACTGTTGCCTCCGTCGTTCGGATACATGGTCGGCAATTCGTATTTCGGATGTCCGTTAGGACAGTTCAATCCATCGGGACAGAAGCCCGTCAAGTAGTTCTGACACACCATTTTACGAACATGTTTATGCCGACAATTGGGTCCTACCCATTTGATAACATGTGTTACTACGCAACATAAACCCTGTTTTTTCTTGGAAAAAAGAGACTTACCATGTTTACAGAAACCTCGAGCATACCACGGACACTCCTTCTGTTTGCTTTCTGGATCGATGTGTAGATACATACATTCGTCACCGTTACAGCACTCGCCATATTTCGAGTAGAACCAACATTCCGGCATCTTTTTCATGTTGAATACGTGAAGGAATTCGCAGCTATCGCCCTTTTTGCAGAGGCCTCGGAGCCAATGTTTGCATACTACCGACTTGTCTCGATCGCCAGTGCGTGAATGCTTGAATTGACAGTGTGATCCCTTGGTGCACGCTCCCTTTAAAAAATATTTACACACTTGTTCATCTTTTTTTTATCACAGTTATTGTTTGATTGTAAACGTGAACGAAATGGATCGATTAATCAACAAGAGGAACAAAACTTGGAAAAAAAACTTGTGCACTGACTCTTAAAGGAGAAAACCAACCTTCTCGTTTATTTTGATTATTAAGATCTAATCCTAGTTCGTTTTTTATATAATCTTCAAAGTCAAATGTTAAGCCTTTGTGATCCAAAGAAAAGATTGGCGGTGCGAGCATTTTGTAAAGCACAAAGGTGTGTGCGTTTACCGAACAACAACACAGAACTTACATTTATGGGAAAAGCAATTGAAGTTCCGCGCCCAATTTCTGCTTGCCACGAACATACTGGTGCTTATGCTTCTGCTACGTCTTTGGTTACCAGCATTCGAACAATGGTCGTAGCACGTCGAAAATGGCTCTGCTTGTCAAGTAAGTGAAAGCAAACGTTTCTATAAAGAAAGCTTGAGAAACGACTAAAGATTGGTTATGCAATATTACTGTGTTTGGCTTACGTGCTCAATAGCTATAGCCGCACTACTCCTTGCTCGTAGCAGTTTAGCCAACGACTTGTCTGAGTCGACAAGTAGCAGCAGTAGTACACCAGACGATCAGCATGTACGATCTGACAAACCATCAGAAATAAATTTAAAAGTCTAATCTCGATAATCGTTTTGCCCATAACCTTATGTAGGTTTTACAAGCCCAAGTTGAACACCATGACTCTAGTTCAACTGTTAACCCTGAAGAGCAAGGTACAAGAAGAAGAAATAGAGGATAGAGAGAGAGAGAGAGTGTGTGTGTGTGTGGTAAATTAATGTGATATCCAAGGAGGGCAAAGGTTGGATATGAACATGTAACGTCCATTATCTTTTATGCTAGGTCAACTGTTGTATCGAGTCGCTTTACAATACCTAAACGCCATCGAAAACAGCGCGTCAACGTCCACCAAAGCGGATCACCAACTTGCGATTACCAACGGTATATTCGACTCGGTTTTAACAGCAGTTAGGACAGTAGTATCAGGAGTTTGGTCAGGCAGCAGTAGTGACGATGACAACGACGTAAAAAGCAACAATAACCATAACCATGAAAAGACCACCACGACGACAAATGCGCCTCCATCTGTACAAAACGACGATCGGCTACGTATTGCAACAACAATGTTGGAAAAAGCCGGCATGACCTATGGCAACGACGACGCGCTATTCTTGCTTGCAGATATTAATTTCGCAAGTATCTCATTGGTTTAGCAACAATTTTCATCGTGGGTACTCTATAAGGAGTGGGATACTAATGACTGACCTGTACTTTCCTCTATGAATCGTACAGTATGCGAAATATACACACCCGCGCAATTACACGGCCGCGTTCGATTATTATTTCGAGCTTGCTGCGGTTGGTAACGCAACAGCACAACAAATGGTTGGATTCATGTACGCGACCGGTATTGGAAATGTTGTCGGACGAGATCAAGCCCAAGCATTATTATACCATACGTTTGCTGCTCACGGTGGCGACACCACTGCAGAAATGACTCTGGGCTATAGACATCTCTTGGGTATCGGGACGGAGCAAAAATGTGAAGATGCCATCTATTACTACCAACGAGTAGCAGAGAAAGGTAATTATTGTGTTATTGGCTATACTACGATACAATGTAAATTTGTTATTCACTGGTAGTATATACAACTGGACATAATATCATCATGCTGTGACAGCAATCAACCATTATCTTTCCGGTCCGCCTGGGGGCTATGCACCGCCATTGCCGAAGATCCGCCTTTCAGATGAAGTCGGTGGTGTTTATGGATATGGCGCAAGTGTGATGACAGATAAACGATATCGGCCAAACAGTGCAACATCCGAGCGGACAGTCAGTATTGAAGAGGTGTTACAATACTGGAGATATTTAGCACAAACCAAAGGCGACTTTGAAGCACAGGTTAGGGCGCCTACAGAACCAAGGGCTTTCTGTTATGTATAAATCTTTTTTCGACCATATACTCATCCTAGTATTATTGCTTATGATAGCTTATGCTTGGTCAAATATATTATCAAGGCACTCGTAGTATACCGCAAGATTTCCAAGAAGCACATTACTTCTTTGAACAAGTGGTTGACAAGCTTCCGACAGGAAAAATTACAGAAGCATTCCTGAACAGCAAACGTGGACGAGCAATAGGTCAAGCTGCTGGATATCTGGGCAAAATGTACAGAAGAGGAGAAGGTGTGGATGTGGATCCAGAAACGGCGTATCAATGGTTCTATTTAGGCTCAGAGCTAAATGACTCGATCTCACAAAATGGATTGGGCATGATGCATCTAGAAGGTGTGGTAGTACCCCAGGTAAAATTAGCCAAGTGATCAATTAATAAGAGGAGGCAGGAGGGAGCTGAAGAGTAGCTGTACAGAGAGAGTGGAAAAAATTACTTACACCAGTATACTTGTAGAGTCGCGATAAAGCAATTGACTATTTCAAACGTGCAGTCAAGCAGGACAATCCTGATGCTCAAGTAAACCTCGCTATTGAATATGTGAATCAAGATAACACGATCCCCAATGCTATACGACTATTTACGCTGGCAGCAGAAGCCAAACATCCTTTAGCGCAGTGGTACCTGGCGCAGCTTCATCAAGCTGGCATCGGACTAAATCCTTCGTGTCAAGTAGCGGTTTCGGTAAGTTTTGGGAGAAGGCAACGATGGAAATGCAATATATGATTGAATGCTGATAAAATGTTTAGTTTTATAAATCCATTGCTGAGCGATGTGATTGGCATAACCCAACTGTTGAGACAGCTTATGATGATTATATGAAAGGCGATATGGAAGGAGCATTACTCCATTATATGCTTGCAGCTGAACGTGGTTATGAAATTGCTCAATCCAATGTTGCCTACATACTTGATACAGGTATAATCAAGTTTTTGTCTGCAAGTTAACGCTGCCCTTTTCTTATATAGCTAACTCGCAATTTCTTTTCGATAAAACCAATCAACGACATATAGATACCCAGCTTTTGAACATAAAAAACACGTTTGGCTTAATCGAATCACCGCCACGGGATGAGGATTCTGAAGAATACGCACTTATCTATTGGTCTCGTTCAGCAAACCAAAACAACGTGGATTCCCGGGTGAAAATGGGCGACTACTATTTCCGCGGTATCGGCACACAAATCGATTATGAAAAGGCAGCAGCATGCTATCGGATAGCGGCAGAGATTGAGCTTTCGCCAATGGCCATGTGGAACTTGGGCTGGATGTATGAGAACGGACTTGGAGTGTTGAAAGATTTCCATTTAGCCAAGCGATCGTATGATAATGCCTTATCCATGAATCCTGATGCATACCTGCCTGTAAAACTTTCATTGGCCAAACTGTACCTGCGATACTATTGGGGATGGATTACACGGACAGAGATTGGCCAGGATCTGACACACGAAAACAAAGCATCGTCAGGGCCTGATGGTGCTGGAAGCGGGGATAGCGTTGAGGGCGATGGCAGCAACGCTGCGGGAAGAGCAAAGGATCATGCAGATACTGCTGCAGCTGCAGTTGCCGCAAAGGCAGCACAGGATGCAGCCCGTCGCCGTCAAGAAATTGAGGCGTATGAATACGAACGAGCACATTGGGAAATCAGTTCAGAAGAAGAATTGCGACGGAAATATAGCAAACATCTCAAGCGACTGGAGCGAGAAGAAAGCGATGATTTCATGGACCCGAGCTTTGGTCGTAGCGATTACTCGGACGACGACGATGACGATGATGACGGGTATTCCGAAGAAGACGAACTGATTGAGAGCTTAATGATTCTGGGTCTCTGTCTCTTGGTCGGTTGGCTAGTCTATATGCGCCAGTTCCGATTTGGTAACAACAATAACAATAACATAAATAACAACAACGTTGTGAATAATAATAATGCAGACAATTCTGCAGCTGCTGCTCAAAGACACTCCCGGTCTCCGACGGCGCCTAATCATCATGATCCATCACAATCACAAGGTATCCCAAACAATCAGTAGTGTGTTCCCCACCTCCCACTTTTCTCCCTATTTCTATCATCATTGCCGGTCATTGTAATTTTCTTTTCTCTATAAACCACCTCATCTTTACTCCTCCTACTTTTTTCCTTATATTGGATTACCTACTGCAAGAAATATATAAAAACATCACAGCCCAATTCTTACTACATAACTGCAGTGCACTGACGTGCTTATCAACAAGGCTAGTTTTTTTACCCTAGTACGCGTTCTTCTGGGATGTAAGTGACCTTTTTTAGCGGCTACTTGTGATCCTTACAAATATTTATAAGTTAGTTCGTGAGTGTAGCAACTGTCATGGAGTGATACAATTTCAACGACAACATCTCTCATTCGGTACTAGCTGTATTTATGGAACATCGCCTACGGTGTAGATCCATCCATAGCATGCTTCAAATGTCGTATTATTCTGTTCTTACCTAGGATGCTGGCCGTGTTCCCAATACATTTGATTCTGCAATCATCCGTCATAGAACTTTAGACTTAACAATGACTAATCGATCATCTAGCTTTCAGTAGCAACACAACACGAACTACTGTATAATGATTACGATACTTTAAAGAGATATCAAAAACAGGGTAGATGTCAGGTTAGCAATATGAGCCAAAAATGGGTCGATAAACTCGCTTTATTTTTTGTGATGGAAAGACTTTAGACAGTTTGGATAGATTGGGAGGGCAAACAAGATGGATCGAAGGAAACAGAAGTATATGAACAAAAAGTAAGGAGACAGTCAATCGCTTTAAGCGGCCGTATTCATAGGTTCGTCTGCCACAACCATATTGGTCAGGTTACCTCGCGATGCTTGCTCCTTTTCCAGTGCTTCAAACAAGCTCTTAAAGTTACCGGCACCAAAGCCATCAAAATTCCGGCGCTGAATGACCTCAAAGAATAAGGTGGGACGGTCCTCTACCGGTCGGGTAAAGATTTGCATAAGGTAGCCATTTTCATCATAATCAATCAAAATATTCTGTTTTTGCAGAGCATCCAAGTCCTCATCGATGGGTTGGTTAGCCGTCTTGTTGTGCTTGGCTATGGCTGTACGTAATGCTGTATAGTAAGTATCCGGCACACGCAAGAACCCACATCCACGTTTGCGCAAATTGCTGACAGCAGAAATGATATCATTGGTATGGATAGCGATATGCTGCACGCCTGCTCCACCGTAAAAATCGACAAATTCTTGAATGGATGATTTCTTTTTGCCTGATGCTGGCTCGTTGATCGGAACCATGATCTTTTGCGATGGATCCGTCATGACAATAGATCGCATCGCACTATATTCCGTACAAATATCCTTGTCATCAACAGACCAAAAGCGATGGAAACCAAGAACTTTTTCGTAATAATCAGTGGCATCGAGCATCATGTTTTCAGGCTGACTGCCAACCACGTGATCAATGTAGCCTAACGGCACTGGTGGTCTATCAAACATTACGAACATCATCCAGTTAAAAAACAGTGGTCAAGATAAATCAGAGTATTTGAGCTATTTTAGACCAAATTGAAAAGATTAAAGGCTTACAATATATCATCGAGGGGATCAACATAGCGTAAGGAGGTTGCAGGATCTTGATATCCTGGCAGGAAAACCCCTCTATATTTGTGGCGCTCAACAAGCGTGTGATACACATCACCATACTATAGTGTTTTCCATTGCACCATTATCATTATTAGCACGCTTTTTTAGAGATATTTCCCTTCTGAAAACTGCTTACCGTAGCAATAGTGGAGATGACAACTCGTCCATTTTCATCTTCCAGTACTTCAGGTGCCCGAATTGATTTAGCGCCACGAGCAATTGCTTGCTAAGTTTTACCGCCTCAACTATTAGATACAACCAACATCCAACCCACACGTCAAAGAATCCAACCACGATCACCCTAATTTCTCTCTCCTTCAGCAAACACCCTTTTCTCTCCAAAGGAAATCCGCATTATGTATATACTTCGTAGACTTTACGGCAATCATTGACAGTAAAAGCCACATCTTTCACTCCGTCACCGCGCTTGATAATGTCTTGAACGTATTCTGGTGTCGCGCCCGGCTGAAGGGGACATTCAAAAACAAGTGTAGCGTTGCCACAGCGTACCACATGTGCTGCCATATCACGACTACCTGTTTCAAGACCACAGTAGGCAACATGCTTGAAACCAAAGCGAGTACAATAATACGATGCCGCTTGCTTTGCATTCGTTACAGTAAATCGTAAATGATCGTAGCCTGAAAAGCGACTAGGTTGCGAGGCTCCATTGGCTTGAGGATATTCGACAGTCTATATGACATAAAAGATCAACATTTCCTCATCATATTTTTTTGAACGTGCAAAGTTCAAAACCTATTACCATATTATACCAATAACCCTTAATTTAAGACTTTCTTACCATCGCAGATCACTACCAAAAAATGTGAATGGAAATGTATGTGAGGTTGAGAGGTAGAAAAAAGAAGAAGGAAAAACAAAGGAAAGAAGGTTGCTTCACATTAGAAGCATCATGCCATCAACGCTTTCTATCACTAAATATTGCAAGGTGCAATCTTGTGGATCCGGTACCTTGCCGCTAAAATTCTAGCTGCTAAATAACGAAAATTCGTACTAGATGTAATGCATATGCATTGGATAAGAAAAGACTAACCTCTATATGGTAGTGCATCCCTGTTTCTGCAGTACTACCTAAATCTTGTATATCAGTGGATATACACAACAACAACAATACAGTCGTGTGTGTTACGCCAATAGCTACAAGATACTGACACCATATGATGCCTAAATACAGCTTTACGTTTCTGGAAGATAAATGGCTAAGTTATGCATATATAGAACGAGGTTTAACTTTTGCCTAATGTTTAAGCAAAGTGGTTCAAGCAGTGAATGTAAAGGAATAGCGGTTGTCTTATTTTTCGTACATAACAGCTTTACTGCATTTTAAACTTTACTCCAACCAATTCTGCATTGCATATGCATAAGGGGCAGAGTAAGAGAATTAGTGACACAGTAATCGGCCAATCGTTTACTTTTCTCACTGCATCGACAGGCGACAGCTTAGCATAACAAATGACATACGTAGTAGCTGTTTACATTATACATGCAATTACTGCGACCAATAACGCCAGGGCACTAAGCCTTCCATTGAAGGTTTGAAAAATAAAATATATTTTTAGGCTACGTGCATTTACTAAATGGATATGTCACTTACGACAATGCAGAATATGTAATAAAACATTCGTTTTATCAATACAACACAGTGTAAGTACTCTAGTTACTTACATGGTTGTATCACATGCGTGTTGGCCAAACGACAGATATTAATCATAGCAATATAGCTGCAATCACTTCTACGGACCATTCTATGACCAACTGTTTCATGTAAGTGGGCAGATAAGCAGCCACAATATCATTTGTTACGGGAAGTAGTCAACCTTCTTAGAGCTCAGCTAAACTCTACATGTTGATACGTATCATTAATAAGAACAAAGTGTAAAGTGGGAAAACCTCTAACGGACACGAAAGCAGGGTACATGCTATGCCATTTGATATTATTTTATACTCAGGTACGGCGGTAACTTAGCATGTATCACTAAAACTGTTAGAGCTACCAAACACATGGAATTAAATCAGAGAATAATTTCAGTGAGATATATAGTTATTATAAAGCTCTATTATGGTTGTTTTCAGTTTCATTTTTCGAGCTCTTTGGACATTCTGTGGTATATCTGAAGTTTTGAACATTGACCAATACATGCAGCCTGATATATCATCTCTGCTGTTACATACTGTACAACTCTCATATGTGCAAGAAGCGAAGAGAGAAGATGTCGATCGGTGGGAAAGAATCAGAACGCATAATACGTTCCAATGTGGTATTAAATTTAAAGTTTATACGTACTCATACGCCACATGCAAGAAAATCAAATCAATAAGGGCACAAAACACTTCCTAATTACAGTATATAGGTGCTATGATGCTTGTTAAAACATGACAGTTCCTGTTGTTTGTCAAGAACATATACATATTACATTGAACGCCTGTAATTGTAGTTTTCCATTTTTCAAACTGGAAATGATATATGCTATATCTGCGGCCACCTTTTCGTATTGCTTGAGGACATCGAGCCCTCTGATGGAGCATTTACAACTTGCCAACAAGCTCTTACATTCTATGTACTATTTACGAGTGGAATGGTACACTCCAACTTTTTTTTGTTAATAATAGTGCTGAAATGACATTATGCTCGTAGGAACCCCTGTGGCTGTGGAATAGAAGTAAGCCATTAGGTTTGGTGATAGGTCTTGCAAATTAAATATGACACTGTAATAGGATACGTACCGTATTTGATACATTCGGATTTACTACAACGTGTAAATCGTGCATGATACATCATAGCGCAGAGTTTGCTATCGTTCCCAATCATTTAGATCCAATGGTAGTGATTGGTAGCAGTCAATTTCATAAAAGATAAAGCTACAGAAATGGCAGCATGGACATTGAAGCATGTCGAGATACTTGATTTTTTTAACTTTATAAAGCCTTAATGTATAATGCTGTAATTTATAACAGCTTATTATTATTTTTTCAGTCACAATTTACTGGTGGTGCTTATCATGTGAGTATCTCCTTGATCTCCCAATGCTGAACATCTTTTTAGCCTCATTAACATGACCATGCTCGCAGAGCAGCATGACGACACCTCAACTTGCAGAGCGCAAGGGATCATTCATCCCTATATGGGATATTGAAGTGTGGTCGTCCACAAAAAGAGTCCCTTACTATGTTAGAAATAGGATGGTGTTAAAAGCTTGTGTTGTCCAGCTGCGGGTACTTATACTACACCATTTTGATATGGACCGCTCCAACAATCATGAGCGTTATCACCGCTATACTGGACATATACCACCTCGCTAAGGATTTGGCTTAGCGTCTCAAGAACATCGTGGACATAGTCTTCATCTTCCCGTTACCAGATATTTTCATCGTTGGCACAGGTATAGCTAGCAAGCAGAGCACCTTGACCAGTACTATTAAGGTCGTAACTTGGGTAGCAAACGTCTCCAAGTGTAGTGTCTGTGTGGTCACACCGCCAAAAATCGGCTTGTTGTCTTATCCTAAAATCTGGTATATATTTCAAGCTCAATCCAAGCTTGCAAAAGTCTTAATACTTTAGTTTGTTGTTTGCTTGGCGTAGTGTGGAGGGTAGTTCTCGAAAGAAAGAGTTAAAGATTGTTAAATCAGCGAAAGTAATATGAAGTCATTATCTGTAGAGCCTGAAAAGTTGATGTGAGGAAAGAAAATGTTCTATGACGACTAGAGCTAGTAATAGAAGCAATATATGGTACCTTTAGGAGGACCCAGTTGTTGCGAATGACACTAAAAGGCACAGAAACAATCACGCTACATATCAAACGCCTTCTTGGGATACGATCGGTTAGATATCAGCTTTTTCCACTGCACACTAAAAGTGTCATCGTCCTATTCAAAATCGACTCGTCCAGAATATAATCTTGTTGATCACAGCTACCGAATGATACGGTGATGGAGCCAGAACTAGCCGTAGACGTGCTGCTGCTATCGTCGCCATGATCGCTGTTTCTGCTTGGTAGTAGTCGCAGCGATTCTGGTGGAATACATCATTTTTCTTTGTTTCAACCCATTCGAGGAATACATTTGTCAAAGAATCACTTTGTATTTGCGACTCTTCCATGTAGATACGGGATAATTCACGGCCAAGGACAAAGCCTCTTTATGAGAGTAGCAAAGTAGAATTAACAATAATCGATGTTTATAAAAGTAAGAATCATAAGAAAAAGGCGACAGAAAGTAATGATCGTTGATAGATGATGGAAGCCGTTAAGTATATATATATTGAGAGAAACAACTGCCCGTCATGCGATGCTATGTAATGCAGCTACTCATGAAGCTTCTCTTTTCACGTCTTTCGTTCTTGCTGCCAAGACACAGCAGTAGTTCGAAAAAGACGGCGGACAACAAGTAGGAGTCCACGAGATGCAACGCAGTATGCGTAAGTACTTCTACTATGATAAACCAGCAAACCGACATTTACCTGGGAGTCAGTACACTCTGTAATTTTTATACGTCTTTGCATATGTTGCAATGCCACTGTCTCAAAATTTCAGAAATTGTTTTGTATGAGAATGACATATGAATGCAATGTACAATAACAATACTATGCTGTTAGTGGAGGAGTAGACGAAAATGTATTATTGATAAAAACGATGGTACGATGGACACTGTACCCCAAGGGATATACTTGCTCGCCTCAGATCTAGAAATAGTGTGTGGAACTAAAAACAACCCTGGCTGGGCAGCAGGGGAAAAAGTTGAGGAGCTTTTATCAGGAGTAGTAAGAGAACAATGAACAATTCTCGTGACACAACAACAGCAGATGACCAGCTTAAACTAATTTCTTTTGCCGCCACAATAACCAAATAGAAGCTTCGCGTCTTTTTTTTTGTGCTTCTCACTCCTCCAAAGTATCAATTAACAACTCATGCCACCCGCCGATCAGAGCCATCCATTTGCGACATTTCCTGTGGCACCTGGTAAAGGTCTTCGACCCTACTACACACCTGGCCTGACCACCGACAATTACACGGCATTTGCGGGCCAAGTTGCCTCAGCAAACCCTTATTATGCTAACGAGCATGACGACCTTATCGATTCCCGGGCAGCTGCCCGTGAGCTCGTCAATTACACTGTACTCAAATACCTCACAACAGCCATGAGCTGCCCATTCGAAGTTTCGAAAACGCTTCTACAAGTTCAATATTTACCCCATGAAGATGCCGAGATTGTTGCTACGAGACAGTCGTCGTCGTCAGATGAACACGATCAAGAACAAGAATACAATGCCGAAGCAGAGGAGGTAGAAATTTGAACACACGCGCCCATATACATGGGAGATTCCACTCTATTTTTTTATTTTACACAGAATTGAAAGCAATATGTTTAAACTTATGCAAAAACGGTATATGTATATCGGAAAAGCAGCTTTCAGAAGAAGAAGGTGACGATGATGACGACTTTTATGGCACGGGTAACGCCAGCACTACCAACGCGACGACGCTGAACCACGACGACCCAGAATTCAAACAACACATGGACGTCGATGCAAACGGATACGTCATTCGTAAAAGCGTGTATGACGACGCGACGCGACCACCGTATCAACTTAAACCACTCGATGGGGGTGTGTGGCAAGGCATGGGTCGACTCATGAAGCAGCCGCATGAAGGCTGGCGCGCCTTATTCAAGGGCCAGTACACCAACTGGCTCTATGAAATTGCACACTTGTTCTTCCAACCTACGCTCGAGGGCACTTTAAACGATTTATTCGACTTGTATGACGATACCATTCCACTCGTACACCTTGACCGTGTCGGTCCCAACCTTGCTACACTCGTCGGCAGTAACCTAATTGTTGGCTTCCTATTGAGCCCGCTCGAGTTGATCCGTACGCGGTTAGTGGTGCAGTCTGCATCCCCTCTGCACCGCAAATACAAAGGACCACTGCACGCACTCAAGACCATTCTCGCCGAGGAAGGAGGTCTCCGCGGCCTGTATCTTTCACCGCACCATTTGTGGCCTACACTGTTGTATCATACCATCACGCCACTTGTTCAAAACACAACGCCGCTGATCATTGATCGGCTGTTCAGGATTTCTGCAAACGACTCTCCATTTCTATACAGTTTGGCCGAGCTAGGACTGAATACGTTGGAAATTGCCATCACATTGCCCCTGGATACCATTCGCAAGCGCATGCAGTGCCAGATCCGCTCCCGAGTTCCTGGGAAGAAGCGCTTTGCGCCTATCGTCGCACTTCGACCGGTGCCGTATACGGGCGTCGTAGACGCATGTTATCGAATTGTCAAGGAAGAGGGAGGACGAAGGAATAAGGGAAAAAAGCGTAGTATGATAACGGGCATGGGATTGCGTGGACTCTACCAGGGATTCAGTATGCAATGTACATCCAACGTTGTCCTGTTTGTGCTGCATGCTATCAATGGCGTTGAAGGTAAGGACAAGAACCCCTCTAAGAGAGTAATGAAGATGACTGATGAACGATATGCATAGATGACTACGAAGACTTTTAGGACGTAAAGCAATAAATATAATCTTTAATAATAAGAAGCATGGTGTATTCGGTAATGTCTACTGACTAATAAGGGAGAATTATACATTGCGAGAGATAGGAGATAATGAGGTGGAGGATTTGGGGAATAGAAAGTTACATATGAATATATAATACAAATGCCCGGCTTTTTTGTTCTGTTATAATCTGTACAAGTTATTTGCTTTCAAACACCAGAACGTTTTATGTTTTTACTCGCTAGAAAGCCGACCAGCTTTTTCGTCATGCTCGGCTTGTTCGGTTTGCTGTCGGCGGGCAAGCTTTCGTCGGTGGGAGATTCTCTTAAAGTACTTCCAGATCTCGGTGATGGCCATGTAGATGAAGCAAGAAGCAAAGACCATACCCCATTCCCAGGAAATACCCTTGTGCTTGAATACGACAGTGTCGAGAACGGGCACGTAAAGAGCAATGAACATGAGACACATACAGCCGACGGTAGACCACAAGAGGTAGTAGTTCTGGCGACGCTTGACCAATCCTTTCCACGTCCAGATGGGGTTCAACAAGTCACGGCAGGTGAAACCATGCAGCAACACCATGATCGTCAGTGCAGCAAATACAGCGCCACGGGCCCTGAACACGACCTCGCAGGTATCATTGTATTCACCGTTACAATCAGTGCCAAGCGACTCGTGGCCATTGCCCCAGCCATAGATGACGACGATAAAGTTGAGCAGACAGATGATACCAATGACACTACCGTAAAAGATAATGTCAAGAACGTTGGGCCAGGCAAAGAGACCTTCGCTGGTAGGACGCGGGGGCACAAGCATCTGGTCGGGATGGACAGGTTCCAAGCCCAAGCTCATGGCAGGAGGCGAAGAGGTCAAGATGTTGTTGAAAAGAATCTGCAATGGGGTCATCAAGAAGACGGATTCTCCATCTTTGATGAAACACAGACCGATGATAAGAGGAACAACTTCGGCGATGTTACCAGTAACCATGTGGACGACGAAGCGGGAAATGTTGGCAAATACACGACGGCCTTCTTCAATGGCCTTGACAATGGTAGCAAAGTTATCATCGACGAGCACAATATCGGCGGCCTGCTTGGCAACATCCGAGCCGTTTTGACCCATGGCAATACCAATATCTGCTTCCTTCAAACTAGGCGAATCGTTAACACCGTCACCCGTCATGCCAGCAATGCGCTTGCGTCGATGAAGAGCTTCAATCATCTTGACCTTGGTGTCGGGAGAGCAGCGAGCAATGACGAGAGGAAGTTGGGGCAACGCGTCGACTTGTTCCTCAGTCAGTTTGTCGAACTTGGTGGCAGTCATGACGAGTTCTTCTTGCGGCTTGCCGTCAAGACCATAGCGTTCGGGCAGAATGCTGACTTCGCGGGCAATGGCGGTAGCAGTAGCAGCGTGGTCACCAGTCAACATGTGGACAGTGATACCGGCAAGGTGGCACTGCTCGACAGCTTCCTTGGATTCGGCTCGTGGAGGATCGTAGATACCGACCAAACCCAAAAAGTTCATACCTTGCTCGATTTCCTCACGCTTAAAAGTTTCAGGGCCAACAGGACCTTCGGCCTTGACCTTGCGGATACCGAGCGACAGAACACGGAGACCGCCCTTGGCGAGCTCTTCGACTTGAGGCAAGACCAGTTCTTCGAGTTCACTGCCTTGCATCGACTTGATTTCGTCTTCTTCGCTGTACTGCACACCAGCACAGGTGCCCAAGACACGTTCAGTGGCACCCTTGATGAAGGCATAGTAGGAACCGTCGGGAGCTTGAGCGAGGATGCTCATGCGCTTGATCGATGAATCGAAAGGATACTCGGCAATCAACTTCCAGTTTTCGCCCTTCTCCGACTTGGTGAGGGAAGGCTTACCCATCTGGACTTTGTGTGCAAACACTTGCAGGGCAACCTAATCCGCATTGGGTTAACTTCTTGCGTTCTTTGTGTTCCCCGAGACCCAGAAAACGCAACTTACCTCAGTTGGATCACCCATGCCGTGATAGTCACCCGTCTCCTTGTCCTTGCGGAGTTCGCTCATGTTACACAACGCACCAGTCAACGCCAACTGGTGCAAGCCTGATGTGAAGCCATCCTTGGTCATCACCTTGTCGTCGCTTTCGCGGGTAAAGTCGCCTTCGATCGAGAAACCAAGGCCGCCAACCTTGAAGAAGCCTTCGTCAGGACGCCACAAACGGGTCAGCACCATCTTGGACTGAGTCAGGGTACCGGTCTTGTCAGAGCAGACGTTGGTCACAGAACCGAGCAATTCAAGAGCAGAGATCTTGCGGACGAGAGCATTCGCTTTGGCCATGCTGTGGACACCAAAAGCCTGAGTCAACGTAACCACGGCAACCAGGGCTTCGGGAATCGCAGAGATGGCAGTGGAAATGGCATAGAGGATTTGACCTTTTTCGATATTGAACTTGGCTACCGCGAATACAATGATGACGGAAATAATGGCAACCACGAGTAGAACGAGAGCCATACGATCCAGCGAGCGCTGCAGAGGAGTCTTGCGGCTGTCGTCGCTGTTCAACAGGCGAAGGGCGATCTTGCCAATTTCAGTTTGCATACCGGTGGCGGTGACAATGGCTTTACCACGGCCCTTGGTGAGGACAGTGCTGGAATACGTCATATTGACACGATCACCAAGCGGGATTTCAGAGCCTTCCAAGGTATCGATTCTAAAAGAAGATAGGGTGTTTTAGCTATCTCGGGTATTTTGTTTAACGAGGCTTCATACAAAAGAGAGACTTACACTTTGTTAACAGGAACAGATTCACCAGTGAGCAAAGCTTCATCAATGTCCATGTTGAACGATTCGATCACACGACAGTCGGCGCCAACAACATCGCCAGCCTTGAGGATGATGACATCGCCGGGAATCAACTCGCGTGTAGGTATAGTCTTGGATTGGCCATCGCGCACCACTTGACTGGTAGGCGAGGCCATCTGTCGAAGGGAATCCATAGTCTTTTCAGCCTTGTACTCTTGGGCGAAGCCGACACCGGCGTTCAAGAACATGATGGCGCAAATAACAGCACCTTCAACCCAATCTTCAAAGACAAACGAGACAACCTAAATGTGTTCCAGAGGTCAGTCAATCATGTTTGTTTGTCTGTTTGTATGCTGTCAGACTGCCCAAACTACGGGTGGAAATTTACCATTGCGACCAAAAGAATCAAGACCATGATATTGAAGAACTGCTTCAACAAGAGCTTGAATGGGTTGACACCGCCTTCGCCCTCCATTTCGTTGAAACCGGACTCTTCACGGCGAGCGTCAACCTCTTTTTGGTCCAAACCGTCTTCGAGGTCAGACTTCATCAGCTTGGCGACAGTCTCGAGATCCATGGTATGGTAGGGTGGGCCCTCGACTCGCTGCTCTTCGGTCTTGCGTGCCTTCCGCCGCTTGACGAGGTTGACCTTTTTCATGAGCACACTGCGGACGGAGCGCGCATCAAAGGAGATACTACTCTGGCCCGTGGACGAGCGAGTAAGCGAACGTTGATTTATCTTTTCATGGTTGGCTTGACTAGTAGGAGCTGACTGATCGGCAAAAGTGATCGTAGTGTTCTGATTGTTCTGCTGACTACTGCTGTTGTTGTTGTTGTTGTTGTTGCTAGTGTTGATTTGCTCTTGCTTAGAATCGGACATAAAGAAGCATGTACGTCGCAGAAAATAGAAAGATAAAGAGGGAGGACGCTTGACGGGAACCGTATCTCGCTCATCTTTGAGCTTCTTTTATACATTTTTCGAAAATAGAAAACGGGTTTCGGAACTCTTGCTGCTAATACTGTTTGCAGAAGCTTACCGGTTTTGAAACCTATCACATGATGCAGTCTTGGGGGGTGGGGGGCGGGGCGGGGGGTGAAGGAGCTCCAATTCCCCGATAAAGGGTGCACAGCAGAAAAAACACCAGGTCCATACTCCCCCCACCGTGGCACGGATGATTGGCGTACAGCGCTTGAGCCTTTGGCGCACACTTTCTATTTTCGGACACCATTGTTACTTTCCTCGCTTTCCATCCAACCTTTAGATCGCCCTTACCAGGATTTTGACAATTGCGAAACCAGCATCGTAGACTCGGTAAAACGGAATTCAAAAAGGCCCAATGACTATTGCTTACTTTATTGCTGCTGCTCTTGCGATCTGCCTAGCAGCCAGTGTCACTCTTACTTTGGGAGCAGTCTTTCTGCAAGCTTTGTATTCGCGCCACAGAATCAAGCGGGCTGCATTGCGTGCAAGAGGTGTCCTTATTTGTTAAAGGAGATGGTCTAGAAGTGATAGCGGAAAAACGGTAAATTCTTTTTGTAAACAGAAAAATAGAAAAAGTGGAGAAACATAGTTTGAGAGCAAAGCGGATGAGCACGAACGACGTTCCTTGTCATCATCATCATCATCTTTCCTTTCCGACGCGAGAATCAAAAAAAGGTACGACATTGAGAAAGATATCCTTCCCGACGGCCTTTGCTGCCCCGCCTTTGCTTGATTACGTCTTTTTTTTTTTTTTTTCTTACAAAAGTACTGCGCTTACCGGAATTGGTGTGTTCAACCCCATGGTGCTGCTTGACCATATATGGCAAGTCGAGCCAACGTGGTGTCCCATTTCCTTCCTTAGCTTCTCACAAGATAGGTTGCCATGGAAACTTCAGAAGACCTGCTGAGCAACAAACACACACAGCAGCCTCCATAGCACAACAGCACGATCACCCCAACTCAGCAAACTAGCCCAAATCGTGTGTTTTATTTTTTTTTCTCACGAAGAGGATCATCCATCCATCAACAAGAAAGCGAGTGTCTATAGGCAAATGTGAAGGCACCCATCAGCAATTGGCAGTCCATGCGGTCCGTCATTCCGCCATGACCTGGGATGAGTTGGTCAAAGTCCTTGATCCCAGATGCACGTTTGATGGCGCTTGCTAGGAACCCGCCAAAAGGTGCAGCGCACGAGGCGTAGATAGCGAGGATGATGCCGTGATAAGGATCATCTTGCATCTGACTCGATTGTTAGTAGGGAGGACGACACTGCATGTTCACAATGCTTTGACATATTTCATCTTACCATAACGCGTCCCAGCTAATGAGTATGTATTTGTTGTTTCAAATCCGTAATAAAAGTTAATAGATCGATCCCACATTAAAATTTTGCCTCTGTGACGATACCACCACCACCACCAATGGAACATGAGGATTACCAGGAAGCCACAGCAAAGTGTAAGGATGCCGGCACCGACAAAGCCTTCCAGTGTCTTGTTAGGACTCAGCCGGAAAAGCGGTGTTCGTCCTACAGTTCGCCCACAGCCATAGGCAGCCACGTCGTTGCAGACGACCAGGAGCGTTGGAAAGACGAACCTAAATTTCCCTCTTTGTTATCAGCAGCAGGATGATGTGTAGTGGGCAAATCGGGGCATCTGTTTGAGTTTCACGAACCAGTTTACTCCGTGCAAGGTGTTTGTGATCACGAAATACATCTGGACTGCCGTAAAGAAAACACACATGTGGATCCATCCGAAATGGATAAGTTGCTTTTGAACATGCTGCGGCTGTAGAGAACCAATGGAAACCATGAACCCTTGATAATATGGCCATATACAGAGAGCACGAACATGCATCTAATTAGAACAGCCATGTTCTTGTTCCTGGGTCTGGTTGATGATGATATATAGAACGTACATAGAGTGTAAAGGATAATGCAAGAAAGTCGGTGGGGCTTCCAGATGCTTTCTGAGCTCACCCACAAAGTACTTATTCCGAAAGCTAGCCTTTTTTTTTAGGGTGTACGATATCACAAAGATAGAGATTAATTAGCTCATTAACCTTCTCCCGGATGGGTCGTGCTTCGTTGTAATGAATAGTACCAGTCCATGAGTGCAGCAAAGTTGCTACCGTCTCCAATAGCATGATGATGACTTTGACCACCGTGATCGGCACACGCTATTTGTCGTAATTCCTGTTACAACCAGATGGCGCATATGATAGTAATTGTGGTACAAACAGATACTCTGAACTTTAGTATCTTATGGAAGTCTCCTCTCATGGGATCAAGTGCACGGGCCCCAGTGTATAAGGCTATATATATACTTCCAATGTCTCAAATGTTACCTGGAATACCTTGCATTCGATAGCAAACACCATTGCGAGAAGGCCGTATCGACCAAGCACAATGACTACCAAGCCAAGCCCACCAGTCATACATACTCCAGCTACAAGACGTTGATAAGTGGTTCGTGCCATTGGATGGTTTCAAAAAGAAATCTTTTTCCCATTCATTTGTTTCACCAATATATAGGGTGCATGCACGTACCTTCTCCTTTTTTTTTCCACGTTGATGGGTATCAGCGTATTCGGACCACACTTGAAACCAACTGGTTTTTTCCCTGTTTCCATCCAATCCTGACATGCGGTGCTTGGGGTCCCGCATACTTTGTTTAGCCAAGTTCATTTGTGTCACTCCGCTCCTCGTCAACGAATCAAGATCTTTCTCTTTGGTAACTGATAACGCTACCTTATTTTGCCTTCCTTGCGGAGCTCGATAAAAGGGAAAAGCTGTTGTGAATGTGCCCGGCGTATTCAGTGTTAGAGAGCGGCGGTGACACACGACCACTATGTCTCTTATCCGATTGCCAAAGTTGTTGGTGCGAAGATGTATGATCTGTCCTAGCTGCAGTCAAGCTGATGGGCCCTCCACGATTTTCATATGAGGATCACTTGATTCTCAAGCACTTTTTTTGTCCTTTAAAAGTGATTTGCTTACTGATGTCCTTTGAGAAAGCCAACGTCTGCTGAGCACAACCCATCGACTTTTTCCAGAGGCGGACATTTTTTATTTTTTAACTTGTTTATCCTTAACTCAAAGCGAAGGCCGAGCGCGGAAAAAGAACTTATATTAAGATGGTGTATGGAGGACGAGCGGCGATGCAATTAGGTATATATCCAATACGTATCTATAACCCGCGCGTGTGCTTACCCGGATTTCGAGTGATGCAAAAGCGGAACTCTTTCCGCTTTTCTATATGCTAAAGTCATGTGCCTACCAAAAACGCTAACAGCTACTACTTGTATGGTAGATAACAATACCGACCACCCCTTTTCAATTTCGCACAAGATGTATGTATACACATTATTCTGTGTGTCATATAAATGCAGCAGCCGTACCTAGCTATATAGCATTTGTACATGCGGATATATAAACTGATCCATTGCTATGAGTATTACTATAATCGATGTGATGTAGTTTGATGATGTGAGACGCATAAATGCATTTGCGTTTCCTCGTGTTCCCACATGCCCCCGCCAAGTCATCATACCACCACTCGATCTCGCTGTAAATGGGAAGAGCTAGTCAAAAACGTCAACTACGATTACCATTCTTGGCTTCAACATACGGGCTATTTGTTTGTTTGTTATCGTTGTGTGTGCCGTGGAACATACCGACAATTCTATTGCGCTACACGTGGTGCAGCTATCAGCCGATCAGCACTCTTCACCATAAAGATCTTACTCTAAGATCAAAATAACATGCCCTCCTTTTTAGGCGTTCTACTCAAGACATACACTAAAGACTTACTTTCATGTTTTGTTTCCACTCCAATCACTATCGACATCATCTCTATCACTTCCGGTCAGTTCACCAATATTTTTTTTTGTTACATGTTACATGTTATATTGTGCTGTTGTGCATCCAGTTTTCAACTCGCTATTGTGATAACGATTCACACACGATACTGCCTAAAAAAGCCAATGTCAATGACGTCCGGCATGTTGCTTCTCCATGAATTCTATCGGAAACACGAGTCTTTATCAAAGACCGTACTTTTTAATATCACCTTAGTGATAGAGCTCATTCCCCTGTTGAGTATGAAAGCACACCCCCAGCATCTTGATTTATCCCTTTAATGCTGATTTAACGATTCCCGCGGTAAATCATCATCAAATTCAAGTTGTAAAAGGAAAATTCAACTTTTTTGCTTTCAAAACTGTATGCGTGTCATCCGCCGCACACATACTCATTCAAGCATCGTACATTGTGTTATAGGGTGCCTATCAACACCAAGCGAGGTGAAAGTCGTGGTCACGCCTGTTGAACTTGCTTCCGCTTCTAATGAATATAAATGAAGGGGATGACTAAATGATTCAATCTGCTACAAGCAATAACAGAAGTGTAGGCACCAGCCATCAGAAGCTGATGTCGTCATTGCTAAAACCAACCACTCACCCCAAAAAAAAACAGTAGCAATCATCGTCCTTGCTATTTCCATGAATCACCACTCTCTCTATATGCTATTCTTTTTTCGCTGCGTTGCTGTCGTCGCCATAATTATATATAGCAATGATAGTTCGATACATTGACCTTGTATCAGAAACCCGTAAGACGTCAGCAATAATTACAACCACTTTTAACTTATGAAAGATCCAACAATGCCTCGTCAATTAAGCCATTATTTGTAGAACAGAGAAGTGATTGCTCACGTCAATACTGCATAGGCAAAAATAGCGTTAATGTAACGAGCTTATTGAGAGTCCAGTTCCGTGTTGTAGCGATCGGTTAATATTAGAGGGCATTGAGATATCACGATGCATGTGTGCAAGACAGATCGATGAAGAATTAGTAGTGCTACTTTCTGTCATGAATGAAAATCTGACGGTTACGAAAGTTCCCTACTAAATGGTTAAAGGGTAAGAGGAGGTTACGCTCTAGATTCACTGTTCTTCTTTTCTTTGTTTATTTGTTACCTTCCTCAAACGCAATTTTACTGATTATTCCTGTTGTTCTTTTATGCGATCAGCCTCATGTCTCGACAGACACAAAAATAGTCAATTGTACACGCACCGCGCTTTCTCCCCGTTGCATTAGGTCGAGATCTGAGTGGTGGTACCATATTTGGTAGTATTGAATACGTTATCGTGATATATTTAAAGTTTTGTGGAACAACTCCCAAAGACAATAAGAAATAGTCCTGGGAACAACATACAATATTTATGCAGCATCATATACAATGAAATATCGCTGTAACTTTTTAAAGTTTCTTACGAGGAGCAATAGGTATTATGTGCTTAATGTAGCCATGATGAGCATTTAACACTTTCAATTGTTGTTGCGACGAAAACTAATGTGACACTGGTGGTGCAATAAGGAGAAATATTTATCCGAAAAGCGCCGCGATAGGCTTTTGTTGCAGTTGTTATGGTCTATTCTTTTCCTCTCTCCTTTAACTGATTCAAAGATACATCATTTATCTATATTAAGGAAGACTAAATGGACTGGCGCCTATCATATCCGCATGCAATTTCATCTATGTGATGTGCAAATAGATGATACAGCAGCATTTTCTATTACAGTACTGGTGGTCAGATATGTATTGTACAGATTACTTACAGGGGTTCCCCGTTTAATTTCACTCTCAATAAGATAAACCCTCAGTTATTTCAACTTTTTTCTATATCTCCTTTTAGCATAAAACACTGCTTGAATCAAGCTCGTTCTGTGTCAACCCTCAGTAGCTTCAACACTTCATAGACTCTGTTTGAGGTTGAAATCAAACGGGGAACCTTTGTATTTAAAAAAAAAGAGAAACAAAGAGCTTGGTATTAGAGTAACGCAAAAAAGAATGATTTGACTGTTGCGACAGCAGGTAGTTGGTTGAATACAATTACTTTTTTTCTTCTGCTACAATAGATTACATACAACAAACAAGCTACTAGTAACTTAGCAATCAATGAGAGTACAGTAGCTTCATTTTGCCTATTTTGAAGTCCTGTCCCTGGAGTGTCTTATAAATTCCCTTATTTTTTACAAACATTCGTGATAAAGTAAATGTTTGCGAATGAGTAAAAGCTCTGTAGGAGAGAAAATATACAGTCGTAGTAGATGTAATAGTACGGGCAAATATTAGTAGGTTTAATGATTAATTGGAACATTGCTGTTCTATAATTGCTATGTTAGCAAGTTGGTTTGTAGATAGATTAGGACTCGTTATCAGCTTCTGCTTTTGTAATACGTACATGCTAAGGTAGCATCGCGTCTAGTAAGGACTGGTAGACATACATCAATCGAATAGATAGGGGGGAGCGCCCACTCTCGGATGCTCGACTTCTTTACAGGAACGAAAAAGTACTGTTATCACAAGGGAAAGAACTCACTCTTTGTGACATGTACTAAGTGTATGAAAGGTATTGGAAATCATGTCTACATCTGCATAGCATGTGTTTGCTTGAGTACAGGGCACGAAAAAATGACGATATTGTAAATACAAGACTGACGTGTATTATGTCTCCTCTGCATTCTTCGCTCGGCGGTTAGAAAGGAATAAAAAAGATATGCGTTGCTTCAGGCATAAAAAGAACGGAATCAAGGAGAACGTGCATCCATTTGACGTCATAGATTACCACCGTCATAGTAGGAAAAATGTATGTGTGTGTGCATCCAGGGGTTGTTTGGAGGCTGAGCATAAGGGGTTGGAGACGGTAAAGAAGCAGTTATTGTTACTATGTGGTACCACTGTACCTTCAGAATTCAAACCAGGGATTAAAAATTTTTGTTTCCGTGCATCCGGAGGGGATGAAAAAAAAAAAGGGTGAAAAAAGCCCATTTCGGGGTAGAGGACCCACGGAGATGTATATCCAAAGACCTCGTTAGAGGAGTGCTAGCATTAGTTGAGCCGTTTTATTTTTGTCTACATTCTAGATTTGACCAAGACACAAATTCTAGAGATTGAGTGCTGTCGAGAAAGTGAATAGCGTCGATAAGATCATCATAGGATCGCCTCATTAGTTACATTATATACATACACTGTTCACAGGGTACATAATCATCTCCCCTCGTTATAGGTAGTATAAGAAAAGTAAGGGTATGTTCTAGTAAGTACTGCTATTACCCTGGGACCATGAGGAAGAGAAAAGCGTTCAGAGATTGCTATACTACAACAAGGCTAACAAGAACGATAACATTTTTCATTACAGTCATAATAAAAGCCATGTTCACGTCATCATCCTCACCACATATAACTTACCATTGACATACTGCACGTACCTCGAAAATGTGTCATTGCAGCATTGCAATGCATAGGCTGTGACGTATGAAAAAGGTTAAGCTAACACTATTGTCTGAATTATACTTTACAGTAGAAGGTTATGTACCATAGAGCATCTGTCAAAGAAAAAAGGTTTAAGTTAAAACCGCTACTATTGACACTTTTGGTTTTTGTGTAATGTTACCCTCTTTATTTAACTCACCATCAATCCTATTTTAAAAGCGCTATAATGTACAGTCGTGTCTTATATTGTGGTTACAGCTAGCAGTGTAATACTAATACTTGCTCTTCTGTTTCACAAGTCCCTTCGTCTAGATCTTTAAAGCTTGAAAAAAGCTGCAGGCGAGTTGTTACTTGGTGTTGTACATATTGGACAATTCGATGCATAGCGGAAAAAGTTGTTGCTGTACCGCAGTGTTGTTAAGGTACCACTGCTGCATTTACATAACCCAACAACTGTGTCGCAATGTTGATGCAGAAAAGAACGCTCTCTCTACTCTGAAAAGAGAACCTGTTTTCATGTGCCAAAAAAAAAAAAAAAAAAGAGAGCCTGGCCGACCGCCAGCAACTGCTTTATCCATACATAACAACAAGAACAAATGTTGTTTCAGGAGTTTATACTCATGCTGCTTGTACCATTTTTGTTACTACTATTTGCTACTACACGATACTACTAGGTATTCCTTTATTGCGCGCGAAAGCAAACGAGATATGCCTCACTCTTCCGGCAATACTGTGCATACTAGTGAGATATCCCATTTGCTGCTGTTATCAGGAGAGATTTAATTCGATTATGAGAATTTTCAAGAACAACCTCCTTTTACACTCTGCTATAAAAGTCTTTTTCTAACAAATATTTCCCCTGCCTACTAGTATACTGCAACAGCATCACTGTTAAAGGTTATCGTTTGTTTTGCGTTGTAAGCTTTCCGTTAGCGGTACCGCCATTTCGCTGACAGCTATCAATCGTATTTTGTACTCTATATTGGTATAAATGAGCAATTGGAATCTTAGGATGGAACTAAGAGAAATATAGAAAAACTGAGAAGGTTTACCAAATAGCTGGTTTGAAAAAGGTTGAAAACTTGGACCAAGTTGCCGAGCCTACTTCCATATGCATGATGATCCGATGATGCAGACGCCCACCAATTAGGGGATCCTCTCCCAGTGGATCATGATTGAGGAGAGAGAGAGAGAGAGAACCAAAAAACAAAAAACAAAAAGACCCTCGAATCAAGAACGCTCCCCTGTCCATCTTTCAAGCAATGTAAGCTGCGTGTGTGTGCGTGTGGCAAAACTCAGCCCTTATCGAGATTGTTGCATCAAGCCCCTTCCTTCTGCAACATACATCATACGAGTGAGTACGTGAAAGGGGGAGGATAAGAGCGAAAGAGAGCACGGCTTCAGGGGAAAATGGGTGAATGGAATTGCGTGCGTAAAGATATACAGCTACACCAGCCTTCACATATGCTCTGATGTGTAAGGATGATGAATAAGTGGGTTGTTTACGGTACATTCAACACACAGTCTCTAGTATCAGTGGTATCAGTAGTATCAGTAGTATCAGTAGTAGTAGCAGTTGTTGGGGGGGGGAAAGCAAAGTAAATCAGGGGCTACTTGCTGTTGCTGAACATAAGCATATAGCATGAAAACAAATACGCATTGTACGTTCTTATTCTGATCGTGGAATTTCTTAATCGGTATCGTATATATTATGATTATCATTAGTTTTATTAGGAGCATATGCGCGCGTGATGAAAAGGGTATCTTTAACGAGCTTGAAAGTGATTGAGAAGGACCGAGCAGGGGAAGGCAGAAAACGCCCAAGCATTCATGGCAAAATTATTCAACCGAGAAAAGGTGTACTAGGATGATGAGGCGTTAGAGAGTTGAGGCACACACACACACACACTCTCTCTCTCGCTCTCTCGCCAGTGTGCGAAAGTGCGAGTGTGGCCGTATGTGCCACGACTGAGCTAGCGTCCTTTCCCTCTTGTTTCCACCTTTTCCTTTCCTCCTCTTCTTCCCCATTTCCACCTCTTTTCTTCTTTCTTTGTTTCGCTTACGTTGCCTGCTACATTGCTTGAGGTAGATTCCAAAACGAAAAAAAAAGAAAGCAGACTTCCGCTTATTAACTCTTTACTTATTTCTTGACGCTATCCAGTGCAACAATCAAAAAACAACCTCAACCCCCCTTTGTTTTCGGCTTTTCTGCAAACCGCGGATTCACTTACAATCTCTCAACGAAACACACATTTCTGCACAAGTTTTGACAAGTTTTGCAATTTGCGTGTTGCTCTTATAACTTCCTTCTATTCCCTTAATTTACAGCAACCTCCCCTCCTACAAAAGCTACAACTACACACACGTACACATATATATACGGCTGTTGTTTAAATCATGTTGGTGACTGAGACGTTCCATGGCTACATTGAGACGACGCAAGATGTATTGCTCATTTTCGAGGGGTGTCGCCGAGGCCTACTGCCAAGGATATGTCGTCGCTTACAAGAAAAAGAGCGAAAAATGGTTCAATCCGGATCAGTCTTTGTTTTTGACGAACGCGAATCAGGTAAAACTAGTAGAGCAATATGTCAACAAAAAGGGAAAAGGGGTGGGAAACAAAAAAGGCAACGTTATGTCTTCCTTTAGCAGTGGGCATAATACGCACTAGGCGAGCGGAGAGGGGATGAAGAAATAAGCAAAGCTGGCTTAAAGAGCGTATGCGTGGTGGCTATTTTTGGGCACGACCGGGCAAAAATATCAGCAGCAGCAGCAGCACTAGCAGCAAACGCAAATAACAACATCGGTACCGGCAGCAGCATGAACAGCAACAACAACATTTATCAACAAAGCCTTTAGCAAAGCAGCTGCAATAGGAGGCTCTTGCAACAAAGAAGAAAACGATAGTCAGGGGGAACCGGCATATTTTTTTCCATCACCGCACGCGCCGCGCGAACGACAAGAGGGGCGAGGGGAAGAGAACGGGCTAGGGGATGAAAAGAGACCGAGAGGCAGAGAAGGGGTGTTGAAAGACTGACGGCTATCGTGATACGCCCAGAATAGCAACTAATAGCAATTGTAACATCTTCTTCAGGCATTAAACGATGGACTGACGGCCTCGTATGGAGCCCTTCACGGATCCTCGGCAACTTCCTTATATACCGTGAGCTAGACAAGCGTTCGACGGGCAATGGCAAGCGTATGTCGCTGTCAGGTCCAAGCGACTCGCGCCAGCGAAGCTTTAGTGTCGATCATGGAAGCTCATCTACAGTGGCTGCAGCAGGAGGGGCCATGTCGGTCGACCGCAACCGAGAACGCCAGCTGGTCGGGAGTCTCTCGGATTCATACAAGTTCCGCAAGGATGGCTTGATTAAAAAGACAATGTCGATTGTAGTGAACGGCATCTCACAGCACCTTATTTCGTATTACCATCCGCAAGACGTATTGCAGAATCGTCTTCGTACACCGTCGTCCGTGCCAGAACTCGCCAGCCTTGAGATCTCTCCTGAGCTGCTTGTCAAGCAGAACTTCCGTATCCCGCCTATGGTCGAGCCAACCTTTGACCAAGCAGATCCCCTTGGAGGCGGACCCATGTCGCCGACGGACCCGTTATCAGCATATGGAGGTAAAAGAAAAAGAACGCGATATGGTGTCTTGTCTTATCGGGCGGATTGGGTACTTACTGTGTTTTGTTTTTGGCAGATCGCCGGTCCCATCCGTTGCGCAGCATGTCGCTAGGTTCGCTGCGTGGTCCAGAGCATTTCCATGGCAACAACATGATGTCACGCACAGATATTGGATCACCCAGCATGATGTATAACTATGGCAGCCACCAGCAGCATCAGCACCAGCAACAACATAGCCACCGCATGGATGTTGAAGGTACACAAAAACAACAATCACCGACCATGCCATCGTATACGAGCCAGCCAGTCATGTACGGTGTTCCTCAATATCAAGCACCGACCATGCCTTCACCATCGAGCATGTCATCGTCTCCAGGCACTCCGATGGTGTCCCCAGTGCGACCAACCTTCCAACAGCAGCAGCAGCAGTCCCAGCAACAGCAACAGCATCAGCGGCATTACTCAGTCTCATCCACATCGTCCGGATCCTTGTCGTCGCTATCCCGGATGGACCCGCGCGGTTATGAACTGATGCGCCCTCCACAAGCACAAGCAACCACAACTTCTGCAAGCACCATCCATTCGCCTCAGCCACAATCTGCTGCAGCTTCTTCTTTTGGACAGGTGCATCCACACATGGTCCAGGACGAAATGACCGGATTTTACAACAACATCAGCACCAGCAACAACCGCATTGACGGGCAGCACCAGCACCAGCACGATTCTGAACAATCACACTCTGATCATACCAAATCCAACGCGAATATCGGACAGCTGCTCAACCCTGTCCACCCACTCCATAACGGTGGGCCTTCCTCTTCTATCCAGCCAGACTCACCGCATCCTACCCAGCCGCAACAACATCAACAACACACAATGTTAATGAATCAGACTTCATCCTACGCAACATACCCATCTCCTGTCAGTGCGGCGGCGGCGGCGGCAGCGGCGGCAGCGGCAGCGGCAGCATCTTCGTCGTCCTCTGCTTCGTCGTCCTCTTCCACTCCGTCATCTTCGGTTGTTCCCGTCACTTATGAAACTGGCAAGCCAATGGACGAGAATGGCAAGCCTTCACAACACGACAGCACAATGTGCACTGGTCAGAATGAAGGTGGATCTGGTGGAGGAGGCGGCGGTGGCAGTGGCCCTAATGAGTACCGCTATCACGGCGCGTTGACCAATACCTATAGCATGATGCATTATGCACCATCACCTTACCAAAACGGGGTGCTGAATCCGTTTGCCCATGACGATAATACAGGACACCTAATGCTTAAGTAGCAGTGGTAGTAATAGTAACGACCACTAGTCATTATTCTTTCTTTTTATTTTACCCTTTGACACATACACACGCACGCACTAAATCCACACGTACAGACGCACTTTTTTATAACTTTTTCTTTTTGTTTGTCTATAATAATCCAATCCTACTCTTTGTATACACAACCACAGCAACTTCTCACCACTCATATAGTAGCACAAATTCTATCAAATCTGACACACGTCCTGCACTTGTTTTACCTTTTTTTGATCGTGTTGATGAAAATGACGACGACGATGATGGTTTTTATACACACAACGCAATACACATACACACATTCCATAGCACATGGTTATGTACACCTGATTTTTATTATAATATCTTTTATCCAACCAATGTGTGGCAAAATTGCCTTGTTTTTTTTGTCTTACAGCAAACAAAGAAAGTTTACCGATGCATTTGCTTGTACACACCCACATGACACTATCTCTAGGACGCACAATTACGTCAATAGCTTTGTTGTATTCCTCGAAATGTCAATTCGTGAAATACTTTCCCGGCAGCATTATGACGTTCTACAAGGTCTAGTCAGTCATGATCCATCTACTTTCGCCATCATTGTTTTTTTCCTGACGCCATTCAAAAACCAAAGTGCAATGGGAACTTGCCAATTGTATAAGCGGAGTTACTAGAAAGAGAAGTTCGGTCTAACGAAGAACGAAAAGAACAAAGGTCAGCATGGAACAACTCACTAGATCATTCATTTTTATTCGTCCACGGACCCACTTACCCCACCAACATCTCGATAGCCACACTCATCCCACATGGCTTTAGCTATTTTCTACGCAAGTCCATGACATTAATGAGATTGTATCTCAACTAGAGTAGATATGATATGATAGGATCGACGAAACTGATACATTGTTTTTCTGCCAACTTTCAGAATCGGCAAGATGGGCGTAGTTTAGCCTAGCAGAAAGATAAGATCGACTTGCTCTCCTTTTTTTTTTTTTTAAAACGAGACACTGTGGGAGAACTATAAATTCCAGTAAAAATTAAGGTTATTTTTGAAACTCACGGAGAGGCGAGGTAGACTAAGTTCTGCACACAACCCAGCAAAGCGGGGGTGGGGGCGGGCAGTGATGTTGGCCACGGGAACGCACATTACGACGAATAATGTGAAGAAATTATCCAGAAATGGTTTTTGAAACAGCTAAACCGCCGGATGTCAATTACATTTGCTACACAAGAGAAAGATAATATAACACGAATATGCAGCCTTACGCAAGCAGGAAGACACAAATCACAGGATTAGGAAATCCATGAACCAGGTATAAAAAGGTGACTCGATAGCTCATCCATTTCTCTTTTTTACTTACTATTTTCGCTCTACCTTTCTCTACATCTCTTTCTATCTCCTTTACGGCCACCTACAACAGTCATGTCAGCAACAACCTATGTTGACACCCCATTACCTAAATATACAGATCAGGCACGGTCTACTGTCCGCCACTTACCACAGCATGTTCGATCATACTTCTCCGACATGTTTCCTATCATGACATGGTTGCCTCAATACAACATGTTGTGGGCATGGAGTGATCTTATGGGAGGTTTGACTGTAGGAAGTGTGGTAATTCCTCAGGCTATGGCTTACGGTAAATACACCTGTTCATTTACTTTCTCTAACTTGTTACCGGCGGAACCTTTTGCTAACCAATAGGCTTTGTATGATATACTTTAAATAGCCAAACTTGTCGGCTTGCCCGCAGAATACGGTCTTTATACCAGTTTCGTTGGCGTCGCCCTATACCCATTCCTTGGAACTTCCAAAGACATTAGTATAGGTATGTGACTTCCCGTCCTTCAGTCACACTTTTGAGCACGCGTCAAAATATGATTGATAGCTAATAACGTTCGGTTTGATATTGGGGAAATCCAGGTACCACTGCCATCCAATCACTCTTCCTCGGACAAATCTTCGCTAGCATCCAAGAAACACCGCAGTATCAATCTGGTCAATGGACAGACCAAAAGTTTGCCGTCACAATGGCGTTTTTCGCGGGCATCATCACATTGGCACTCGGAATACTAAAGCTTGGGATCCTCTATAACTTTATTTGCCAACCCGCCATCTCTGGCTTCATGGCCGGAAGCGCAGTGACCATTGTGATCAGCCAAATCGGCAAAATTATGGGTATCCACGTCAACACCAGCCAAGTACCGTATCTCGTTTTCGGCGACACTTTAAAAGGCCTGCCCGAAACCAAAGTTGATGCAGTCTTTGGTTTCTTGTCTCTGGTCTGGTTGTACGGTATCAAGTATATTTGCCAATTCTTCTCCAAGCGCTACCCACAACATCGCCGCGGTATCTTTTACTTCAGCATGAGCCGCAACGTCATTGTTATTGTGGTCACGACATTCCTATCCTGGGTGATTAACCATTTTGGCCAATACGCGGAGAGTCCTTTTACCATCCTTGGTCCCGTGCCCGCTGGTTTTCAGCGCATGGGTGCTCCAGAATTGGATACAAGCCTTGTCGCCTATATCCTGCCTAATATCCCTAGTATGGTCGTTTTATTGGTCATGGAGCATTGCTCGATTGCTACTAGCTTGGGAAAGATCTCTGATTATCGAAGTAAGTTTTCCCTTGATGTCACACGGACACACATGTAAACACAAGATTCAGTTTGCAGAAATTAAACATTTGTCTTTTAATATAGTTGATGCCAATCAAGAAATCCTATCCATTGGTCTGGCCAATATCTTTGGCTGTTTCTTCTCCGCCTACCCAGCAACAGGAAGCTTCTGCCGCAGCGCTGTCCAAAACAAATCTGGCGCCAAAACACCGTTGGTCAATGTCCTCGTGGCAATCATTGTTGTCTTGGCACTCTATGCACTTACGCCTGCATTTCAATACATCCCCACGTCAAGTCTTGCAGCAGTCATTGCGCATGCAGTTACGGACCTTATTGTCGGACCCACAGTGTGGCGCCGTTTCTGGAACGTGCATCCATCCGAGCTTCTTATCTTTGCGTGTGCTTTCATCATTTCACTTTTCGCGCGTCTCGATGTCAGTATCTATGTGGCCGTTGCTCTCTCCATCGTCATTCAATTGTACCGTTCCGCACGACCCCGCTATGCCATCCTTGGGCGGATGGACGATGACACAGTAGCAGCTACGAAAACGATGGTTGATGAAAAGTCAGCAGCACGAAGCGAGCTCGATACATTGGCTCATTGCAACTTTGTGTCATTATCACATCCCATTCTCGGCCAACATGCAAAGCCCATTGCCCCTGGTATTGTTGCATTCCAACCACGCGACAATATGATTTTTGAAAACTCAATGTTCGTATCCGAAAAGATCATGGACGAAGTCAAGCGTGCAACCCGCCGTGGCAAGCCTCTGGCCGAGAAAGTCGGTGACCGACCTTGGAACAATGCAGGTGGCGCGGAGAAAAGCGACAAGCCATTGTTGCATGCAGTCATTATGGACTTGACTGGCGTAAACCAGATGGATTATTCAGCCATCGAAGACCTCAAAGCAGCCGCAAATCAGGCGGAGCGATATTCGGGCAGGCCCGTTTCTTGGTTCTTTGTGCTCAACGACTCTTTGGCTGTTCGCAGATGCTTACTGTTTGGCGGCTTTGGTACTCAAGAACGCAAACCAGGTCGTCCCTTCCGCTCAGATCTCAAGAAACGCAATGGTCAAGATGATCCTGCCAACGACAATAACGATGGCGACGATGATTCTTCTGATGGTCAGCAGTCAATCAATGATAACAATAACAACAAGGATAATCACCAAGTGACCGAGATCGAAGATGTATCAAGTCGTCCAGTAAAGAACGAGTCCACACTTTCATACAATCACAGCGACTCTGCAGCTTTGAACGGCAGCATGGATCGTGGTGCCGCAGTCACCCACCTCAACGACGTTTATCCCTACTTTTTCTTTACCATGCGCGATGCCGCTATTGCAGCTTGCATTCGTCACGCGGTACCGGAAGAGCATGTTTCTCCAGCGCCATCCTTATCGGTTAGCGTTGTCCCCAATACCGATGAGGAGAAGAAGCTCGAGAAACAGTAGAGAGCCTTTTTTGTTTAACTTATAACTCTTTTCCGTCACTCTCCTATTATATATGCTTCCTCTTTTCTGTAAATATGTTCTTACTTTGTATTTCTTTTGTTAGCAAGTTGTTGTTCTCTTTTTTTGAATATCGTATATATTGTTTTCTTTTTGTTTTGTACTATTAGCAAATACCATAGATCAACCTGCATATATTATATAAACCGCTTTTCTTTTTGTATACCATACATATACGTTTTGATGGTGTTCTTACATAGCAGCTGTTTATGAAATTCTCTGGTGCTGCAACTCGCTGTTATTTTCTATTTGGTAAACAAAATTAAAACGTGAAAGCGTGTATTTGTGTAACTTAAAGTAATTGTAAACATTCTATTTTATCTGTAGCGAACGCAAATATCAGAGACAACTACGCAGTGCATACATGGTGCTTTTGCTGCAATGGCATGTAATGTCGTACTTCCGCGCTTATACGTATATATTAAGCATTTGATCTGGTTAAATTCACAATTTAAATCCTTTATACATTAGAAGCACCTTCAATGGAAATTTAAAGTATCGAAAATATCACCGAAAAAAGTATTATGCATGAAAAGTTTAACAAAGCTAATTATACAGAGACGTGGAACTACTTCTGAGTCATTTATTCATTCAGTGCTTATCTGAAATCCTACTACGTATCATGTATTGATACATATGTAATACAGCTGTCTATTTAGCAGACTACTGTTAACTATATTACACATCTACAATTCCAGCTACATGTATGACTTTTATGCTTCAAGGACGATACAAGTTTACTAAAACCCTTAGTGTAGAGGAACGGTGTGTCGATAAAACGGCTTGTTTATTCTATAATAGATTCCTTTGCCTCATCGCAAGGTACACCTACAAAAAACATGGATAAACGAATTGTGGATCGATCCTCGATCACGTCCTTTGGAAAATTCCAAAGTTATAATCCAATCGCCTTATATCTTTCCCCTTAAGCTTCATGGATACTGGAAGAATGCAAACGTGCATAATATGTTCAACGTCTTAGTCAAGGAGGATTTCGCAGCACGTTGCTGGATAGCAGTGGGGGCGTCGAACAAAACTAGCAACAATTAACAGCTATCGTCTTCTACAGTTTTTTCAGTCAGTGAAAGTGTTTGAACTGTAGGCTGTCGGAAGAATCCGAATACCGATGATAATGAGTCGCTTCTTCCGCACGAAAGGATAAACGGGGGTTCTCTCGTTTATTCCGCTATAATCTTCTCGCTGTCTACTACCAATACTGTCATGCATTATACTGGCTAAATGGTCCTTTTACTCGAGCATGCTTGAATATCCGTCAGATGTAAAGCGTGTAACGTCGTGTGTTTCCTCCGGATTCTGGTTGTTATATGCAGTTGCATGCTGCTATGTATCACTTCAAAGAAGCATTCAAAGACTAGCCCCGCAAATCCTATCGCTAATTTAGCATAATTTGGTACACATATGGTTTTCATTTATGCCGGTCCAAAATGGCAAAATTGTAATCATGCATTGCGTTTACAAGCGGTTTCAAGTGATTTGCTGTTACTGCATGGCCAAAGCATAGAACTTATATATCCGTTGATAAAACACTTTTCGAGCAGCCACATCATAAATGATTACCATTTAACTGAAAACACGTTTAGGAAAAGGTTGCCGAGAACAAAGATTTTGTCATGCTGCTTGGTACTTGTCCGAAAATGGGTTTTTTTTAGTAAAAGCCTGGTTGATACTTTCAAGCCTTTGATTGCTGCCAAAGTCAAGAAGCACTCGAAAAATCGTCCGTCGTAGTAGAAAACTTGCTGCTCAAATTGTGTTGTCAAAGTTGCACATCTGTCCCGCCCAACAAGACACGTATTGATGCCATGACGTTTTCGAGTGGACAACTGCGCTTCTAGCATGTTGGTGTGTTAAATATGTCTATAAAAGTAAACGGTTGAGCCCCATAGTGAATGAACGTGAAATCCGCTGTATCTGATAGTTTTGAAGTACTATACTACTATTGTTTGCTAAATGTAGAATTACGTCACGTGTGATGTAATATTATGTAAAGGAGAAAGGGTTGATTGAATGCAATGGAGGCGCACCTGTGGCCGTCGCTTCCTTCAGCGGCATCACGTCATTGATTTGCCTAGATTACTGTTTATATACAATTTGACCTTATCTGCCAGGAGGAGTGTAAGTCATCGGATACATATTACAACATTGCAAAATCAGGTTAACAAACAAACAAACCTTATTAATTTTGATAAATGCACTCACATTAAGCGATGACTAACATTTGTATGCCTATATAGTGAGTACGGTATAGTATTATTTGGACTAATCAATGAAGTTACAGTACTTCAATTGAATAATGATGTCTATTAATCATAAGCAATAGAAGAAAACGTATGTTTTCTAGTGTATGGTTACTTTTACTATTTTAGGGTCAAATTGCTATAACATCAGGAGCCTAATCTTCTATGAATTCACTAATGCTGCATCCCATTGTTGTTTTGAGACCACTACTTCCACCCAATTCCACATATGATGCTATCGTACGACACAGCAGTATAAAGTTGTTTGAGCTAAGTGTCATTATATTTAACTCCGAGAATACGAGCCAAATAGTCCTTATTTCTATGATTTAAACATGCAACAAAGTTTGCTGTCTGCCAGGCATGTCGGATACTAGAAAGAATAGAGGAAAAGAAAAGTCTGTTTAAAGTTATTTGTTATCAACCTAAAATGTACTTTAAAAGATAGAGCAAGGTCAATGACGTGATACTTCAAGTACAGTGCTCACGCGATACTCCACAACTTGATAATTGGAAAACCGATCCCATTCGGGCATCACAGAGGTAATCAAGTCATTGCGTGGGGACTGTAGAAGGAGTAAAAACTAATTCATCATCTTCTTAATACACGTCTGAGGTTTTTCTCAGATGACGGAATACGCGCCTGCTTAATTACGACACAATAATGTGGTAGCCTAGTTGTTGCAGATGGGGAGCCAGAACATACAGTAGTAACATATGCATTTGTTTTCCTGATGGTCCTGGCGATGGAGAATACATTCTGCTACGCCATGTAATTTCGTGCTTCACTAGTATATTATTTGAGTCCCTAGCTTATAATTAGCCGATATTCATGGCTATTGCTCTTTACATAGGTAGTATTTTTTTGACTTACCATTTGTAGTAGTGACAATGATAGCCACATACAGCATCTAATACCACGATAAGCGAACAAGTGGAGTAGTTTATAGTAAGGCTTGACTAATGCAACTTCGTCTTGGAATTACTACAGGCGTGGTTTAAACCTTCTGTATTTTTAGCATCAGTATAAGAGCGTCAACATGGTCATTGTTCTCCAATTGAAAAACTGAAACTTATGCTAACCCGTTAAGCAAGGATTGTTACAAATATGTATTCTAGAAATCAGTGTCGTGTTTCGATTTGAGGAGAAGAGGATAAACTTTAAAATAAGGTTAAGCTTCTAAAACCCGTGGAGATGTTGATCCAAAAGTTGCTTCAGCGAACAAGTAAGCTGGCACACGAGCAGAACCATTGAAGTGGGATTCAAACCCATTTTCTCTTCATTTTAGGGTCTCAGCATGAACAAAAAAAAGTTCATAACAGGTTATGATACAAATAAATAACTCAAATGTCAATATAAAGATGCTACATAGCAAGAGGAAAAGTATGTGCTGTCATCACGTATTAATATTATTCGTCACGTAATGTTGTGATGGTTCATCAATGAGCACTTCGTAGAATCCAATAAAAATAGTAATATATAAAGAGAGACCCTTGCCATTCTTCTCGTTGCCAATAGATCTTACATTTTCTCGAACATACTCTTCTACATCCAATTTTACAACCACGTTCACCAATGCCGACAATCCCAAAAACGTTTGTCGACAATCCACCAGAAGATTATATGGATAATATAAGATCCCGTGCACGCCAGCTTCCACGAAGTGTTCGCTCCTATTTCTCTCAATTGTGTCCCATTGTTTCCTGGCTGCCCAAATACAACTTGGTCTGGTTATCGAGTGATATTATAAGTGGGCTAACGGTGGGCTGTATAGTTGTTCCGCAATCAATGGCTTATGGTAAATGCTTTTTTTGATAACTTTAAATATAAAAAGCATTCTTCTGCTGAGGTCTTATCTTGTACGTATCGCATCATGATATTGTCTAGCAAAACTTGTTGGATTACCCGCACAGTACGGCCTTTACACAAGCTTTGTCGGTTGTGCCCTTTATCCTTTAATAGGAACATCAAAAGATATTAATATCGGTATGCGCTTAAACACTAAACTGACATGTAATACAGCATCTTAAAGATACTAATAATAATGCTTAGGCACCACGGCCATTCAAGCTCTATTCTTGGGCCAGGTTTTTGCTACTGTGCAGGAAACGCCCCAGTATCAATCCGGACTTTGGACTGACCATCAGTTTGCCATAACCATGTCATTTTTCGCTGGCATCATTACCCTCGGATTGAGCTTACTCCAACTTGGCATATTATTCAACTTTATTTGCCAGCCAGCCGTCTCAGGATTCATGGCCGGCAGCGCAGTAACCATCATTATTAGCCAGCTAGGAAAGATACTAGGCATTCATGTTAACACGAACGAAGCGCCCTATCTGATCTTTGGTTACACCCTCAAAGATTTGCCCCATACCAAGGTTGATGCAATTTTCGGTATTCTCTCATTGGTCTGGCTCTATGGAGTCAAGTATGCATGTAAACACCTTGCGAAGCGCTACCCACATCATAAGCGCAAAATTCTCTACTTTAGCACGAGTCGCAACATACTGGTCTTATGTTTTACTACAATTCTGTCGTGGATGATCAACCACATTGGTCAGTATGCGGAGAGTCCGTTCGCGATCCTTGGCCCCGTGCCTCCCGGTTTTCAAGAAATGGGTGTACCACAATTAGATGCTAGTCTTGCTGCTCACGTTTTACCCAATTTTCCAAGTATGGTGGTCCTTCTTATCATGGAGCATTGTTCCATAGCCACTAGTTTGGGCAAGTCATCCGATTATCGGAGTAAGTATATACGATGCTTACATTTGGCGTTTCTGCTAGCCGGAAGTCAGAAAAATAAAAACAAATAATAACTTTGTATGTATTTATTTACTTCCTGTACATTTAGTCAACATTAATCAAGAAATTTTATCACTGGGGTTGACCAATGTATTTGGTTCGTTCTTCTCAGCCTTTCCAGCTACCGGAAGCTTCTGCCGAAGTGCTGTCGCAAGCAAGTCCGGTGCTAAAACACCACTCAACAACACCGTAGTGGCCATCGTCGTCATACTGGCGCTGTATGCGCTTACGCCTGCATTTCAATTTATCCCAACATCAAGTCTAGCGGCCGTGATTGCTCATGCGGTCTCTGATCTAGTCGTGGGGCCTTCGGTTTGGAGGCGTTTTTGGAGCGTACATCCATCCGAGTTCCTTATTTTTACATGTGCCTTTATCATTTCGCTGTTTGCACGCCTCGACATCAGCATCTACGTCGCCGTCATAATTTCCATTGCCGTTCAGCTGTACCGCAGTGCACGTCCTAACTATGCAGTCCTTGGTCGTATGGATACCTTGCATACAAGTGACAGCAAAACTTGCGAGAAGACATCATCACCAGCATCATCAGCATCACCATCAAAATCAACACGAGCCGAGGATGAGCTTGATGCGCTAGCACACAGCAAATTTTTTTCTTTCACGCATCCAATGCTTGGCCAGTACGCAAAGCCAATCGCCCCTGGGGTTACGGCGTTCCAACCACGAGACAATTTGGTTTTCGAAAACTCACTGTTTTTGACAGAGAAACTGCTGGACGAAATCAAACGTACAACGCGCCGTGGTAAGCCCCTGGCCGAAAAGGTCGGAGACAGACCCTGGAACAATGCAGGCGGCGTAAGCAAGACCATGAACAGACCGCTATTACATTCAGTCATTATGGACCTGACTGGCGTGCATCAGATGGACTACTCCGGAATAGAAGACCTCAAAGCGGCTGCCAACCAAGCAGAACGATATTCAGGCAGACCCGTTTCTTGGTTCTTTGTGCTCAATGACTCGTTGGCTGTGCGAAAGTGTTTGCTGTTTGGTGGTTTCGGTAATCAAGAGCGTAAACCTGGTGGTCCCTTCCGATCTGATCTCAGAAAAAGAAGCGACGAAGATAACGGTTATAAGGACAGTGATGCTAATGATGATGACCGAAGTTCCTCGTCCATTGATGGAGGCAGCATCGCTAGTGACGGTACCAATAAGGAGCTGCAAGTGGTCGAAATTGAGGATACGCGCAAGCCTTCAAAAAAGGACGAATCGATCGTGTCGTATGATAATATTTGTGTTCTGGACGATAACATGGGTCATTGCACCATTTCGGAGCTCGATGATGTTTATCCCTACTTTTTCTTTACCATGCGCGATGCAGCTGTTGCCGCATGTTCTCGACACGCAGGTCCAGAAGAACACGCTTTGCCATCATCAATATCATCAATCAAGGCTGACGCTTCGAATATGAATGAAGAAAAAAACATTGAGAAGCAGTAATTTTAACCACAATTCTCATCTGAATCTTTCTTATCCCTTTTTTAGCTTACTAAGTATGTATAATTAGCCATCATTGGGCCTCGTCAAAGTTGGTTGGACCTGGAAATTTACAGGTGTCGCTGATAAAAAATAAAAACCAATAAAAATGGTCCAGGAAAAATTTACTTTGACGACCCAGTTCTAAGCAGTTCAATATGTGAAGTTGCCTAAATAAGTAATTCTGTCACTTTGATTTGTTTTCTCCTTCTTTGCTTCTTGTAGTGGTAACCAAACCACACTACTTTGACATTGATCCGGACAACTCAACCCACTCCGCCGTCTTCGTAACCATTAGAGCGCAGTAGAGAGAACACCACACACACGGATGAATCAAATATTACATAATTAGCACCATATCAATAATCTCTCAAACATGGATCACAATCGAGAATAACTCAGGACCAACCATTGTCAGTACTTTGTTTCAATCCAATATCGATAATCTCTCAAACATGGATCACAATTGAGTCAGCTTCGTTTCAATCTAGCTTATCTGAGTTGAGCGAAGTGTACCTGTCAAAGAGCGGATACCAATTCCAGCCTTGACAAAGATGAGACTTCACCAAACAAAGAACACACTGATAGATCAAGACAAAGATGACTCTTTACAATCGGAAGACAGCATCCATCATTATCATGGCCGACAAACTCAACTCTCCCATCCTTCTTCATCTTTGAAACATCCGAAATCCGGCATGTCCGCGATCCATTCGTCAGTTCATCCAAACGGAAGTCTAGACACTATCTTCAACAGTATATAAAGGGTTGTGAATTCATTCAATAAAAATCATCTCATATTTGACTCTCACTGTATTTCATATCGTCTTTTATTTAACCTCTATTATCTATCCACAACCCACGTTTATCACACTTGTCCACTATGCCTAAGAAGATTCGCCTCACCAAGAAAGCTCGTGTCTTACGGCACTTCGTCAACATTAGCAAGGTCTCCGACAAGATGGTGTGTGGTCAGCATAAGTTCTTAAACGATCTCGACCGGAAATGGGGTTTGATCTCGGACGAAGCAATGCCCATTCATGAAGAAGTTGACATGTCGCTTCTCAATGACGAAGAATTGTTGGGTGACTTCGTTGATGAAGAACTCGAGTTAACGGAATTTGACCAAGAATTTGTCAAGAAGGTCTTGTCAAGCCGTTACTTGGTATCAAGAAAAAGGAAACCTAAAGCCGTCGACCTACGTGAACTTTTGTTTACAACGAGCGACAACGCCGCATTTCGACGCGAATTTCGAATGACCAGGAACACGTTTGAGGCACTGTACGATCTCATCAAGGATGACCGCGTCTTCAACAAAAACGAAAGGAAAATGCGACAGACACCTGTTCGAATTCAGTTGGGAATCGCATTATACCGATTCGGTCACTTGTCGCGCGATCTTGATGATGTGGCTTCAAGATATGGTTTCGGCAAGGGCACAGTTGCTCTCTTCACGGACAGGGTAATTCATGCATTACTGAAGCATATCAAGGAATTCGTATTCTGGCCCAATGAGGACGAGCGCAGCCAACTGAAGAACGATCTTCGCGATATCAAAGACCTCGCATTCAAAGAATGCATTGGTATTGTTGACGGCACTGATGTTGTGTTGCAATACAAGCCAAGTTGGCAAGGCGAACAATTCTTCACGAGAAAGAAAAGATATGCACTTAATCTGCAGATCGTTTGTGATATCAACGATCGGATCCGTTACTTCTCTGCTGGTGAAACAGGGAAGGTACACGACTCGCGCGCTTTCCGTAAAAGTATGATGGGAAAGAATTTGGATTCATTCTTTGATGAATCTGAATACATTCTTGGCGATGCGGCTTACCCTCTGTCACCGCGTCTTGTCACACCATATAAAGGGGAGGCACGACAGATCCCGGAAAATCTTCAGTTCAATCGAAAGTTGTCGTCTGTACGAGGTACGTTGTATTATTACGAATTTGTAATTTGTTCACGTATTCTTGTGTGTTGAGCCATTTTCTTTTGATCTACTTTGTGTATAGTGGAGGTTGAACGCACGATCGGGTTTTTGAAGAACAGATGGCAAAGCTTGAAATGTCTACCAATCATGATCAGAAGCAAACATGATTATAAGCGATGCATGAACTGGATTGCTGTTTGTTGTCTGCTGCACAATTTTGTGCAAAACGTGAAAGATGACGGCTCTTACTTGAGCGTCATTGGTGACCTCCAACGGCGCCGCAATCCAGACGCAGACATGAGCAACGTAAGAGAGCTTCGTCGGACCGGTGATGATGACTTTTGGGGTGATGATGATGAAGGTAACGAGTTCGTTGACACAAGTAGACGTAACAGAGGTCAAATCACCCCAGGCGAAATGATGCGAGTGTACTTGAAGATAGCACTTGGAATCACAGCTCGATAGGCCTTTTTGTTTTTTATTGTAATATTTTAAAACTAAAATCAAAAACAAAACAAACCTACTCTCTCTCTTCTACCCTCCAACACTACTTGCCACACTACTCGCTTCTTCTGTACTCTCCCGTCTCTCCTCTCTTTCTTCTCTCCATATGTACTCTCCCCCATTTTTTTGTTTCAACTCTTCTAATTCAATTGACAGTCGCAAACGTTTTATATATCGCGCGTCGTGTTCATGGTGCAGCCGTTGCATGCGTTCTTCATGTGCCATTTCTTCGCGTCGAGTCTGGGCTCGCATTTTTTCGATCGCAAGGTCCAACTGCTTTTGACGAGTCTTGTGTATTTCAACGTGAAGACGCGAACGTTCAGACATGAAACTCTCAGTAAAATCCATGCTAAAAAAAAGAAAGAAACAAAGGAAATATTCGGTCAATAACAAACATCTGTATATCGTATAGCCCACCGAAATGAGCATTTCAAAAGCTTACGTTTCATCATCCACGTGAAGTCTAGGTCCCGAAGCTTCTCGAACTTCTTCACCAATAGCGTCATCGCCTCGCTGTGATTGATTATCGCTCTCGTCCACTAGCCCACTCAAGCTATCCATTTGGATTTGAGAGTTGGCACCGATGCTGTCGCCGAATATATTCTCGCAATCTTCCCATAGAGGCCACTTAAATTTAACGTAGGCTTTTTTTATATACAGTTTAGTATATACAATGCAATAGGCGTCCTTGTAGATATAATACCACTATATCTGAGCTTACCTTCCCATGTCATATGTGAGTGTAGACCGCCAGGAACACCTTGACCGGACTGGAGATTTTTTTCTCTCGTGTCCTTCTCCCATTTGTCTCGCAACCAATCTACCTTGGTGAGTACTTGTTGTTGTGTGTAAGATGCGGCAAATATGGTCCGGCTGATAGTTGCAGCGGTCGACGACTTGTTTGCAAAAAACCGCTGCTTCCTTTCTGCTACTGCCTTGGCAAGTTTCTTTATATCTTCACTCGTCCAATTGGCTCGTCCTAAAACACATATTCAAACGATAAACAAATGTATTGACGACAACAATTATTAACTAAACAAAAAGAAATGTCCTATACCTGACGTAGTTGTAGTTGGTGCGGTTGCAGAAGGTACTGTTGCTGCTGCGCTTGAAGAGGCTACTGCTGGCGTAGTAGCTGCCGTAGCAGGTACTGATGAAGTTGTTGAATGGCCAGCCATCATAGAATCTGGTACGTGCGTTGCCGATTGTGATCTTGAAGACTGTGCGATTTGCTGGTCACCAGGTGGTATCGATGCTTCTTCGGCCTGCGCGGGCGGTGCTGGCAGCAAAGGCACTCCTCCTGTTTGTGTCTGTGTCATTGGAGAAGGAGGGTAATGAGGAACTTGTGAATATGGGAATGATGGATAAAAAGATGCAGCACCATGCATCACTCCATACGATGGGCTATTTGTCGGTACACTGTTGTCTACGAGGCCGTCCTGCTGCGAACTTGTTTGGGCACTGGTTTGGGGACCATTTTCAGGGTTGTTTGGAATGCGGACACTGAATCGATGTTGTGCCATAATTGATTGATATTTTTGGTACTTACCTTCCGTCACTTACCTGGTCATATTATATATGTTACGTCGAGTGAAACCGGGTGCAAACGGGGCTCAATTGCACGCCGTATATGTACATGAAGGAGAAAAGACGAGTGGTCCATTAGGTCGAGAGTCATGACTGCGCATAAATGAGTAAAAATGAGTGGTTAGTTTGAAAGGAAAAAGATGTTTACCCTGGGAATATACTTACATACATACACTTATTAAAAGAAAGGAAAAGGCCATACGCGATTGATTGGTCAGACTACGGTAGAAACCAGGAACGGGAAGCAATTGGTTAGTATTTTAGTGAAACCGGGAACAGAGAAGTTTTTTCCAAAGCTGATGTAAAAAGACGAAGAACTTGAATGTACAAGAAACGGCATTTACGTATTATATTTTGAACACGAACGAAGATCATTGTCCAACTCCAAATCAAAAATTGTTAAACTGATACAAAATCTTCTATTCAATGTTTATATTAGCATAATCGAAATGTTGTTTGTAGAAACAAAGCCCCAGGTTGTTGTTTGTTTGCTGCTGCCTCAAAAGTTTTTTTATTTTTTGCTGCACTATGAGACAAATTAACGTCAAACAAGATTTTTTGAGTTTTTCTTTTACTTTTTTACATGACATAGCAGAAAAATAGAAAGGTTTATAGTAACCTTAATCAATATGTCCTTATATACTAGTGTTATGCCTTTTATTTCATTCTGATGTGTATAGTTTATTGACGTTTTGTGCTCTTCTTTGCATTAACCGGTGTAATAATTGATCCGTAATGCATTAACCGGTATATTCGTAGGGCCGAGAAACCTACTAAAACAGGTATCTTCAGAAACGTATCTGCATCAAAGACGGTCCAGCTATTTTGCTGAATTTTGCTGGGGGCTTAAAATTCCGCTACCCAATTAAAATTATTTATTTTTTTTGTGAAACCTGTGATATCCCAGGTCCAACCAACTTTGACGAGGCCCATTATATAGAAAATCACTTCGTAGTTCATTACATGAATTTCCCTAAATAAACTAAATCGCCCAAGATACTATACATATAGCATCAAGCACTTAACGCTCCTCTTGCGCTGTTTGGATCATGTTTATCGCATGGAAAAATAATGCAGTACAAACGTACTCATATAGGGCTGCACTTCTGTTTTAATCGTGACCAAGGGCTTTTTGTTATTTATCCAATATAGACATTTTTTAGTTAATTACAGTCATCATTGCACGTCGTTGTACTATCGATTAGTGTCATACCCAATTCTGTATTTATTAGTAACAAAAGAGCTACACATACTACATTTTTCAAGGGAGTAATTGATTAGTCGAAGGTAAACCTTCTTTAAATACAAGTAAACTACCATCAAATACTATGTGGCTGCTATGATAAGATTGAAATACTGCTCCCTGGTTCATTGCCGATGTGGTGCTGACAGCAAGCTATTTAAAATAAAACCGTATCTGCACGTACGTTTTTTTGCTGTCAAACAAAAGCCTTGGATATATCATATATTTATGATATGCAATGCAATCATGTTTATACACAGAGGAACGTGCATATGTATAATGGTCATATGGTATTCTTTTACAAGCTTCCATAACTGCCTACATACTTTCCATATAGCTCAACATCGCTGTACATATAATTGATTGATCTTGATTTGTGAAAACATGCTACAAGTGGCAGTCATACAAAAGGCAGTAATTCGTAGGATAGTGCCGCAGCTCAAGAGTGCTCGCGCGGGAGTGAGTATTTGGTTTTCTTTCCCGGTCTTTATCAATTGGCTCCATTTTGTATCGGCTTTTTTGAGACTTAGGGTAACATTCGATTTTGAAATTCGAGACCCGCCAGAAGTAACTGTATACATATAATGCTAACCTTTGTTGTTAGTTGTCACCGATAAAACCGTGATACACTAGAGTGTATTGTGTGAGGCGCTTAACTTGATGCGATTATATATCGGATTACCACCAGCAACTACCCTTTCATAACTTTCTTTCTCCGAGCCCATCATTTTGTTTTATTGATATAGCTGAACATTAGGGGATTCAGGGACCAGTGTAACGTTTCATAGAGAGTTTGTTCACACATGCAGCTGAAGATCAACCCAGTTGGCTGACGAACGGTTGATAGTATAGGCGATGTGAATAATATCTATAACTTAGTGTTGATGTTTGTTCAGAGTTAAGACGACGACAATGAATGTTGAGAACGTCTAGAAACCTTAGAAGGCCGCATAACGAATATATCTATTTAAAGAAACCCGAAATGCGCTAAACAAGCTTTGATCGACAATAAGCTAGGGCGTTAGGCGAAGATAGAGTACTTGATTTTTGTTGGATCAAAAAGATATCGATCTTTTTTTTGCCTTTTACCCAAAAAACATCGATGTCCGACTAGAAGAAAAAAAAACACATCATTACCATGAGCGTCATCGCCATGCAGCACGCGTAGTGCTCACACAGGACGGCATGATAATAGTGTGGTTGGCATTGGAAAATCTCACTTTCCTCTCGCACACACACGCCATAGTGTCAAACTCAGCAAACTCTAATGGCTGCACCGATGAAGTCAGTAATAATAACTGCTGATAACATTTTCCTTATTGAGATTCAAGTATAAGTTTTTAATCATACAGCGGACAAAGATAAATGCTAGTATCTTACTGGTTCTCGCCCTAAGTCGACGTGGGAAGTGTGTATCAGAAGGGGAAAGGAAGAGCGAGAACGGAATAGAATAGCTGAATATCATTTTGGCGGGAGGAACAGTTCAGAGCCTTTTTTCTTTTGGGAAAAGTGAGATATGATAGCGCAACATCACACTTGCTGTAATATGTATGTAAGGTATGACATCGTTTATTTGTTGCATTTTCTTCATGGACATACATTACATTACATATCTTTAGCCACTCACGCCCTCGTGGACTTTTCCTGTTTCCCGTTTCTGCAAGTATAATGCTTCATATGTTGTTATCCTATGATCATAACAATAACAGTAGCAATGGTAGCAGAGCTTCCCACAAGGTCAGTGCAGACTGCAGGTAGAGAGACTTGGTTCACAGCTCTATAGCTGAGTTGATCTTTGACTTTTTGTAATCATCAACAAAAATTCTACAACAATTAATATGATCTTATTGATTATCACGCCCTTTTCGCATTTGCCTGAAACTGTCTATTTCTCCGATAGAGGTGAGTGAGTGTATGTGTGTTGTGTGTGTGTACACAAGCTTGTCGTATGTATGTCATTCCAAGTTTAAGGAAAAGGAAATCGTTTTGACAATAAGCTTTTCATAAGCAATGAACCTTTGCGGAATGCGGCTTTCTGCTGTTGTTTCCCGAATTAAAACTTTTTTTTTCTGAAAGTGAGGAGGCTGAATTTTGTTGGAGATAACAAAGTAAGTTTAAGATTAAAGTTTTTGTGCTACCAAATGATGGCATACGTAATGCATGACCCACAGCAAAGACAAACAACAAAAATTTAAGCTTAATTTTGGTCATGCGGTTGACGGAGCAGGAAAAAGCAACAACGACAGGAAGTAGGTGCTGATGATAGTGTGGTGAAGCAATGATGCGCCCTGTAAAGTATTGAGCCAGAGGACTTCCAGCTAAAAGAAAAGTAAATAATGCAGGCCTGTAATTGTTTGGCACACGTTTACCGGGAATAGCATCATCATCGTCATAGCCACCGCACATAGTATGGCCTTTTGCATACTAGTTAAAATCATTATATGAGCTCATCACCAACGAATATAAAAGGGGTTGTCGTGAGCTTGCAAGGCAATAGCACTATTTCTTTCTCATGCTCCATGGAATATACATATGTTATCACTCTTTGTATAAGCCTGTATGCGTAGCTACTAGTTTAGCGTGAGCAATAATATGTTTGTTGAGCTCATTATCGCCTTGTCGTGGTACGGTGAATCAGGCACACAGGTAGACAACCCACATTCATGGAAATGGTGTTCTTTCTTTTCCTTTATAATAGGATCGATGCTAGTAGCAGGAGACATTGATGCAAGTAATACAGTGCATCAGGCTACTTGTCAGTGATGGAAAATGAAGAAGAAGTACACTTAGAAATCCGTCCATGAGATCTAATAAAAATCATAATCAGGAACGTTCCCAATGTTCCTCCTTCTATTATCATCTGCAGCAGCAGCAACATTGTCATCAAGCACATCACGGGAAGAAGGTGCTAGATGTTTACGTTCTCTGATACTAGTGAGATGCTGATGATGTAACTCGCTCTTTGACCACCTTACAAACTATTTGGGATCATGTGCATAGAATAGTGCAACGCGAGTCCTAAGTTATGAAAAACTTGACATTGGTCAAGAAGAAACCTGCATTAAAGGAGTAGTAGCTACAAGCAGGTTGTAGGTGGTGGCGATGTATCAATAAATGGCAAAAATCTGGGGTATACAAAGTCTTATACGGTCTTCGTGTTTGCGAACAAGCGTACAAACTTTTTCTCAGGCAGCAAATAAAGGAGGTGGGAGGCCATTGTCGAACATGTCCAAAACAGGTAACCTTTCAATAGCCTTTTTCTCCGGGTAACCGCCAGCAGTCTACTTAGTGCAGAAGTTCAGCTTTTAATATGAGAACGCAAAGCTTGCATCGATGCATGTATGTACTGGAGGGGCTGATGTGGAGAATGCATCGCATTGGCATGGCGGGAAGAGGGGGACTAGACCCAATCATGGACCGTATCGAATGTTAGTCGATAATTGAACGCGCGCCTCTGTCAGTTGTTTCAGACGACTGGTTCAATGCCACGCGACAACGAGATGAGTGAGAAACCAAAGACATCGTGGAGTATAAAATGACGGCCGTTGGATCGATAATTTTTTCTTTTCTTTCAATTTATCACATCCATCTTTTCTTCCTTTTTACTGCCGTTATCCGCACTTTTCGTATATTGGTTGCTACGCACACTCTCTCTCCTTGCTCCCAGCAACCTATCAAGCAAACCGTATCATCACCATGTCAACGACGGCTTACGTCGACAGCCCTCCACCCAACTACATACACCAAGTGCGATCTGAATTTCGGCGATTCCCGGATCATGCTCGATCGTACTTCTCGGACATGCTGCCAATCATCAACTGGCTGCCTAAGTACAATCTGCTGTGGTTGTGGGGTGATCTCATTTGTGGAATTACTATTGGCGCCGTTGTTGTCCCACAGAGTATGGCGTATGGTAAGCATCTCATTGGTTGGTTCATTTGACACTTTTTTATCCACTTTTCCCGCTGACTTTCTTGTGTTACAATAAAGCCAAAATCGCCTCCCTCCCGCCGGAATATGGTCTCTACTCCAGCTTCGTTGGCGTGGTCATATACATGTTCATGGGCACTTCCAAAGATATCAGTATTGGTAAGTAAATGTTGCTGAGCGATGCAAGAGTTAAAAGAAATTCACCATCATGCATAACCCTAACTCTGTCTCAATTATTTGTGGGTGGGGGTTTGTTTGTTGGCTGCAGGCACTAGTGCGATTATGTCTCTGCTGTTTAGTCAGATTTTCCTTGGCATCCAAGCAACGCCTGAGTTTCAATCTGGCGAATGGACCACGCATCAGTTTGCCGTCACTATGGCGCTGTTCGCAGGCATCATTTCGCTAGGCCTAAGCGTGCTACGACTGGGCATCCTTTTTCATTTCATTTGCCAACCCGCCGTTGCTGGGTTCATGGCCGGCAGTGGCTTGACCATCGTCATCAACCAGTTCAGCAAAATATTCGGCGTCTCTAACATCAACACAAGCGAGGCCCCCTATCTTGTTTTCGGCAAGACTCTGATCAACTTGAACCACAGCACCGTCGATGCCATATTTGGCGTGCTATCACTTATTTGGTTATATGGCGTCCGCTACCTTTGCCAGTATCTGACCAAACGCTATCCACAACATGCCCGCAAATTTTTCTTTTTCAACATTAGCCGCAACGTTGTCGTTATCGTTTTTACAACGTTCTTGTCGTGGCTTATCAATCACTTTGGCCACTACGAAACTAGCCCCTTTGGTATCCTCGGTCCTGTACCAGCCGGGTTTCAAAATATGGGAGTTCCGGAAATCGACTCTGGACTGGTGGCCGAGATCATGCCCAACATCCCTAGTGTGGTGACCCTTCTTATCATGGAACACTGTTCCATCGCTACCAGTCTGGGCAAACAGTCTGATTATCGAAGTAAGTCCAGAGATTGCATCCGTTGAGAATATCCCCTTTTTTCTATGAGAGTAAACACTAAATGCATATGTACGATTATTTTTAGTCAATGTGAATCAGGAAATTATGACCATTGGATTAACCAATATCTTTGGCTCCTTTTTCTCTGCATACCCTTCGACTGGAAGTTTCTCACGTTCGGCCGTTACCTCCAAGTCTGGGGCTAGAACACCGTTGACCAACATCTTCGTAGCCATCATTGTCGTCTTAGCGCTTTATGCATTTACACCTGCATTCCAATATATACCCAATGCTAGCCTTGCTGCAATTATTGCGCATGCTGTGACCGATCTGATTGTGGGCCCCTCCGTCTGGCGTCGTTTTTGGCGCTATCATCCATCCGAACTCGTCATTTTTGCAGCTGCATACATCATTGCATTGTTCACGCGCATTGATATTAGTGTTTATGTACCCGTCGGCCTGTCATTGATTGTGCAGCTCTACCGAAGTGCGCGCCCTGAATATGCAATCCTTGGCCGCGTGGCGATGAACCCTGCTTGTGACAGCGAAAAAAAGGATGCCATTCAAACTGACTATGACGAACTGGCCGACTGCAGGTTCTTTTCCTTTACTCATCCGACTCTGGGCCATTGCGTTCGGCCCATCGCCCCTGGCATTGTGGCGTTCCAACCGCGCGAGAACATGCTGTTTGAAAACTCCGTGTACTACTCTGAAAAGCTGTTGGATGAAGTTCAGAGTACCACGCAGCGTGGTAAACCGCTTGCTGAAAAGATAGGCGACCGGCCTTGGAACGATACAGGCGATACGGAAAAGGGACCGGACAAGCCATTGCTTCGTGCCATCATCATTGATATGACTGGAGTGCATCAAATGGATTATTCGGCCGCAGAGGACCTGAAGGCAACAGTAAAACAGGTCGATCGGTACTCTGGCAGGTCAATCCCATGGTTGTTTGTACTGAACGACTCGATGGCTGTCCGCAAAGGGTTACTGTATGCGGGATTCGGCACCCAACGACGCAAGGTTGGTGGTCCTTTCCGCTCGGATCTCCCGAAAAAGAAGAAACAAAACAATGCCGGGGACAACAACAGCAGCAGCGAATCTGGAGACGAGAACGCTGGATCGGATGATAGCAAAGATCCAGGCAAAGCTCAGCAGCAAGTAATCGAGGATATTTACAAGCACCATAGTTCCAGTAAAAACAATAACAGCGACGCTGCCGTGTCGTCCGACGATTGTGATTCGAGCTGCTGGTCCAACCAACAACGCTGTAACTGTGATACCATTAGTCATGTCGACGATGTATATCCCTACTTTTTTGTCACTATGCGCGATGCTGCTTGTGCCGCCTATGTCTGCAATCTCGATATTCCTTCATCTATTGCATCTGAACACGCGCCTTCGGTTATAGACGAGGAAAAGGGACATAGTCAGCATCAGCAGCAGCATCAGGAGCAGCATTAGTGTATATTCTTCAATTGTTTTGCTTTATTCCCAATACCGCAAGTTTCTGTACATAATCATTTCATTCTGTCTCCTCCCTTCTTGTTCTTATACGTAGATTATACATACTTCTTCTATTCATCTGTTCTTTTTTTCTATTATAATATACAGTATTGCTTCTTTTTTTCTATCAGACACAGTAAATCATGTTTCACAAAATGTGTAGTAAGGAATTGAACAGTTCACAACTGATCTCAAGTATTAGCTATTGTGCGCACTCTTGCGTTTCGTGGCCAATTCAGCTGCTCATACAATGGTGAGAATAATTGGGAGGAGTGTCGCTGGTACATATTTGCCTATATGCAGCGATTTGTTAAGAGCCATATTATATCATGTGGTCAAATGTTTGCATAGTAAAATAATAACCTCCACAATGCGCGCTTCTTCAAGACACTCTTGATACTGGTTGCCGGTCGATATAAGTCGACACAAAGAGCTATGATAGCAAGTCGAAGCCCCTTAGGCATTGATAATACAGTGGAAATCGTGCTGTGAGCTAGATGGGACGATTTGCTTCTCTAATACTGTACTAGCAGATGACATATCCGTGTAAGCAGTACTTTTCTGTGGTAACCGGGTGCTGATCCACTCTGCAGTTTGTTTTCTGGCATCCGGCCTATTTTAAAATAATAGTATGATAAGAGGGAATCGTGATCACCATATAGAAAAATAGACGGCATACAACGGTGAGCATTGAAGGAAAGATACACTTTAATCTGATTGTTCATCTCCTGCAGATGCATTGGCAATAGTTAATGTATACGAGAAGTTGTCATCGATGTATACATATCAGCAGCGATATAGTGTGGTACAGATAAATTTCATGCCTGGATCGCCAATCCTTTTGTATACCGACATATTCACCCACACGCGCCATTCCTTAACATGAATATCGTCTTTACTCTCCTTTCTTTATTATATCCGTGATGATGATATAATTGGACCAGACTTAATACAAGGTGGTATAATGATCAAGATGATGCTCATCAGATGCTATATCTTGATACTCAAATCAATATAAAACCAGGGTGAAGGAAGCACCCTTTTCTATACCAGAGTCGTCAGATTCAATGTAACCTAGATCTCGGATAAGATTGATTTCCCTAACCCGATTTGTAACCAAACGAAGGAGTGGTGATCAGAATGACAGTGCCGCACAATGAAGCGAGGCAAAAGAAATGGATTGTGTCGTATTGTACATACTCCTCCTTTCGCTGCGATGAACGGCACGCAGCTTGTGCCGACCACGTCTTATGTTAGTACTGTCGCTTACACAGTTAGTAAAGTGAAAGCGAGTAGTATTATGACTTGGTTTTGTGTGAAGATGAGTGATCCGAAGGGAAGCCGAAAATGACTGTGCATACCTTACGAGCAAACACACCCAAGCCAAAGAAAGCACGATATTATGTTTACGGATGGGCTATTTATCCGTTTCACCTTTTTTGAGAATTGATCGCAACAGCCAAAGAAGGTTAAACCAAAACGCACACATAAACTTTTGGGTTTCTTTTTGTGGATGTGTGTTGCTCCCGCACTCCACTTTTCTTTTCATTCTCTTTCCCATTGTACAGCTCTTATTGCTCACCACCAATCAAAAAACCATGCAAATTTGAACACTATCGCTTGCCTCATGGCGAAATCGCGCTCTCGGAAGCAATAATGAAGAGACGACTCGTTTACTACCCAAGAAATCGTATTCTCCAATATCCAATGGTACACTAGGAAAAGGCGGTGCTCTTTATGACTCTCCAAAAAATGCTAACAGTGTCAATTTCTACAAACTAGACCTCAACAAGAAGCAACAGGATTACTCCTGGCAGCAGGATCTCAAAGAGGAGGCCCTGTCCATCCTGAATTACACTTGGCCATTGCTCATCACCTTTGTTATTGGCAAAGGCATGGGGTTGGTGGATGTCTGGTTTTTAGGACGATTGGGATCGGAAGGTACACCATGTGCTTATTCACGAAGTTGCATGAACGCGAGAAGGAGGAATTTTTTCCGCTAATACTGTAGCGCCGTTAAACTTTTGCAGTAATGGCTATTGTGAGCCTCGGAAATCTTTGGTCAATAGTAGCCGGCTTAGCTTTTGGGAACGGCCTCTTGACAGGTAAAATAATGTAATGCGAATACTGCTCACGGAAAAACTCGGTGAAACGACATAATGGTGCAACATATTTAAGCTTAGAGATTTGATACATACGTATGTTTAGCCATCGATACACTAGTGTCTCAGGCATTCACCGGTGCTACCGACTCAAGGACACTGGGCATTATTTTACAGCGCGGCATTGTCATTATGGGATTTCTAGCAGTGCCAATTATACTCCTTTGGTACGTTCAAATAAATCCCTGTGTATGGATTGTTTGTTTATTCTTACTGACCCATAATTATCAATTAGGACCTATACCGAGTCTATCCTCACACATGTCATGAAACAAGAGCAGCATTTGGCACATCTCACCCAGTCCTATATTTATGTATGCATGCTCCTTGTTTATCCGATATTTATATCTACAGCGATCCGTAAATTCTTACAAAGCCTTGGTACTTTTTCTCAATAACAACATCGTTACCATGGTCACTGTGTCGTACAACAAACAATAACAACAGAAAACGCTAACAACAAAACCTTTTCTCGCTTCTTATATATATTCAGGTCACATGCGTGTTACCATGATGATGGTTATAGCTATCTTTCCATTGAATTGTCTTTCCAATGTTTTGCTCCTTCATGTGCTCGATCTAGGATATATGGGTGCTGCTTTACATTTTGCATTTTTCCATGGCATCATTTTGGCCGTTTACTTCATCGTTTTGTCGTTTGGCACTAGATTCTGGAGCGCTTACTGGCCTGGGTGGAGTGTACGGGCACTTGATAGCTGGGAGCCGTTCTTGAAGCTTGGTAAGTCTACTTCTACATGCTATATACAATTCGTCGTTCTCTACATTTTCGTGATGATTAAGCCAAAACGAAAATCTTAAATTTTAACTTTATCTATTCAAGTATTCCCGGTATGCTCAGCGTGGCAACTGAATGGGCCTTTGAAGTGTGCGCGTTGTTGACAGGTAATAAACAAAAGACATATGGGACGATAACATTTTCTTTATGTCGTAACCATCCAGTATGAGGAGATATACGATATATCAGTCCACAATAACTCAATAAGCTACGATTATGTACGTTTGACACAGGTGCATTAGGAAAGACAAGTTTGGCAGGACAAGCCATTGTCCTGTCAGTGAACGCGGTACTCATAATGATCCCTTCGTAAGTTTAGCATAATGTGTTATCTGAGAGTTGTATCCCTGTTTTGACAATCAACATATTTTAGTGCGCTATCCAGTGCTGTTGGTGTCCGCATAGGCCACCACGTCGGAGCAAATAGGCCATGGAAAATTCAGACATGCTTTACCTTATCCGTTCTCATGGGCTGCATTGTCGTATTATGCAACGCATCTTTTATGTTATTGTTGAAACACCAGATCGCCGCGCACTTTTCGATGGATGAAGAGGTCATCCAAGCAGCCGAAGACCTGATGCCTGTCGCCGTTTTGTCACACATTTTCACGGTATGTACGGGTTTTTTTGAGCCCTATTATTCCATATACAATAAGCGTCCTGACAGTTGTACAGTACAGGATTATGTGGAAGCTCACACACTAACTGTTATATATTACATACAATAGGGATTAAGCTCTGTGTTTTCAGCTACACTTAATGCCCTAGGCAAACAATCAATAGTGGCTGCGTCCAACCTTTCATCCTATTACATGGTCGGTTACCATTCGGGCTGTGGATGACTTACTGCTATGACTGGGGATTGGTTGGCATATGGTCTGGCGTGACAATGGCCGGTTTTATTAAATGCGTGGGCGAAGGTGCTGTCTTACTCTTTTGTATCGATTTCGAATTAGAATGTCGGAAAAGTAGTCGACGAATTGGCACACAAGACATCAATCCAACTATACCTACTTCATCTCCTGTCACTACAGCCCCTACTATCAAGTCATACACGATAACACCATCCCTTGTCAATAATTAACCTTCCACATATAATTAGTTGACGCAATTACTTCTACCAATCCACAATTTTTACACGTTAGAAAGGTCGATTTGACTACTAGTGCTGTTACTATAACATGATCCAATACTGTATATTCCAACTCTTGTTACCATTACTTTCCCAAATACAATATTTAAAACATTCATATATGTAGAGCTATACAAAGCTGAGCATATATGTTGACGTCATGCTTTAATCGTCTTCTGTACCAAAGTATCGATCACCAAAGTTGCCGATGCCCGGCTCAATGTACAATGTTTCTTTTGATAAAACAGGATCAACCATCGAAGTGACAATTTTGACACGAGGAAAGGCTTTTGCAATGACGTTTAGGCCCACTGGGGCAGCGAGGAATACGGTGAGAATGATATGATTCTACAAGGAAACGTAGTTGCATGTAAGAGAAAAGTCAACAATGTACATGTTGTAAAGTGCAAATTGCAAAGTTATCAATGCAATAATACCTCAGGAACCTCATGATCTAACAGCACTCGGATAGCCATTAACCCAGCCGCACCAGTACCAATGGTTGCATCCTAAAACAGCAGAATAAGCAAGTCATTAGAGGATATTGTAAAGCGCAGAGAGATTGAGCAAGCTCATACCATTAGAATAACGTAATGATCTTTAACATCCGCCGGGAGTTTACAATAATGAAGCTATTTTGAAGCAAATGAGAAAACGCACGAACGAGCCTGACGAAAATTGCATTATGTACACTCCTCGCAACCGCCGCTATAGTTTAGATTACGACAACTTACCTGCGGCTCACCAGTACTTGGATCAGTTTGGATCAAAATCTTGCCTATTACGGCGTCATTGTACACGCGACGTAAACCCGTTTCCATTGTTCCACCCGCACGCAAAATAGAAACGCCACAAAGCTATTTGTTTTTTCCCATCAGTGAGACATCCATTGTAGGGAAAGATGCAGTCCCTCGTTCCTTTTAAATCCTTGTTTACCTTTTGTTGGAATACCATACCATCGTATTCTGCTTCAACGGGTGTGGTCACGGTAGTCTTTTCAAACGGTAATAAGTTGAAGGCTCTGATTTTTTGAATGTGCATTCTCCTTTATATAAGTAAAGCAAGCTTTATATCCCCTTCGATTACTTCTAGGACTTACGCTTCGACAATGATGGTTGACAGTCGTTCGGCATAAAAGACAAATTCGTCTCTTGGAGTAGTTCTATTACGTAGAATTGTATGCATACCCTTCAATTTTAATGTAAAATTGATCAGTTTCTTCTTACACATTTAATGTTATGATGAGCTACATCGACTGCAATTGTCGTATCAAGACTACTAACCTTAATTTGATTTGTTTCGGGCAAAACCATCACGTCCGGTGGAACTGCATCGTCAATAGGCGTGTTAGCGAGATCCCACCGTAAATGCATTCGACGTTCTGTCAACTCTCGTTGAACATGCTTAGTAATCAAATCGATAGCTACAACATTTTCAAGACCTCTTGGAATGATCTAGAGGCACTCGCATTATTTTTCAAATCTTCTTGTTACTTGTCCTTCTGTCTCTCAAAATAATACAATTTTAGAAAACTTACAACGTCTGCGTATTTAACCGTAGGCTGTATATAGTCGTCAAATGCCGGCTTGACAAATCGTGTATATTGCTAGTAAATGGTTTTCGGTTGGATATCTATTTACATTCTGCAAATTCTTTTTAATTCTTGCATCATCCCGGCTTACCTGTAGTACTCCTTGTAAATCTCGTCCTCTTTCAGCGATATCACGCTGCACTGATTAAAGAAGTATCATTTTTTTAAGCATTTGGATCTGAAAAAAGAATTTGCTAATATAGACGTTTGGCATACTTACATCGTCTAGCCAATCGAATATCAGCATCCGTATCCACAAAAATCTATATGCGCGCAAATAAAATCAGCCAGTCGCCAAAAAGAATATAGGTTTCACATTTACTAGCAATTTCTCGATGCCTTTCCCATCATTTTGTACCTTTAAATCCATCAGATCCCTGATCTTCTTATTGTATAGTCCATAGATGCCCTCAAAGATGATTACATTCGCACCATAAATCGTAGTAGTTTTGTCAGTTCGTGCATGTAAAGAAAAGTCATAGTTGGGTATCTGAACAGATTTGCTGCAATCACGATGAAGAAGAAAGTGATGTTGCTTATAAGAATCATGTTTCTACTGTTAAACTAAGAGTAGTTGGATGGAAAGCGGTCACTGACCCGTGCTTGAGCTTGCATAGCGCGTCAAATAGTAGGTCATAATCGATTGATGACGGATGATCGAAATTCCAATTACTACATTTCAATATGATTTACACCACAGCGATATAAGTTCCTTATTTTAATATTTCAATCTAGTAACTGAGCGCTCATGTACGATATCCATAAACAAACGGATAGAACTTTATCTTCTTACTTTTCATGTGCAAGTTTACTTTGTTCCGGCTTCAATACGTTGTAAAACGAATCCATCGAGACAATGACGACCCACGGAACGTTAAGATTTTTTAAAATTCGCCTATGTTTGAAGCATTTTATTTAGACTCACTACTTTTGCTTTCTTCACATTATTTGAGAACACAAAAAAAAGGCTACACTCACTCAGCAACACTCGTCTTTCCGCTAGCACTACCACCTACATGAATACGTACAAAGCATCAAGCTATTTATTAGGCGAATTTGCGTTGTCTGGTTTTCATTATTATTATCGTTGTTATACACACCGGCTACACCAATCACGTAACTTTTCGTCACAGTGCCATCAGCACTGCAAGTATGAAGTACAAATTCATTTTGAGTAGCGTTCTTTTTTTTTCCTCAATTTGCAAATGAAAATCTCGAGTGTGCTTTAACAACGAGCATGAACCAGCATCAACTTACTGATACCACGGACTAAACGTTATCGCAAAAGATGAGACATTGAATAAAAAGAAAAACAATCTCTTTTCTCAAAATTTTATTCTAAAAACTCTTATAATTTACCTTCTTCCGGACGAATTAAGCTTCAAGATTTTCTTGTCACCCATTTGAAGACTGAAATAAGTTCAGGACGTGAGAATCAGAAAGGGGTTACTATGATATCATCATCCCCGCCAACATTTTTTTTCTCGCGGTGATCACTCATGCTGTCCTGTGGCGTGGTTTCAGTTTTGCATTGATTTTATCGGGGAGGGGTGGGGGTAGGACGGTTAAACATTGTTTGCAGCTATCTAACCATGATGGATTGACAACCACCACATGGTTTGTCTATACGGCGTGATTGCTGTCGCTGCTTTACATGGAAGCAAAAATTACGAGTCATGATCTTATTATGTGGAGGGTCTTCTCCGCATATTACTACAATCTATATTATATTGTAAGGATAGAAATGACAGCTAGTCATATGACCATGCACAATTAACCGTGTTCGCTCAAACAACATGTCTTGATCTATTAGCGACGGTCTATTGTTATGGGTCAATTGCTTCCACGGGACAGCGACACCATCTATCATCACAATTGCAGCTATACTCAGTGTATACTTTTAGACTTTCAGCGGATTAATCCTCGAAAAAAATTATCGGCCGTGAAAAGTTGACCTAAAGCTTTTGGATATCTCAAGCCTGGGTAGAAATGTAAAGCTATAGGATGGACACCATATATCAAGTTACAAATAAGAATGTTTTTTCTTTTACGGGATTAACATTACGTATAAGCCGTATCTAAGCAGAATTGAAGAATTACCAAGCAGTTAGAACCTTGTCTTTCATATGATCTGGAAGCCTTTTGGAAAATTCGGCTCGTTCTTTTGGTACGAGGTGACTAGGAATTGCTTCAAGCTAGATAGCCCTTTGAGGCCGTCCAAAGCAAGCGATGGAATAAAAGTCATTGTCTTGGTGCTCAGGCGTGAATTACACTCGATGACGGGTTGACTTGAAATAAACCGTTCGTCCAATATTCAATGAGAACGCCTACACTAACTTGTAATTTACACATACGACATGGTGAGTTTTTAGATATGGAACTCCATTTGCCGGCGGGACAGAATCCTAAGGGTTAAAACAAGCTCAATTCAGACACTACATATCAAGGATAGCAACTCAATAAGAGGTGCCGACCGACTTGCTTAAACTTCCAAGCCAGAAATGCCTTTTTGGAAGAGCAATGTAATCGAACCATTATCAGTGTGTGCTCCAACACGAACTATGATGTAGCATGTCAAAATATGTCCTTCATTAACAGTCGACGAGTGTATGTGTGTAGCGAAAAGGCGCAGCCATCTATCCACTTTAGCTCTTCACAAACCTAGCACTTTGTATTTAGCTTCCCCTCCACGAAGATGCTTCATAATGCAAAGAGTTTCGCCTAACTTGACATTTCAAAAACATGGTATCGAGAAAGCCACTCTCAACCTTCTTATTGTTCAGGTATCTCTAATGCAATAGCAAAAGCCTCCAGCACCTAGACTACATTCTCGGTAGAATACTACAACTTGTGTTTTAACTTCGCGCAATACATCAGGTAAAGGATCATTTTTTATACTCCTCAATTACGATTGGGCCAAAGTTAAATCCTCTGTTGTTGGCAGTGTCAATTTTAGCTGGTTGTTGTAACCAATTAAACCCATTGATTTTCTCTGGGAGGTGCAGTTATTGTTGCACGGTGTTGCTCGAGAAGATAGAAAGGAAGGGTTCTTACTCTCTGTGATCACCTTGTTTCTGAGTACTTTGATCTAACCTATGGTAATAACGATTTCAGCTCCGTGTGTTTTTATTAAACTTGCAGCATACTACGTATTACAGTACCTTTACACGTAAAGGCCAATGTACCCACGGTTAAATTTAGAGGTGCCGCTTGCTTCTTCTCCAAAAGAAGATCGTAAAACTTCTTCGACTGGTACGCAGCAGATTGCATCATACGGTAGATATAATATTTTCATTGTAATCAGCACATCATTATTGAGTCTGGATAATATCGGACGGTTGCTGCATTTCTCACTGCTATCTTTTACCAGGGCAAACATACTTAAGATCATATCCTTAGAACTTGATGGTTTGTAACATAGAAATATCCAATTGTTGTACATGCTTCAAGAATTTCGCGAGCGATAATCACTGAACGATCCGAAAATATGCGATAGTCAATTACTGGAATTTGACAAACCATAACTGTAATATTATAGCACCCTGAGGAGGGGTGAGAGAAAGAGAGATAAAAATCGATCAATGACGAGATGCCAGAAGAAGGAAGAGAAAGAAAAGGTATTCTGTCTACGTATACCAATCCCATAAATTACACACAGCACCGGACTATGTAATGTGATGTAAAATAATCAAGAAATTATATGGTGGCGTGTTTGTATCAATGAGTAGCGTAGCTGTGTGCAACCTTGTCACCACCATCATCATCATCATCATCATCCAAACAGCAGGATACCATGATACTATATGGTTGAAGTTGAGAAGCCAATGAAATTATATTTTTTCAGAGGTATGTAATGAGAAGCCCGTTCTCTAAACTGACATATGATATCCTCTGTACTGTCCCGTTTGATATCATAGTTGGCAATTTGGAATCTCATTTGCATCATCACAAAAATGTGAGGGTATCGGGATGCTCAAGCCAGCCTAGCACTGAATCCTGAGTTCGAGCGATGTTTGACTTTTCTGTCATTTCGTGATACATAACATGCCTTCGGATAAGCTTATCATTCGCACATGCTCTATAGGTATCATACTGCGATGAACTAAGATAAGCTATTATTATTATCTCAGGCAAGCGTAACAGTGACCGCACTATATCCAGCCAAAACACTTGTGAAGCTTAATGAGAGCTTCCAGTTCAACAACGGTATCGCAACACCACAATTAATAGATACCGAACTGGTGACTGGATGAGAATAGTGTAGTAGTGTGCTGAACAGCCTACTGGCGACCAGCAGGATGTTTAAAAGCAGTTATCTGAGAAATCTGATAACAACGATTACAACATTGCCGTGATCAGCAGTGAACGGGTTGAGTCTGTACTATGTGGTGGCTGGTGGTAGGTAGAAAATTGAAGAGGGTACAGTATATAACAATTTGGATTAGGTGGAGGTGGTTTGCGACATTTGCTTATGCACCATAGCACAGTGTCTATATTATATGGCAAGTACATTAAAAGTACCGTAATATCATACGTGTGAGCTTATTTCATTATATTGCGTATCTACGGCTTTTACTCTGAAGCCATCATAGTTTAATGATGACGATGACGTCGAAAATGATGTATGCTCAAGTACTATCCAAGTGTCTACCGGGAGTAATACTATATATGCACTCCTGCATATGGGACATCCATGGGAGTCCAGAACATTTTTTGTTCGTAATGCAGCACTTAGCATCAATTTCTCCAAGCAAATGATTATTATATGCACCATGGGGGTGGATCGAAACGTCGGTGAGCTTGCAGCATATCTGTTTCAATTTCATTGTCGTGCTCGAGGATATGTCAGCAGAGCCAAAAAAGAAAGGATTCGCAGTACTCTTACTCCTTAGAAAATTGACCTACATACCAGGCTGATGAGATTGTTATGGTGACGGTGTCGCAAATTCATGCAGTGCAATCATACTACAGATATCATGATCAAGGGGCAAAACGTCAAGTCAAAGAACGGTTAATTTGCCCTTAATCCAACAATAAACGATCCTATATCATAACCTGTTCGAATCGTTAAGCACAGAACATATCAGAAATAGCGTAATTACTGATTTAGGCATATGTATTATATATGATACATACTATAGTCTTCGTCAGAATATATCGATAAGACGTAGCAAGTAGTGACTATGATACCTGGTAAATGGAAAGCATAAGGTCTATTCTCCTCGGCATTGATAATAGATACCGTATCAATTTCATAGACCCCTAACTGTAGGCTTTAGTTCGTAAGGTTCTAGCATAACTAGTGCAATTTGTTTCCTGCCAAGCTAATAATACAGCACTACCATTTGTATGACCGATATAACCAAGTAGCGGAAGTGTGTTAATAGGGAGGGAAGAGATAATAAGAGCTAGTATGATCAACGAGTTGATGAATAATAATGAATGTGATCTTGTTGCAGTAATTGCGTTCGAGCAAATATACTGATGTGCTTTTTCTATGTGGTGGCAAGCGATAGCAGCGTGAACACCGATTGAATATCATATGTACCGCTAAATAAACAAGCGCGAGTAGGGGCTGTCGATAATGAAAAGATAAGACTCAGCAGCATTAGCAGCAGCAGCAAGTAGTCGCGTAAACATTAGAAACGAGCCATCAATTCGATTATTACGGCTACCACGAAACATATCCCCTCCTACCACTATGTACTTCTCCACATTCTTTGCAAGGCATATCATATGTAGTTCACCAACAGATATATAAAGGGCGGTTGTCGTGTCCTTTTACACATTTCATTTTCAACTTTTTTTCGCCCTACGTGGCTGTAGTAAGCTCCTCTTATCTTTGCTTTGCAAATTCTAGGATGGATAGAGAGTAGTATGTATTGATTGTTTTTCTTTTCATTAAAGAAAGATCAAATGTAATATCCATAATAAGTATGCCCCATCATACTAACGGAATTTCAGCAACACTATATTATGTGCTGGAAGAATAAAGAGCGTTGAGTTGTGATTGTATTCGCATGCTGATTCAACGTTCACTTTAGGAACATATACCGAGGCCTCCTCTACTCATTGTGCAACCATATTCTGGCCTTCCTCGTTTTGACATCAGAATGGTGGAATCATTAGAGGTATAGGTAACGAGCACAAGAATTTATGCTCTGACTATTGTGATAGTAATCGATATGAAGCATTGGCAGTATATACTGGTTGCTGCTATTTCCTACTTGTGAATAAATAGGAGTCCCTATTCTAATTTATTAGTCTGTCAAAATTCTTGTGCTAGCTTCTTCAGTTCTACTGCGGTAATGCACTTTATGTTTTCAACTAGCATATACAAGGACGAGGAGAAAAAAAGCAGAAAAAAAAGTTGGACAAAGAGTAATAGGCCACTGTTTCTCAAAGGACAAATAAGCAGCGTAAAGAACGGATAGGGGGTGAAAAAACGAGAGGTGCATATGCGTGGATTAATGATTTCATTAGTTTCGCCTCGGCATTTTTCGTTATCAGGAGTTCATCAGCTTTCAGGAAATTGGCGACCTATTATAGAGTGAGTAAAGCTTGGCGATTGTGGCAAGAAAGAGAGGGAAAAGAAAGCTGCTGCTGTACACAGAAATCCCCTATTTTCTGTAAGCTCCTTCCCTCATCTTTACATCTTTTAAGTCCGCAATTTGGTTGCAGGCGGTGAGGAGGAAGAGCAGCACACAATCGCACTTAAACAAGCGGATACGCTCTATTTTTTTATACCACGAGGTTGTCTTCATGCCCTCTTTGTAGCTGGTGTCGGTTTTGTTCTTTAGTGAAGATGATAACGAAGGAACTCGATCGTTTTTACAATGTGTAACGCTAAATGTTGTTGCTGAATGGGCGATGTCAAATGATATATGCTACTGCAACCACAAAGCATAGCCAAAATCTAAAAAAAGCTCGTGCAACACACACGTCAAAACACTATCCGAAAAATTGTGACCCAGCTGTTTGGGTAGGACCTCATCACTATCACTATAATCATTGAGATGGACACGCATATCAAAAGAACCGATGAGTATATAGCCAAGAAAAGAATGAAATGTGTTGTATACATTATAAAGTGCAAGATACGACACGAGAAAGTACAAAGAGTGCGTAACCGGATCACGGATCCAAATGTATCCGGTAATCCCAAGAACATATGAAGAAGAATAACATTGGCTGCAGATCAATTACGTATAGCGGCATTTTCCAGTCGTACCCGAAAAGGGCAACTGGGACCTGAGATCGACAGTAACATCAGGCCTAATTCGGTCTTTGCCGGGCTCTTGGTCTTTTCAGATATTGGCTCGAGATCTCCGGTTCATTATGCAAGGAACACCAATTACCTTACCACTTCTCTACTCAATTATCACACCACCACCACCTTTACTACTACTATTACTACTAATACGTCCTAGATACACACTAACCAGAACCCCACCCCACCTCACTCCTTCTCCGACCCCTTCTCTTTGCCAAGGATCTTCTTCCATCTCACGTATCCTTCCCGTTTAAGTAGTAACCTTTTTAATTACCATTTTCTGCAACACTATGATCGTCAGGGGCAGCACCACGTAAATCGCATTTGTCGGTGCCAGATTTCTCATTTCTCTTCGCCTATATAAATTACAACTGGCATGTTCCATAAAGAAGCAGAAAAAAAAAGAAGTATAACCTTTCTTTCATTTATACAACACCAGCACACACAACACGCATTGCACGCATTGCACCTCTCTCAATTGCTTGTGCCCTTCCAATCCTTTCTCGTATCTACATATAACGTGTGTTGTTGATTTCTTTTGCCTCCCTCCTTCTTTATCACATCATCATCTTCCGTGATTCTTCTTCTCTTGTATCATACAATCTAGCGAGTATCCATTTGTATATAGACAAGAGTACCATTCACTCTTTATCTCGTCATGAAACAGCCATCACAACATCACCGGTCTTCGAGTGCACCTTGCGCATCCCATTTCCATCGTCAGGACTCAGTTCGGACGCTCGTCGCAAACGATGACAGCTCAATCAGGAAAAACAGCAGCAGCAGCAGTAGCAGTAGCAACGATACTTCAAGCACTATTGTCGACGAAAGCGGCTATCTATCTCGATCCGGCTCGAAGCGTAGCCAAAAGCGATTAACAGACTGGCAAGGTGTCACCACCATTACACTGTTCGACCACGAGCACTTGTTGGCAAGCATCCGCGATACTTCATCCTCCTCTTTTGACGAAGAAGAGCGGTCAATCATTTTCGATACAACAGGGTCAGCAAAGCGCAAAACCATCATCACAGACGAGCCCTACACCATATTTTCACTATGGAAAAAACGTTGGATTGTTCTCTTGGCCTCTGTAGCCGCGTTCTTTGCACCATTCTCTGTCAACAGCTACTTTCCAGCAATGAATAAAGTTGAAATGGTTAGTCAAACATCTAGAAAACAAAGAACGAGCGGACTTTTGGTGTTTCGTTGTTGTCGCGCATGTTGCTAATAATATCAATTCGCGTTTTCAAACTTCCGTCAGGATTTAAATATCACATCACAACAAGTGTAAGTAGCATATATGCATAGTACCATTACTGCGACCTATTGAAAAGTATGTAGCCCTGGATTCTTTGTACTCACGAGTACAATTCATTATATAGGAATCTGTCTGTCACTGTTTTCATGATCTGGCAAGCCTTATCACCTTCTTTCTGGAGTTCCTTGGCGGACACGCGTGGCCGTCGACCTGTATATATTGCAACTCTGCTCATCTACATCCTGGCATGCGCGGGTCTTGCTCTTGTAACCAACTACACATTACTTCTTGTCTTTCGAATGCTCCAGGCATTTGGTGCCGCCTCAGTCATTGCTATTGGCGCTGGTACTATCGGTAAGTAACGGCACAACAGCTTTCCTCGTTATGCTCTGTAGTTTGTTTTGCAACAAAGAGGGCTTAATTTCTTTATGATGTCCTTCTTTGCAATAGCCGATGTGACACACCCTGCAGAGCGAGGTGGCTATATTGGATGGTACTCTCTGGGATGGAATCTTGGCCCAGTTATCGGTCCTGCCGTTGGCGGTGTCGTTTCCCAATATATGGGGTGGCGATGGATCTTTTGGTTCCTAGCCATTTTCGGTGGTGCTCACTGGATCTTGCTTGGCTTTTGTCTTCCCGAGACTTTGCGATCCCTCGTCGGCAACGGCTCTGGCTATGCCAACCCAACACCGATACAATGGTGGCGTCATCGACAGGAACAGAAAAACAAAACGCAACAACAAATCGATGAAGAAAAGCGACAGTCGACGGCTACGTTTGCCTCAAGAAAGAAGAAGAAGACAAAGTCCTGGACCCAATGGTTTCTTGGCCCCGTTCAGCCATTGCTCTACGCCAAGGAAAAGGATATCTTGCTCCTGCTCGTCTACTACAGTGTCCAATACGCATCATGTTACGCTGTTACTACCAGTGTCCCTTTTTTGTTCAGCAAACTTTACAATCTCAACGAAGTCATGCTTGGCTTTTCATATTTTCCAAATGGCATTGGCTGTATCGTCGGCTCGATCGTGCAAGGCAAGATTTTGAATCGGGATTATCAGCGTATGCGACGACGTAGCTCTACCATGCCGTCAACAACACAACACATCGATCTGGATCTTCCTATTGAGCATGCCCGTATGCGGACAGTATGGATCCACTCACTTATCTTCAACATTCTTCTTGTCGTTTATGGCTGGTGTCTTTACGTCGGTGCACACATTGCTATTGCTTTGTCAATCCAATTTTTCTGTAAGTTTTACTAGCTCGACATAACCTGTGTGTGAACTGTCCTATAATGAATTCATATTCTAATCAATTGTCTTTATCCTTCTTTCTTGACGTTTATAGTGGGTTTTACATCGCAAGCTATATTCAATGCAATCCAAACGCTCCTCGTCGACCTGTATCCCACACGCTCAGCATCAATTACTGCATCCAACAACATCTTCCGTTGTCTTGCTGGTGCTTTAGCTACCACTGTCGTCTTACCAGCCCTTCAGCTGCTCGATGCTGGCTGGACTTTTACAATTGCATCCGGTATACTTTTGGTGTCCCGGATTCCCTTGTATTTTGAGCTCAAGCATGGTCCCCGATGGCGTCGTGAGCGAGCTGAGCGCCTGGCTGCGCAACAGCAAAAATAAAGTACTGTAAAAAAACCCCATCATTACCATCTTCTTTCTTCTTCCTTCGCATCTCAAAAAAAAGTTGTACATCCTCCATCCAAAACTGTATTTTTGACATTTATACACAAACAAAAACCAATACAAAATATGAATAAACAGCGTTTGAAAAAGCAATTTGTTGTTGTCGTTTATAATGCAATGAAATGATGGTATCCTTTTTGCGGCATACTTATTTATTTATTATCTTTGTCAGAGGTATTGATAGCAACGGCAGGATGGGTAGCAGTGGTAGGAGTCGTTGTAGCACTGGTTAAGGCGACTAACCGTTCACGAGAAAGTACATAAGGGGTCCATGTCAATTTTGTTGGATCCACTTGTGGCAACCCGCGTGCCTTCACTTTGTTGATATGCTTGTCAATTGTTTCCTGATCTACTGCCATCATATAACCTTCTCCTTCCAGCTTTGGATCCTCCTTCAATATGCCCGTCAGTTGTAGAGTTGATGTCACATCGTCTGCTGTCATCCCCGTTCGAAAGCTCAATTCTTAAAATCATCATATACGTTACAGTTATTACAAAGAATAATTCCCAAGACCTTTTTATCAGATTTACCTTCAATACTAATAGCCTCTTCCTGGTTTTGTAGTTGTCGGAAAAGCGCGTCCTTCCAATACTTGCGGTAGCTTAATAAGCCAAGATTTGAAAGTGGCTTTTCAGGAGATCCGTTGCCTTCCTCCTTTTTGGTCAATAGGTAGCCTGTTATGAGCCGGTTAGAAAATTTTCTGTCAAGTTAGCTTTGCCACCCAATACCTCCTCCTCCCTACCCACTCTCCGCCCAGATACAAATCGCTGTCGTCCTTGTTGCCCCGTGCTCATTTACTTACTGAAATCAATTAAATATTGTCCATAGCCTTTTCGTTGATGTATAGGGAGAGTCAGTATACACGATACATTGTAATTCATCATGGATCGTTTTTCCTACATAAAAATGACGTGAGATACACCAAGATTAAAGATCCCTCCATTATCTCTCGCTTTCCCATAATTCTTGGTATCGCATTGACGAAAACACACACTACTCACCTTTGAAAAATAACCTACAATATGGCACCCTTGTTCGTCCACTTCAGTCATGATGTAGAATAAGAACGGTTCTACGTCGTAATAAAGCGTCTTGTGATCGATAAACATTTTGCCGAGTAAACATAAATTTTGACAATAAATCTATAATGCGTATACAAAGTAAATGTAAATATTGCTCCTTTATTAGCTTATTTTCCTTGTCTAATGTCCATCTATTTCCCAACCTTCTCTCCCCACCCCTCAACCGGCTACATCATCATCTGCACGATTAGACATAGCTGTAGCTATACACCATCCAACCTATTCACTGACCCTTCATGCACATTACTCAGAGTATCTCCACTAAACAATAAATTTACCTTATTTTTTCGACCATCCACTTCAAATACAGAAATTTGGCCGTCTCTGTATATTTCGTCACCGGGGGGATGTTTTGCCGTGCATTTCATCTAGAAGAATTGGAGGTTTTAACGGTAAGCTAACGCATCAATGGTCATCAAAGCATACATATACCAAAAAAACCACATATATACCTTGTGTCGACCAGCGACAAAGCTGCTGTTCATGTACTTTAAACAATACTCGCAGAAATAGAGAATCGGATACTGGCTGTATTCGGCAGGGTATGGCGCCACATACCACGTGTCAATCAAATAATTGCCGAACTGTATCTTGTCAATCTTGGGTGGAGCCGGAACTGTTTCGCCATTACCACCACTGCCTGTCGTTGTAGTCGAGTGCGGCGACGGAGACGATGACCTTGATATCCGCTTATCCTTCGACTATACAACGTATCCCAATTATCTCAGTCAATTTCCCCACGTTCCTACTAATACCGCACACAAATCGAATTCCCTTCACTCTCTACTACACTGCGAATTTCCTGTCAACTCCATTCTCTTTTACCTCAGCTATTTTCTTCGCCATATGATAAACCTCCTTATCCTTATCAGATGGAGCGCCGCGGACAGTGTTGGCTTCGCTTTCGGTCAATTTATGACCAAACGTCCGATAAAAGCTTGCTTCGTCTAATAGAGCGCCCACAACCTCCTGTGGCTGTTTCTTTGTGCGACCACGCTTGACTCGTTTCGCTGGTCTTCCTGGCTTGTTCTTTTTGACTGAAAGTATGACTCGTGGTGTCTGTGTCTGTGATTGTGTGGGGGTCTGCGGCTGTTGTTGTGGTGAAGGTATTGACTTTGAAGAAGGTGTCGGGGATGTTGTTCTCGTTTGTGATGCTGGAGGTGGCAATGTAGGAGAAGAAGGCGAGGACAACGGATGATTTTGCTGTTTATGCTTTCGTTTTCTTTTCCTGGTCGTCAAGTGTTCTGTATTAGTCTTTTCATTCACAATAGCAGTTGATGGTATAGGGGATGGTACTGCTATTGCTTCTGCATCGTTGCTTTCTTGCAAAGAAGGTTTGCGACGCGCTTTTGTTTTTGTTGTTGTTGGGGTAGCATCAGCAACGTCGATCTGGAGTGCCGAAGGCGTTGATCGCGCGGCTATGCGTGAAGACCGCAAAACGGGAGTGTCCGACGCGACAAGTTTTCGTTTTCCACGTGTTCGTTTAGTTGCAGTGTCGTTGTTATCGTCGGCTTCGTCTTGTGGGCTCAATCGCCGTTTGCGCCCGCGCGTAATCATCACTTTATATTGCGTTGTGCTTGTGTGTATGTGTACTGTTTCAACAACGTACTTATTTGCGCGGTTTTTTTTTGTAAAGAGAGAGAATCGGTTTTTTGCGATGGGGGAAGGCTAAAGTATTCGGAGTGCAAGCGGACTTTTGTCAGTTTGACCCGTATCCAATGACTTTGAATATGCTTCGTCGTGAAACACTGTGAGACCAACACTGTGGTGACAACAAATGACAGGGCTTTGTTCTTGTCCGTGAGTTATTATGATGGAGCGAAGGCGAGGTATGCAAACCCCGTTGCCATTAGGTACAAGTTCACTGTATACACCTAAGCTGCTCATATAGATTTTTGTTTTGAGAATGCATGTACGCGATGTAAAGGAGTATTAAGCTTTGGTTTGTTGATTTGTTTTTGACGATTAATGCTTCGTCGACACGATTGGTTTTACTAAATATTGGTATTTTCTCTGTCTTTGTTGTCGCTATGGCTCGACTTGCTTTCATATACTCTAGCTGCCCGGATCCTTATTTTATTCGAAGCATGATAAGTATGCTAATATAGTTTCAGGGTAACAAGGGGTGCAGTAATACCGCTGTTGCATACATGCACAAGCGTACCGATTCTCACGCTTACGCACATATAGTCGGTCGTAACGTTTCTCCCTCAAGGCTTCTGAAGCCGTTCGGATGCATTACTGATATCTGTGTGGCATGTATACGATGAGTGACTTCCAGCGGTCAAGCTTTGATATTTTTCTAATATTTTATACTGTAGATTATTCGTACACTATATGTATCAATACCATATACAGGCCTGGCTTCTTCCCAATAGGGGGTTTTCCAGACATAGCGCCAGACTACACTTATATTTCCATGCACTTGTACCGCAAGGAAGTGACCATATCCTTGTAGGGGAAGGTCTATAAGTCTTCCACAATAGATTACATACTTTTCAATCTGTACTGTAGATTCGTTTGATCCGGTAGTACAAAAGGATTGTGAGTGTGTGTAACAACACACATACGACCTTCTTCTTTTCTGGTATATTGGGCCCGACTAAGCTTGATCGCATTGCTTAGAATCAGTAAGAGAGCCCACAGATGTCAGGTGTAACTAGAATATATGCTATCGCGATCGTAACTTGGATACTTTATGACAAATGAAAAAAATGCAGGGTACAAAATGTTTGGGCGTCTTGCTCCTTGTTGTTTTTGATGTAGCTAGTAGTTGAGCACATGATATACCAGCTCCTAGGAAGCTCCAAGCAGCGCTAAAAGCGCCCAACTTTTTATATGTCGATGACTTTCAATACAAGCACGAGAGAAATTGTAGTGAGATAAACACTAATAAACAACGCAAAGAAACTTTTTATGAACATGTGTTTTTTTGCGCCATATGTCAGTGTATAGTCACTGATTTACAGTACGTAAATCATGTCAGCTTGAGGTTTCTTTACTCACTCGAGAACAAATATTCCGGTCTTTTGAGCCCCTTTGGTTTACTAAGAGAGAATACAAGAAACGTAGTCAGAATATAGCAAGAACTTTATCGGGTATAGTCAAAACAAGAATAAGATCGATCTGCCTCGATCGCTTATAAGAGAATTTTGGTACAGGGATAATAAAAAGACGGTGGTTTGCTGGCGCATAGTGTGACAAACTATAAGCTAGTGCATGAAAGGCGAAGAAGAAAAACGTGAAGAAGACCTGGCAAGGGAAAGGGAGTGAAGGTAGACATTTGGTTCAATGAATAGGCTACTTGTTGCTGCTGTTGCAGGCAGCTTTAAAAATTCTCGAAAGTTGATAAAAAATGTATGCACATACACATGCTGATAATTAAAAAGCAAAATTATACATCAAACAACGCAAAAGAAAAAGAGGAACGAACGTAGTACACCACTAGTGCTGGAAATCCAAAGTAGAACAAGAGAAGACCTGGCGTGTTTTGAGGCAAAAGAATCGTCATTATGCATTATGCGCGAAACAAATTTAGAAGAGGGAAAAATCAAGATTGGGAGTAGTTTGCCTTTTACAGAATTGTAAGCACATGGTAGCACTGCATTTTATTGATGGGGCTCTCCTTTATACGTCTTGGTGGGTGGCTATGGGATGTAGTAGGAGCATATTAACTCGCGCTGCATATCTTATCTCTGCTATGTGCTTTTTCGTTTTTGTTTAAAGTGGAAAGCAAGAAGGAAGGCAAGAGGAGAGAAAGAAGAAAGGAAGGGAGAGTATACATCAGAAGAATGCAAAGAAAAACATCCTATGTAGGGCTCTTCTTGGCATATACATAATGCAATCTCTAATATCACGATTAAAACGACAACGACGAGTATCTATTGTGTACAGACAGATAATGTCAAGTATTTACGTAGCAGGCTTATATTAAATCTGTTATATGTGGATTGATATCAAGCGAGCGAGAGAAAAAATTGGTTCAATTAAACCGGCAAGGACTTAGTTATGTCTCATCTGAAAGACCTTCAACATAGTCATGTAAATCTTCTAAACTTCCTCTCTCTCTCTTTATGTGCATGCGTCTCTAGTTTCTTTTTGTATTGGCAAATGAAGGGTCAGGTTTAGGGACGACGAACTGAAGAAGGGAGGGTAGAAGAGCTTTGTTGTTCTTTGACCTAGCAAGAGAGTAATAAAAAGAGAGAAGATAGGAGGAGTGGGGAGCACCTGCAACCATTTGTCTACATGGGATGTACATTCTCTCAGTTAAGGGTGGCTCTCACTCTCTTTCAGTGCCTCTCATCGTATCATCTATCTACTGCTTCTACTACTGCTCTCCTATTGTATTAGGCGCATTTTCTTTGTAATTTGAGTATCAGCCTGTTGTGTGTGTGTGTTTTGTGTCCAAGTTAATTAGAATAAGTATCTTTCGATGTAAGCCGTCGTCATTGCTATGTCTTGTATAAAAAACACAGTAGTATTCGGGAGAAAAATAAAAAGGGTCAGTACGCCAATTACTATGTACTCCGATTACTATGTACACCGAGGTCAACTGCATAACACGCCTGTATATTTGCTATAAGGGTGGGTGTGTACGTATCAGTGTTTCTCTTCCATTCTGTACTTGAGTAGTTGACAGGCCATCAGAACTTTAAATTAAGCTTCCTATCACCACAGTATCGAGATCAGACATGATTTTTCTAGTTCAGATCACGTACATATATTCCGTCAGTACACATACGTCAATGGACCACATGAGATATTTTTATTTAGTGAATGTATGTCTATTCTTGCTTTCTAGAATAATCCTGTGTATGGAGTGCAACGTTTATGAATAGATACAACTGTTTACCTATGTATGTATGCACGTTTTGTGTAGATAGTTGCTTTGCGTCTACACATGTACAGAAAAAAATACCCAGACCTGGGTATATGCTCCCCCCTCTCTCTCCGCGACGATGATACCAAAATAAAGTTTATTTTCTGAAGCGTAGAGACAACCTTCATCCATTGGTTCACGCAACACCATCAAATACACGAGCAACCCCTTCCCTCCTTGTCATCCACTTATTTTCGTCCAAATTAAGAGTTCCCGTTCAACCCCATCCTGCGGTGTATACCCCGGGGCTTTACGTTCTCCTATCTGTGGGAACGTTCTCTTTGTCTGTGTACAAGACAAATCCACTGAAAAGGGGGCGATGGAAAGTTAAAAAAAGAGTGAATACGTACAGGTACTTATGCTGCTAAATGCAGATGTTGGCTAGGGAACTAGCGACAGCAGTACATACAGCATGATGTAGTGCACCAGCACCCAGTGCTGTTTGTCATAATTTGTCTCGACAGCTCCCCCTTCCTACTTTTGCATCTCATGCGCCCAACCTTTTTTAACTATCTTTCGTGCACTATCATTGTTCGATGTGCACATACATTAGCAGGGAAGAAAATTGAATTCAGCATACTACTGCTTACATATAACAATGCATATCACCGGAACCTTCTGTATGAGAAAGATTACAGAATCTGTAGCCGTGCACTAGGATTTTACGACAGGTGACATAAGTTTAAAGGGGAGAGGGTGGGGGACTATCGAAATCTAACATCACTCGTTGTCTTACGTACCATGACAGCGACAACGACAACAACGCCGTTTAAGGAGAACGAAAAAGACAGTGCGATAGAACTGGCTGCAATCTTAAATATATTCGCATCTGCATTTGATCTATCTGCAAAGTTTATTCAACGAGTTCTCGCTCCTGGCTTGTGCGCCGAATACACAACGCTATTGCTATTACTTTTTCCCCCAGCAGCCATACGTATACATCATATATCCTCACGACATCACCCATATCCTCAAAGAACTTGATAGAAGCTACTCTCCCCTTCAAAGACAGCCCTCCTGTGAAGTTAGATGAGTGCCTTGTTGTTGTTGTTTTTTGGAGGGAAGGAGGCGCATTTTTTCAAAGTTTGTAGCCAAACAATACCAGGGAGTAAAAAGAAACGATACAAAATTGTCCTTTACTACCAAGAAACATAATACGTAAAACAAACATATTCTCTTTTTTACAGTAAAAGATAACAAGTTTCCAAGAACAATATTGTATGTTTGTTACAGCTGCTACATATTAGTCATAGTAGTGGATAGGAAAGGGAGTAAAGGAAAGGGGAATCTCCAATATCAAAAGTACACGTTACTGTAAAGCATTAGCCACCAGATATTCATTCTTTGCTGATATCTAGTGAGTAACAAGCTACAAAACTATAGTTGGACGTCGTTGATGTCTGTTGTTAATATTACTAGAGTTTTTATTATTTTAATGTGTTTTTCGATATTGTAGTCTGATGATACAGACAATTATGGATGACTACAGCTTGAAAAATGTATAATTTGATCATAATAGTAGGTGTTGATGAGTATGAGTAAATGTGACATGAAAAAATGATAGTTAGAAAAGGACGTGGTGAAATGACTTTTACATACGCGTGTGAGCGTACAGATGAGTAGTTGAAGAGGAAGAGGGGATATAGAACTTTTTTATGGGGGAGGGGGAGGACAATTGTAGTAACTTATTTTGAGCAAAGGTTGGATCGGTTAACAGCAGCCGCAACAGCAGCTGCCCGAGCCTGTTGCTGGGATGCAGGACATCCTAGTCCGTAGCTAACACCTTTGTAAACGGCCACTGTCCCCATCAAAGTCAGCATTTCGGCCGATAGCGAAAAGAGATTGGCGCAAAGGCTTGGAATGGACTCGACAGCGCTTTGTTCTTCTTGCTGCTGCTGTATCGGTGGCGATGCTGAATAGAATGACCATAGCCACCCGCTTCCTTGTTGTTGTTCCTGTTCCTTCTGAGTCAATGTTGCTGGTGACCGTACATGTATACTGTTGACAGGGGCAGAGGAGCGTGTATCGTTTGAATGAAACTTGATATAACCTTCATCTGAGGGAGATAAAGGAGGACTTGGTGGCATGATCGGCGATCGCTTATGGCGGGGTGGTGATGATGGTCTCGTGGGGGGTGGAGATGCTGGTGTTGACGATACTGGTGATCTTGATGTTGTTGTTTTCTCTGGCGGTGACGAAGACGACGAAGAGGAGCGCGCAGCTAGGAGGAGCGCTTTGGCCCGTTGTGCTGCTGATGATGCACCTCGTGAACTCCCATTGTTGGAGGCTGCTTTACGTGGATCCGGTCGACCTCGTGTAGAAGGATCGCGGCGCAGATTGTTATTCAGAAGGGGTACATCAGCGTGGTAGATGTATTCCAAAACGTCGGGTTTAAAGCGAAGCTCCTTCTTTTTGGGATTATTGCTGCTACTGCTACTGCTGCTGCTGCCATCATCTAGTGCTGCCAAATCCACAGTTCGATCCACCATTGGAAAGCTTCGTCGTTTGTACTTTTTCAAAACCTTCTCGCCTAGCAGTTTGTGCACATATTCTTCTTTTGTCAAATTACGTCTGCAAAGCGCTGGTTTTAAAGACGGCGATGTTTGATCGGCTTGTTGAGCTTGCTGCTGCTGGTTGTTGGCAATGCCGCCGCATCCGAGCCGGTTCTCAAAATCAGTATCGTTCTCATTCCGTCGAAAGAGTGGACCGTATAGCCAAATGACGTCTGAATTCTTTTGCCAGTTAATAGTAATGGGATCAATCTTGGGCGCGTTTGGCAAGCTTGCTTTGTGCTGTCGCCAGGAGATGTTGTTGAGCCGCGCTAACCGGTACTCGTCGCTCAGCAAGCGATGCTTCTCTTTGGACAAGGTGGAGAGTGCGCGACTAGCCGTCTTTGGCGAGCCAAGGCCCCATTGGTGCAGCGAGTCATGCTGGGCTTCGAGGTCGTGTTCAGCGGTAATGAGTTTGCGTCGAACCTCAGAAATTTGTCGTTTGAGTTCTTGAGAAGCACAGCCGAGATCTGAGCCGTCCCAGCTGTGAGAGAAGTAATCGACTGTCACAAAGTCTTTGCTCATAACATAACAAGACGTAGATGGAGGAGGTGTGTGCACGAGTAGTTTTGGGAGATAAGGATGAGAAGAAGTACTACCAAGAAAACGAAGATGCAAAGGAAAGGAAAAAACCGAAGAACACTTGAATATATATGCGCCAAAAGCTTATCCGGAGTTACAGTCCAAGTTCCTTCCTAACCCGAAATCCAGGAATGTAAACCGAGAAAAAAAAGGGGATAGCAGTGGCAGTAGTAGCAGTTATTTTTACTGAAGTATTTTACATGGTACGGGAGAATCTTGTGAATGTATGTGCCTGTGTGATCCAAGCAAACCCGCACCATACACCACACACACACACACACATGAAATTAAGGAACATGGTTCTGCAGAGCCAAAGGGAAAAGGAGACTACGCGCGACGTAAGAAAAAGAGTGTAGTAAGATTCTTTAAGGGAGAGTGGGAAAAAGAGAATTGAAGTAGTAGGATGGAGAAAGAAGGAACAGCGAGGGGTTCGAGCGAGATAGTGGGAGAGAGAGAGAGACAAAGACAGAGTGCTGACTCTTTGTATACAGAAATAAGCATTACCACCACCCTTAAGAGCGAGGCCTTCTGGACGCTTGCATTTGTCTCTTCATTTTGACATATTCTCGGATCAGCAGAGTCCGTTCCCTAATCTTGCTTGTCCTTATCCTTGTCCTTGTCCTCCAACACTGCTGCGACGATGTAGCATAGTGCAACTAAGTTTGCCATCCCCGCAGCTGCTCCTGCTGCATACGTTCCGTTGCCTTATCATACGCAAATTGTGCAGACCCAGGTTATAAGCTATTAGCATGAGTGCTTCTTTCCGTACCAAGATATCGTACGTGTATGGTCAATACCGCTATCTCCTTTTACCTTCAAATAGACCATCAACCGAGTAATAGTACGTGGCGATCGGTAAAACAAACATGCATAATGTAAAGAAAATGAGTTTGATAATCACCGAGAAGCCGACAGCACCTGCCTCTTTGCTGGACCCTGGTGGTAATCTCCCCTGCTTGGATGGACCACCTGACATGCTGCAAATGAGAAAGAACTGAAGGAGGTGTTTCGTGTAAAAGAAGCACACGCAATGGCTCTCATATTCCAAGGATCTGACATTTAAAGTTTGAAAACTGCCTTTTTGGGAACCTTACGGCCGTATTCCTATGTGGGATGAAATGGATGGATGGATGGGATCGACATCAAAAAACGCTTTATATAGTCGTCTCACTAATAAGATTACCTTGGAAAACTAACTTGCAAAAGAATCCCCATGGAATTGTTCCATCATCATCAGCCATTCCCCCTAGTCTTCCCTTGCTGTATGCTTATCCAAGACACATCCTTTGTATAGACACCTACCTTGCAAAGGGTTGAACCAACCCGCAGTCACCCAAAGTCAACTCTATGCTCGCTTTTTGGTCCGACGCTCCTTTTATTTCTATACGACGTTTGTGCTCCACATATACACGCATACACACTATGAAGGTCAATCCACGCGTGTTCTTTGACATTGATATTGACGGAAAAAGGAGTAAGCGTTCCCTCGACATCTCTTTGACAATGGCTTATACGCGCTTCAAGCTTTTTTTTTTCTTGCCCTTAGCCCTTACCCTTTTAACTTTTCTTTTCGGGCGAAACCTTCTTTTAACGTTTCCTGATTCCTTATTGTAGTCGGCAGAATAATCTTTGAATTGTTCGCAGATGAAGTCCCTCAAACTGCTGAAAACTTTCGTGCCCTATGTACCGGTATACAAGCCTTTTCCTCTTCTCTATAACTTTCTCTGATCCTTTAGTTCACACACATTAATGTATCGATAAACAGGTGAAATGGGCTTGGGCAAAGTAAGCAATATGCCACTCCATTATCGAGGATCGATCATCCATCGCGTGATCAAAGGCTTTATGGCCCAAGGTGGTGACTTCACGCGACGTAATGGCTCTGGAGGCGAAAGTATCTACGGTGCGACGTTTTCCGACGAATCGTTTGCACGAAAACATACCACGCACGGCTTGCTCAGTATGGCGAATCGAGGACCTAACACGCAATCATCCCAGTTTTTCATCACGACTCGACCTACTCCACACTTGGACGGAAAACACGTTGTATTTGGTAGAGTTGTCTCTGGCTATGATATCGTACAGATTATTGAAAACGAACAGGTGGATGAACGCGACAGACCTCTGCAAACCATCATGATTGGCAACTCAGGAGAACTGATGCTCAAACTACCACCGGGAGTCAAACGTGAGTGTTTGTTTAACGGGTGTTGTTAAAAAGGAGCTGGCGTAAAGAATGAACTGGTAGAGGCCGAGATGCGAGCGTTGTTGTATCTTATCTTAATGGGATTGCAGGGACAAGGATATATTAATCGTGAGGATAGAGTGTGTGGGAGGGGAAAAGGGCGGAGAAGAGATGGAAGGGGGGTGGCATTGCTGAGGCTCTTTGCAAAGTGGGAGAAGGAAAAATCTTATTTTCTTGTGGTTACTGACTGACATTTCCATCTACAAAGTCAAGGGCAACGGCGACGAAACCAAAGAAAAGAGTAGCAAAAAGCGATCCCGGTCACGCAGCCCATCTGATAGCGAGTCAGGTGATTCAGAAAGTGACAGCGAGGCCGAAGAACGAAGACGGAAAAAGCGAAAGAGCAAGAAGAAGAGCAAGAAGGAACACAAGAAGGATAAAAAGAAAAAGAGCAAAAGCAGTAGCAAAAAGAAGCGATCAAGTCACCGTCATCACCGTCGTAGCGCTAGCCCAAGCCCTAGCCGTGGTCGCAGTCGCAGCCCTAGTCGCAGTCGCAGTGCTAGCCCAGTAGTACCGGATCATAGCTCTTTACGGGAAAAACGAAAGATTGGCAAAGAAGCATCGCCAGTATTAAGTGCTAGCCTTTCTCCCGAGCAAGACATCAAACCTCGCACACCAACAATGCCAGCATCAAGATCACGAAGCCCGGTGTCTTCTTTTAATCGTCGTGGTGATAGAGACCGACGCCATTCTGCCAGCTCGAGCCGTGAGCGATCTCGCAGTCGTAGCCCGCACAGACGCTCCACTTATCGACCGAGTGTATACCGCAGTGATGATTACGTGCCTGAATGGGAAAGGAGACGGGATTTCGATGAACCTGGCGTATCGTTTAAAGGGAGAGGAAGAAAGGTAAAAGTCGGGTCCCTGCCACCACAATTACTCTGTGATAAGTCCCCATCTTGCGAAGCTGGTTTGTTAATAAGTGCCTAAATGATGTTGTCACCCTTTCTATCATAGAAATTCAAGTCTGGCATGAGAGGCTTCTGATAATGCATAAACCGGATTTGCGCAGAGAAAGGAAAAGACACAATGGGCTTTTTCTGTTTATATGTATAGATGGCATTTTTGCAACAAAAGAGAGAGTGAAAAAAAAGTACATGATAAAGAGAATATAGTAAAGAGAGACCATCCCGCACACAAAAAGACATTTTATACACCTCCTTTCTTGACGCTGAAAAAGTTTCTGACGACAAAGACTTGCAAAAAGGCCATAACAATGATGGCAGCGCTTTCCAACAAGGCAAACCAGAAGATTCTGCTCTCGGTGGAAATGACAGTGCTCGAGTTACGGTTTTCACGCGTCCGGAAGTACTTTTGAGTGCGTGCGACGCTAGTGAGCGATCCAGAGAGACGGAACAAGGATTCTTCCATGTTACTCAGGGGTTCGGGAGCCTGCGACGCCGCCGACGAGGAAGTCTTTTGGTAGTTGGGTCTGACTTCGTGTTCAAGCGTAATTTCAAAATCGACAAGCTTCTCGGCAAACGTCGACATATCGTTCGCGAAACAGAACGAGTATTCGCCAACATGATTCGCAGTAAACACATAGTCGCCTTGCCGTGCCTTTTGGCCATCCACTACAATTCTTTCTCGTGGGTCTTGCACTACAAAGTCAATGTCGAACGATCCACCCGATTGTACCTGGAAGAAGAAAAAAAAAAGAGCCAATTAATTCCGGAATTCCTTCTTTCAAATGCGAATGCTGTAGCATCGCGGAACCTAATCGTGTAAAAGAAAGAATTGCGTACAGCAAAATAGAATCCGACTTTCTTGCCAGGTGTATCAGCAAAGAGGTAGAAGCACGCCTTTTCATTGGCAGCTACATTGTACGTCAGCGCGGTGGCATTGGTTGATGATGGTGCGATAAATACCATCAGCAAAAAGCTGATGAGTATAGACAGTGAAGCAAAGCGTGCTTGATGTGCCATTGCTTGCTTTGTGTAGTGATGAGGGGAAGCAAGAGTTATACGCGAACGTGAAGGAACCTGCTTTTCCTGTTTCCACTTGGCAACAGTGATTGGCTGTTCTTGATGACTGACTTTAAAACCCGTTTCCATAGCACACACATGAAAAGGTGCGGCACATGGGATACTTGCGTCTTCTTACCGTTCAAAGTAAATCGTATACAGCGGCAATATATGTGAGCAAGCTTACAAGTATAGTAAAGTTTTTGGAAGTTTTATGGCACGATAAATGACCGAACGGGGCAAGCCTTTGTGGAATATAATGGTGGCATTAAAAGGACGTTGTTGTGTACTGCTTTCGATGCATTGATGTAATGTAGAAGGAACTTTACTATATTTGCACATATCCATACCTGTTGTAGCATGCTATGAGCGCATTTGAGTTTAGTTCCTCGAAAGCATTTAGTGAAGATTATATTAGTATGGTTTTTTGTAATAATAAACAGGCAAAGGGCATGTGATGTCAATTACGCCGTCTTGGTTTGTTTTTGAGCTTACGTGTGTATAAACTATGTTTATGAGTCAAAGCCTCCTCCTGCATACTGAGCTTTTCAACCGGATCCTTCCTTCTCTTCCCTCACTTAATTTTATACTATAATTTTTACCTTTATAAGTGATAGAAAATGGCATCAGCAGCATCAGCAGTAGTAACACTAGACCCCGTATACGATGATTATATCAAGCAAGCAAAAAGCACTCCATTCCCTAGTATCAGTAATGGAGAGATTACTATCCAAGAGCTGCGAGCCACTATCGAGCAAGGCTACGTATCGCAGCAACTTCCGGTTATCATCGAAGAGGACAGGACTGTAGCTTACAAAGACACCGAGCTTCGCTTGACCTTATTTCGGCCCTTGGGAACTGAGAACGAGGTTCTTCCATGCGGCATCTTTTAGTGAGTAAAAAAGGATTTTATAACTTGTCCGCAGTTTGCATAATCCGCAGCAAAAAGTAAATTATAGCAAGCTTAAATTTGTTACTTATTTTACTACAAATTTCAGCCATGGTGGTGGATGGGTTTTTTGCTCCAAACGTACTCACGGTAAACCAGTACGCGACGTTAGTATAAAGCAATCAAGAACCAAGGAAGGAAAAGGTCGCATAATGGGAAATGGTCACTGACTATATGAATCATTGCTTCTAATTCAGATCTGCATAAACAATCACGTTGCGATTGTGTTTGTCAACTACTCACTTGCACCTGAAGTCAAATTTCCCGTAATCAATGAAGAGTGTTTCTTGGCATTGCAATGGGTGCTTGAAAATGGCAAGAGTATCAATGTGGATACTAGCAAGCTTGCTGTTATTGGTGATAGTGCTGGGGGACATCTAGCGACTACTACTGCGTGTATGTAAACCATCAAATCAGGTAGAGATATAAAGAAGGACACTGATAATACATTGGTTCTTCTTTTCTGTATAGTGATGGCTAAGGAGCACGGCCTCGACAGAGCTATCAAGGCACAAATTATAATTTACCCAGTAACCGCACCCACTCGAGAACATTATGAATCCAACAAGCTATATGGAACTGGCTCGGATTTCGTCACTGTCAAAAAGGACGATGCTGCCTTTTTTGATGAGATTTATATCCCCAATCATGCTAAAAGTAACAAGTTGGCATTTCCATTATTGGCCACGGTTGACGAGCTTCAAAATTTGCCGCCTGCATTGTTGGTAACTGCAGAAGCCGATGCTCATCGAGACGAAGGGGAAGAATATGCCCACAAATTATTGGAAGCTGGAGTTATTACCTGCGCTGTGCGTATCCTCGGTGCAAGTAAGTTGTCGCGTAAGAAAGCTACATTTTCATTATGCTCCAGAGTTAACAATAAGGCAAAATTTAATTTTATACAGTCCATGGATTCTTTAGCTTTCCGCTTAAAAAGACACCTGCCTATAGACAGACGCAAGCTCTTATTACCCAGCAGCTTAATGAGGCTTTTGGCGAAAAAGAACTATAACAATCGGGCTCTCCTTATTCCTGCCACCATTGCTTAAGTGTATGTTTATAAATAAAACCTTACATATATCGCTTATAGCCTGTAGTAGCATATAGTGTACAACAGACTTACAGTAATGCGATCATCATTCCTGCCACAAGGGAGTATCATTACGCAATCATGGATAACTGCATAACACAGCTACTACAGTACTGTCTACCAAGTATATATACAGCAAAACTTCAAATTGACTAAACAATATCGCGTTCTTCTTCTACTTTACCGTTGCATTCACCTGTCAAGCTTATATATGCTAAAATTTATCATTTTTAGATGGTAGCGATATGGTAGCTTAATCAAAAAGCAAAACAACAACAAGAATATAATACCAATGCAGTAGTGGAATCACATACTCATCAGGTGCAAGTTCATTTGGAAGAAGAAGTTATAGAAGAAAGCCAGCAAGATGGCTTGTTGAGTTGAAGGCGTCCATTTGCGCCCTTCAAACTTCAATAGTTCCATTAGCAGGTACATATCTATGCATAAATCAAAGTATACAAGCGAGATCTATAATATGTATCTCATTATCATTAACCTTAGCACTGTCGATTCATTCTTTCCCTTTCTGTTTATATATTGCATCGTCAAAAAACATTACAGTGGTGAGTAATAGTTCCGTATTACTGTTGCATCTGTGAACATCAACTATTTTTGTACCACATTAACACAAGAACTATTCATTAACAATAAACTACATCTATAATACAGGCGTCATCATCGATATACTCAAAAGACACAAAATTCGAGCAGATCAAAGAGTTTACAACGCGGCTAATATTCGCAAGAACTATTTGCGCGGTTATTGCACTAGCTTTATCGCCTTCTTGTCGCCTCTTGGAAGTGACGTTTGGTCCAAGAATCATGCCTTGAAAGCAGGCGCAATTTTCTGCATCGGAATGGTCAGCGCAAGTTTATAAGCTACGTGCAGGAAAATAGAAAGAGAGAGACGAGCAGCTGAATACAGATTTTCCAATTTGAAGATCTGGCAGTTATACATGTCTGTTGGCGTATGCTCTGGTGTTGCCTCGTAAAAAATATTCCCTTCTCACAAGGAGGGTCGCACCATATCCGCGGTAACAAGCAATTTAGGCGAACACAGAAAGTGAAAACGCGTGTCAAAGTGTGATAAAGCGCGTTGTGATCGTGTCACTGTCGTCTGTCATTGTTCCCCGCTTTGTTTAGCACGGAGCTGTGGGTGGGCAAAAAAATAAGGAACTTGTCAAGCACACGAAAAAAAGGCAAAGCAAAAAAAATAAATAAAGCGGCAAAACGTTTATGAGAAGAGTGCGAAAAGAAAAAGATTGTTTTATTTTGCTTATCATTTTCTTATTTGTGTGAAATAATGTGTGTAATAAATAATAGTAATAATAATCTGTTCGTTCCTCACCCTCCACTGACCCGCACTGGTACATTGCAGTCATCTCTTCATGGCGGACCACTGAGCCCATCCAATCATCAGAAAACTCTGAACAATCGCCAGCACTGGCACGGAACTGATCATAGCACGGACAGTGACCCCCGCGCATACAGCCCAACGCCTTTCCAAAACGAACTAAAGTGAAGAAAAAAAAAAGAAGTAAAAGAAAAGCGAAACTGCTCGCTTTATATAGACGTTTTTTGACTGTCACGCTCGGGACTTCAAAAAGTTCCACCAAGTTCCATGGATTTTCATTGGCTTTTGCTTAATAGTATGCCTTTCAGCATATGGCTCAAAGGGACTATCACGAAAGGAAAAGAAAGGGGGTGTGCTTGGTGGTCATCTAAACAAGTGTGCTGCGGCGGTATGTAGTGGTACGTGTCTTTCACCATGCGGAGCTGTACCCTCCGATGATATCGGCGCTTGTTTGTGAATGGGGCCGTGCACGGCACCGTGTCAAGCGAAAACAAAGACACGAATGCGAATGAGCAAGTACATTCACGGAAGAAATGCTTTTCTGTGAGCAGTAAATGCCAGAATTAGGCGTGACTGACAAGGTAGACAATTCACCATCAGTGAGTATTGAGAACACCATCCACCCAGCAGCCAGTTTACAATCCTTCACCCAACAAGGCAAACAGCACAGTACTTTAATATTATCTTTTGACTGTGTGTGTGGTACGTAATGTTATGTGTGTGCGGAAAAAGATACCCCCATCGCTGCAGTATATAATAAAGACCCGTTCTCTTCTATGTTCAACCGTGCTCGTCAACTGTTGCTTTACCATTGTCGCTATCCGCCAACAGTTCTCTCCGTCCATCCTCCATCCCAGTTTATGCTATTGCTAAAGTTCTATCCTCCATCCCAAGTATGTGCTGCTGCAGATACGTTGGCCCGCTCATTAATAAGTATACGCTGCCGCTAGTGAAATCGACTCATCCTTCAGTGTTTTACATTGCTGCTGACATAGTAGATCGGTTCGTTTGTTTTAGTGCGGTTCTACGTTCTTATAAAGCAGCGTTCAAGATCCATTGGGACGATCAGAAGAATAACACTACAAACGATGACTTCCTACAGCTTTTGACACTTTTGCGCGTAATTCGTTGCTCCATTGATCACCTTGTTCACTCGCCATCCCTTTGTGCATTTGAAGTGCGAAGTCAATTGGCCAAATCGTTGCGTCACAATGCGCATAGTTTCCGTTTCAGGGGGAAAGCTGTTGGAACGTTCAAGGTTTGACACACGCGTAACTTCGTCACTATCCAAAAGAGAAAGATCTGTGTTGTGCTCTTCCTGAATTCCTTATTCCTAGACTACCTTTGCTTCCTTGATGATTTACGTCCGTTTTATGCTTGTCAATAATGTGGGTTTGTGCGTACGTGATCGGAGCCTTCGTTATGTGATAAAAAAAAAGGAAAGAGAGACGCAGCGAATTTACCCCTGCTGTTGCCTGTTTTCACAGCAAAATTCAGATTGTGTCTCTGATCGTCTCTTTGCACACTTCTTGCCGTTGCCGAATTAATGATGTTATAATAAACCCCGAGAGAAAAGTCCTGCTCTTTTGCGGTTGCTTTTTCTGTACGTTAAGAGCACCGTTTACTGTGCATTACGTCCCACTTAGCTTAATATATAGTCCCTTTTGGTATATATTACGATCCGCTTAATTTTTACTATGTCTTGTCTTTAGATGCCACAGAAAGGTGTGCTGGGGACGAGCACCTTCTTCACTACAAGACTTCTCCCAGCAGTAATTCCATTCACGACTGGTGCATTGACTGGTGGCAAGGTGACATATCAATTAAAGTTGGCAGGGATAGTAATATGTGTTTGCTCTTGGACTACATGCGTCTTTATGTAGGGCTTGCCGTAAAATGGACGCTCCAAGGCTACGTTTTTGGTTTGAGGCACTGAATTCGGTCAGTGTACGGAAATGTTCTCCAAGGACATGTCACCCTTTACCAATAGGTCAAGAAGGACTTAGTCTCTGGATCGCTTTCAAAGGCATTGCATACCGTGGGCGACGACTGATAATGAGCGCCGAAATGACTATCAGTCCCTCCAATAGGGATGGTCGCTTAACAGAAATACTCATAATTCCTAGATTTCAATGGAAATTTCCCCAACAGTGGATTATGATGTTTGGAGAATTGTTTGGTCATATAAATGTGTGGACGGTAGCATATCATCAAATACATAATCAAAGGAACAAGATGGGCGGTGTAAATTAGGAAATCACAACGTTATCTGCCGACGTCGGTCAACATCCACACTTGCGTTGAATCGATCTCAAATATAATGAGGATAATCATCAAATATCTTCAACAACCATTGGAAAAGAAGCGTCGTATATTTGGCAAGAGAACCATGGCAACTATCTTCTACATTTTTAAATGCGGTGCTTCCCGTTTTTGCACCATCATCTCATCAATCAAAAAGGCCTCACAATGTTTTTGGGTATAAGTTCTATTTCACCCTGTACGTCGTTGGACACGCTGATGATTACGCCTTGCGTTATCAATCGACGCTCAAGCGAGGCGTGCCCTTTCCCCATTATGTTATCGAACAATAGATGAAACACCTTTCAGCCGAATAAATTGCCCAATAGGTTGTCTGCAAGAGAGACATTACCGTAACTATGTACAATACGTTCATGTGCAATTCAGTAAAATTTGTATTTAACATTCAATATAAACCTATACAAACGACCAATCTGGACGCATAACCAAAACAAGGAGACCCTCGATATGTGTAAAAGCAATGATGTATGGCGTGGAGGTGGACAACGATGCCCTTGTGCAACAACGCCTGGGCGAAAAGGACAAAGAGATAGCAAGGGTGAGTGTTTTTCAGCAATGATTCTGGTAAAACAAAAGTTGCTTTCTCCCATTGCTTAACACACAAAAGATGTAAAATGTATGCACTGCTCCGAGATACAAGAGTCTTTCTGTCAAGTGATATATAAGGGATCGAAACAAGAGATGAAATATAGTCTGATATAAACGTATTGTAATGCAGCAAAACTACTTTGACGCTGTAGTTGTACTGCATAAATAGCGTTCTGTTACGTACTATCATAGGAGATGGAAATTGATAAGGTGGTTTCAGTATGCCGTATTTCCGGTTGTTATGAACGTCAGTATAAACTTCACCTAAAATCGACTACAACAATGACACGTTGCAGCAGCAAGTGGCACGCCATCTTGCTGCATGTTGTTCCTAAGTGCGCATACACCAACAAGGTGATCATGAGTACGCCTAATCTCTTGGTGTTTAATGGTACGTAGTAGATTTGACATTGATAGCTAGACAGAGTTTTGGGCATGAATGCATGCACCACAGTTAGAATCATAATAGAGTTTAGTATTCCTATTGGAACGCTCCTTGTTTTCTCGGAAAGCGCGGATAGAATCAGAAGGCTGTGCTGTTTTCTTGATCTTGTACAACGCAGAATATTTTTCAAACTTATCTTGGTGAAATCAAAAGTCAACCAATTAATATGCTCCGTGCTCAATTTGCGATCCATATAAGCGACATTTATGTATGATTGTGGATATAAACGTTAATTTATCCCATGTTGACAGGTGCTTCCTGTCATACCCGCGGAAAACAAGCCAACAGAGGAATTTAAGATACGTTACTAAGGCGATTTTGTTACTACGGCGACGACGCAGCGAGTATCAAAATGAGCAGTGACCTATAAAGAGACTATAAGCCTCGTAAAAAAAGGAGTACAAAGCTTTATCTCCAGTGTTCTTCTGGCGGCAACAATAAGGTGTTTGTGCATTTGAACGAATTGGCCCAAAATGTCCAAAATGACCAGATTGAGGATGCACTTGTCCTTCGGAAAAAAGTAGTTCCTGAGAAGCACACAGCCAAGAATGTGGGTATCTTTGAGAAGCACCACATGATTGCATGTAGGACTGGTACTTTTTATCCTCTCTCTCTCTCTCTCTCTCTCTTTTTTTGAAGTGACCCCTTTTCTCTCTCTCTCTCTCTTTCTCCCCACTACTTTACTTTCTACCTACAAACGATATGGGGACAGACAATACATCAGCTGGTGCTTCGTTGACACCACAGCAGCCATCACTCAAACCATCAAGCGCAGACCCTGCTAACGATGTCTCCGCCAAAGCCATGGATCGAATCATAAGCAAGGACTTACAAACTGATCATTATGCTGACGATGATGATGATGATGATAATGACAACGGCAAGCATGTCACTATAGGATCAAAAAAGAAGAAAACCGCCTCGTACTTTAACGTCATCTTTAGCGGCTTTGCATTATTGTCAGATGGATATCAAAGCGGTGTGATTAGTTTCATCAACTTGCTCATGACGGAGATATACGGCACAGAGATCTTTAATGACACAATGTCGTCTCGCTTGTCGTATGCTTTGTTTGTCGGTGCCATCGTGGGACAATTGGGCTTCGGTCTCATCATCGATCGAGTGGGCCGAAAAATCGGTTTGATCCTGACAACTGTCTTGGTGATTCTCGGTGCTGCCATGTCTGCCGCATCCAGCGGTGTAACCCCAACCGGTCTTCTGTGGATGATGGTTGTCTCTCGCGGCGTGTTGGGCGTAGGCGTCGGAGGAGAATATCCTTGCTCGTCGGTAATGCAGTTTCCATGATATCTTTCGGTGTTTTTGATTTGCATTTAGCTGACTATCCAGATTTCTTTGATTTTCTACTCTAGGTTTCAGCGGGCGAGTCAGCTGACGATGTTGCCCCTGGAAAACGAGGAGCTTTATTCGTCCTTGTAAGCTCTCTTCTTCTTATTTTTTTGTACCGACCAAAGTAGTGGCTTCTATGCGCGCATGATGCTAAGATTACACACACGAGACTTGTAGGTCACGAACTTTGTGATCGATGTCGGCTATGTAGTTTCCGCCATCGTTGTTGTGATTTTGCTTGCTATCTTCAAGGACAACCTTGAGCCCGTCTGGAGACTAGCCCTCGGCCTTGGTATCGTGCCACCCTTGTCTGTATTGTACTGTAAGCATAGCCTTATTCAAATGAACGACTGTTTTAACCATCCTACCATAGAGACTAATGTACCTGTTATTTCGATAAATATGTATAGTCCGGCTGCGAATGGCAGACTCGAAACGATATCAGCAAGGAGCATTACAGAAAAAAGTACCCTACTGGCTCATTATGAAAAAGTACTGGAGACGTATGCTCCTGACATCTGGTTTATGGTTTGCGTATGACGTAGTATCGTTCCCCAACGGCGTTTTCTCGACCATCATCATTAATACGGCTGCACCCAATGGCACTTTGATCGAGACCACTGCATGGAACATTCTGCTGTACGCATTCTACCTCCCTGGTGCAATTGGTGGTGCGCTAGTGGTTGACAAGATTGGACGGAGAAAAACATTGGCTTTAGGTCTTTTTGCGCAGGCCATTGTTGGCTTTATCTTGGGTGGAACCTATGGGCCCCTTTCCGCCAACTGTTTCCCTATGTTTGTGGTAAGTATCATAGTCATAGGGCTATACGATGATGGTTGAATCGGGTTAAAGTAAAGTATGCGTTCTTGACCTGATTTCATCAATTCTATTTAGATCATGTACGGTATTTTCCTTGCCTTCGGTGAGTTTGGACCGGGCGATTGTATGGGATTAAATGCCATGGAACTGTTTCCTACGGCAGTACGAGGAACTGGATACGGTATTGCTGCTGGTAAGTTTACTGTATTTGTTTGAAAACGGTAATTTGGGTCAGAGCAACATACTCAGTAAGTATACTATTGCTACAACAACAACAACAGCAATGGGAAAAGTCGGTGCAACAGTAGGCACTTTAGCCTTCAAGCCTATGCAAGAAGCTATGGGTATCCGTGGTCCTTTCCTTATTGGCTCTGCCATCTGCTTTGTTGCTAGTGTAGCTGCATTCTTTTTATTACCTGAAGTTGGACCTGATTTCTTAGCTGAGCAGGATATTGACTTTAAAGCTTATTTGGCCGATAAAGGATATGATACAACACAATTGGGTCTGAACAAGCCCAAATCATACTCAAGTACGGCTATTGCCACCACTGGTATTAACAATCAGCAAAGTGGAAACGAGTGAGAGATATGCGTGTTTTCTCCCACACTCGTCTACCTTATTTATGTTAACAAGTCCTTCGTATATATTCCCTCTCGTATAGATATATAATTATACGCATTTTGTAATTTTTTTTCTTGTAACTTTAACACGTACTATTATTTCATTAAATTAATTGCCCAATGCGCTTGCTCCCGCCGCGGCTTCTTTGCTGCGCTTTCTCTCCACCTTCATGAAACGGCCGAACGTAAGCATCGCAATGAAATTTAAGTGGCTATTATTCTAATTTTTTAAATGCTCGAAACAATTGACTAATTGGAATGACAGAGCAACGTTGACAGCAGAGACAATTCCAAACGTCATGTGACAGACCAATTTGATCGATCATTCGAAGTAAGAGCAAACATTTAAAAGACGAGTTCCTTTTGTGTATATGGCGATCGACGCTGAAGCGACGCGTAAAATAATTAGACAGTATCAACCATTGAATCGCTGAGCGATCCAGAAGACCCTACCTACAACCCTAACGAACGATTCACAGCAGCAGTTATTGACAATAACGATGAGAACGATAATTTTTTTGCTCAAGACGATACGCTTGTCATGAGTTTCGATGGGATCCATTCCAACATTGTATCCGAAGATGACACTGAGAATCCACCTACAAGCGATCCTATAGCAGGGTTTACAGATGATGATGCACCTATTGGCGTACACGGTGACGAACAAGAACATGATCATATCGGCGGCAGCAGCGAAAATTATCCGCAGAATATTCTAGATGGACTGGATGACTGGCGGCCAACACCTGGATTTCGATCGTCAACACAACAGTCGTCCTCATCGACTTTAGACGACGACGAAATTCTAAGCAGCTTTGTCACCGATGACGATGGTTTGGACTCTTCTCAACAACAACAACAACAACAACAGCCTTGGCAGCCTCAGCGAAGACCTTCAATCATGAATCGAGCATCAATGCAAGAAAGAACGCCAGCAAGAATCGAATGCGCACCGATTCCTGATTTTAGGCTCCAATCTGCATCGTTGCCAAAAGTCTATCCGAAAATACCTGTAACAGCCAATAAAAACAGTAACAATAATATCCACCACCGTCATCATCACCATCGCCACCATCATCAAGATCAAGAATATACACCAAAGAACAAGCCGCTCGATTTTAAAACGTAGGATTTACTATCATTGTGTCGGTTGAGATTACGTTTAACTCACCGGAGTGCGTGTATTTGTATGGTTGTATATAGTGATGGACCAGCTGCAGACATTTTAAGACAGATATCACGAGCAGCTGAGGATCATGCAGCATGGGAGAGCAAAGTCCGAGCTGAGAGTAAGTCGGGAAAAGGGGAAAAAGGGAATGATGCGACCCAGCAATCGGTTATTCGGTAAAATGTTCTAACAAAAACACACAAAACAATTTTTTGACGCAGTGGCCAAGCTAGGATCTTTACCACAAGTCTGCTCATTATTCGATAATGCAACGTTATTTCGTGTCCTTGATAGCTGGGTTGAACGTGGATTAATATTTGGTCGATGTGTTCAGGTTCGACCTAGCGAATTGGCGCATATAATGCAACAAGCTTCTGGCGGGAACTCTGACGACGACGATGATGATATGATTGAGGACTTGGTCTCCCAGCCAGCGACATTGCCACCCTATACGCCAATTGACGGAGAGCAAGAATATACGTTTTTGTTTTCCTTTGCTCATATGCCTCAAATAACGTCTAGTGTCAAAACCAAATTCCTGCAAGAAGAGTGTGCTGCAGTTTGGACACCATGGACGGTTGTATCGGATACCCAGCGGGAAGTCTATGTAGCTACCCGGTTCTTGACATATTCAATGTATTAGCTGACATGTCTTGGATTCACAGATTAAAAAAAAAAGAAAGTAAATAAACAACGGTGAAAGGGATGGATGATGTGATGATGTGTGTGGGTGGTTAAATGCCAAGCCGGGCGAGTGAAACCATACACAAAAAGTCACTTTCCATTTTTGAAAGCGTTCTTTTTTTTTTTTTTTGCTCTCTTCTTCTCTTCCTTTTCTTCTATTTCGTCACACATACAAAGCCATGCCGCAATTTGGAACGGATGAAAATCCTATTGATACCTCGTACTATGATCTTCTCGGAGTGCCCGTCAATGCCACGAGTCTTCAAGTGAAGAAGGCATTCCGGTAAGTTGTTTCGAATGAAACAAGGAAAATAGGAACAAGAAAAAGAAAGGAATGCAAAAGCTTAAATAACCATATGATTGTTTTTACTATTATAGAAAGTTGGCCATCGTAAGGATCGAGTGCAATTCCTCCGAGAATCGAAGTAATTTACTGACTGTTTCGTGTATTATAGGTATACCATCCAGATAAAAACAAGTCCGAGGAAGCAGAAGAAAAGGTACGTTTTTTTTGCAGCCAACATATTAAAGAACTGTCTGAGAAAATAAGCGACTGCGCACTGACACAAAGACCTAAACTTACATGTGCATATATTTGGAATTATAGTTCAAAGAAATTTCAGAAGCATACCAAGTGTTGATGGACCCCCAGTTACGGGCCCATTACAACAAGTATGGTAAAGACAAGGATTTGGCTCCCGAAGGTGGTTTTGTGGATCCTCGTGAACACTTTCAGCAGATGTTTGGCGGCGATGCTTTCCGAAGTAAATATAACCCCGTTATTTGTTAGTTACAAAACGAGCAAAGGCAATTATTAATCTGAGACCATGCTACTAGGTATCATTGGCGATTTGAGTATTGGTGAAATGTTTAGCGAGGCTATGGATTCAGACCAGCAGAAGACAAACGGCGAGAATGGTGAAGCAGCTGCTAGTGGAACCGAAGATGAAAAGGCCAAGCAGCCGCACATGTCAAAAGAACAAATGGAAAAGATGCAAAAGGTGCAGCAGGAACGGGTTAAGAAATTGGCCGAGACATTGTTGCACAAGCTCGACTTGTACGTCAAGGGCGAACGAGATACCGAGTCGGTCATGGCCTTTGAAGAACAGATCAAGATTGAGGCCGAAAAGTTAAAAAGCGAAAGCTACGGTTTGGAACTGTTGCATGCGGTTGGTGGTGTTTACTCGAGCAAAGCAAAACACTTTTTGGGGTTGAAGGGTGGTGAGATGCCAAGCATATTCCACAATGTCAAGCAGAAGCGTCACATCATGAAAGAGCTGTGGTCAACAGTCAAGAGTGCCATGGACATGCAGGCTGTTGCTGAAATGGTGGCCAAGGCAGAGGAACAAGGAATGGAACAGGCAGACCGATTAAAGCTGGAAGAGGAGGCCACAAACAGAGTAATTATTCACTTATATGACTTTGGACTGATGAGTGTGAGATGGCGGAAAGTATAGGAGCCGAGAAGATGTTTACCGATTTTACTGACGATATGTGGTAACTGTCTGTGGTTTAGGCATACAAGGCTTTATGGCAGACGTCAAAATTCGAAGTGGAAGCTACTGTGCGGCAAGTTTGTGACACAATTCTGCAAGATAAGGTAGCGTTTATTGGGAAGCGACCCTGGCTGAGATTATGGAAGGATCATCAAAAGCATTCTAACGCAGCTTTAATCCTTGTAGACGGTGGAGAAGCAAACTCGATACAAGCGAGCTGAGGCTCTGCGCATCATCGGCTATATCTACAAGCACGTTGAAGAAAACAAGCCTGTCTCTGAATTGGTTGTCAAGATCAAGGGAAAATAGAAGAAAAGCCTCAGTAGAGAACTCCCTTGGCATCAACGGATCAAGCGCTACAAGAATAATGACTACCCTTCTCTCTTATAATTCTGCACTCCTAGTACATCACAATCCTTTCCAGTCTAATTTGCATGAAGTATTTCTATATACATTATCTCTACATCATATATTATTCTTTTGTTTTCTTGGTTTGAAAGTAATTAAAGAAACAGACACAAACATTGACTTTTAGAGAAAGCTGGTGGATACAGTATGTAGATTTAGTATTCTATGTGTGACGACTATATAAAGTAGGCTTGACAAGAACGTGCCGTGTATTTTTGCCATACGCTTTTATTATCATCACGCTTCAACAACATCATAACTATTTGTCTCAAATCTACAATATCGGCTCCTCGTGTTCCCAGTCAGCTAAAGGGATAGCTAGTCAATCAAACAACCATGCCGTTCACGCTGCCGAATTGAACTTGGCCATGCTGCAATCCAGACAACGTACGCAAACAACTACGCAGGAGCTTCGTCCGGACAACACTAAACACGCCTATTACTCAAAGATCAGCGCGTTTTGTTAGTGGTGCGACGAAAATAATTTCCTGAATCCACTCGTTTTCAAGTAAGCTACTAAGCAAAATTTAACGCTTATTGGGTTTTGGCGCAGGCGTCGTTTTCAAATGTGTCGTTGTCCGACTACAGCAAAAAACTACCTACAGTAAACTTGAAAGCGCCCAAAAGATACGATATACGTTAACTGATACTAAAATTGAGAATGTATATCACTTACGAGACAGAGTAATACGTCGACAATGGCAGTGGACCTTCTGCCAAATATCAAGATCGGAACAACATGCCTGGGTTTGCTCGTTCGCACGTCTTACATGTGCATAGAACGCGGCAGCAAAGTGAATGAAGGGTACTGCACGTTGACATAATCCTAGAATCAGACAGGAGAAGCCTCCATAGGCGAAACTATTGGGAAGACCACGGTATTCGAAAGTGGGGAGCTCAAAATCATGAGATCATGTCTCCATACAGGAAATCAAGGCAAAAGACAAGAGGATGGAAAAGGATACCGCGTAAGGTCAAATCGGCCAAATTTGAGGACATCCGCAAGCAATTATGCATATGTGGTACGATCAAATGTGTATCCCTGAAGACGATTGGCACGAAAACCATTCGCTATATGCACCAAATATATGGAAGCGCCTATTGGCTCTAGTTCCTGAAATTTGCATAGCTCGTTACGTAAAGTTTGTTAGTCTTTACCGATCCCAGTGGTTTGACTGTGTTAAGTATACAGCATCGACAACCAGCCAGCATTATCACGCTCAAATGACGTCCCGAATGCTAGAGGGCAAAGATACATGTCACCCGCACACAATAAGACTTAGATGGCCTGTACAGCATCCCGGAATCGATGTTGTAGCATTTCAAGCAACCTTCAAAACTTACAGCGCTACTGGAAAATTCATGGAGGTAATATACACGTATATATCTGACAATCGATCTATCTTTCAAGCCTCAGCCGTTTACACTAGAGATTGAGAACCTGCTATCAAACTTTAAAGGTATCGTCGACGGACACATCCATGAGTGTGATTATATGGCTGCGGAGGTTGGATTACCAGCGGAGAAGTTTACTCGTAAACCCGTCTATCAGCCTAGAATCAAGAAGTAGAGACACGTTTGATGTTATGCCGCCTTTTGTCGCATTTATGCCCTCTAAAAAAATAAGCTTGTTCTGGCTATATTTTGCTTTAGGTCAAGTATGTGTGTAATTATATGGCTGCGCTACTGCCATGCATAGAGACAATCGATAAATTGCACAGGAACCAATAGAAAAGCCTGTATAATCAAACTGGCCGGGATTTATGCGTTTTCAATATTAAAGCACAACCACAGCTTTTTTTCATCACACCGACCTTAATTCAATATGGAGCAAACGCCGTCTTCCACAAAACCAAAGCGAGCCAATGAGGACAGTGACGATCAAACTGAAACGCCCCATCCTAAACGACAAGCTACCGACACAACCATGCCCAACGCCTTAACAATCGACCCTGGTGCTACCATCTGGAAATCCATAACATTGGATGCGTTTGATGTAAAAGCATTGTACAAGTACATTCGATCCAAAGGTTCGCTTGACATTGCCAACAATGAAGGTTATGGTCTTTTATACCTCGCAGCACGGAATCAAAGCATGGAGGCACTACGGATATTGTTATTGCAACCCACGATAGATGTCAACCAGACACACGGACCCGATCGCGAGTTGGCACTCCATGCTGCGGCTGCAGCTGGCCAGGTCGACGCGACCGAAATATTATTGGAACACGAGTCGGATATCAATGCACGCGATGCGCTCGGACACACACCATTAACAAACAGTCTATTCTCTCGATCACTCGAGTGTCTCCAACTTTTGCTGGAAGCAGGCGCCTCCTTGGAGATCGATGACCCTAAAGGATCCACGTTGCTCCATTTCGCAGCTATCAATAATTTCGCCAAAGGTGTCCAAGAATTGTTGAAGCATGGTGCTCAAGTAGATGCAAAGAATGATCGACAGTTATCTGCGCTGGCTGTAGCGATTGGTATGGGCCATACAGAAGTGATGCAGAGTCTGATCGTCGACGGCAAGGCGGATATGAATGACAAGACTCGGTTCGGCACGGTACTGCACCATGCAGTGCTCTGGAACCGGATCGATGCCGTACATGCGCTCATCAACCATGGGTGTAACGTGAATGTCGTGAATGTTATGGAGGAAACGCCATTGTTGGTTGCTGTGCAACAACGCAAAATTGATATGGTGCGGTATTTGATCCAAAACGGCGCAGATCCATGCTATCCCGAAACCGAGCCCGGACTCAACGTGCCCCTACTGTATGCGGCCAACCATGGCTATACCGAAATGTGTGGATTATTGATCACCGACGCGACCATGGATTATGTCATCCAGCAGGCGATAGCAATGAGCGAGCGGGCCTCGCAGGCAAACACGGCACAATTTCTTCAGGGCAAGTTAAACGAGCGTGCAGAGAAGGAAAAAGCAGACGAGTCGATTGCACCTTCTTCGTCAGAGATATTGGGCGAATCGGATTTCAATGCCCTCATTAATACATTTAGCGACGACGAAGATCAAAACAATACTTCATGATCCACCACTCTTCTCTCCACACTTTTCTGTCTCCATCAACCGCCAGCATCACTCTATTTGTAAATATATATAGGAAAGAACATAGAACGAAAGAAGAATATAACGCCTACAATTGTAAATTTTGTTCTTTTTTGGATATTTTGTGAGGAAGAGTTTTGGCAAAATACAATTTTGTCTGGGGAATGCTTTCTTACTGATATAGATATGCATGTACGCATATGAAAAGGAAAAGAAAAGGAGGGAGTAAGAGGCAGTCTTTCTAGGCAATGGGACGCATATGCTGCCCAACTTTGGTCATTACAACTTGGAATGGGAAGTCCTTTTCTTCTTGTTGGTCTGGTTGCTGCTGCTGCTGCTGCTGCTGCTCCACTACTGGTGGTGCCCATTCTGAAATAGGCGTCATAGGTGAAGCAGAGTCGAGAGGCGAGAACTCGTCATCTGGCTGCTCCTCATCATCATCGCCATCTCGTTCAGCCATAGATTGTCTTGGCGTAAAGTTCCATGTGGTTTCTGCAATATTCGATGAATTAAAGAAGAAAAGGGAAATATCAATATATGTTACTATATAAGCAATTAAAATGATCTGCAGAAAAACGAAAAGAATAGCAATAACAGCAAAGGTACCTTGTTCGTCGCTCCGTAAATGACGCTGGTAAACCCATTGATTATGATGGTGTTGCTGTCCTTTTTGTCGTTGCTGGTTGGCATAAAACATCATGTCTGGACGCTTTATTTTCGACAAGTGGCGCATCAGCAATTGTGGCGATTGTGCTTTGCGCAAAAAGGGATGATGCAGTGCTTCGGAAGCGGAGCAACGTGCTTCTGGATTCTTGTGTAGACATTGGTCTAAAAAGGTTTGGAAATGCACCGAATAATCGTATGGACAGCCGCACATTTCTAACGAGGGCACTGGCTCATGTAAGATCATTGAAAATATCTGATGTCAGGCCAAGAGAAAACGTTTAAATATGTATATCAGCTATCATGCAGTATATGTATATATATGATGTTGATCTAACAGAGATCATTCTGCTACTTACAGTCAGTGGATCATACTCGGTATAAGGAGGCCTACCACAGGCCAATTCGATGGCAGTTACGCCAAGAGACCAAATATCGACCTGGGTATTGTATTCACGGTTCTGCAGGATTTCAGGGGCCATCCAACATGGTGTTCCGACAAATGAGCGACGCGCAGCGTTTTTATTAGGTCTACTAAACGAAGAATCACATGACGGAGCAGGAGAGAGATCCATTCCTGGCACATACAGTCCATCTCCTCGCCGCTGTGTTCGTCTTTGTTGTTTTCTGGGAGAGGTATCGATCGAGAGGTAAAGCGTCGAAGGCGGTGATGATACCTGCACAGCAGGCACGACCCCGTCACTGTCAGTTTTAGAGTCATCGTCGTCGCTATTCGATGATGAAGCGGATGGCGCCACAGCTAAGGGTGGCAATAACATTTGCATAGAAGATCCAAATGACGAAATATTGGGAAGCGTACTACTGGCATCACCATGATCCGTATCGTTATATGTAGTCGGCTTGAGCGTAGGCTTTAGCTGCAAAATATCGTCCATAGTAGTTGCCGTTGTTGGTAACAAAGAGTCGCCTTGTTGTCGTCCGCCAGCATGAGAATGATCCACTGTGACCCGCAAGTGGTTACTCACACCAAAATCGGCAAGCTTAACAATACCTGTGTCATGGTCTAATAACAGGTTCGCAGCCTTGACATCACGATGCACCAGTCCATTTCCGTGCAAATATTGCAACCCAAGAACAACTTGTTTAATAATACTATTACAAATTTTTTTTAGTTCCATTAACTTGAATAGATCGATATATATAACAAAAGTAAGCAATTTGATGATAGTACCATGCGACCAGAGGCTCTTCTAGACCCTCATAGCCTTGTTGGAAGAGTAGATCATGGCAGGAACCTAATATGTGATTATGATTGTAATTAGTTACTACTACATGCTTTAGGAGAAAACTAAAGGAGAAGGTGACAGATTAAAAAAAGAAGCGTGGGCGTTTGTAAATTATTAAAAAGATTACTGCTATTTTACCGGCTGACATGATCGGCATGACAATGTGCAAGTGCGACAGCGACACAAAGCTTTGGTAGACTGGCAACAAGTGCGGGTGGCGACACAAAGTCATTATCTGGATTTCTTTGCGTAACGCCTCTAGCCGCAGAGCACCATCGTCATTCCCTTTATCGAGCAACTCGAGATTGACTTTTTTAATAGCCACCAATGATTGTGTTGGCTCGTGGATGGCTGAATACACAGCCGCTGTGGCTCCAGACCCTAATGGTAATATAATCATCCCCCTTTGTCAATAAATCAGATGGTATCATTTCAGGGGCTAATAAAAAATTTCATCAGGGCTCTAAACTAGTCGTACCTATCAAGCGACATGTTTCATAATCCTGAACGTTGGAGGTGTATTGATTCTTGCTGGCTGCACGACGTGCAGAAGATGACGATGAGGAGGATCGAAAAGACAGTGTCAGCCTGCTGACCAAGTCGGTAAGTGATCTCTGTCTTGAGAGAGGTTTCTTGGCAGTAGTAGTAGCAGTAGTAGTAGTTGTTGTTGTAGTATTAGCGTCAGCGCTAACGTTGCTGCTGCTGCTGCTGCTTTGGGCGCTCTCCGTCTTGGAACGGCCTCGACCTCGTCGCCGACGGGTCGCGGATGCCAGCATCCGATTCAACGACTTTTGACGGGTGACTGAAGGTGCAGGTTTCTGCTGTTGCTGTTGCTGTTCAGTAGATCCGCTGTTACTGAGCTGGGAACCTGGAGGTATTAAAGGCTCGCTTGAAGCTGAATCAGTTGTTGTCAAAGTCATTGAACAAAAAAAAACCAAGAAGAAAAATGAAAAACAATGGAGAGAGAAAGAAAGAAAGAAAGAAAAGATTGGTCCGCAAATATTTGCTTAAATAGATGAGGTGATGGGACGGTCTTGAAGAGGACAAAGACAGGGCCAAGAGTGGCGTTTTGGAGCAATAATGGGACAACAACAACAAGAACGCAGCCAATGATGCGGAGAGGGAATAGAAAGAACATAGAAAGAAGGGGCGATAATAAGCATAAATGAAATTCATGTGGTGTGCAGAAGGAGGGCAAATGGTCAAAACCAAAGGCCGATCGCCGCAATATCTTAGCAACAGAAAGAAAGGAGCAGCCATAAATACTGCCCGTTGATGAGATGAGGGAAACAAAAGAAACGTTCCATCACATGTAAGCTGTATTTTTATTAATTACTAGCGGTCCTTCCTCGCTTCGCTCGGATGAATGAGCCCCTCCGCTTCGCTCCGTGTCATTCAACGGAAACGCGTCGCAAGTGGGGGCAAGCCCCCCAAACCCCCCTATGGAGCGAGGTTGCATCAGTGTTTCGGCATTATATGCTTATTGTCTGTTCAAAAACAAAAGGAAGATCATTGTGTAGTGAGAAGTAGTCTACCATACGAAGTCGTCAAAGTTGGATACTTAACTATCTCCAATTTGGAAAGCAATGCAAAAAGAAGTGTTGAAAAAAGATAATGTATTGATATTTATAAGAAGGTAAAAGAGGATAGGCGCCATAAAGAATTAAAGAAGAACTTCATGGAAAACAACATCTCGGATGTTTTGGCCTTGCTGACCTGCGATACTTGAGTTCTCGGGATCTAACATGATTCTGATGGAAGAAGGGGTGTGGACGCGCGACATGGCTACACATAAAGTAGACTGTGGTTGAAAGGAGGTTCAGGTAAGTAGAGGCCAACAGTGTTAAAAGTTTGATCCTGTGCCTTATTGAGGGTCGTAGTGAATGCCAGGCGAACAGGGAATTGGATGCGTTTGAAGAGAAATGGGGGAGCGTATTTGTGATGGTGTTAAAGTTATGCGAGGGATCAAGACGATGTTGCCGGTATGAGGTCCAGTGGCTATTTCAGCATCAAGTACATATCGTTGGAGAGAGCGTACAATCAGTCGTGTCTTATTGCAGAGTCCACTATGGGTGTGCAAGTTCCGCTTGGCACCAACAGCTCGGCACCATCACCAATGCAAAGTAAATGTTGCATAGACTGGCCAAGCTCGTTTGCATCATTGGTGTTGGCAGCTTGTTGGACGCGTATGTTGGTTTCAAGGCGATGGACGGTGACACTGGGTCAAATTGATGAACGATTAGACACTGCTGTACAATTTGCGAGCGCGATGCATTTGGTATCACAGGAAGGACCTATTACCAGGTTTGATGTAGATACTTTAACGTAAGTATTACCGCTCAATAGTAAAAGAATGCAAAGTAGAAGAGAGGATACAATGTTGAGTACCTGGCAAAAGTCAACACCAAGGACCATAATTTTTCCACCAAATGGAACATCGGCAAGCGCGGGATCGCCATGTCTCATGAGATTTTGGATACTCTTGTATACGTTGATACTTTTATTGATACTTGTATCCAGCGTGTTTAAAGCGATGACACTTCTCAGATGATGAAGGATTTGAAGTGAGTTTCATCTCGTGTTTATAACGCTTATCCGCTTGAGTCTTTTCTCGATGCGATACCCGTCTACTCACATAGTCATACATTCATGTAGAATAAACTTTCTTATCTGGAGGAGCCACACATCTCGGCGCGTCATAAACGTGAGAGAGCAATCTGATTGGATATATTGAACTGGCTCAAATGCCGTGTTAATTACTCTATATAACCGCGCGGCCGCAGCAATCATGCCGCTCCTCTTCCTCCTCGTCAACGTTTGTAAACCAAAGCTATTCAATGTGAGTGTCATTGGAACGGATTAGAGGATCGAAGAGTGTATGTTTATGGTGGTGAGTGAGAAGAGCGTATGCAACCGGTTGCGAGTATCTCAAGATCCGTTTATCTCACTTTCTTTCTTTTTTGACACAGACCTTCTTCTCGTCTTAACCTGGTCCATCTCCCCCTCACGTTGGCTCTCAAAGCACAGATGCAAGAGTAAGTACAATATGAAAAATGTGAAGTGTGACTTGAGGTTTTGCATGTGGATGTGATATACGAAAGAAGATATGAATTTCGACGTGTCTAAAGAAGTGTGTGTACAGCATACAGTCGCTAATGTTATCCTCCTTTCTTCTCTGCTACTACTATAGGATTCTGACTTTTTGAAATGGTTGGTTCGGTTTGTTGTTTGCATCCCACCCTTAAACATAAGCAACAACTGTAAGTACGGTAGGGAATGAAATGTGAGGATGAGTTGGAGAGAAGTCGAGTGTCTGTTGGAGGTGCTGATGCCGTGACGTGTCAGGAATAGTTGCATATTAAGAACAGCCTGCTCATGATCTTTCTTCTTTTCATTCTACTTCAGGTTTCGCTTTATGCTGGTTGGGTTAATTGTGTCCTGCGGACAAGTAACAGATAGTAAGTATAAGCAAAAGGGGACTTGAACATTGGTGTGATAGGTGAGTAGGATGGCATGGGTGTTGGGGATGACGCGTCAAAGGTGTGCAGTGTGTACAGCAGCGTGACGGGAAAGGGCTCCTGACCATGACGTATGCAATATGGCAGTCTCTCAAAAAAGTTTTCTTTCTCTCCTCCCCTTTCTTCTCTTATTCTTTTTTCAGAATTGGTCATCCCCTTCTTGCTTTTCCTCTCTCTAACTCAAGGCTCTCTTCCTCCAAGCCAAGGATGTCATAATAGTAAGTATCGCTGTGCTTGTGTTTGTCTTTGCGTGTTTGAAGAACCAGGAAGATGTCTGCCGTGACATGTCAAAAAGTGTATGCAGCTGCTCATAGATGTTTTCTTTTTTCTTTTAGAGGATGGCTCTGCGGTGATGTGTTTGGACTTGGTATGGCTTAGACCCCATCTCTCTCTGTCTATAACTTTGCTGTAAAACGACAAAACAAATGAAAGTATAGCTGAATCCAGCTTGGGATGGAGGAGGATGGTAATGCCGTGTCAGAAAATAAAGATAGCACAGTGTGTGAAACCCTCTAATGTTCTTTTTTTTTGTCAGCTATAAGAGGTGTTTTCGTCTTGGCTGCGATTCTCTGCTTCTACACTGGCCGGGTGTTCGGTTATCCTGTGTCTCATCGTAGAAGTATGGGTAAGTATAGCACGATAGAATCTTGTGTGTGTGGTTTGACAGTTTCCCATTAACTATTCGTCTCTTTTGTTTCTCGGAGTGGCGGTAGTGCACAGACACCTCCATGCTGGTCAAGATTGATGCTCCACTGTCATCCCGCTTCTACAAGCCGACCTGTCAAGTAGTCCATCGGCTGCGGTCAAGATCTATCCATCCATCTGGACGGTGGCGGGTGCTTTTTGCTTTGACTTGGACCTGAGGAAGTCGTTAAAAGCCTCATATTCTTATTGCTTATTTGTATATTTTATCCCCCCCTCCCCTTCCCCTTGCTCTGACCCAGGAAGTCATTAAAAGCGTCTATTGCGTTCTTTATATAGTTTATCCCCCTCCCCTTCTCCTCCCCCTTTGCTTTCTTTCACAGTTCCTAGTAGCCTCTGTCTCGACCCATCTTCGGATGTTGCATAGTTTCACGCGAACGGCTGTTTTTTTTACTCAGGCAGCCTCCGGGCGTAAGTCCTGCTTATTTCAAAATTCCCCGTGCCCACGGGTAAAAAGTGCGGCCGAGGTCCCCCATGAATTTGGGGAATGCTTTGCGTAAGTACTTGCTTTCTCTCTCTCTCTTTTTCTGTCTGTGGATTTACATGGAAAGGGCGGGGTTTCATTTTTTGTGAGTTACAAAAGCTAACTCGTAACTCTTGATTTTTTTTGATAAATAGATGAACACACACACTCTCTCTCTTCACGCACAACTCCCACACAAAATATACACACGAACTATAGCAATCTATGCCTTCTTGACTAGGTAGGCAAGCAAGTCGACCTTGGTGACGACATGCTTGACCTTGAGCACGTCGCCTGATCGGTCGGTGACAAGAGCGCTGGAGTGGTTCTCGAAGAAACGGGTCAGCTGATCCAGGGGCGTGTCACTGGTAATTTCCTCAAACTTCTTTGTGTGCTGATCAAAGTGGAACATGACGTCCGCGACGGGGCTTGTCAGGGCTGCACGCTTGGAGGCAACCCGGGACAAGATGTTGCCCAGCGTTACCAAACCCTTCAAGCGCTGCTGAGGGCCAGCTGTGACTGGCAATTGGTCGAATGCGTTCTTTTCCATCAACTCAATGGCCTCTTTGCACGTCGTCTCGCTATCAGTGGTGACAGCCTCCTTGAGCTTCAAATCCGCGACCTTGGCACCGTCATAGTCCTTCTCTGCCTTCTTTTCAAAGCTCTGCGACTCGAACTTTTCATCCGTGAAACCACCCTCGCGCATCCAGTCGTCGTTCAAGAACTTGGTCATGTAGTTGCGCACAGAGTCCGGCAAAATCACAACACATCGCTGGCCTTCCTTCAAGCCCTTGGCGACCTGCACAGCGGCGGACATGGCAGTGCCTGACGAGCCACCGCACAAGATACCTTCTGCACGAATCAAGCGACGGGCCATCAAGAACGAGGCCTTGTCCTCCGACTTGAACCATTCATCCACCAATCCACGCTGCAACACCTCGGGAATGAAATCGTAGCCAATACCTTCCACTTGGTATGAGCCTGTGGCAGTGTTGAGCGACTCTGGCACAGCAAGGATCGAGCCGTGTGGGTCGACACCCACAATCTTACAGTCAGGGCACTTTTCCTTGATCTTCTTGGCAATACCGCTAATGGTACCGCCCGTGCCTGCACCAGCGACAAGCATATCCAGCTTGCCATCACAGGACTCGAGAATTTCTTCGGCAGTGGTATCATAGTGAGCAATAGGGTTGTATGGGTTGGCGTACTGGTCAAGGATAACGGCATTAGGGATCTCGTCACGCAACTTTTTGGCAACGCCAATGTGGGACTCGGGAGCATCCCAAGCGGCTAGTAACAGTCCATATTGGATGTGAGCAAACACACACATGAGGATGTTTCGTTACAGAAAAAAAAATTATTCTTACCTTCAGTCGGTGTACGAATGATTTCGGCGCCCAAAGCCTTGAGCACGTCGACCTTTTCTTGGGACATTTTTTCAGGCAAAGTGATGATAACTCGATAGCCCTTGACAGCTGCAGCCAATGCAAGACCGATACCTGCGATACACAACCATACGTCATTAGTTATTGCATACTTCTCTCAATGATGACGTACTTTTTCCCTTCACACCTTCCCTCCCTTTCCCCCTAATGATTCACTGGTACGTACCAGTGTTGCCAGAAGTGGGTTCAATGATAGTGCTGACGCCAGGTTTGATCAATCCCGAAGCCTCAGCCTCTTCAATCATACGCTTGGCAATACGGTCCTTGACTGATCCACCAGCATTGAAGAATTCACACTTGGCCACTATTTGAATCGTCGTTGCAATAGTTGAGAGCGGGTGTAAGTACAAGCCAAATCAGTATTCCACACACTTGGCAAAAGCGCGCTGCCTTATGTTTGCACCCTTATCACACTCACAAAGTTCGCATTTTAATCCTTCTTCCTTTCCAATCTTGTTTATCCGAACGAGAGGCGTCTGGCCAATATTTTCGAGAACGGTGTTCAAGATCTTGGGACGAGGAGTGCTGTGCATAGGACGAAAGAAGTGTTGCGTGAATACAGGGGAGAGAGAAAGTAAAGAAGAACGTAGAGTGTGGGTCAATTCATCAACGTTACCTTGCAATGTGATTGAATTCGTTTGAGGAGATGTCAGCAGTCATTTTCTTTTTAAAAAGGTGTGAAGAGAAAGGGAAAAAAGAGAGAAAATTACAGGACGGTATCGTGGGAAAACAAATGATTCCAAGTGGCGCAACTTTTCCACTGTGCTGCGTGCTGGGTCGAAATCAAGTTCAGCCTGGCCAATGACAGGGACACCCGAGCGGTTGGTGCGTGTAGGTTTGACACAACTGTGTGCGCTACACGTCGGGTGTTGTGATTTACCATTTGTAATAATACAATCAGCAATAAGACACATAGGATAGATTTCAAAAGTTGTTACGACAGATGAGACATATGTATCTGACAGCATCAAGGAAAGGGAGAGAAAATACAAAATGATGAGGGAGCGCTGGGTTGTTGCAAAGTAAGTAGATGTAGATGACATGAGACGCTCAAGAAGAAGACGAGTTGCAAAGAGACCACGGTTATTCAATGATTTCGAGCAACAGCCCATCTTTTGAAAACCGCAATCGATGATGTCTTAATATCGGCATAGAGGCAATCTCAAACGCATTCATCTGCGCAAAATGATGATCCGGTCTCGACAATGATCGAGACGACTGTTGTTCTTGTTGTGCCAATCCACGCTCCACACCAATTTTGACAAAATCCAACCCTTCTATCAGGAAATCGCCTCCATGTCGAGCATACTGCTTGATCAAATCAATCAGCAGTGTGTTTTCTATCTTAGCATCTCGTAGAGGCGGCTCAACATCATTGAGGAAAATATTGGCATAGTATAACGCTCGGGTGGGATAAGGCGCATGTCGTACAATCTTGGCAATCGATTTTTGGAAACTGCTTATATCGCTGACTCGATACTGAGGGCGTCCTTGTTGCTGAGAGCGTGGATCGTCACAAGTAATTCGTGATGACTTGTTGACTTGTAGTAAAGTCAGTAAATTTTGGAATAGTTCTTCTGCAGCCGGGTAGTTTTTGTTGATGTGGATTTCGTTTATTATGGCGTGCCTTATTTGAATGGATGTCACTTTTTCGCCAGCGGCAGCCCGGCACTTGAGTGCAAATTGCGTATGTATATCTCGTGGCGCTCTGCTTGTCGTTGGTCGAGATGAATGCATTTCTGCTGAAATGATGTAAGCACTCCGCGTCGTCGTATATGAAGGGGAGGCCTTTCTAAGCTGAGAGCAGACGGCCAAAGCACGAATTTTTATTTCTTGAGGTTCGCGCATTTGATAGGTCTTTGTTTCAGAGTAAAACAAGCGAGTGCAGGTGTTTCAAATGTATAATTTGATGGGGGTTGTTTGAATCCTTACCTTTGCTTTTTTGTACTTTTTTCTCCATTGCATAACAGCAACTACAACAAGTGTAAAAGCAAAACAAAAAGATGAAGATATCATGATTGGATTCTATACGCAGTCGCCCGACTGTAACGACAAAGAGACGATCCAACGACTGTATAGCGGCTACGAGTCACCGTACGATGTTTGCGGACTTGATCGGGCCAAAATCCGAGCTTGCAAGATCTACTTTGCAATGACATGCGCCAACTTTGTGTTTATCACCTTGACAACCGTCATCTTCATCTACTTGGCCCACAGCACCAAAACACGCCACTTTAATCAACCCATCTCTCAAGCACCGGACCAACAACGACTTTTCCGTCAATGGCAGCGCACATCGCTCCAACAGCGCAGCACCTTTGGCACAACACTTGGAGCAATGGGTCATCTCGTATTTAGCACTGGCGTCTGTATATCCCAATCCTATGTCGGTATTGGCACCTGCGAAATCTCGCTATGGGGTGTCGTGTTGGGCATCTACACCTGGACGTTTGCACTCCTCTGGCGCGCTTATAGGCTCCACTTTCTCTTGAAGCTCAACGCGTTCAAGATACGATACGCATCGATCAGCTGCAACATTGAAAACGAGCGACAAGTCGACCAAGACAAAGACTACCAGTGGCTGGTCCACCAAAAAGACTGTCGTGCAATCCACATTGCTCGACCGCTTGTAGCGTACATTCTCATTTTCGCCTTGCTGGTAGTCGCATGCATCCTTGCCGAGTTACGCCACGCAAACTGCGAGCTCAATTGGGGTGTATTTATCCTGCTCGCCTTTGTTGGCTTTTTTGTGGTCATTGTCGCCCCGGCTATCGTCTGGCGCGCACAGCGGTACAAGGATGCCCATGGAATACGGAACGAGATCCTGATAGATTTGACAGCGGGTACGATCTGCTGTATCATGGCCATCATATGGTACTATCGTTTTAACGGCACGCTGGTCAGGACACCTGAAGGCGTTTATTTTGACAAGTTTTTTGCTCCGCGCAATTGGCTCGTATTCTTTACTACGATCAGCCATTTCACATCGGTCGTGTATCCCATCTCCCAGCTGCTACCGGAATGGTTTAAGTTTCGAACGCGAAACGAGGACAGAAGCAGCTGTCATAGCGGCGATCGACGTGGTTCCCAGAGTTCACGGACAGACCGGCCCAATGTTCCTCAAACGCCTGAAGCACTCGAAAAGCTACTGCGAGATCCGGAGGCGGTGGAAGAGCTCGTACAACTGGCGGTGCAAGATTTCAGTTCTGAAAACGTGCTCGCATACAAGGAATATTTGAACCTCGTCGACCGGCTCCAATACCTAAAGTACGGCCGTGTGGTGAAACGCTTTTCGCGACGGTTCAATTCATCAGCATCCACGCTGGTCGACTTTGAGCCCCGTGATAACGCAACCAGCGCGGATAAGGACTACGACTTGCTGGCCACGGTGATTAGCGGGTCTTCTCTAATAACCAATTTCGCCAAATATTACGATACCTATATCCGCGAAGGGGCTCCGCTTCAAGTTAATATATCATATCGTGCCCGACATGAGCTGGACTCGTACTTTACCCGTGCACGGTCAATGCATCAGATCAATGATGACAACAACAACAGCAACAACAACAACAACAACAACGATACATTCACAGCGGCAGACTTGATCACCCCATGGACACATAAGCAGCAGCAGCAGCAGCAGCAACCGGAGCCTTTGTTACCCGTATACGCAAATGACAGCAGCAGGAAGCTGGCGCGTTGGAGTTGGAGTTTGTCGTCAGAGTTTCCACCCTATCCCTTGTCAAGAACCGCCACCGGCCCGCAGCTGACGTTGTCCATGTTTGAAGGCGTACGGAACGAGCTGTTCTGGAATATATTTGCTAGCGTCTTTCCAAAGTATATCAACAGTAAATAATATATTGAAAAGAACCTTAATTAGATTAATGACCCGTAAATATTTAATAACCGACCCCGTGTATGAAAAGTGATATACGTGCGTGTGTATCTCAACTCCCTCCCCTCCCCTCCCGTCTCTCCTTCTTTCCTTCTCTCTCTTTCTTTCTCTCTAGCTTTTTTACACATCCCACAATCCCAAATACCTCCTCTTACTCAATAACTATTCTCTTTGTCCAAATGGTGAATCCATTCATATGGTTACTGTTACTATGTATAACAATGCTCCTCGGAAGCTTTCTAGCGGGTTGTATACCGCTCTCGACGAAGCTTTCCGAGTCCAAGCTGAGGCATTTGACAGCTCTTGGCGTTGGACTACTCATTGGCACAGCACTCGTCGTTATCATACCAGAAGGCGTCCAAACCTTGTACAGTGCCAATGCATCCGCCATTGCCGAAGAATCCGTCAACATGCCCGTTCATCGTTCAGCCATCGACCCACATTCGTCTTCTCATGACAGTTATTTAAACACCTACAACAACATGACGACGACGACGGTGCCAACGGCGACGAGCAGTTTGGATAAACGAGAGGAACCATACGACTACCACCACAGAGACGAAACGTCTACGGAGCATACGGCTGTAGGACTCGCACTGATTGTGGGATTCGCAACCATGTTTATTGTCGATCAACTCAGTTCGCTTCATATGCATTCTTCGTCGTCGTCTTATGAACCAGCATCATCGTCCGAAGATTCATCATCATCATCAGCAGCAGCAGCAGGACAAGCATCATCCTCATCACCGGGAGCAGGCTCTTCCGGTGGCCACCGCTCTCGGTCACCTACCACACGATCCATGACACCGACAATCGGTCTTATTGTTCATGCAGCCGCCGACGGGATAGCGCTGGGCGCGTCCGCATCACATCCTCAGCTCTCAATGGTGGTCTTTTTGGCCATCATGCTCCACAAGGCGCCTTCTGCGTTTGCGTTGACGACGGTACTACTCGCCGAGGGCTTGTCGAGAATCAGCGTGCGCAGACATTTGCTGCTCTTCTCCATGTCCGCACCGACGGGCGCAATCCTGACATACATCCTCCTCTACGTTTTCTCATCCGCATCGTCTTCAGCCGCCGCCTCGGCCCATTTGGCATACTGGACAGGCGTATTACTGGTATTCTCCGGTGGCACCTTTTTGTACGTCGCCATGCATGCCTTACAGGAGTTACGGCCACCATCCCATTCGGATAAGCTGGCAGGATCGCAAGTTGCTGCAATCCTAGGCGGCATGTTCTTACCAGTTCTTCTCAATATTAGCCATTCTCACTGAAACAATAATTTTTTCTTATATCTTAATATACCTCCTCTCTTTTTTTCTCTCTTGTACAGAATTTTTTTCATTCTTTTTTGGGTCTACATTTGTTCTATTGCTGTTTAAAACATCATTAATCTCTAATAGACTATATAAAACTCTCTTTCTCTCTCTCTATATATATATTGAATTCACGTGGTCATAAACAAGTAACTGATGGTAGTACGCTTTGGGAGGGGCAAACGAGACACCATTGTTGCTCTATAATCCAAGACACTCTATACATGTTGTGTACGTGTATTAACTGGATTAGTGACGGAAGAGAGAGGATGTTCATTATCACGCGAAAAGAAGTTGAAGCGGAGTGAACTCCAAACTCCCAAGTTGCCATGGCGACAAAAGTTCCAAGCCACCGCCGCCGGTGTAAAATTTTACTTTGAATTTTTGGCCACTGAGGAAACCTTCTCTTTTTTCTGCTCCACTACCGACATGTCGACTTTTGAAAAGGTGAGCCTTTACATCCTGTCTCCATGTTGACTCGCAAAAACAACATAGACAGCAATAACGTGGAACGACAAACTACACGCTTGTTATATGATTGAATGTGGCATTGAAGGAAAAAAAAAGACTTGAATTGGAATTCTTTTTACTTATAATTTTATAAATTTTTAAAAAAGGTTGTTGTCATTGATGGCAAGGGTCATCTCCTCGGACGTCTCTCCTCTATCATTTCCAAGCAGGCTTTGAGCGGCCAGAAGGTCGTCGTTGTTCGTTGTGAGGAGTTGAACGTCTCGGGCGAGTTCTTCCGTAACAAGCGTATGTATCATTCATATTTTTTTTTGAGGACAAAAAGGGGAGAGGAAGGGTAAAATAATCCCATAATACAAACAATAACAGTAAAAAACTCATGACCTCATTTCACGATTATACGCAACACATTCATGTATACAGTCAAGTACCACGCCTACCTCCACAAGCAGAACCGTGTCAACCCTCGCAAGGGCGGTCCCTTCCACTTCCGCGCCCCCTCGCGTATCTTGTACAAGGCCATCCGTGGTATGATCCCCCACAAGACCGCCCGTGGTGCTGCTGCTCTTGAGCGCATCAAGTTGTTCGAGGGTGTTCCCCCACCCTACGACAAGGTCAAGCGCATGGTCATCCCCGATGCCCTTCGTGTCCAGCGCTTGAAGCCCGGTCGCAAGTACACCTCTCTTGGTCGTATCTCCCAAGAGTATGGCTGGAAGTACCAGGACGTTGTTGCCAAGTTGGAGGAGAAGCGCAAGGCCAAGTCTGCCGCTTACTACCAGCGCAAGACCGCCCTTGCTGCCGTTGAGAAGAAGGCCGTTGCTTCCAAGGCTGATGCCGTCAAGGATATCAACGCTTCGCTCGCTGCCCTTGGTCACTAAAAAGTCTTAACATTCCTCCGCTTCCTTCCACATACTCACACACACCCGCAGTGATGCACTTACAATAAACGGTTTTTGTTTGAATGTCGGGAAAACACTTGTTTTTTTTTCTTCTTTGGTGGGTTATTGATGTAAATTATATAAATGTGTGAAATGAATGTGTGTGTGTGTGTGTGATTGTGTATAGCGTGAAGAAATTTTCTGTCTTTTTAAAGGTGTGTAATAGGAGATTGTGAGTGTGTGCAAGTAAAAAGGAAATAAGAGAATAATATATAAGAGGAGGTAAATACTAGATAATCTGACAACGAGTGTATGTGTGTGTGTGTGTGTTTGTGTTAAATGTAAAAGAGATGAGAAAAACTTTTATAAAGGTCCTGTTTTTGCATAAAAGTAAATCAGAATGAACGAGTGTGGGTGGTGGTATGATGTGTGCTGGGTGGTTATGCCCTCTTTTTTACGAGCGTCTGATCTTTTGCTTAACCTTGCTAAGTTGTGAATCGACTTCATCGAGCATGTCTTCTAGCTCCTCCTTTCTTCTACGCGACATGGGGCCGCCACCAGAAATGGGGATCTTGCTGTAATCAGATTGAAGCTACGTATGTATATTCAATATTTAGTGAACTCTTCTATATACACGACATAGTCAACCTTTTTCATAATGTACTTTCTTACCTTTTCCTTTTCTTTTGTCAACTTCAGCAATTGACGATCCAAGTCATCTTTCGATGTATGCGGTGCTGCTTCACTATTAAAGGATGAATGTGGCGTGTTTTCATAATCATCATCATACAGATTGTTATTGATTGGGATAGAGCCGGATTGGGTACTTGTTCTTGTTGGACTAGGTGGCATAGATGAGTTATTGAAATGGTGATGATGATGATGATGCGAGCTTGGAATGGGCGACTGAGGGACGTTGTTGTTATTATCTTGTACAGCATACTCCTTTGGTATGTTTGCATGTTGAATATTAGGTGAGGCAGTAGGCGTCTCGATGGGTTGTGGCGAGTTGTTGATACTGTGATGATGGTCGCTACTGTCTTTTGATCCAGTATATTGTGACTTTTTAACAAGTTGATCCATCGTTGTCTTTAGAGTTTGGATCTGATCATTCGCTTGGGAAAGTTCAGACTAAGAACGTTTTTTGGTTGGTAAGTCACCCCTAGTTTATAACTAGTGCATTACAACAACAAAACTCGAGAGCCAAACTTACTTTTAATCGTTGAATTTCCTTATTTTTACTCTTCAACTGGGTTCTCAAGCCTTCTTGTTCTTCGCGGGTTTCATTTTGAATTTTCTATAGAGCATAATGGGATAATTTTTGAGTCCAAGTTACACGAATAAACCTTTTTTACGGCGCATTAAAGAGCCAAGAACTAACTAACCTCTAGATCCGTTTTCCATTGATCAGCCTCAAAGGATCGATCTCTATATACACATATAGCAAGGTTAGTATGTGAGTAAGATGGAAAAAAAGGATATAAAATGATTTTTTCTTTCTCACGCACCTGGCATTGTCATTGCTTGACCTTAGCTTATTCAGTAATTCGTTGAGATCTTCTTCTCTATGCTTGTTATTTTCCTAAAAACAACAACGTCCGTGTTACACAGTTAATATCTGAGGTCATTTTAATTAACAATAAATATGTGTTCAAAAGAGCAAAAAGTCGCTAGGCACACCTTCTCTTCATCGTACTTTTGTTGCAATAATTCTTTTTCTTCCATCAGATCATCCATCATTTGGCTAAAATAGTCGAGATCTTTGGAAACAGCTAGAGAGAAGGAAAAATGGTGTCGATTCAGAGGCAATCATGTTAAATTAATTGATATTTTGTTTTTTTTGGACTTGAGTAATACCTTCTTTCTGGCCCTGTAAAACCTTGACGACAGAGCGCTCTTTTTCCAATTCTTCTCGTAACTGTTTGATGACAAGCGCAGGGTCTGATGATGATGATTTATCGAGCTCTGTTGTGCTTTTGATGCCCATGGTAGCAGTAGCATCTTTGCTTGCAATGCTAGTTGTGCTTTTCTTCTTCTTGACAGCAAGTGGTGTGTTGCTGTCGTTCTTGTTTGCCTTTGATGGACTCGTTTCTTGGCCACTACTGCGCAGTTGTGGTAATGTAGATTTGCCCGGAATTTGTGATGGCTTACGGAGCCTCGAGCCTACTGCTGCTTTTGATGATGATGATGGTGATGGTGATGTTACATTGTTGTTATTTCTAGTGTTGTTGTTGTTGTTGTTGTTGGTAGTGCGTGAAGAGGAGCTTGGGGACGAAGTTGGGCTCAAAGATGACGATCCCGACGACGAAGAATGCGTCGATTGAGTGCTTTTGTTCGGTGTAGGACGTGGCAATCGATCTGTCGACGAGACATGCGCAAGTGCTTTTGCACTGCCACCACCACTACTACTACTGCTGCTGCTGATCATCGAAGACGACGACTTTTTCGGGATCGTCGATGGTGCTGCTAGTCGACTAGCAGAAGATGGTTTGGTTGTGTTCGAGTTGTATCGAGGACGGGTTGATCGTGAATCAGGCGATTTGAACCGAGAAACAACGGAATTTGTTTCGACTGCTGCTGTGGGTGTGGCGACCTGCTCGCTCTCTCCCCGCTGCTTTTTGTCATCTATGGAAAAAAAAACAGATTTAGTTCCGTGTGCAGCATGCAAATAAACAAAGACGTCTCTTGTTCTATTTACCTAGTAGTTCGTCGGGAGTAGTAGTAGTAGTAGCATTAGCATCAGCAACCAAAGGGGCGGGACTCGTAGTGGCAGCAGCCGTCGATCCGAGGTCGTGCGGTGCTATATAATATAATATATCCGAGAGTGGTTGGGAACACGGGTCACTTGCTAAAAAAAAGTGAAATAAATGGGATGCATATTACCTTGTCCCAGTGTGGTGGGTATCACATGATGATGATGCTCTTTGGCCGAAAGTGCCACAGTCGCCGCAGAAGCGTCTGTCAATGACGGTGGTGATTGTTGCGATGACAACACTTGCTGCTGCTGCTGGTGCTGGTGACGTTGTTGTTGCCCAGCGACATGGAGTACTGTATTATCAGGCACGGCAGGAGGTTCGTGGCAAACTTGGTTGTTGCTACTGCTCTGGCGTTTTCGAAGCGACCCAATACTTTGGCGTTTGTGTGGGAGGAACCCGCTTTGGTGTTATTTTTCGTATTGTTAGTTAAAATAGTTAAAAATATGAAATATGTATGTTGCATATTGTTTTAGAAAGATTTATTTTTTTTTACCTCATGCGTTTGCTTTTGACGGACCTGTCATCGTCAACATCGTTAACAGCGGGTGAGGAATGCTGTTGTTCAGGTAATGTCACTACAAAAATCGATAATAAAAATATTCAGTTCGTCCGGGTTATATATTATATTTATTACGCACAATTCAAAGGGCCCTGCAACAAAAAAAAATATTGAATTAACATAAAGACGTCTAGTATACCTGAAGACTTTTTGCTTAAACTAAATTTCTTCCAGAACTTTGTGGTCGACGACTTTTCCTTTAGACCTTTGGTGGATGACATTCAGGAAAATATATAGGTACGTAGCAAAGGAATTCCAGTGGAAAGAAATAATTGGAAAAAGTGAATGTAGACAAAGGGGTGGGGGAAGTGAGTAGGAGGAGAAGGAAGACGGAGAGAGAGAGAGAAAGAAGAAAGAAAGAAAGTAAAGAAAAGAAAAAAGGAACGATGGGTGATTTCAAATGAGGAAAGATGGTAGTGTAGCTTGTTGGATATATAACGTGTGTGTGGGTGGGTCCTCGAGGTGTGTGTTTGGCGGAGATCGCGCGTCTTTTTCCATGAGGGCTCTCTGAAATTTGCTACCTCACAGTAGAAACACACACGCCTCTGTTCCTCGTTATTGGGGATGGATGCATGTAGTTTCTTTTGCTGGAGGTTGAGAAGAGAGCGGGCATTCCCATTTTAAGGTCCATAAACTTCTGCGTAATTATGCTAATACCACAACTACTAATACAGTTTTCACGGGAGGGAGGGGGGAGAGCAAATAACACAGGGGGTTGGGGACGCATAATAGTTCAAGATGCAGTATCATATCGCACAGGAGTTTTTCTCTCTCGGGTTAAAAGCTAAGGCTCTACGTATCAAAAGAAAGGCCTCCCCTCTTTCCCCATAAAAAGAAACAGACATCATCTATCATCATATTGTACTACTTGTTTCTGCATCATCATCATCATCATCATGTAATAGCCAAAGACCCTACAGATTTACAGACTAAATAAAGATGCACACAAGCTTATATAGACAGCACATTTTTCATACAGGTCTTTTTCTTTTACAACAGCATATTTTATACATACATGAATACGATTTGTGTTTAATGGATGTCGACGTTTTTCGTGGTGTTGACGATGTTGATGATGAGTTAATATAAAATACAATAATTCTTTCTTTTTTTTACACTTGTAGATAGTAATAGTAGTAGTAGTAGTAGTAGTAGTAGTTGTTGTTGTTGTTGTTGTTGTTGTTGCTGTAGCTGTAGTATTCGTAATATGCAATGATTCCCTCACATACACACAGAGTCACGTCTTTCTCTTTCTCCTATACACAAACGGCCCCTCTCTTTCTTCGATAAGTAAAATAGTACTGATGATGATACTAATGATTTGGATTCACTCATCATCCTTAGCTTCTGATGACTTTCTCGCTCGTTTTGACTTTGTATCTCGTCGTGTAGGGATCTTGACACCTTGTTTGGCAAAACATTGAGAAAGTGGCGTCGGTGCTAATAGGTTTAAAAAAGATATGGCAAATGAGAACGTGTTTTATAATTGTTAACAAAGATATTAAACTTACGAACAACGCCAGGAAAGTTCTTTGCTGTAAACGCAGTAAGCATATCGGACGTAGTAGTTGTCAAGACGTGGCTGGTGGATGACGTATTTACAATTTTATAATCAGAGCTATTAATAGAAAAATACATGTTATATTATGTGACGACGACAACGACAATGTTGAAAAGGATATGAGGAGACTTACGAGCCAATATCAATAAGAGAGAAAACGAGACGGAACCTGCCTTCGGATCGCAGACTTAGATCATGAAACACAAAGAATATTCCAAGTTCTCGCTGAATGTTGTAAAGCTTTGAAGGAGATGCTATGCAAGAGCCGACTAGATTCTTCATTTTGACATTTGTTTTGGCAGTGGCGGAGGATGATGATGTTGTTGTTGTTGTTGATGATGATGACGGTGATGCTGTGGATGCTGTCTGCTGTTGCTGCTGCTGCTGCTGCTGCTGCTGCTGTGATGCTATGGGAACGGAATGAAAGATCATGTTGGCAGGATTGGTTCCAGTTTCGTCGAAACAGTCGCATAAGACGATGAAAAAAGACGTATCGACATCTCTAAAAAACAAGTGTGATGGCAGATAGTAAAAGTAGAGATGAAAATAAGCTTATTTTAGTAACTATGACATCTTGGTCAAAAGTGAAATTGCTTAAATCGTCCCCTTTCTATTGATTTCCCAAATAAATAAAGTGTGATGCAATGCTTACTGAGGTGATATAATGATGCCTTGACGGTTTCTTACGAGTAGTTGCAGTATTGGAGGGGGCGATATCGGCCGGCGATCTTTGTCTCCAAAACCACACATCCGTGCTCGGGATGGTTGCTGTACGATTTCCAAACGGTACTCACTACCAAAAACGAAAGTATATATATATATATATATGGAGAGAGAGAGAGAGAGAGAAAGAAAAAGAGATATGCAATGTATTGTTGGTATATTATTATTATATTTATCATCAAGTACATTATCTACATAAGAGAACGCCAACATTGATAAGAACAATGTTGGAGGAGAGAGAAAAAAAAACTAGAGAGACAGAGCACAAGCGATATATACAAAGGCTTATCCTTAGTTGTGTATGTCTACTAGTTTTTTTTTCGTCCTCGCCGTCTGTCTTCTACTAATATTATTACTACGTACCGTTCATCTTTACGATGCCACGTGGGAGCTCCTGTCGTTTCTGGTTGCTGTTGTTGTTGTTGTGTTGTCGCTGTAAATGTCACTCTTTCTATTTCTTGCGTTGTTGTGGTGCTACTTGAAGTACTGCTAGACCCGCTGGCACGGTAACTGGAAGCTGGAGGCACAAGCATACCACTTGTTTTTGTTTCAGAAATCTGTGATAACCATGGAGATGATGTGTGCTGTTGCTGCTGATGCTGCTGCTGCTGCTGCCAGATACCTGGAGGGTGCCTTGGCTGGTGATGCTGATGTTCCTGCTCTTGGTGTTCCTGTTGTTGTTGTTGTTGCAAGTCGCTTGTTCGTGCCATCGACACTAGCCTGCCAAAGAGCTCCTGCTCTTGCCGATGCCGATCGAGTGTCGTCGTATCGGGAATGATCGGGTGCGTTACTGCTGACATCATTGACGATGACTGCTGCTGCTGTTGTTGTGGCGGTGGCGGTGGTGGTGGTGGTATTGACGTCGTTGCTGTTGGTTGCAAGCGATGACTCGGTATGATGTTTTCGGTATCCCATGAAGAAGCAGATGAGGACGATGGTTGTTGTTGCTGTTGGATCAGATTGCTATCGATAGACGACGATAACATCATCATCACTTGATCCTCCCGATGCTGATGTCGTAATACTACCGGGGTCGGTGTAGGAGTCAAAGTAGGATCGTACGTATCTCTGCTTTCGGTCTCTAATGTTAGAAAAGGAATAGAGAGACACAGTGTCATGTGAGCGGTAGCTGTCTTGACATATAACATCTTTCCTTGCGAGACAAAGGATTGGTTGTAAATGTACCTCGTTCGTGTTGCGGTTGATCTTGCGGCGGTATCGTAAAGGTTAGTGATGGATGAAGCTGCTGCTCGATTGCCAATGGAAGTCTGATATTGTAATCGTATTGCTGGTAATGTGGCTGTGGCACTTGGGACTGTGGATGAGTAAACGTGTGGACAGGCGGATAATACTGCGATAATGAGCTCGTGCTGTTAGAAGGCTGGAAAAACTGTTGTTGCTGCTGTTGTTGTTGCGTTGTTGGCTCATGCGTCAGGGGGTAAGAAGGTTCCTGGGTGTGTCGTGGTTGTTGTTGTTGTTGTAGCTGCTGCTGGGGTGGTGGTGGTAGCAGTTGTTGCTCTCCACTACTGGCCAGCTGCTGCTGCTGCTGTTGTTGTTGCTTAGAGTCGGGATCGTCGTTGCTGTTATCATACTGTTTTGTAGGAGCAGACGGAAACATGGCTTATGCAAAAGACACGTTCGAAGCGGTTACAGCGGAATCAATGCTGTTGGAAGCGTAGTCAACACTGTCAGCCTGCGACTTGAGAGAGAGAGAGAGAGGAAGAAGGATGGGAGGGGGGGTGTGAGGAGAGCGGAAGAGAAAGAGGGCAAAGAGAAAAAAGATAGTAAAGAGAGCAAAGGAAAAAAAACACAACTTGGGACTGTTGAAAAATGTTGCTACTTCCACACACGCACCGGGCAAAGAAGTAACAACATGCAAGCGAAAGAGAAAGCCATGTTCCACACTGCCCATTTCCTTTTTTCCCTTTCTTGAATTACAAGTGCACGTGTGGTTGCTTGGTTCTTCTTCTTCTTCTTCATCTTCCCCCATTTGTATCGCATTTCTCTTGACAAGCCAGCCACGCCACTTGCGTCGACAAGTCTTTTGTCTCGGCGCTCTGTCTATCGTTGAGGACACATCGTCAGCAAGCAAGGCAGCTTGGTAGATCACGCACTCGGCCCAAAGGTGATAACTCTGGGTTGGGGGGGGGATGGGGGTGTGAGGGAGAGGGGGGAGGGGGGCGTGCCACAGCCAACAGGAATACTGGCCATTGTTGTGGGCTCTACCATTCTGTGGGGACGTAAAACTTGGCCTATGACATGCGTCCATCGCCCTTCCAGCTTTCCCCCGACGCGTTGCTACGCACTGAGATAACGGGGACGATCTTTAGATGAGAAGAAGGGGCTATGTATGAGTACCACATGTATATAATGCTCGCTTCTTTCTCGATTAAGCCCAATAAGCACACAGCAGCATGGTCTATTACATATAAAACTAATAGGCAAGATACGTCCACTTTGGGGTCTCCACTGTGGTCCCATGAGCAACCCTGATCTAAATTAGCTATGGTGTATCATAGCAACTGGTTATAGAGTGCACCGCCTCGCCGCTTCGCCAAAATGGTAATTGAGTTCTAGACCAGATAATTAGTGCTTCTTCCATAGCAACTCGAACCCCATCGTTACTATGTGTCCTTTCTGTTCTTTCTGCAAGTGATATGGCGTGTAAGCGTGGAGTTTGTATATGATAGGAGAAAGAGACATCTTGTCACACAATGACCGCAGAATGGTTGGCTGCAAATCACTGCAATTGACTAACAAAGTGAGTGACTGAGTGAGTGAGTGAGCGAGTGTGTGTGTGATCGATGGGTGCACCCGGACCCAACTTGTGTGTGACAAGATCGTTTGCGGGGTTGGGCCGTCGAAACAATGTGGAAAATTAGTCAAAAAATGGGTGCACAAGCAACACAAATGAGAAGACATGAGTTGAATGTTTACGTGTGAATGTGTTACGTCAACCTCGCCGAGACCTTTGGCTTGATTGTTCGACACATCATGTCTCACAGGTCGCACACGCCCACGCGATTTGACATTCGTCCCCCAAGAAGATAAGCGCAACAAAAGAAAGAAAAATTTGTATTTCATGATAATAACAGTAAAAATGCAAGTACTACTTCATAAAAAAAAAGATAATAAACGGGAGAACACATAAAATCGAGGTGCGGCGGCTGCGTGAGACTCTCTCTACATGACAAACACACCAAATGGCGCTCCTCCTCCGCCCATGCGCGGCAGGCCACGAACACTGTTCCTGTCGCCGATGGCACCAATCTGGAGAGAGTCGTAGTGATTGTTTGGAGGCTGTTGTCCGTAGCGTAGATTGTGCTGTGGTTGTGGCTGTGGTTGTTGGGAATGATGATACGAGGATGGATGTTGTTGTTGTTGTTGATGAGGATGCTGATGTTGATGAGGATGATGATGTCGATGACGTTGAAACACTTGTTCGTGTTGTTTGGAGGGGGTGGTTGCAGTAACAACGGCATGTTCAGACCAGAAAGGTTCGTACATGCTATTGCCAAGTGGAGTTGATGGCTCGGATTGGATGAATGATTCGTTCATGTAGCGTGCCGACTTGGGAGTTGTAGCTGAGGGCACAATGATGTTCAGTGCGTCTGCACGGCGATTGTCGATGGCCTCGTTCCAAGACCGTCGTCTTGTCTCCCCTGTCCAGAGCGATCCGTCTCTGCGAATGATCCCTGCTGCGTTGTTGATGCTGTTCTTGTCCCAGCCTTGCCAGCCGCCAGTCCAGCTGCGCATGAATTCGAGGAATCGGGCCTTTTCCTCCTCCGTGATGACAGACTTGGCACTCGAAGTACTACTACTACTACTACTCGTCGAAACCGACTCCATAGGTTCGTCGTCGTCGTCGTCGTCGTCGTCAACCTTGTCATCAGACGGTTGGGATTCGTCCGTAACAAATTGGGAACTGTGATCAGACTTTGTGTCGTCATCCGAAGCAACGCTGGACGAGTTTGATGAAGACATGGACGACAATAACATGTCCGCTACCATTGGCCGAGTCGTCGGTGACACATGACTTTTAACAGAAGAACCGGATCGACCTGCAGCAGCAGCGGCGGCGGCAGCAGCAGCAGAACGGAGATCGTTCCACAAAAGACGTTGCTTCAGGTCTGAGCCAGTTGACTTTGGCCTTGGTGTGGATCCAGTAGATGCGCGCTTCTTGTTCTCCACCTTGGGCACCAGTGCCTTGAGTCGCTCGATCTCTTGCTGGTAATCCACCAGCGTATTCATACCGGCAAAGGGATCATCCGTCCCATCGGAGGATGGGACACCACCACTGCCTGGCGAGATCACCTTTTGCTTCACCGTCGTAGGATCGTTCCACACCGACCGCTTCTTCTTAGCGTCGTCGTCGTCGCCAAGCGCAGACAGGCTCGGGAAATTTTCGTCGGTCATTGTGGAGGTCGGGCTGCTCGGGCGGGATTCGGGGCTGGCTTTTGCCATCCAGCGTGGAGCAAAGGTGTAGGATGAAGGGGACGGAGTTGGCAGCTTCTTGGTGCTGGCTGCTGTTGCTGCTGCTGCTGCTAGACGTGCACTCGCAGTCGTGGTGCTGATTTGTTTGGTGGTTTGTTGTTTGCCTTGCATTCTGTTGTACTCGAGTGCTTGGTCTGTGAGTTCTGAGATTTGAGCCGCCATGTGACAAGGATAGAAGGAAGAAAATAATAAACAAAAGGTAATGACAAATAAATAATAGTAGTAATAAGGTGGTATGCGCGAGTATCGGAGGGGGGAGGGGTTGTAGTTTAAGAAAGAAAATAAGGGTTTAAGTGTTATATGTAGTTCGTACGTGTACGTGTGCGGTGTGGATTTGCTGAGTTCAGTTGAGAGTGTGAGTCAGTGTAGAGAGTATGCGTGTGTTTAAAGAGGGCTTTTTTTCTGTTTGATAGAGAGATATGCTGATAGAGAAGAAAGAGTGTACAAAAAGTATGCTGGAGTAGCTAGGAGTGTCGTGCTGAGGTGTGGAATGTCTAAATGGTAAAAGAAAAAAAAAGTGCGAGAGTTGCTTTGGAGAATGTGAGATTGTGCGTGCGTGCGTGTGCGTGAGTAAAATGGGGTAGATAAAAAAAGAAGTATGTGCGCGAATGAATTTATATACAGCAGTTGAAGCGGTCAGAGATGGAAACAAAAGAGACAGTATTTATGGAGAGAGAGAGAGAGTGAGAGTGAGAGTGAATGTGTGTGGGGAGGTGGGTGGGATGAACAGAATATTAAAGGCAATCAAGAAACTAAATGGCAGATATAATGGACAATGGGTTATATAAGTTGGTAAGGGTGATTAGGTTACGAAAACATTGTCAAGGTAAAAAAAAAAAAAGAAGACAAAAACGAATGGCCGCAACCGCAGCAAACACCTAATCGCGTCCAAGCCACCAGCTGTGGCCCCTCATTGGTGCGGATGGTCTCGGCTACATCGGAGAAGAGAGAGCGAGAGAAACCAAAAGACACTATTTTGCGTTCCACAAATTTCCATCATTTTCTACTTGGGTGTATCGATGCCTCTCAAGTTAAGAAATTCGAAATATCTCTTTGACAAAACGGTTTAAGAACGTCAATGGATGCGTTATCCTCTGCTTGGAAAATGTCATTATCAGACGTGTGTCATCTTTCGTAAAGTGGTTCGCGCGCCTGCGTTTCGGCCTTTTGATTGGGTTTTCTCGTTAGCGTTGGGCTATGGTGCAGTCCTTTGCACACATGATTTTGCAATCAAGTAGTTTACATATTTTAAAATGACAAATATGTACTTGCGCCGACCATTACCAGTTCTTTAACCGGCTTGTTTTAAGGCTATTATCAAGTATGAAATGATGATTGATGTTTGATAAAATGATCCTTCAGAGCTTTCAAATTTCCCCCCCCCCATCGAAAAGCACCACTTAATGAACAAGATACTGAAATATCTATTGTTCAAGTAAAGTTCTTACGTTTATGGTCAATACAACAAAAACAATCCAACTTTTAAAGAAATTTTGGCTCACGTTTAAAGGAATTAGGCACATAACAACAACGTGCAAAAGAATAATAACTAGCAACCAGGCTTCAAGTCTTATTGATAACCTCTGGCAACTCGCTGGGAAACTTGTTAAAGATTTGCTCAAGACGCATAATAGAGTAAGTAATTGGATGGATGCTTTATAATTAAATAAATAAGGACAATCTCAAGTCTATATGCTATGAGCCTAAAAAGACCACCTGGTAGCCGTTAATTTACTACGATGCTTGTAGAAAGGGCAAGAAGTAGTACATCGAGCAACATCAAAAACAGTGGACAACAACAATTGGAAGTGTTTTATTGTCAAGGCATGGTGTGCTAAACAAAGAGACATAATTTTTGTAAGTACCAAAGGCGAGTATGTGTTTCATACAATTATCAAGGCCTCTTTTGCCTTGTTCTTTTGTGGGATGCTAATGAGAGCACTTCGTCAGGTTAAAATCTTATTCAAATGGCTAAGGCATTACTGGATCACTCCTAGCCACTTATAAAATGGCACATATTTTTATTGAAAAAAAGTAGCAGTAACGGGCAGCAGCACATATCACCCATGCTAATACTACTTATCACTGCTCTTCGTGATAGTATCCATACAAAAATCGAGATTTCATGGCGCGACTTGCGTCTGATTTTGCACCAGTGTAAACAAGAATGTCAGATAAATGATTGTTTGGCGAAATCATATAGCCTATCTTGTAAACATCCGTGCTGTTTGAATCAAAATGAGCCAGCAGGCTAGAATCAGCATAATACGTATCACCTTCAAGTTTGATCATAGGTTCCGCTTCGTCTAGGGCCCGTGTTCCAGTTTCTGGGTAAACGTGCAAATTGGCTGCAAACTTGTCGTGGTCCTCTTCTGTTGTCTAATCAAGAGTATCATACATAGTAATATGTTTTGGCTTACATAAGTTATCTGTTGATGATGGGAGAACAGTGACAGTACATAGATAGATGACTATTTACGAAAAGGTAAAAAAGCAAAGAACAACTCACCATGACATCTGTATACGTATATCCATCGGCACACATGTTAACGAGAGTGTATGTACTGTTTCGTGGATGTACCTTGGCGAGAACCGTTGATGATCCTCGTACAACACCAGAAACAAGGCTGCTTTCTATCTTAATCCCTCTCAACTCAACATTTCCGTCTAAAACGGTAACTGTACTATCATAATACATATAGCGTGAACTTGTAATTGCCCTTGAATAAGATGGTGGGTGTTTACATGCTATATTGTCTACAACCGCAGTATTCTTATTAGCGAGTGGGCCTAGAGTTCCCATGTTGCTGCACTAACAATTTTTTTATTGTATTACGTTGCAAACACGTACCAAGATGTTGGAAGCAAACATGATGTATATAAAAAAAGACCCTATTCGTTGTGTTTCCAGGTGTAGCTATCATATGTGTGCTACTTTAGAATGAGTATATATACCTGCTGGATGCTCTGTAAGCGTTGCCACCAAGTGAGAACAAGGACGCTTCTTCCTGGTCCACGTCAACGGAAAACTCTCTTTTTGCTGCTGCTCCTTTAATGGGATTTTGCTCCAGTGTACCGTCTGTAATTTTTCAAGTACAAGCTCCTGAGGGCATCTTCTAATTTGGTTAGATTTTTCAATGATACATAGTAATGAAATACGGTATCTGCATAACTAGCATAAAAAGCAGCTCTATGACTAGCTAACCTTTTCAATACCGGTGCTGGGATATGTATTTGCGTTGGTGGATTTTGCTCATTCTATCTACAAAACGTATTTCCCACACAGGTGGTGTCCTGTCAACCCGAGAAAATAACGCCCAAGATATCTATCAAAACAAAGATACCAGAGCGAGGCAGAAGCGCCCGGAACGTGGCCTACTTATAAAGCATTCCGGCACTGTGTGGACTGTGTTATCTGAAGCGATCCGAAACGGAGCATTACTGATATAGGCGATGCCTCCATCCTGCATTTATTTTGTTCGTTGACATTCCAACGTAACAACTAGCCCTTCTCATGAGCCATATCTAACCACTTCATCGTTAGCCTATATAGCGGGAGGAAGAGATAGTGAAGAGAGAATGAGAAATAGCATGTCTTCCGCGATATATATGCAATGGTTTATGGAACCAAATATAATCAGATTTCCAAAAGTTCAAGTGTCGGATGAACTGCTGGATTTGGGAAAGTCATGTGAAATTTATAGAACTGAGAAGATTTCTTTTTACTGCGCGCTATCAAAATAAACAAGGAGAATGGTAAAGAGTGCAGCCCGTCCTGGCAGATTGTGGCATGGAGCAGAGAGCTAATAGTTATAGCCGAGCAGCAAAGTTGACGTTTATAAAAGAATGTTAGAGAACGGTCAATGCTTTTGACTTCTGAGTAATTGATCATAGTTTCTATAGTTGCAGAAAATGTACAAAAGATATGATGTGTCGGGTATGTTTATATAGGTAATGCTAGTGTTATTTACAGAAGTGCAAGGTTTGCGAATGTGTGTGTATATGTGTTGTGGAATAAGTCGACGGGATATATATGTATGGTGAAAGTAGATGTGGTATAGTTCATGTAAATGATTGTGATGGATGGACATATTTTTTCATGCGTGTAGACGCTTCGAGCATTTCCGAGAGCAGTCGCTACACTTGATAAACTTGGGTTGTTGCTGTTGTTGTTGATGATGATTATGTTGACGTTGTTGTAGCAAGCGTCCTTTTGGTTTTTGCAGAGATGAAGCTGTTGCTGTTGTTGTTGTTCCTGGGGCACGTAGTACAAAATAACCTCGACTTTTGCCCAAAACGTCCTTTTCCCGCTCGAGCATAGCATTATACAGCGATCGTGCATTGACCCAAACGCTGGGATATTCGCCACGAGCAACGTCCATGATAAGCACCATATTTTCAGCCTTGTTGAAACCGCCAATAGGGCTGAAATGACCGCCCCGTTGGTCCACTTGGCCAAGATGCGAACGAGAATAGCTGACAATCATAATTTGGCTAGCGGAATTGTTGTTGGCTGTAATGGATTCAAGATCGTTGAGAAATTCGTTGTACGCTATTGATGAGGCGCGTCGAACGTCGAGATGACAATGTGACTGTGCGAGGCACGTGAATTCGTCAAAGGACATGCCTTTGCTAAGAACCTCTTCTTTGCTTGAGCAAGTTTCCAATAATTCGTCTGTTGAACGCAAAAAAAAAAAGTCAGTTTATCGAGATATACTTTTTATCTTGATTTAAAAATTCTGTACTTACTCGAATACCAGCGCCAGTTTCCTTTCCAGATTCGTTGTGGATCGATTTCTAATGCGTTAAGTGCCATGGCCACTAGATATACATGATGCTTTTTTAATAAACTCGTCGAAACTCCTGATGTTTACGGTTAAAGAGAAGAAACTTACAAGAGCTGACACCACCAAACATGGCAGAAGATTGAGTTGAAAAATTTCCCATCAGATTGAAAAAACTCTCCGCATGGCCTTGGTCCATGGCGCCTCGAAATAGGCGTTTGCCTTCAGAAGATGTGAAATTGACAAGTCTTGGACATTGCCGTAACAATGGGTTGTCGGATGATAGCATTGTAATAAAGGGATCGGGCGTTGATGTTTTTGATAGAGGTGGTGTGGTGGCTGTCCTTGCCGTTGCCATGGTTGCTGTTCGACGGTAACAATGAAGGGCAGGTGATAATGGCAACTTGGCGCCAGAAGATGGGTGGACGATGACGTTGTTGCAGGCGATTCGGAGACGGTTAGGGAAGCTCATGATTGATAGATGACGTTGGTAAGATTGTGGTGTATGCGGTAGGTATATATATATAAGTTGGTTGAATTGAAAGGTTGGCAGTAAGTAATAATAAATGGGGGTTTGTTGTGGTCTGTTCCTGCGGGTTCCTTATATACGGTTTCCCAACCGCTCGATCTGATTCGTACGGGCTTTTATCTGATTGATTCCGCCCAATCTGATTAACGTGGTTTCCCTGGCAGTGTACTTGTTTCTCGAGTTTTCAAAGCCGTATCGATCACCCCCAATCTGATAAACTGCTGTCCAGCACGGACTCATTCACACACCTCACCCCCACAACCCCCCCTCGCTCTCATTACCCTTTCGGGGTACTTCGGTGAACGTTAAAACATTATTAGCATATCTGATGCACTTTACGCACACATGTTTAATTTATACTTAGATCTTATTGATCAGATCATCAGTTTCCCTGCAACAAGCCTCCCCCTTACTATTCCGTTGTCAAGATCAGCAGCATAAATGTGTCAGAGATATTGACATGTCCAGAAATCCTCACAAACGGCGGTAGAAACATGTCTCAAAGTTACTTAAAGAAGGCTCGTTCCTTCTATTTTGAAACGATTTTTAATAGAACCAATTCTACAATTCTACCATCTTCGTGCTCAAGCTGTGCGCGTGCTAAATTTTTTGAAATGCTTAAATGTTCTCTGTCTGTGCATCGTTTCACTTTCGATGAAGAAAACAGGTAGCACTTTCCGCTGAATACGTGGACGCATTTAGTATGTATGCAATCGACGTTCATTCGCTGGCAGGAGATCCGCGCCCCATTTTCATCTCCAGCTGTTTTTTACCCTTTCTGGAACACCGCAGCCACAGCAACACATCGATGATGAGACAAATCCACTGTGGCCACTACTAGCACTATATAACATACAAACAAGCTCGGTCGTTTGCTTTTCTAGCTGTTAATGTACATAAAAGCAGAATCGCGCGATTTAAACTGGTTCTGCTAAAGTATATTGGCGAAAATAGGGCACTTTTGTTCTTATCATGATACTAGATAGGGCAAATATTGTTCACACAGGATCATCGATCGTGGGACATCTTGATAGTAGCCATCGATATCATATACACACCTCCTCCAGCGTGCGCGATAAGGTCTCCTCCTCAAAGAAGAAAAAATTAGGCACCGGTAAATTTACTCGGTGAAGAGGATACGATATCACATCTTCTATCAGCATTTTTTTTTTACTCTGATTATATCGGATAAACCAAAGTTTCTTATTAGCACCGCATATGATTTTATCCAACAGACAGTCATAGTCCTTTAGCTCTGCGAGACCGCAAGCGGCAACCACGATGAATCTGATGCTTGCTAAATGATTATTTCTGAGGCGTACATTTTCACAAACTCACATTAATTCCCCCATTGCCCAGCTACACATTGATACTTGTAGCGTCGACCGCTTTTTCAATTGTGCCTACCCTCTATATCTGAAAGTTGAAAGTATCATAGCCTCTTTATGGTGTTGTATGTCACATCGATCATAAATGCCTAGACAATTTGATACGGATAGCTTCTATTTACCGGAATTTCTGCCCCGACAATGCCTACATACATCCACATATTGATACTTTAGCTTTCTCGGTCCCTGGGATGTATCAATATAGCCCGCGGCTACTGCTGTACCCATAGATGACTAAAACTCGACTAGCAGATTAAAATGATGAACCAAAACACAGCGCGGAAAGATCGGTATATTATAACGAATTCTTGATATAAAATTTATGCTGGATACCCTCTGTACATGTGTTGATTTCGCAGATGCAGATCTCGACCATACGATTAAAAATCCCAGGCAAATTATTTGCAAGAGTGGGATTTTTACAATTTTAAAGTATCTGCTATATATTACAAAGTAGAGACCCGAGCAATGTCTGTCATGATTAGTATAGTGCTTCTGATACACACGGTGCTGCCATTGATGCCGTAGTTGGTTCTTCAATGATGAATGCTTCGTTTGCATATTTGCTGCAATGAAAAACTTGTCAAATTTTACATGGCGAACGTTTGATTATTGACGAAAGCAAGTCTATATTCTACCCTTATGTTTCAATTTTGTGGAAATGCTCTGTTTTGCTTTACAAGAAGGAAGAAAAAGTCTTGAAAACCAAGTAGTAAAGAAAAGCGCATCCAAATAAATCGTGGCATATCTCATGAAATTATTAGTGTGGCATCCTGTGCTAATCGGAAAGCAAGGCTACATCCATTAATCACGACGGTAGTTATAAAAATAGTATGTATTTTTATCGATTACACCAACGGACGTCATAATATGAAGTCTAAGATAAGCAACGGATGTTTTTCTAGTGCTATTACATCAGTGTAATTTGGTACGCGATATCAAGGACTGGCTACAAGCACGCTACTACTTGACTCTGATGCTTGCTGCTCTGACGCAAAAGGAGAGCTGAGTGGACACATACACTATTTAAAGGGATTAAAGTAAGCAGTCGCAGACACCTGACAGTTATTGTTGCAAAAACGAGATTCCATTCTTCCTTTGAACCAAAGCAAGCACTGGCTTTATTGGGCAGTAAAACATAAATGTAGGCAAAGGTATTGAAATTAGTAATAGAGATATTAACCGCTTTGCATAAGGCGGATTAGACAACAACGGATTCAACTACCGACTGGACGAACGGGGCGGCTGCAAGAAAGTCAAAAAAGTTCAGCTGCAGTTTCTGACAATCCCTCCTTTTTTCCAAGGTATGTCATGCTGAAAGTGGTGGTAGCATTAGAAGGAGGATGTGTAGACCGATGGAATCGATGGATGGATAGATGTGTAGATGGATGAGCGTATTTCTGGATAGATTGGAGGATAATATGCAGCTTGTGATTTTCATGACCGAGATTTGATCAGTACTAATGTTGAATTTCCCTTGACATTGAATTTCCATAGTCGTGAGCTATGGTTCGTTACGCTGCAACTCCGGCCAACCCTGCTAAGGGTAAGCAAACGATCGAAATACGGGAAACAGAACGAAAAGAATGCTAACATGTGCCACGTTGATTTTATTTAGCTGCCAAGTCCCGAGGTTCTTACCTTCGTGTGCACGTACGTCCTACAGTTCAGCTAAAAAAAAGAGAAAAACGAATTCTCAGCAAATATAAAAAAAAAATGTCTGAATCAAAAAAAAAACTAACGATCCTGATCTTTTTTAACAATGACATTAACAGTTCAAGAACACCCATGAGGTCGCCGCTGCCATCAAGGGCTTGAAGTTGAGCAAGGCTTACAGCTACTTGCAAAACGTCAACGAGCACAAGCAGGTCATTCCTTTCCGTCACTTCAACGGTGGTGTCGGTCGCACTGCTCAGGCCAAGGAATTCAAGGCTACTCAGGGTCGCTGGCCCGTCAAGTCGGTCAAGTTCGTCACTGACCTCTTGAAGAACGCCGAATCGAACGCCGAGGCCAAGGGCTTGAACGTTGAGGAACTTTACATTTCCAGCATCATTGTCAACCAGGCCCCCAAGCACCGTCGCCGTACCTACCGTGCCCACGGTAGAATGTAAGTTTCGCCTTTCTGATCGTTGTTAGTGGTTGTTAGTTGGATAAGGATCAGAGGAAACGTATATAGACAAAAACAACCGGGTGATAGCTTATATTGACATGTTTCTTATCCTATAGCAACCCCTTCATGACCTCGCCTTCCCACATTGAGGTTATCCTCACCGAGAAGGAGGAGACCGTTGCCAAGGCTTCCGAGAACAAGGTCGCTCGTTTGAACAAGCGTCAGTTGGCCCGCAACGCTCGTCTCGCCCGTGCTTAAATAACGAAATTGAAATGGCTCGTAATGGGATTTCCTTCTAATAAACAATCAAAAAAGCGACGTTTCTGCATTGTATATATATCACTTTCTTATTATTGGTTTGGGGTGGGGGGTTAGATGAAGTTTACTTACTGGGATAGATGGGCTTTTTTTAAGGAGGTTTTTTTTCTCTGGCAACCGTAAGCCAGTCAATGGAACTATTTAGAGTTATCTAGGCAAGTTTAGCATATTCAATTTGCGTTGCACACAGCAACAGACTTAAAGTGGTGGCGTTGTTCAGGGGTGCTTTTTTTTCTTGACGGGCTCTATAAACGACCACGCGACATCACTTGTTTCGAGGGGGAGGAAGCATGGGGAATATCTGTAAAGGTATCGTCTTTACGCAAAGCCAGCCGATCGATCCGGATAGTTGCCTGTTACTACACAAGTAGTTAAAAAAGTCAAATATGCGTCATGTATAAATAAATCCTTCTAATGTCCTTGTGCTGTGTCTTCAGTATGGTTGATGCATAAACTTATTCTTTGGCACGAGTATTGAAAGGAGGCGCATGCTTCGTTTTTCTAATGTTTGGATTACGTATTGATTATCTAGATGGTCTGTAAGAAGACACGCGGCAATGCTTGCGTACTACCACACATGTTGCGCCGCTTTTTTTATACATAATAGTCGCCGTCAGCTTAGAAAAAACCAAGCTGTGTAGAAGTACATTGAAAGTTGCAGCAAAAACGAAGAAAGGATGCACAATTACATGATTTATCTACTGTATCGTACGCTAGAACACCACATATCCATCGGCAAAAGAAGACATGACCTCATACAATTTGTGATGAGATAGGGGAATTTTTTCGGCTCACCAGAGTGTGATGATGCACATCATTTTAAAAGACCTTGAAACTTTACGTATGTGTGTCTTGGCATTATTACAATTCGCTGCAAAGGAATACAAATATCCATTATATAAGATATAAGACAGCAACACTTGGAGAGAAAGAGATAGAGAGTAAGGTTTCATTAAAGTGAAATATGTAGTTTGTTAACAGATATGTAAGAATAATAAAGAAAAGATAAAAGAAAAATACAGAGAAGGGAAGCAGCACTCGAGATTATTGGGGATGGATAGAGTAGAAGGATATAAAGTTAAGCAAAAAAAGAAAGCAAAGAGAGATCAATCTTCCCATTGTTGTGCATTCACTACTGGTTATCAGTAGTGTAGGAGAACGTGCATTTAGGCGGTTGCTTGAACGGTGGGTGTTGTTGTGCTAGCAGCTGCGGGATGAATCTGTTGGTCTTGGACGGCAGCGGCTGGTGTATCAACAGTAGCCTCCTTCTTGGAAGCTTCGGCAGTCGTTTCTATAGCTTTTGTTAGCTACAAGTCAAATAAAGACAACAAATATATTTACCCTTCTTCTTAGCAGGGAACGAGTGGAGAATCTTGGTCAGGCGACGACCAAGTTGAGAAGCTGGTTTCTTCTCTGCACCAGAAGACGATTCCTGTTGTGCTTGTTCTGCTGGTGCATCGTCAGGTTTGGCTTCTGAGTGTGTAAAAAAAGAAAGGTTCCCCACGTAAAATCAAAGTTAATGCATGCATATTAGAATGTCATCACGTATCAGGATTGTGTGGTATGTTGTGTGTGATCCAGCCACCTCACGAAAGAACTAGGTAGGGTTACACACACAATAGAAAAGAGAGAGCATCACGCATAACTAGCACACACACTCTCTCTGGTATTTTATCTTTCCTAGAAGACCAACAAGCTCACACCAACCCACCCGAACTCGCTTATCCCTCACCCACACCCGCAGAGCCAAAGAAGAGGGTCTGATCTAAACATAAAGATAACAATGTATGTAGGAGAGACCGGACTTACCAGTCGCAGTAGGGGCAGCATCAGCCGTTTCAGCAGATGTCGAAGACTTGCCTCGCTTCTTGTCAAAGAAGTGGTTCACCTCCGTAGCTCTGCGCTTGAGTTGATCAATCACAGTATCCTTGTGATGAGCAGCACCGTCCTTTGGAGCATCGTCCTTCGGAGGAGGTACAGGCGGGACATCGGCAGAACCTTTACCAGATGCTACAAGTGGAAAGAAAAAGGAAAAAAAGTTTATATAATAAAGATAATAAGTTCTCAGTAGTAACGTTCCGCAAAGAATATATAGCGAGTCTTGTGTGTGTGTGTGTGTGTGTGTAAGTGTGCTGCGTGTAGAATATGATATATCACTTACTGTTACCTTCTGGAGCTTTATCAGCATGTGGTTCATCAGCAGATTTGGCTTCTTCCTCCTTGGTAGCGGAAGGGCTCTTAAGTACCAAGAATATGGCATTTAATATGCGTAAGTTTCTAATATTTGATAGCTGTGTGTGTGCACAAAGAAGACCATCCGTCTACATCCATCAAGCATTCCACAACAACATCTGATAGACCCGCGGAGCAAGGGTATCAAGTTGGTACTGGCCTCTCCTCTACCTGCTCTCTCTTGTCAAACCCTAATCACGCATATACAAACACAAACACAAACACACGCACCACTACTACTACTACTAATGGCATTCGAATCTAAAGCCCAACATGTCGCACAATCCCATTCCTCACCCACCGGATCACTTTCCTTTCCTCTACCAACCCCCGCGCTCTTCTCCCCTCCCTCCCCCAACCCGGGTCGATCACTTTACCTTGCTGCGGTTAAAGATAGTGTCAAACATAAACAGCGACCTTCTCTTTTCGGTCTTATCCGCTGCAGCTGCAGAGTCATCATTGCTGGCCTGGACTGGATGTTCTTCAGTCGCAGCAGGCGCAGATGCAGCTGGAGCTTCTTTCTTTTTGGCAGCAGGTTCGCTGCTACTGTCAGCTGCCTTTGCTGGAGGATGGGGCTCGTCAGGCGATCCGAGCTTTTCAGCAGCTGTAGAGATGGACTTTTTGGCCTTGCCAATCAAAAGAGACAGTCGACGGCCTGCGGTGTTGTTGGACTTGGACGGTGATGGCGCGGGTGCCTCTTCTGTTGTTCCAGCAGCTTCACCACCGGCAGGAAGCGGAGGGACGGGCTTGGCCTCGACAGGCTCAGGAGTTGTCTCAGTGACAGCCTTTGCTTGTTCTTGGGTCATGTTTTCAAAATCGAGGAGAAGAAGTAGAAGTGTAGAGGAGAAAAGAGAGCACAAATCAATCAAACATTGCCAAAAAGCAAACGGGAGCCTTTTATATACCGGCGTGTGTGCGGCATATTGGGGCAAAGACTGCGGAGTATCATTTCATTATCATTATTTTTTCTCACTAAGTGTCACTTGGATGTTATTTTAGGTCGATCTTTTATGGAATACGAGGTGCCACCTGACTGCTTTAACGTATTACAGCGACTATGATGCTTATTCTACACAGGTCTTGCAGACTTCATCTTTTTGCTGCTGCTGTTGCTCCTGCTGCTGCTGCTGCTGCTGTTTGTTTGGTTCGACTGCCTTCTCAGGCTCCTTCTTACGGTCAGAATGACCCAATGACATATCCGGTGCAATGATGTCCCGGATCAATTGTTTCTAGCAAGTCCCCCATTCGTCACATATCAGATAACTCTTGTGCATTTACCCCCTCCTCTCCCGTGTGACAAGTAAAAGAAAACTTACCAGCTCTTTGACTTCGGGAAATCTGCCTTTCTCCTTACGATCCCAAATAATCACTAGCATGTACTGCTTTTTTAGTTTCTCTTATTCATTTTTTACGCCTCCCCTCCTTGTTATTCTGGTTTTTTTTTTACCGTCATTGACTTTCACTTGAAACACAGCAGCAGCGCCAGGAATAATCGCAAGCTCGCCAATCAGCGTATCAAAGGTTGTAAGCAATTCTTGGCCCATCCATGCTGGAGAACAGGTCATTCGGTTGATCACACGACAGGTCAATCAATACATGCAAGTTGCTTTTGGCTTAGATCTGTTGTGGTTTTTTTTTTCATTTACCTGCACGTAGCATCCACCGGCACTTTGTGCAATACTATCAGTACGAAACAGGTTTAGCCCTTTGTGTTCTTCTTTCGCTCAATCAGTCTTTACAGATACCACGAGTATAATCACTATTACACCCCCAAAAAAGACTCTGTCGTTTTTCTTTTGCTTCCATTGGCAATGACGTGTTGAATGATGGCAAGGGGGCCCACCTCATTCATTCAAAACCTTTTAAAAAAGACAAAGAGAACGATAATTACCTCAATGGACACGCGCGGTCTCTTGACATCAATTACGGTTGCCATTACACTTGCAGGAAAAATTAACAAGTTCAAGAAATAGGGAAAAGATAGTGCTGGTCGCTCTTATCGTGACCGTTCAAATGAAATTTCATCATCAAGCGCTGTTGTTGTAGATCATCTTTCAGTCCTGTGCAACCGTTTATGCGCGTTTGATCGTCTATATGAAATCTCTCTCTCTCTCTCTTTCTCACAATGGCACTTTTTTTATGTCCTGGTACCGCTGATGTTGCTTGTATAAAAACACTTGTAAGAATTAATATGGGAAGCAAGTTGAACCCTCTGTTATTTCCACGCCTTTTGAACGATGAATGGGATACATGATGCCATATAACATCAAGCTATAGATTACGATAATATAGCATGTCTCATTGGTATGCCTTTGTGCAAGTTATGCATTTGTTCTTTTTAAAATGCCAGAGTAAAAGACTACAGATACCTCGTGCTCATATCTACTTTTTAATTGTCACATTAGTAGCATATGTAGATAGGTCTCACCTAACAGTATTTCCTTTTCTCAAGGCAAACAGCGATTATGATCACTGTTATCATTTGTATATGATATACATTTTAATGTTTGTACCCTATAGTCATGGCTCCAGGATTCACCATACTGTAGGTATGTACACAGTAGCTAATTTGCTAGGTAAGCTCATTTAAGACTATGCTTTCTTGCTAACTACATGGTTATACATGCGTGAATACATGGCGTGGATGGTAAGGATGGTGGTGACGAGGGGTTGGTAGCACGAGCGGTACCGTATGCACTAGATGTCCGCCAACCCACTTACTGCAGAAAAGCAACAACAGCAGATCAGATCAGGGACCCACGTTGGTAATTCAATGATAAGCATACAAAATCATAGCAGTTGGTAACAAAGCATACTAAAAGCCAACTGGCGCCAAGTATCGTTCACTTTAGTATGTACACTCTCCTTACTTTCTCTTCTATTTCATCTTTTTAAACCATGTATCATATAGAGAATCTGTCTTTTGATGGTGATCATGAAAAAAGGTTGTTCAGTAAGGTTACACCACAATCACGATTGCAGAGATTTCGGTAATTCTAATTGAGGGATTGTCATTTTTTTCAGTATGTATTAATACACCAAGTTTATGTCATGGGCAGTTAGACCAAACGGCAGAAGATGTAACGTCTACTTATTGGTCTTACCTACCTCTTTATTGTGTCTGTATATATAATATTATGTCTAACAAGTTTATGAATATGCATTGCATGGATCATCAACACAGGTTTTGGATACGAATAAAGGTCGACGTGTATGCAATGTATTTTGCTGTCATCAGATGTGGTAGGAAAAAAAGAAAAAACGTCATACTGCAGCAGGTACAATTTTGGGATGCATACAGCAGTTATGGTGCCTAAGGCTCAAGAACTTCAATTCTGTCATATCTTTCAGTATATAATTTATCCATCCTTCTTCTAATCCCTCCTTCTTCTAATCCCTCCTTTTTTTTTCTACATATTTCGAGCTGATTTATTAATTAATATAGTCTGTCGAATTACATATGTATAACATTTACATGTATATCAACAAATTTTTCTTGGAAAATCCATAAGAAAGCCCTTCCTATCTGGTGGGTAATTTGTCATTCGTGCATACATATTGTTATTTTCGTACTAGCATATCATAGTGTAAAAGCATGACACCACAAAGCTTGGCTACATGAGGCACAAGAGAATGAGGAAAAACAAAAGGAATTCCCACATATAGCAGAATGCCCTGAAGTCCTGTCAAAAGCAAACCTTGGCATGGGAAACATGAATAGTAAATGTTGTTCATTTAGTGTCTATGTTGCAGATATATCCATAACAACTGATGTCTGAATTTGTTTGCTCTTTGGGATGGTCGTCCTCCGGTCGTAAATAGGTTAGTCGCATGTGCCATGAAATTGATGAATGGAATATGATCAGCTTATCATAACAAAGCTTGATAAGGTATTTAGTAAGTCAAGGATGAAAACAAAAGTGTTTTTCCGAAAGATTTATTATTAAACTTGAGTATCTTTAGAGCGGTCATGTGCTTTGCAGAGACAACAAAAGAGGGTTGCCTGTGATGTGTTTATATGCATTGTTTTATTTACATTTGCTCTAAAGGTCTAATGCCAAGCAGCGACAAACCGTTACTTAACGTGGTTCTAGCAGCCCAAAAGAGTAGCATCCGAGATCTGGCTAATTCAGGATCCATATCTTTCACTCTTAATGCGCTGCTCGCTGAGCTGATGCCATGCGAAAGCTTGAATAAATAATTCACTATAGTACAAGGTTCGAGTGCTTTAAACGACACCTCTACAAGTTCAGGGAAAAGCGAGATTTGTTGGGCCAGCTCAAGCGCCTCTCGCTCTTTCAATAGCGTGTAATTACAGTCGATAGTCACCGGGGTATTTGCATTACGCTCGATTCTATACAATTATCACATACTAAATGAGCTCTTCTGAAAAACCAAACGAGAGTAGAGCTTTCATATCTGTACTTACCCGCAAGCTCGTGCATGAGCGTATTGAAGAAAGACACCTGTATCGCCGCGTGAATCTGTCATCCGATCCCATGAGAACGTGTAATTCTTGGCACGTTTTGATTTCATGTCCTGGATCAGGATAGCTGAAACGCCAAGCTGGTCCGCAATCGTTCGGATCAGCTCAGTACCTTGCTTTTGAATATCCTGATATTGTGCCTTGTCTGTATGCATGTACTCTAATATCTTATCTTTGCTAACGTCCAGAATGTCTTGTAAAAAAACCGCAGTACCTTGACGCGTTGACATGCCATTGATCCGTCCAAAACTGACATGCTGTAATCGTCCGGATAGTTCTGATCCAAACAACAGCTCTGCAGTTTTGAACACTTGCTTGAAATGACCTTCTTGCTCGGCACCAACCACATAGATGGCCTTATCAAATCCATACACTTGCATACGCATCATTAGCGTGGCGAGATCGCGCGTCAGATACAAACTGGTGCCGTCCCCACGTTGAACAACCGCATTGTCCAAATTGTATTGCTCGAGATTGATTGCATATGCGCCGTCGGCCGTTTGGGTAAGAAGACCGCTTTCTTGCAGTTGGGCATGCACCTTGGGAATGTATTCCTCGACCTGCGATTCTCCGGAATAGACTTCAAAGGATATACCCAGACGCTTATAAATGTCAGCGTAGGATTCAATACTCAGCTCACGGAAAAGGCGCCACTGTTTCAAAGCATCTGAATCGCCTGTAAATATGCGAAAAAAAAGTGTAAAAGAACGGTGAGATAAGCTTAAGACTTATGTACCCAGCCTGTCAATTTTTCATCGCTAGATCCCCCACACCTTGTTCCATTCGCTTAAAGTATGCATTGGCCTGTTTATCGATTTCTGGATTGACTTTGGCTTCTTGATTTATCTTTACATAGACATCGTACAAGTGATGGATTGGATCCTTTTCCAGTTTCTTACGGTCACCATACTGCTCGTAGCCGATCGCCAACAGACCTTTAATTTTTTCATCAGTAAGCAAACAGTTTTATTTGGCAAAGCTTTCTACGCAGCGGCCATCCTAGCTTACCATACTGTTTCCCCCAATCGCCCAAGTAATTGATTCCAACGACTTTATATCCCATGACTTGGTGTATCCGCTTTACAAAGTTGCCATGGATGGTACTTCGAAGATGTCCCGCATGAAATGGTTTGGCAATATTGGGTGAACTGTAATCAATGACAACCGTCGGTTGCTGGGTCTTTTCAGGTATATGTTCCACATGAGCCCATCCGTATCGATCCTTGTCATCGTGAACTTGCTGTAATACTTGTTTCAAAAATTCGGTTGGTGCGACTTTGAACAGGAGATTATGATCTTGAGCCGTAGCACTTTGGATGTACGTATTTGTTTTGAACTTATTATGAAGGAATAAGCTCTCTGTCAACTGACAACGTTCTAGAATAAATTCTTCGTATTGACAAGTTTGTATGCCCTTCCTCCCTTACATTTTGAGCAATTTCTTGAGACCATGCACTTGGATCTTGCTTTAGCGTCGAAGCATTACTGCAAGTGTTGCGTATTGACGCCTTGAGTTGTGCAAGTGAAAGGCTGAATTGACCGTCCTGGAGCTTTTTAGGTACACGAATCAGTGGGAGAAGTTCCGTCTCGCTGCATGGCGTTAGTTGTGACAGTTGTTTTACGATAGATTGTTTAAATCGTAACGCCGCACTCATTTATGTGGTTGAAAATGAGTCGAGAAAAGTGGTGTGGACACTTTATGTGTGGATTTGCTTGTATGACACAAGAGTATGTGTGGACCGACAGGGCTCGCTCCCGCCACTTCTTTTCCGAATGCCTAAAATGGGCCTTTGCCACTCCAGCCACAGTGCCAAATTGTACATTTTGCCCTGTCTTTTCATGCGTGTTTAGAACGATACGCATCAACAACTGCAACCTTTATGAGGTATTAGCAAGTGATCTCTTGCAAGTAAAGAGGATCAGTATCCAATCGTACTCATGTGTGCCATGTGCCTTGAGCAGCAGAACAAGAGAAAAGGATATAGTATGTCAGGCAGGTTCTGACGGCATTATTTGCAAGAGCCGCCTACCTATTCTCTTGTAATATTGTGCAAATATACATTACTGTAAGATAATCATTTAGATATAAGTTTCGTAACGAGCTTCATACCACTGACCCCTTTTACGGTTATATTCGTGCGGTAGAAACACATATCATATCTACAATCTTGGTTAATGACGGTAAGAGCCGTCTTTGGGCTCTATGGCAGTGTCAAAAGCACCCTCATATGCCCTTCAGTAGACTGAGTAACTAGATATAATTATGATGAGCACTTCTGGAAGGGTAAACTGCATAAATAGATGCGATCTGCATTGTGGATCCTTATTTTACATAAGCTTCAACCGAATCATTCCTTCTGGGACATGATGATGTAATGGCAATGTAGCACAAATATCTGTAACATAAAAATTATCTAGTTAAGCTGGATCCTCCCTTTTGAGGCAAAAGCTTTGCTGTAATCAATAGTTAAGCCATCTTTTGTGCTGTGTACATATGCTTTCTAAACACTTGCTCTTTCGTTTTTTCATAAAAGAAAAGTCAGTAAGATCATCCAATTCTCCCAGTTATTATTTTAATGCGGCATAAGGCAGCGGGGAAGGTAACAGTCACATGAGCGTAATTTTTCGCATCAACGCAGCACTTTCCCTTCCCTGTGCTATCTATTATTCTCTTTCACTTTTTTCTATAACCGTTTTCACTTTGCAGCAGCGCATTCCCCAACTTTCTGCGTTGTTCATCTCCTTTTTTTTTTTTTTCAAAAACACTCTTCCTCTCTCTACTGTGGGTGTGCACGTCGATGGTAAAAATCGTCATTTCCGATCCGGCAGAAATTATCGAACAGCGCATCGCCGAAGTCGCGGCCTACGTGAACAAAAGCCGTCGTGCTCTTGTCGTCACTGGTGCTGGGATCTCCTGCAGTGGAGGTATACCCGTAAGTTTGTTTACAGTTTTACGTTTCTCCTTTGCGACATTAGAAGGAATACAAAATAAATAAATTGTAACAAATTCTGCAAGAAGCTACTTTTGTTTTTTGCTCGGTGTTTTATTTGCCTCTTGTCTGATTGCTTTTGTGGAAATGAAATATCTTCCATTTTACTTAAATGTATAAATTAGGATTTTCGCTCATCCGATGGACTCTACAATCTGGTGAAAGCGAGACATCCTGGCACAGTTCTCAAGGGTGCGGAACTTTTCGACGCGACACTCTTCAAAGATGTGAACCGAATAAAGTGCTTTTACACATTCATGGCCGAACTTAAAACGCTTGTCGCTACAGCCAAACCCACACCAACACATAAATTCTTACGCAATATGCAGGAGAGCGGACGATTATTACGACTCTATACACAAAACATTGACGATTTGGAGGCTGAATTAGACCTTCCTGCTGTGCAACTCCACGGTACCATGGCCAGTGTAAAATGCACGCTATGCTCCGCTTCTTATGCATTCAGCAAAGAGTATGTTGACGCATTCCGGCAAGGCGAGCCTCCAATCTGCCCTAAATGTGAAGCCATTGGTGAAGAACGTTCCTTGCTGGGCAAGCGTCAATTAGCAGTAGGCACCTTGCGACCTGATATTGTGTTATATAACGAAGAACATCCCAACGGCGACAAGATCGGCTTACAACAATGCAGCGACATTAAACGACGGCCAGACTTGCTAGTTGTCTTGGGTACATCCCTAAAGATCCCTGCATTAAAGAAGTTTGTCAAGCTGGCGGCCAGAACAGTGCACAACAACAAGAACGGCATCACAATCCTGGTAAACAAAACTCCACCAACGAAGGAGTGGGAGCATGTCTTTGATTACCAGATCATGGGCGACACCGACGAGTGGGTTCGCATGACCGAAGCAAAATTGGAAGATAAGCCTTGTCTGACGGCGGCATGGTCACGAATCCAGCAACGTTTAAAACAGCAGCAATTACAACAGCACTCGAACGATGATGAGGACGAAAAAGAAAATCAGGCAGCGATACGATTAAAGAAAGCCGCCGCTAATGAAGCAACTACTAAGAGGAAATCAACTGGTCAGACAACGTTGGATAATTACAGAGTCTCCAAACGGGCACTCTCTACTAGCAAGCCTCCATCAACGAAGAAAATGAAATAAACCCATGCACATACTATCTTGTTCTTTTCCATAATTTTCATTTATTGTATCTTGTCATATATCTGGACTCTTTGTCTTACAAATTCTCGTTGGTAGTGGTGATGTTCCTACCCGAGGCTACCCCTATTGGTACATCCTCCATTATTATATATACTTTCTTTATGGCTTTCCCTTTACTATGCTGATGGATTGCCGAATGTGATATGCTGCTAGTTTCTCCTTAGCTGAAATAATATTTGCTTTTTTTAATCAAGACAAAAGTTTATGCAAGGGAACTGACTAGAGTCCACATTAGCAGGATGCACCCGGGTTTACATATACGAAGAAAATCTGTGGTACATGTACGTGTATCCACAACAGAGTATCATATAATGCAAATTTGATAAAGTGCCAGGTTAGTGCAGCTATATTATCTATCCGTGCGGAACTGCTTATCAAGATGTTATAGCCAAAGATCGTCATAATGTACATACATTAACAATAGGAGTTCAGGGTGCGTGCATATACGGGTTTACATGGTGTACCAGGGCTTACTGAACCAGTAGAGTTTTCTTTCGCTGCTTGAAGTAGCATTTATTATGCAGCCATTAGTCATCATACGCATATATAAAACGCTGGTTATCATACATTATACAAAGTGATGGCGTGAGATTAAATAAATCATGGTTTCTTTTGCGAATGTGTTATATAGGACCCTCCTTTAGCGAAAGAGAGTACTATTATATCTGCCAGTGAGCTGTTATCTCTACTCCTAATGGTTGTAGCCCAGTATGTGGGACCAAGGGAGAAGCTCTTTTTCTAGTGGAATAACCACAAGCAGCCGACACTTAACAAAGTAGAGAAACTAAGTTCGTCCGAATAAGGGTACTCGCATAGAGGCCATCTATTGCAAAACAAAATCCTTGCATGAGAATACGACATACGTGCTATGCCTTTTCATATGGCTATTATATTTGATAGAAGAATATATAGTCTTCAGTAATGTGGTGATGGAAAGCAAACAAGAGTTAATTTTACTTGTGCATCATCGCCATGCTATTGACACATATTGCCGCGTTTTTTTCTATCGGAGATCTTGCTGACAAAAAGTATATGAATTGAAGGGTACTTCCAGCAAGAAAAAAAACGTTGTATAATCATCCATTATGCTATTCCTGGCTCGTGCAGTACGCCCCACAACTTTATTCCGGCCTTCCCCATACCCAAGCGCACGCTCTACTTTTAGTACTAGTCGTTTCATTATGGCACCCAAGCATCACAAGGTTGTAGTGATTGGATCTGGTCCAGCAGGTGAACAATCTCAATCAGTTTGCTTCAATTATTTACCCCACACTTACACTGTCAAACATATGCACTAAAGAAGAACCTTGCACATTTGAAAAAAAAAATTAGGACACACTGCTGCTGTCTATTTAGCTCGCGCTCAACTGAAACCCACCATGTTTGAAGGCATGATGGCCAATGGCTTTGCACCGGGTGGTCAACTTACAACGACAACCGATGTCGAGAATTACCCCGGTTTTCCCGATGGCGTCATGGGTGGAGAGCTCATGGACAAAATGCGAGCCCAATCTGAACGTTTCGGTACAGTGATTGAGACGGAAACTATTGGTAAACTCGACTGTCAACAAAGACCGTTCCGTTTATGGCGCGAAGGTTATGAAGATGCAGCTGAACCAACAGATACGGGTGATGCCGTCATTATTGCCACGGGAGCTTCGGCCAAACGTATGGACTTGCCAGGTGAATCCAAATATTGGCAAAACGGCATATCAGCATGTGCAGTGTGTGATGGTGCTGTCCCCATCTTCCGCAACAAACCATTGGTGGTTGTAGGTGGTGGTGATTCTGCAGCAGAAGAATCGATTTATTTGACCAAATGTAAGTTTGCGGATCCAGGAACCTGGTAAAGACTAGGTATATAAGGTTCATAATATTAACGTATGTGTGCTATGTCTCTATCAAGATGGATCACACGTCCATGTGTTGGTGCGTCGTGATCGCTTGCGCGCTTCTAAGGTGATGGCACAACGTCTTTTGAAACACCCCAAGGTCACGGTCCATTTCAACACGGTTGCTACTGAAGCATTAGGTGATGGCAACCTGCTGACAGGCGTTGCTACGCGCAATACCACTACCGGGGAACCTGGAAAGATCGATGCCAACGGTTTGTTCTATGCTATTGGACATGAGCCCGCGACACAGCTTGTTAAGGATCAAGTGAATCTCGACGAAAGCGGCTATATAAAGACGATTCCTGGATCATCAGAAACCAATGTACCGGGTTTATTTGCTTCTGGTGACGTACAAGATAAGCGCTATCGCCAGGCGATCACCAGCGCTGGTTCAGGCTGTATGGCAGCATTAGATGCTGAACGATATTTGAGTGAGTTGGAAGCGGGCATAGAAGAAGAAGAAGCAGCAGCAGCACCAGAATCTCTACCAAAAGCAAAAATGTAACAGCAAAGAGATAGATGAAACCAGTTGTTAATCCCCACCATCATCACCGCTCTCTCATGTCGCTTTTCGTTGCGTCATCTACACTATGTTATTATAATTGTTGTTTTTTGTATACATCTTTCATTTCTTTCTATTGTTAAAGCTTCTATAGAATATTCTGCTAAATCTTTTTTCAGCAGGTTAAATAAAACAAGGTTATTTTATAGTTGACGTTTGGGAAACAAAATAAGGAAGAAAGTTGTTTAGAACATATTTGTATAATACTTGTATACTACAAGAGGTACCTATGTATTAGTGCTACGAGCAAGTTGATGTTTCTTACTCGTTTTAGAAAAGATGACTGAGTTTTACGGGCACCTATAAAAAGTACGTTCATTGTTCAACCCTGAACTTTTTTCTTGAACCTTGTATTCTCTTTACCTTGATATCAGCAATAATTGTAACATGTCTACAACTCCACAGGCCGGTGTCTTCTCCGGGCTGAATCCTTCCCAGTTTAACTCGGATAATCCTGTCGTGCTTTTCATTATCCAGGTACATGATGCTCTCCTTTTCCCCGAAGCGGGGCTGCAAACCTTCGCAAGTGTGAAAAGACCCATCGCTTAGTTTATCAGCCAAACTTACGCGACCTGTTTCTACGTATATAGGCAGTCATTATCTTGTTGTTTTGTCGTATTCTAGCGATACCATTGGGATATCTTCGGCAACCAAGAGTGATAGCTGAAGGTAAAGTTACTAAAGAGAAGGAGGAAACGAAACTTTTGTAGAGAATGATTGCGGCGGGGCTAGACGGGATGAGTGATGATGATGATGGTTGATGGCTACTCACACTCACTAATATATAAAAAATAGTTATTGCCGGTATTATTCTAGGTCCATCTGTGTTGGGCCGCATTCCATCATTCACCGATACAATCTTTCCATCCGAATCATTGCCATTTCTCAACCTGGCAGCTACACTTGGGTTGATATTCTTTTTGTTTCAAGTCGGGCTTGAAGTCGACATGGCCGTCATTCGCCGGGATTGGCGCGAAAGTTTAGCCATTTCACTGGCCGGTATGGCGCTTCCCTTTGGCCTTGGTATCGCAGTTAGTGTGGGTCTGTATAACTTGCAGAATGATCCAGACGTACCCTTTTCGAGTTTTATGTTGTTTTTGGGTGTTGCTTTAGCGATCACTGTAAGTGTAACTGTAAATTAGATGCTGGTTTGTCACGAAATGCAACAGCTGAAGTTAACTATGGTGATAATAGGCATTTCCCGTGTTGGCCCGTATTCTAGCAGAGCTCAAGTTGCTGCGTACTAAAGTCGGTGCGATCACAATGGCTAGCGGCTTGTTGAATGATTGTACTGCCTGGTAAGAAAGGTGTTCAACCAAAACTTGTTATTGTCGACATTGGTATAAACTTGCATTGCATGCATCCGCATCGATCGCCAGCGCCCGCTCCCCTCAAATGTTGTAACGACAGCAGGAATGAAGCACCATGCTAATGACCGGATTGATCTGGTGTCTTGTTTTCCATATTACTGTCTATTAGGGTACTGCTCGCTTTGGTTGTTGCGTTGCTCAACTCCACTAGTGGATTGCAGGCACTCTATGTCTTTTTAACAGCAGTAGCGTTCGCGTTGTTCTTGATCTTTTTGGTGCGGCCTTTATATGTTCTGTTGTGCGTCAAAACAGGATCTTTCGAGCACGGACCAACACCACTCCTCATGACTGTCACGTTTATAATTGTTATGGCCTCTGCATTCATAACAGACATCATTGGAGTGCATCCAATTTTTGGAGGATTCTTGGCGGGCACCATCATACCGCACGAAGGAGATTTAGCGACCAAGATTGCCGAGAAAATTGAAGATTTCGTTAACATTGTACTACTTCCACTGGTATGTTAACCTTGACTTTTTTTGCTGATGCTGTCGTGACACAAAATCTTGAGCTTAATTTTTTTTTTTTAATTCGCTGTTTATATGAACCTTATTTTTGCTTACTGGTGCACATCACTCAACTTTCTTTTGGTCATCTGCAGTATTTCACGCTTTCAGGATTGAAAACACAAATCGGCTTGCTCAATTCAGGCGCTGTTTGGGGTTATGTTTTTCTTGTCATATTTGTGGCTTGCTTTGGCAAAATTACTGGCTGTACGGCTGCAGCTAAATTTTGCGGTATGTCCTGGCGTGAATCATTCACTGTCGGTTTCTTGATGAACTGCAAAGGGTAAAAATTAAGGTTTTCTTGTTGCTGGCGTGGCGCATCCTTTTGTTCATTCACTCATACTCATGCATCCAATAATATGGCTCGTTTAATAACAAAGCTTAGTGGAACTTATCGTACTCAACATTGGCCACGATGCAGGCGTTTTAAACGACCAAGGTAAGGTTAAGGTTAAATTGATACAAAAAAGGCAATGGTACCAGCAGAGAGTAACACATACGCATCTGTGTACCAACTCTAGTATTCGTGATTATGGTTGTCATGGCGCTGGTTACGACGTTCATGACTACGCCTGTCGTTATCAAACTCTATCCTGAATGGTACCAAAAACAACGGGCTGAGGCTATACGTGACGCAAATGCACCAAGTGTCCACCCAAGCACAGCCATCCCCAATAAGGAATCTTCGATGGCTTTTGGTAGTGGAGCTGGCGTTGACAAGTTCTCATTAGTGACGATGCTGAATCGACTGGAAACTGTACCGTCAATGATGGCTTTGATTAAGCATTTAAAGCAGCCCAAGAGCACCTTTGCAACTATGCCCGGTGGCTCGAATGATGATGCTCGGTATTTGTCCCATATGGTTGAACTCCATGCTCTCCGCCTTTTGGAGTTGACAGAACGTGCATCAGACGTCATGAAGATTCGTAACCAGCGTGAAACCCAACGCTACGATCCCGTTCTGAATGTGATTCGCACATTTGCTAGTGTTCTCGGTATTGACTCACTCCGCACACGGCTCGAGTTTCGTGCACCCAATGAATTTATCAAGACGATATCCGATCATAGCGAGCAAGTCGAGGCCGACATGATTCTGTTGCCATGGACAAGCAATCGCCCTGCGATACCCGCAATAGCAAATGCTGACAATGACATCGATCCTATCGATCAATACATGGCCACAGGGTTGCCCTCGTCGTCGCAGCATCACCAGTATCCTGTACCCGACGTGGAATTTGCAACAGCTGCTTTCGCCATTGATCACACGATTGTTGGTCTTTTCATTGATCGGGGTCTTGGCCTTATTCAAGATCAGGAAGTAACTTCTCGTACCAAGATTATCGTGCCATTCATTGGAGGTAGCGACGACCGTGCTGCACTTGTATTTGCTTTGCGACTCCAGCTTTATCACCAAGCACGCGCTCTTGTACTTCGATTTAAAATCAGCACTACTGACGGAAAGGAGAAAAAAGCAGCTGCCGATACTCTCAACGATGGCAGTAGTAACACAAGCAAGCGTATTCCACAACAGCAACGACGCTATGGATCTGTTCGCTCTGTACAAGATATGCTATATGCCAAATACAATGGATCTGTTGACCAGGATGACGACGATACATTCTTCGCAACACTGTTCACACTTGAGCAAGAAGAACAAAATTCGAACGTCGTCTGTGTGACCATCGATGCCCAACATCAAGAAGGTGGATTCCAATTATATGATGCGATCACAACCATCAACCAGCACTTTAAAGAGAATGATATGACCAAACAAGATTTGGTAATTCTTGGACGACAAAACAAGGTGTATGGAAATCAATGGCCTCATCTATCGCTTGTGGCCCCTTGGCCAGTGACACCATCGGCTGAATCCCCTGGCAGCGTGCATTATAGCAAAGAATTCAAGTCGGTTCTGGGTCCATTGTCGTTTGGTTTGCTGTCATCTAATGCTCAGTCGAGTCTGGTTGTGATGCAAGCACCTACCCGAGATAAAGCATTGGTATCGCCAGAGTGAAAAACATCTCTTTCGTGAACCTCTTCGCCCCTCTTACATTTTTGTACTGCCGATGCTGCCATGTATATCCTCAATTTATCATACATTTTACCCGTACCCGTAGTTATTATTTATCCATTATCCAATCTTCCATTCTTCTTTTCCTTTTCCTGATGTACTGTATACGCCAACAAAGTTGTTTTTAAGGTTAAGATCTTTTTTATGGCTTGTTAACTTATGATTACCGTGTGCAACGTGAATAAAAGATGGTTGTAGCGACCGACGAAATCATCTGGAAAATTACGTGAGCCGTAGCAGTTGGCATGTAAATTTACATTTTGGGCATCATCAGTATCAGTTCGTGCTAATGAGAATCTGTGTCTTCTGTGTTCCTCTTGAACATTTTCTCCGAATGCCAGCCAACACGAGAGCCCGTATAGGTAGACTGTACCTTTTGCGTGTGTGTATTGCTTACTCACATAATTCACATTACAGCATCTTTGAGGGCGGTTGACCAAAAGCAACAAATTCTAACTCAAAGATAAAGTTCTCATAAATAGTTTAAACATCACTTTACTCGTTTATTCTAGATATGCTGGATATGATAACGACTTAATAGTGACTAGCAAATAAGCGCAACGTCTATAAGCTTGCTGGTCATAAATTAGGACTTTTATGTGTATCTCATGTGCTAGTATCAGATACAAATCACTACTTCCTCTCCTGATGAATTCATTATAAAAGGTGAAGGAGCTTTTAAAGCCAACGTGGCCGTGGCGGATGATCTTTATATATCTATATAAATCTAAGCAAGGTTGTTGTAATCGTTTGTACAATATAAATCGGTATGCACGTATAGAAAACCAAGCATAAATTACACTAGAAATACTATCATCTCACCACTACTACATCTTTGTAATTGCTTTCAGAAACTGTGTTTCTTTCAAAAGCTGTCCTTCATTTGTCGAATTTTACCGAGCACCTCTTCTGCAGATGCCTTGTTCCCTTTTCCAAGCACGCGCTCTTGTACCGAATTCTGTTCGACACGGAAGAAAGGATTCGTTAACTTCTCGTTTTGAATGGTCGACGGGGTAGTGCAGCCAACACGTTGAGCCCATGCCATCTTTTCTTTGATCTCCTTGTTATCTGATTCAATATGCTCTGCAAATCTAAGGTTGGAAACTGTGTATTCATGACCAAAGTACATGGACGTGCTATCTGGTAGCTCGGCCACCGTACGGATTGATTTCCACATATCCTCTGCCGTGCCTTCAAAGAATCGCCCACATCCGGAAGAAAAAATGCTAATATCCAACGTACAGTGCCATATTGATTAGTTAGTAAAGGGAGAAAAATTAATATCAACTTGCCACCTTCATGGTAGAAAACATACCAGTCACCAGTAAACACAGCTTGCTTTCCATTATCTGAAATGTAGTAACAAGTATGGTCCATGGTGTGACAAGGCGTCGACAACGGCACGACCTCCAAGGAACCGACCTTGACGCTCTCCTTGTGACCGACAATGTGGTTTGCCCCAGAAACTTTGTCGGAACCACCATAGCAGGGCAAGTCAGGGAATTCCTTCAACAATTGAAGATTGCCACCAGCATGATCCGCGTGATGGTGCGTCGTGAGGATTCTACAAATTGTGTGTTTAGATGTAATCGTCGTTTCGATTTGTAAGAATTCAACTATTGACAACGTGTTAAAAGAAACCCAGAATTACGTACGCAGAAAGCTTATACTCAGGGTACTCGGCCAAAGCTGCTAAGACTTTGTTAGGTTCAACGGGATCTACCACGGCAGCTAAAGTTTTATTCAAAAGAGTAAAGAAAGGTGTAATGAGCTATTCGTGTAAGGTCTTATTACGAGCCTTCCCTTTTAATTTTGCGCAAAAGGTGATACAACGCGATGCTTACCCTGGTTTGCTTGCGGATCCAATAACAGATATGCGTAGCTTTATTTACAACGTAAGCATGAATATGATTACATGGGAAAAATATAGAGAGAGAAGCTTACTTGTCTTTGAGGCAGGGAACGGGTTTGATAATCATCTTGCGTGGAAGAGACGTGGAAAGCAGTCGTTTTGAGATTTGCGGAAAAAGCATTGCGTAAAACGCGCCCAAAAAATTACACGGGTGTTGCATTGATGTTGATGTGTGATGAGACTTTTGTGTCACCATGAGACGGCACGTAGTTACAAACATACAAACGCTATACGCTGCGCGAATCATCATGCCCATCTATTCAATTGTCATGTTAAATTAATATCGTCCAAATTTTCATGCGGCTCCGAGATTTATTTTTAGGAAAACAACCAATCCTTCTTATGGCCGTTGATGATCATCTGCAGCGTTAAACGTATAATAGGCTATTTGGTGCCGTAAACAAATTTGCAACAGGATGGTATGTCGTCCAGAGCATACAGTCGATAAGATTGTGCTAAAAATACTGCTAATCGTTATTGATTATTTCTTGCACAAAATTGACAGCTGACATGAGCTTCTACATATTGTTACTGTTATTTTAGGATATGATAGTAAGACATGATCAACAATGCAACTAAATCCGAAAGATTGCCGTCAGTTGCCGTCAGTTGCCGTTATATACAGTAAACGCCGTTGATTTCCGTTTGTAGCCTTTCAGACAATTTAATCAACCTTCCAAAACCTTGTAACATCTCAAAAGGCCCAAACGGTAATATGAGCGAATAGCGACGGACCTTTATATCAAACTGCTGGTTTATGACAGATGTACAGTACGTAGACTTCATGTGAAATAGGTCGATTATTACCACGGTGTCTGTAAGACTACTATAATTAACGAGAATGTGCATAGTCTTAACGAATTTGCTACCATCCCCCATACTAACAACAACTGCTACCACTGCTGGCACCAAAATCATAGATATGTAATGCGTGTCATCGGGAACCAGACAGCAGAATAGAAAACCTTAACAACGCAGCAACATAATGGCAACAGTATTAGGAAATGGCATCGTAACTTTACTTTATCTCTCCATGGAATTTTCATGCTTGTTGATCATTCATGGGTGTCTGGTGATGATGTGCTCACACACCCACACCTCGTTCTTTTTTCTACAGGCTATCACTCCTCTCCTCCACCTCATCCCACAAAGAACCCCTCCTTGACTTTGTTTAACATGCTCTCGCTCTCTGAATGCCACTTCTTGTTGTTAATAAAAGCTTGAAGCACGCTCACTCAGACATTTCATAGTAGTTCTTTGGAATAAGTGAGAAGTAAAACAGGATTTCATACACAATCTATGACAGCGGTGGTTTATTATAATAATATTTGTTGTACTGTATGATGTTTGTTTCTATGCGCATGACCTATGCACGCGAAAGGAGAATGGTCCCTCGATGTCTGTTTGTATTTAATTGGCAACCAAGCGAAAGAGAGAGTAAAAAAATCACTGATAAATCCGAGACCCTTGGTGTAAGGTCGAGCAAAAAAAGCCCTTAATCCCCTAAATAAACAGAGCTTTACCTACACATTGTCTATAACCGAAAAATAAATCCTTTCTTTTTGCTGTTTTTTTCCCTATTATTTCAAGAGCTCCTACCGTGTTCACTTGTCCTCTTCAATCAAATAAAAAGATAATATATATGTCAAGCATCAATCACACACGTGTAAGCTTACGGCGTATCAACAATAGCACAACGCATATGACAACCGAACAGCAACAACAAAGATACCCTTCTACTCCTACTACTGATGCAGCAACAGCAGCTCAATTCCATCTGATGCCAGCTCCACAAACAAACGAAAGCTTCTATTTCAACCAAGAGCCAATTTCGGCCGTAATCTACGAGAATGACCATGGCATACAACAACAAATAAAAATGGAAACAGCCTCCGTTCATTTGACAGATCAACGCTTGATTTTGTTACTTCAAGATCGTTTTCCGAGAAGTAGCAATACGGCGACAACATTGGTGTCAACTTTTCAGATCGATTTGGGTCACGTCGCTTCGCTCAAATGCAGGTTAACGTTTCGGTGCGGTATCCAGCTTAGTCTGTATCTTGTCGATAGTGCTACCCCCGTACGTATACAGCTCGTGTTTGCCAAAAAGGATCGGAATCGTCGAGACGCTTTCAAGGAATATCTCAACATGATTATGGCCGGATTAACGTCCAGGAAACGGGTATTGGCAATGCATCGGCAGCTGTCCTCGCAGCTAATGCATCATCATCACGGTGGAGAGCAGTTGCCGTCGTATGATCAAGCGCTTTCTGACACGACAATCATGGATCATCACCGTCATCATTCTGGCCCTACTACGACTAGCACAGCTATTACAGGAAGCAACAATAATGACAACAGTTCCAGCATTATAGATATACTCCCTCCAGCTTATTCGACTTAGCTATTCTGTATATACTGTAATTTATTACGATCCAATATATATAATTACAATAAGTAGGCACAATATACATATAGAAAAAACTAAGATGCAGGGCATTCCTATGATGCGTTTGAAATGACTGCTCTCAATATAGAACATATGAATATGTAGTTGTGTATGTATAATAAGGGCTTGTCTACGTATTTGCATATTATCCTTGCTGTGCTGATATCTCAAAGGCACAGGGGGAAACAATGAAGTAGTACCCTGAACAAGGAAAAAGCCCTGATATTATTTATGCATAGTAGGAGGGGTTTTAACATGAATGAAGTTGGTCAAAATCAAACAAGAACTGTACCTTCTTGTTATCTTTCAGAAACAAATTAATGACAACCCATGTGCAACAAAAAGGTCTACTCAGCGTAGCATATTCAAAATAAAATATAGATCTATGATTTCATCAAAACATTGACATGACTCTGGCTCAATCTTGCACTATCTTTTAAGTCTTCGCTACTATGTTCTGATCGTCCCAATCCAGTGATAATTTTGTCCTTGCTCCCTAATGCTCCAGAGACGATTAATTCCTCCACCAACTCGCGGCTGTTTTTGATGCAATCGGGCACGCTGACACTCCAATAGCTAGCACCGGTCACACTGAGCGCATGGCCATAGTCCATCTTCAATGCTTGATGCAGCTCTCCCAGTCGCTGCTGGTGTCCAACAAGATACTGTGGAATACATTTGGCCTGCAAGTTGACCATAGAATATTCGGGTTCAGCATCAATGCCCAGATAAGTCTTCATGGACTTTAATGCATATTGATATGCTTCTTGTGGATCGAGTTGTTCGATGGGTGCTTTAAATGCATTCTTCCATTGATGACCACCAATCATGACTGTGGCCTTGACCCGATCGTCACCTTCGGCATCTTGCCCGCGCATTGCGTTGGAATCAAATACAACGCCAAGCGTGCCGGGTACCGGTACGGGATATCTTGAATCGGGATGAGGGGTCAGGAAACCAAATCCATCATAGGTAAGGTTAACATCAGGCGCATATGCCAAGTTGACGACTGCCACGTCTACAGCAGGATTGTAAGTGAGATGGGGTAGTGGTGATGAAGTGGTGACGGTATTCAGAGCAGCTGAAGGAAGCGCCGATATGGTATGATCCGCATAAATGACTTGTTTGGTTGTTGTGATCTAAAACAATGCATCAGTATGTTCGTACCACAAAAGAACACTTGCTCTTTCCTTTCCTCCTTTCTCCCCGTATGTACAACAAGGATAAACAATCTACCTTGGATTCAGCTTCTTGAGCTTGTACATCGACTACAGGTTCGCCTGTCACGATGTTGACATTATCGCACTCTTCCAACCAACTTCGCAGCCGTTCCGTCAACATTTCCGTGCCATCCTTGAAACCAATCACACTCATGCTCTCCATTTTGCCAAACCAGTCTGGGTCTTCCTTGCGCGCACGAGCAGCGATGCCACGTTCCCGGAAAGTATCCACTTGAACACCACCTTTAAGCAATCCCTTTACGATGCTGCCATAAACACGTTCGTTCTCGTATAGCATGCGAAGCGCTGACCGGGCCGAAAGTGCTTTCACGTCGCCAGCATAGATTCCATGGACCATTGATCCAACAAGGTCCAAAGCAACATGCTCGTTAAGCCGACGGGATACCAGGGAATACAATGACTCGTCATCGTCGTCTTGGCCTGTGCGTGCTGAACGGATGAATGGTTCGCGTAAAATAGATGGTATCACGCCTTTCAGCACAGGTGGTTTGTGGAACAAGAGTGATGACAGTGAACTTGGTAGTGTGTTGATAGAGCCATCAAAATAAATGTATCGGTTTTTGGCTGATGGATCCGTTTTGGGTACACTCACTAAGCTTTCGGCGAGGCCCAAATCTCTTGTCTATCGCCATATGCGTGAGTGTGCGAGAAAGAGATATAGGCGTTCCATTCTATAGTTTCAGGGAACATTGCATTCAATATTTCCTTCTTACCAATTCTAGAACAACGGCACCACTTGTTCCAACAGGACGAAGACTACGAGGACCTGATTCAAATAAAACTGATTTTGCATTTCTGTTGGCACTAGTTTTGGGACACGATGCGTGGAATCCAGGTTCAACGCGACGACTGCGAATCCACCCGCCTACACGATCGGAACCTTCAATGAGAGTAATTTGAGTTGCACGAGGTGATAATCGCGCCAAATAGTAAGCTGCTGAAAGACCTGAAATGCCTCCTCCCAACACAGCTACGGAAGGCATGGTGGTGTGTAGAAGTTGATATGTGGTAGTGTTACAGAGTAAGTGAAAAGAAAGTGCCGCATGATTTTTTTTGCTCTCTCTCTCTCTCTCTCTCTTCGGCTTCACTCCCATCAAAGAGCCGACATTCATCCCTTCACTCAGACAGTATGACTCAAATTCACCCGAACATTTACATACGATTGGCCCTTGCAAACTTATCACGCTAAAAATGATAAGGTTGTGTGTGCTTCGCATAAACTATGATATCGTTAGGAAACAATGTGTTTTGGTATGTAGTATAATCAACTTGCCAAAGTTCTCGAATTCAAAGAGTCCGTCCCTTTTAAGACGCCAGCGTCCAAACAACAAGAAGTCTTTGACTTTGAACGTACAGGTAGAATGCGTTGATAATAGTTACATAACTTTGTTCCCAGTATGATAGCTTTAAATAGCGTTAATACAACATGGGGAAAATGAAGAGATATTCTCCAAACAAATTAAAAAGTCAATTCCTTCAGCCATGGTGAATAGTAAATCAAAGAACTAGGTTGTTGTTTTTTAAAGACATAATAGGTGTCAAACTGGCAATATTATTAGTGAATTAGCGTAAACTTACAATGGGTTAGGATAGGTATAACGTCCAAGTCCTCCTTCTATCGTCTGTCAAAGAAAGGAGAAAAACCCCAACGTCCTCCAGTTATGCGGCTGCATCTAGTGAAGCCATGTAGCATAATTAGATAACTAAACTGTATATGCCTTTTATGCATCCACTGGATGCACCCTTTGCGCCTCCAAACGATTGATTTAATATGTTTCCATGGGGGTTAAACATCGTCAGAGTATACGTATGAGATCCTTCATAATAATCGACCAGTCCCATTGTAGTAGGCTCCCCTCTTTCGAGCAAACACGCGTCGAGTAGAGATAGAACGTGTTATTGGCACGCTTATAGTATTTAGAGCTTGGTGAATTAGGTGCGCCATCACAAAAACATTCTATATGCTCGTGGCTGACAGTGCCATACCTCTGTAGTTTCTTGCACTGATCAAGAAGAAGAAGACGCTGATATAAGCGTGGCTAGCATAGGTATGAATGGCCAATTATGTTGTTTTAGAGTGAGTGATAAGCTTAAAAGGACTCTTTATGATTTCAAGTTGGTAAGAAAAGCAGTTTTGACATGTATGCCAATGCGCAGTGAGGGCATCTATCCAACCATTTTGCAGACTGGAAATCGGAGAAAGCTGCCATGCGCTGGCGGGGTTGAAGAGAGAGAACAACACACACACACACACACAGAGAGAGCGAGGCCCCCAATAGATTCCGGGCTGTCGATTCTGAAGAACTTTCGCTTCAAGTGACGACTCGATACTTGTCACTTTTTTTACTGTTTGCCTTTTCTTGCTCCTTCCCTAACTTTTCTCCTTCGAACCACGCGTAAAGCCAAATCGCCTGTTTTATAATCAGTTCTCCTGTATCAAACCTTTTTTATTTGAAATATAAACGGCTGTCATCATGTCGGATCGTGGGGACACACCGGCTGCCGAAGCAGCAGCAGCAGCAGCAGCAACGATACCTGCCACAAACACCACCACCACCGTTACTACTACAACCAGTGCTGCTACAGCAACAGCAACAGAAACGGAATCAAATGCTCCAGTTACTCGATACACTTATCAAGTCTTAATGTCCTTACGTGATAGTCCATTGGTCGCAAAACCACCAGACATGCCACCTTTATCGACTTGGTTTGGGTACGATTTATAAGCTGTGTGGGAATCTGGGTTGCAAGAGGAGGGGGTTGGGAGAAACTAGTGACCGATTTACATGCACACACGTAACCACGAGTGTGTGTGTGTACGCATGGTAATTGGAAAACACCATCTGACTTGTTTTCTAGTGATGATCTTGAAGCACCCTTGTCTAAAGGTATACTGAATGGTGCCATCACTTCTCGAACTTTAGGTTTGTGTTGTTTTCCATTTCTTTTTTCGCTTTTGTTTTTGTTTATGCGTCTTTTTGTTAACTCTGCGTGTGCTTTGCCCGTAGCAAATTCTTTAGACAGAAACGTTCTCCTTGCTCCAAACAAGTCTATATTCTCAGCACAAAACTATGGAAAACGCTCTTTGGCGGACGACGACTCAAATACGTCAATGTCAACGCGGACAACGCAATCACATACATCTTCCCGATATCGCCATGTAATTTAATTATCTATTTAGTTGAGAGCGAAAAAAGAAAATAAGGGATATTATATGAGAGAAGGCAAAGAAGAGACCGAGAGAGAGAAACAAGTGCGTGCTAATAACTCCTGAACTTTTTGATTATTAGAACAACGATGAACTGAGACCTTACAATAGTAACGGTTATAACAACAGTAACAACCACAACAACGACAGAGACCAACGATCGTCACGAAGTCAAACCTATTCTACGGAATGGGGCCTTTCCAACAGATATAACAATCGACGAGTAAATAACAAGAACCAGCATCGAAGCATATCGCCTTTACAAAACACCAAGCAACAACAACAACATCACCAGCAGGACAGAAACCTTTTAAATGAAAGCTCTAGAAACCGAAGAGAAAGTAAGTGGAGAGTTTTAGCGTTTGGAAAAAGAAAAGTAGAGAACTCATTATTGTATATCATCATGTTAGATCCCCGTGAAAAAACATCGACCAACAAGCTTTTGAATGGAGATGCAACACTACAGCAACACCATCAGCATCAACAACAGCATCAACAACAGCAACAGCAGCAGCGCTCATCAGATAAATTACCGGAATGGATGGATTATAACCCAAGTACAGAACGCAAGCCTGTAAGGCAGCTTGACGCAATACCTCCAGCACCCCCTCCAGGCTTCTCCAATGATTTGGAAGCGTGGAAGTCGGATATGAAATTACGTGATAAGAACATGGAGGCGAATGGATCATCACAACCACCGTTGCACGGAAAGGGTAAGTGCAGATAATCACTATATCAGGGGCTGAAGGCTATGGAAACAAAGCAATAAGAAAGAAAGAACGGAAAGGCTAAAAATTTCGCTCACCATAGATGGCCAGCCAAAGAAGGACGTCAGCGATCTCGACATGCTGCTTGGTGGCATGAGCTCAATCGATTTGCATAAACCTCAGCAGCAGCAATCCGGCGGAATGGACTTTCTTTCGTCATCCGTGCTCGATTCACCCTCACTACCCGGTCGCCGTGAACGTGGTTCTCGGTTCGCCAAGTTCTTTGCGAAGCGCGAGGAGGAAGCTACCACGCCTGTGGTCGAGGAACTAACATCACAGCCACCCACGGTTCCAGTTCAGGGCAAGTCTATCAGCATAAATGATTTGTTTGGTAGAAATCTTCCGCAGACACCACCACAGCAACAACAACGGCAGCAGCAGGGCTCTAGCGAAGTGAAGGCGTCATTTTCCCAAGGCCCTCCAGCTCCTGCTCCTGCTCCCCGTATGCTCTCAGAAGAAGAAGTTCTCCAGAGCTTAGGTGCCAAAAGATCACCTCAACAACACAAGGAGAAACCTTCAGCGGAGGATGCAATGGGCTTTGACAAGGTACTACAAATCCTCTCCCAGCCAAAGGTAAATGACCTACAAACAGTTGTTAGGTGAAAATCAAATAATTATTGAACGCTGTGAACTAATAATTTAAATTGTTACGTAAAACCAAATAATAGCCTACATCACCGTACGACATCAAGAAGGATGAGTTCGTAGAACAACAAGAATCTGGCGAACCTGTTATGGTAGCTGCAGAAACACCTAAGCAAGAACAGCACAATTTTGAAGAAAATGTATACATGTCGTCGCCTAAACCGCCCTTTGAGCTGTCACAGCAACAACGTGCATCCCCTGTAAGCGCTGCGATACCGACGGCGACGCACGAAGAAGCGACTGTAGCATCTCCTGTGCGAACACCAGCAGAAAAGCAGCACATGCGGACGGATAGCACGGATAGTGCCCAGGCTCAGAAGCCAAAGCTCGTTGGCAAGGCATTTGCAGGAAACCTGCCCACATCCGTACTACGTCAAATGAGCGCACGAACATCTGAAGGTCGGTCACCATCCATCGCCTCTAGTAAATCGGCGAACCGATCGTTTGCAGCTGGTAGCTCGTCGGCTGGCGGATCGCCTGCCTTGTCGAACCACTCGCCATCAGCTATCAAGAGTGGCATCCCAATGGTATCTCATCAGCAATCAAATTCACCTGTCCAACAACTCTCATATACGTCTAATGCGTATCAGCAGCCACAACAACGCATGCCTGCCACTTCCCCAGGCTATCCCTTGCCAGGACACAGTCCTATTGTGGATCCGATTGCAGCAGCAGGTGCCCCTCCTCTTGGTCGCCAGCCCCGAAATTTGGAGCAATTGCTTCAATATGGCGTTGCTACTGCAGCTGCTGGTAATGGCGGTGGTGGTGATAAACTTTCACCTCCAGTTATGCCACGTTCCGGTATGAATGGTAACGGACCTATGATGGGCCCACACCATCCTCATCACCAACCCCATCACCCTCCTCATCCTCATCATCCGTTCCAAGGTCAAGGAGGCATGGAACAATTCATTCCTCCGCATTTGATGCAGCCAATGCCGCCGCATATGGGACCTGTTGGACCTGGCCCCATGCTTCAGCCACACCACCTTCCGCCGCAGCTTCAAGGACAAGCCCCTCACCAATTCCCTCCCATGCAGCGTGAAATGATGACACCACCTACCAGCGACCATCCTGCCTACATGGGTAACGTTCCGCCTCCACACATGATGGGTAACGGTAAGTTTTTGGCAATCGATTGGTGTATGATTAAGGCCGGGAACTTATCCATTTGTTCATACGATAGGGTTGCCTCCACATTTGTTTGCAAAGAGTCAAGGATGGGACCGGCACTGAATTTGTTAAATTTGTCTAGAACGTGTATGTTGAGGAAACTTTATTTTATTACAACGGTTCAAAGGCAACAGTACAAATTTTCGATCCAGAGTGTCCACCGAACGAAAATGTGGGATATTTGACATGCGAGTGGTATCGGAAGTCTATAAGCATTGCGTTTTTGGGGTTGGGGAGAAAAGATACGTGTTAGTAGTTGTTGAGCGCATCGAAAGAGCTGGAGATATACATTGACTTACACTTCTTGAAACTTTGAGCGAGCTCGTCTTGAGTCCAATTACAACTTGTGATAAGAAACAGGCCCTCAGGGCTGATCATTTGGCGCACGGCCTCCACATAGCGTTCTCTAGGTCCATCTCTACCTTCCTTTTTCGCTTGCTCTTGTTCTGGATTCAGCGAAATCGCGTCAAACGTGCCTTTATCCAACACGATATCAAACTGATTCTGTGCAGCCCAATCGGATCCCAACAGATCTACCGTATGATATTGGATCGTATCGCTCAGGTCACGTTGCTCAGCAACGGCTTTGGCCAATGTAATGGCAGGTTCCGAATAGTCGATGCCTGTCAAGTTGTTGTATCCTTCGCCAGCGAGTTCAAGCAACAAGTGGCCGTTGCCGCAACCGAGATCCACTATCCGGCTGTCGGTTTTGGTAACATTCTCTGTCACCCATTCTGTCATTTTCTCCACGCTATCTTCACCGAACCTATATATAATTCAAAATAAGCATGTTTAAATAAAAGTACGAATAATTAGAGGGACAGATCTAAATCCAGAATGAGGGTGACAACAAACCATATTTCGCCAATGTCGCCAATCTCTTTGAAATTGCTATTTTCGCGATTGTAAACCTTGTCCCAACTGGTTTTATGTAATGAGATAAGCGTCAGCTTTCCTGTTTACTGCTAGTTCTTTTTTAGTGTCATGGAGTGTACACTGACTATTCTTTGGTTCCAAGCTTGGAGGCCTCGAAATCTTGTGTGTCTTCCATCGATCTGTGTAAAATAAGATCTTTTCCGCTTTTCGGAAGACAAACTGTCAAAAACCCAAGCGAGAGACAAAGAAAGAAGTCCCGCGGTTACTTGGTAACACGAATGTCACCCTATGTTGTCTAGCAACGCAATCATGCAACGGCATACAGTTCAGGTCAACAGCAGTGGCCAAGCGAGGTGTAACTTTTTTTCCAGTAATGCCAAGTAGTAACGCGCGCTGTCCATTATAGCAAGTTCAGACAAAGGATTTGAAACATCTTTAAAATAACGGTTTTTTTGTGACAGTCTCACGATTCAACAAGAAGCGATTCTTGTCCCTAGAACTACAGTGTCCATGTGCCAATAATAGACTATGTATGTAGTATGTATCGATGGTGATGTTATTTAGTTACCAACGAGCATAGAACCCGCGGAAGGTTCTATAAATAGTTGGAAACAACGAGAAAAGAGGAGTGATCGACGTCAACTGAAAGCAAAAGGGGTCGGTTTCATGGAATCCGCAACAGCAGGATCTAGACAGATGTCTTTTGAAACAAATGGGCTTCGATGCAGAATATACCATGTAATGCACCATGTAAAACAGACCTATACCCTAGATTTTTCACATTATAAACAAAACTGAGTAGCTTTTTTGGTGGATGGTATAAATACTCCAAGAAGAAAGAACGCTCCGCGGATGAAGGACCCGTCTACCCATTGTATGGTGCAGCTGTGCCTCTGTGCCCAGGCCACCTAGTTTGTGCGTAGGGTCGTTTCCGATCGTTTGCACATGCCTTAAGGAGGCGGCATTTGATTATCAACGTAAGTTTTCCGTGTGTGTTGTGGATGTAACAATAGGTTGCTTTTGCTGTGGTCCCCTTTTGTGTGTTGTGTTGTGCGATAAGTGTTTCGGTCATCACAAGAGCCAAAAAAAAATCTCTCCGTGGCAAACAGCTTCTTGTGTTACTTACGTACAAGTTTCGCCCACGTTTTTCGGTCTTTATCGCTGAAAAGATGTGTTTTATCTCGCAAAGGAGAGCCCAGGCCTGCGAAATCAAAGGCACTGTTGCATTGGCATGACTCATTGACTCGGTCCTGAGCCGGGTAAAGTTCTGAAGAAAGAAGACGACGACAATCGGCGTTATTTCGCCTCTCCAACTCCACACATTTGGCTCGCTTCCTTGCTCTGTATATACTCTCACAGAAATTCTCCATGGAGACAGTAAAGTTAGAAGCAATGAGATTGTCGCTAAAAAAGCTTGATACGCTGGGCTTGGATGAGGTAACAGTAATAGAGTTTCAGTGGCAGCAAGTATTACGTATAAAGCAGAGGTGAGGTAAATAGTCCCTACTGCGAAGTTTTCTGCTGTTTTCGGGGCGGGGTGGAGAGTTGGGGGTGTAGTAGGACCGACAGAAATGGGTCTAATTTACCTTGTCGTCAAACCGTCTTGTTCGTCCATCGCGTACCCTCTTTTCGAAAGTAAACAATCGCGCGCTCGCCCCTAGCCCTGCCCGGCTCACAACAGTTTACAAGCAATTTACGCCCTCATTACAAGTGCGCCCGAGCGATATTTCTATTCGTAGGAGCAGATTCTTCTCAGCGATAATAATCTGGGCGACAGGATATAATATCACGACATGTTTTTTTAAGACGGTTAGGAGAATATTACTTTTAGGGTAAGGGGGGTGGGCCACACGTTACGCTTCCTGCGAGGGTGACGGGCGGGAAAAGGTTGTGAGAACGCAGGAAAAAGTCAAACTTTTTTCGGTGCTTCAACTGCCGACCTATAAAAACTTGCTTGAGCATTGGGCAACTCTTGCATATTTTTGTTTTCGAAAACAAAAAAAAAAAAAAAGATCATCTCGTTTTTCTTTCTCTCTTCCTCCCCGTTCTTCTTCCGCAACCTCCACTAGACAAGAACCATGACAAGTAAGGCACTACTAAGCGCTTGTTTTCTATAGCTGCACCGGCAGAAGGGCGAGTCTAGTAGTTGTAACACCTGAAACCGACTGTGTTGTGCAATATAGACGATATCTCTGTATTTGATGCTGTGCCCCAAGCACCCGCAGACGTCATTTTCAGTCTTACCGCTCAGTACAAAGCGGACACCGATCCAAACAAGGTCAACGTCGGTGTTGGCGCTTTCCGCACCGATGATTTGAAGCCTTACGTATTGCCTGTGGTCAAGAAGGTAAATGGCAAGAAATAAAGGGGGGAGTGGGCACTAAAAGGAAGTTAGCTTTTGGTGGGGAAACCAGCAACGAATGGTCGCCGTTTGAGGAAATTTACTGGTGGGGCGTAGTCTTACCTCCTTCTCGCGTGATTGCCATGATCTGTAGGCGGATACTGTTCTTTTCAACGATGCAAGTCTTGACCATGAATACCTGCCGATTGCTGGCACTCCTTCATACACACAAGCAGCTTCACGGCTGATCCTGGGTCAGAACAGCCCGGCAATCCGCGAGTCTCGTGTAGCAGCCGTCCAAACCATATCGGGCACCGGAGCCAATCACACTGGCGCCACGTTCCTTGCCCAGTTTTACAAAAAGAGCCCAAAGTGTTACATCTCGAAACCAACGTGGGGTAAGCATTGTGGATGGTCGCGAGGGTTTTTCCAGAGTAATACTAAACGTCGTCTCCCCCCCCCGTGTCTTGCATCTACTATAGCCAACCATCGCAATATCTTCTCCATGGTCGGCTTTGAAGTTGACGAGTACCCGTACTGGAATGCAGAGAAGCGCGGATTGGACTATGAAGCCATGCTGGACACAATGCGCGCAGCTCCTGAAGGCAGCGTGTTTATCTTGCACGCATGCGCACACAACCCTACGGGTGTCGATCCTACGCGCGAACAATGGAAGGGCATTGCACAGGTCATGCGCGAGAAGAACCATTTCCCCTTCTTTGACTGTGCCTACCAAGGCTTTGCCTCTGGTGACTTGGACAAGGACGCATGGGCCGTGCGGTATTTTGTGGAACAAGGCTTTGAGCTGTTCGTTGCCCAGTCCTTTGCCAAGAACTTTGGCCTGTATGGCGAACGTGCTGGTAATCTGACCATTGTCACCAAGTCACCCGAAGAGGCCAAGCGCGTGTTCTCGCAGATGGAAAAGTTACAACGATCAGAAATCTCCAATCCTCCCGCCTATGGCTCGCGTATCGTGGATATTTGCTTGAATGACCCGGCCTTGTATGCAGAGTGGAAGGAAAATCTTCAGTATATGTCGAATCGCATCATTGAAATGCGCAAGGCTCTGTTCGATCGCTTGACCGCTTTGGGTACGCCCGGTACCTGGAACCATATCACTGACCAGATTGGTATGTTTTCATTCACTGGTCTCAATGGTAAGTTTTCTGACATTCCTTGCGTGTGTACTTGGTTTATGAGGAGCCTCAGAAGCATCCAAACTGATGTTTATATATGTGCACGTTTCTTGTATAGCTACACAAGTCAAGTTGCTCAAGGAAAAGTACCATATCTACATGACAGACAACGGCCGCATTTCGATGGCTGGTTTGTCTACGAAAAACGTTGACTACTTTGCCAAGGCCGTCGATGATGTTGTTCGCAATGTCTAAACGGAAGAACGTTTGACTATCTATTCCCCGCCCCTACCCAACTTCATCCCTTACATTAACCATTGAAAAATCCCCATCAAATCATTATCTTCGTAATATATTATACTGTATAAAGGGAAGATCCAAAGGAAACAAAACAAGAAATAAACAAACACAATCATACGCACGCATCTTTACGCGTTATATATGTACAGATACACTTACTAAACAACACCAGACATCAGAATAAGCGTTTATATTATTATTGCTGCTACTATTGATACAAATGAACGAGGCCATAAAGAAAGGTATGAAACAAGATATAAGATAATAGGCCGTTGATTGCGCCGTCGACGACCAGATCTCGTACGCCGTGTATAAAGTAATTTCCAGGCTGATGGTGACATTTAAACACGACTAAAAGAACGGCGAGTGTTGACCAGCTGAGGGCGTAAAACAGGAACCCAGACCAGTTTGTTAAGCCGAGAATGCCTGCAGCAGATCCAGCAATGGCGGCAAAGCATGAGCGAATGAACTGTAATTGTTTGTTGTTGTGAACGACATGCGGTTGGAAGAATTTGTGTGCGTTTTGATTAGGTGGATTGGCGTTGGGATTATTCATTATGTTCGTGTGTGTTGATTAAGAGTGATGTGGTGATGCTCGTCAATATGATATAACCCAACGCGCACTCCAATGGATTAAAATCCCAGAGCGGGTCAGCGGGGAGTGTTTTAGCCAATGAAAATAGATTAAGCATCAGGTACCAGCATATTTTCCAAACAGCATCAAATGACATTCGGCTGTTGAGCAAAAGTACATATATTATGCTAGGATGCATGAAGTAAAAAGTCCAGAAAACGTAAAAGTAAATGATATAGATCAAAGATATATGAATAGAGTAGAGGGGGAGTAATCAGGTTGGGGAATATGATATAGGAAGGTAGGAGGTGATGTTTGTTTAATGCGACCGTACTTTAGCACGTTCAATACGTCGTTCTCGTCTTGCCATCACAGATAGCAAGTCATTCTCGTCTTCATCCGAGTCATCATGGTCAGATTCACTTTCACTGACCTGATCCAGCTTATTTCCCGCATCCGGATAGAGCGTCGTTAACTTTTCACGTACAGCTCGTTTTTCAGTTGCGCGGTCTGCATCGTTATCATCTGAATCGGGAAACATGTCAAAGTACTGGATGTTGCTATCCGGCGTTGTTGTCACCTCATCACTCCCACCATTTACTTTGGTTGAAGCACTGGTAGGAGTTTTTTGCTCCTCATCATCTTCTTCATCTGAATCGGGAAAGATATGAAAAGTGTACACCCCGCCGCCTTCTAGGCCAGGGATTGGGTCGCGTGCTTTGGATACTACGGGCAAAGGCACAGAGTTGATCGTGGGTAATGGTTTTTCATGAGTGGACATGGCGCGTACAATTGCAGGCGGTAGTGGGGACATCGGTGACGCAGTAATAGAGGAAGGTGATGGAGCAGTTTCTGGGGCTGGTTTTGATTCTACGTAAGATGGAGGTGGCGGGATTGCCGCTGACGATGGTGTTGGACTTGAAGGTGGCACAGCAACAGGTGGCGGAGGAGGAGAATGGCTGGAGGATGCCGACTGTAGCTGCTGTGGCTGAGGTTGAGGCTGAGGCAGGTTCTTGGATACATCCGTAATGGATGAATTAGCCGACTGTGCTGGTGATGTTTGGATGGTAGTTGAAGGCATCTGACCAGAGTTAACCGACGATGCCGAGCTTTGTGGTTTCGCACCATTACTGTTGATGGTATTACTATTGCTGTTGTTGCTGTTATTCCGTGGCCGGAACGATGACATGACCTGGCGCAAGGAGCTGCCACCTTTGCTGCTGCTGCCGACACTGATGCTGCTTTCGTTATTATTACTAAGCACTGGCACACCTGCAACAGGATCCATCTTCGATCGGCGACGGAACATGCCTTTCATACGGTCCGTCATTTTTTTGTTGTTATCTTTGGTTGGGGTTGTGATAGCTGTAAAGCGAGAGGTTTCTCCTCGCGCGATTTTGCTCGATTCATAGCGTGGCTCCTGTACTCGTTGTTGTTCTGGTGGTGATGGCTGCTGCTGCTGCTGTTGGGGTTGTCGTTGTTGCGTATCGATGTGCATTGGGATCCCGACTAGCATATACTGCATAGCCGATGTGTTGTTGTCGGATGGGAGTTCAGTATACAAGGCGCTTGGATGGGCGTGAACGGAAAGAAACACACTGTACTCGACCGACGCAAGCTCGCCCTGCTCTTCTGTAATGGATGGCACACAATCATATGGGATTTGCAGTGTCTCAGTCAATGTTTGGACTGAATAGCCAGTTCGCAATGCCAAATCCAGATCGCGTGTCACCGTCGATAACTCCTTTGTCAAGGTTTCCGTCCGTTCACCACATTGGATCTTACACATTCGCACAAGCGACAAAGAAATGCCGTTTCTACGAGTGTACTTACAGTCATGCCATACATGAGCCACTACTGGTATCGTAGCACCTGATAACCATCCCATAAATTAATCTTCAGTTTTGTCGAAAAAAGAAATAATATAAGGGGGAAAGTTTAATACTACCTCGTGGAGAAACTTTGAATGGAACAGTGATACGGGCAGCAGTTCTGTACTCGGCACGATCTTGAAGTACGGTCGACAAGTATGTTTTTTCACTGGTCTGTTGCTGCTGTTGGGATGGATCGTCGTTTCCGGAGATAGTACTAGTAGCCATAACCGGCACAGCTGCACGCGCTTTAATGGGCATTGGATCGAACGTTTGATGATCCAATGCTACTTCAACTACATACTCGACGTTGGACGTGGCACCCATCACTGTATCATTGATCTATTAACAGAAAAAAAATCATATTTAGTTCCTCGTTTTCTTATGTTACACCACCTATTTACGATCAAATCGACAACACACAGCCAACAATACATATAGAAACTACTCTTTTTTACCTCAAAACTGCTAGGTAGCGGACGATCGTTTGGCAAAGTGATTTGAAAAGAAAAAGTGGCCCGGCCGTCGACTTGTATCAGAGTTCCGGGCGTCGACAATTCAGACGAGTGAACAAAAGCATCGCTATTGGGATCGAGATGAAACACCTCGTTAAAGTACTCTTTACGGTCAAACTGGCCCGCGAGCTGAGCGACAATGCGACCAGTCCAGACGAGTCGTAATGCCGCAAATGTTAATGACTTGCCACCTGCTGTGTTGACAGAGACATTGCCCCTGATCTGCTGTCCTGGTTGATAATAGGCTTGTTGGTTGGCAACTGTGATATCCAACTGAGTGGCGCTGTCGTTGTTGTTGTTGTTGTCCGCCATATCGTATAATTTTATGCAAAATAGACCAGGAACACCCCTTCTTTAATGGCGGTTATGTTGATAAATACACAGGTTTTTTTTCTTCAAAACTGAAAAGAAGAGAGGGAGGAAAAAAAGAAGGAAATAATAAATGGCTGGTGCAACGTTAATCCCTCAACCTTCGACAATGATATACAGCCTCTTTTCTCTACAAGGCAACAGGCGGGGCTGAGCGTCTTGTTTCTATTTATTCAATAAAGTTACAAGCCAGCATCTTTCATGCGTGAAGAAACCACTGCCGCTGTGGAGTAGATAGCTTGTCTCACTTTATGATGGACATTTCGAAATGTTTTTCAATCTATTCCAAGATAGTCCGGCTCTTTTTCGTCAAGACTATATTCATCATAATCCTAAAGCTAGGCGATTGTTACACAGTATTTGGTATCGACGGCAAGCGAATGAGCTGAGATTGGAAGCCCTCGTTTGAAAGTGAAAGGTCTGCTACCTCTTACCTTCAGAAATCAGTATAGCTACTAACTTCAATCGTCGTGAGTTTGATTTGTAATAAGATATACGCCCATTTCCACCCATAGATAGGTATGGATATGAATGTTTTTGAAGAAAGGTAACAATCGAACCTATACACTCTTCCGTCGTATGGATCAAGTTGCATAATCAATCAGTCTCAGTAAATACAAATTGCTCCTACTAGCTCTGCCACAACGCATGAACTTGCTCTAATAAGCCCGTACTCACATATCACCACCCATCACTAGCAAACGCATACTTCTACTCCCATCTTTAAATGCTGGAGCTTCACTGTAGCACTCTAACAGTGGTCAGTAAGCTTTCAACAGTACGATGCAGCACCTTTAGTATTGACTGTAAACATCCAATAATGCCACGTAGCACCTCCAAAAATAGCCAGCGAGCTTTTGACAATACTATGTAGCACCTTTAAAATGAGCGGTAACCTCCGGGCTACGTAATATTACTAACAGTGGCCGGTAGACTTTAACAGTGCTATTTAGCACATGTAGCATCAGTAACACTTCAACAGTGTATAAGTTAGCACCTCTAACAATGGCCGGTGAACCTCTAGATTAAGGGTATTCCATGGCTGTTGTTTTTCTGATGACTTATAGCATAATTAGTTCATCCGAGGCACACCAATCCGAATTTGTTTGTTCGAACACATAGTGCTGTTATTTCGTTCGAGGCATCTCAGGGCTAATTGTCCTTAACACCATCAAATGCTAAATCCAACAGGTGGATGATTAAAGACACCCGTAAACCGGCACTATTATTATTATACAATGTTTTTGACTCTCGCTGACTTTGTAAAGCGTTTCGACCCTGGGAAGACAAGCAACCCGGGCATATTCTTTACCTGCCACAAAATACTTTTCCTCGGGGTAAATACTGACACCATTTCTGCCATTATTACTGTATTGGCGAGGCTTTTGTTGCCGTGTCGTTTCTTCATGGCTGCAGGAAGGGTATTAAAACATCTGGTAGTGCATCAAGTGAGTTGTTTTGACATCTTATGTATGTACACTACCTCTACCTTTTTCCGCATCCCTTCTCGCGTCAACCTTTGAATGTCTACTTAGTTTCCTGGTCGCGCGTTTTATCTGGGTCAGGTCCTTTTTGTCTGCTGCATCGTTATAAGGGATCAATTGATCCATAAATATGCTAATTCATTGTGCCATGCGCTGCTTTGACGGTTTCTCTGATTTTCCTTTACCTATCGCCATCATTTATGTCATCAGTAAACTGCTACTTTTCGATAGCACTTTCAACGGGTACAAGTAAAAAAAAATAGCTTGTGAAAGCAAAACGCTCGATAATTTGCCGGACATCGTGGACCTGTCGGTACAACAATAAATTAGCCATTGTGCGTCAACTTGTATGTAGTAAAGTCATGAAAACTGCAAGGAAGCTTCTGGACTATAAATTGGGTCATTGTATATTACATATCTTGCCTCTGCTTCCAAAAGATATTTTTTGAAATAAGTACAAACATTCCCTAGCCGTATAGACGCAAAAAGGGGCAATGTTGCTCAAGTTTCTCTGATGATTATCAGGGCTATCGGAGCCATCATAGCACAATGACAATGACAACGACGACCGGTGATACACATTAGACGATACGTATGAGAATAAGGATGAGAGTGACAAGGGAAACACTGTCATGACTGCTGCTCATATGGTGAACCTTACTCGCAAGCGTATTTTCAGATTGATAAAAGCCATTACATAGCAGAAGTCTCTTGACAAAAGTCGAAACAGAAACTAAAAAGGTTGGTCCAACCATTATCTTCAGCTTAATGACAAGGTGCTCGGTATAGTGATAGCAAATAATGATTGACGAGACAAGATAATTAAATCGTTGATTCTTGGTGTTTCTTGGTGAGAACCATTTTTAAGTAGAAGAAAAGGAACACGTTCAAACAAGAGGGTGCAATATGTGGTTGCATAAGTGTATCTAATTTAATTGAAGCACTTGGCGCGAACAGATAAGAACATGGATATAATTTGACATCATTATTTTAATTCCCGGGGACATTTGTGCCTTTGAAAAAACAAGCGGATCTGGACTTTGTTAAAGAAGGCATGGGCCATCGCGAGCAAAAGACTTTCAAATCCACTTGAGCACCATAGTCAAGACTGTTAAATCAGACGCATTTAATACCTACATTGAAATCAACCTAAGTATCTCCCCCTGGAGTTGCTCTTGACCAGGAACCACTGTATCTATAACATTAACTTCGTGATCAACATCATCTGTTCAAAATTCCTTGTTGTTTATGTGTATGAAACGTTGCTTGTCTCAAAAAGGATAATATGCTTGTGAATGAGTTTATATGAAGAGAATGGGTGTCCTGCTAGACCTTTGAGGATGGTGCTTGTAGCGTTGCTGCTGTATAATGGTGATCTTGTTTGTCACCTTATCAGCGCTGTGTATTTTATATCATCAAAAAGGAATGCCTCCCGTGCTAAAGTTTGGAAATGCTTGTTGTCATTGAAACACTATAATCGCTGATGATAACATGCGTTAAGTCATAACAGCAAAAAACACAGGATCGATAATATATTCGACCTAGATCCCATAACACTACGTAAGGTTATTCCTTTCATTAAATTGAAAGTTCACTCTTCATACGACACTATCTCGAACACTACGCTTGATTCGCGCATATTGATACACACCAGCCCTATTTGCTGGAGGCTGTATATATATACCACCTTTGCTATATACTTTAGCATCTTTAATGTATGCAGACACGCCAAGAGAGTAGTCTGGATCACTCTCGTTCTAATAAGTTTTATACCACATCGTAGAAGTGGTTAACGCGAAAACGGAAATTATAGAATTTGTGTCAAAGTAGAGGTCAAAGCATTTTAAAGATTTCGCCATCTTCTATCCGTGATACGACACTTGTTCCTTCTCAATGATGCATTGTGTGCGCGATATTGCTGGACTAGTAACAGTAATAATAGAGACATTGGCTGGTATGATGCAAGAAAAATCCGTTGCTATTTTGAGTGTATGTAAAATATTTCGAGACAAAAGGCGGAGGCGCAGTATATGTGTATATACATAACATAACAGTATGCATTGGATAGAAAAACCTCTTTCGAAATCTTTTATCCTGCTTCTTCTTGACTATTTTGCATCTCCTTCGCAATCTAGTAAACAGAAAGGTGAAATAAGTACCACGCGATAAAAAAAAAGCAATCCAATGAAAATTAACTGTACGCAAAAAACCTACCGTTTCAATCTCTTCAAGATCCCATCCAATCTCGCTTTTGGATACTGAAAAGTGATGTAATTCATGTGCAAGCGTCCGTAATACATGGTCGCTATATAAGTATAGGATATCCAAAGGTAAGTTTCCCTCGTTTCTTCTTCTTCTTCTTCAACCACACTATAGCCATATACGACATTATATTCGTTTTATCTTACCTAGTATGTTGAATCCAAGTACAATAATCATCCAAATAAATCTTGCTGTATACATAGTACACATCATGATGATCAAACAACACTTTTAAGCTCAACAGCGCCTTCAGGATAGCCCGCTTTCCCAGACGCATCAATATATACACATCCTGCATCACCTTCTCGCAAAGCGCAAAGTTTCTGTACAGTGGGTATGCCAAAGATCGACGGTAATTTGCAACAAGGACTTCTTTAAGCGTTGTGAACTGTTCCAAACATGCAATGGTCGGGCTTGTTTTACCAATGCACCATACGGATTCAACAGAGTCTTCTCCTTCGAATATCCGATGATTGTAGCTGTATGCAAATAACAGATCGACCAGACCAAGATACGTTATTTTTTCATTGGATAGTAAATCTATAAGGGCAATACACAAAAGATCAATTATACGGAGGGAAAAACACGTATCTTCTTCTTTTTCACTTACATTCTTTTTTCGGCAAGTCCCGCATCATTGCCTGCTCCTTTTCTGTAAACTTTATTAAGGACTCTGCCGAGTCTGTGATCGAAAGCGACTGTAGATCTAGTAGTCCATCCACGCTCCCCGGTGCTTGCATTTCCTGTATCAATGGTGCTGTAAATGTAAAACACGATCAACAATCTTTCCGCTACTACGCATTAAGTACCTTCCCCAAGAAAAACGCCCCTGGGCAGTTACTAACCTTTGGTCTGCTGCTCCTTGGCAATTTTCTGTATCCGTCGTAACTCTTTGTGCCACACTGTTTTAAACTGCATGACCCGTTGTATCTCTTCATCGTTAATGAAATCCATAGCGTAATAGTCTTCGTCAAATTTAGCATCCTCTGCTTCACATCGTTCCCGTCGTCTAGATTCAACTGTTGATTTTTCTGGGTCTGATATATCGTTAATTTCATTCATCGTTTCTTGAACGTGAATAAAGTAGTTGCTGTATTGGTTGTTAAAGCCATAGGATGCCGTCGTCAAAATTTCTGTTGTTGGTAATTCTTGAGGTAGTTCCCAATTGAAATCAATCGCTATAATAAGAATTGTAATACATACATGAGTGGATCAATATGTACTACTTGATTGTGGTATGATATCGTTACCTTCTTGAATATTTTCGTCTTGTACTTGCTCCTGCTGTTCATCAACATTATCTTCGCCACCAATCACTTCAATCAAGGGCTTTGTGGTCTTTTTATTGGATTCCTCAGGTGCTTCGCCTCGTCTCGCCAAAAGTTTACTTAACAGATCGAGATCTGTAAAATGCTCTCCCTTGTTTTCTTTAGTGATACGGACGTGAAACTGGCCGGAGGAGGGATCGTACTTTGCACTCGAATCATCGTCTTCGACAATATTGCCGGGGAAATATAAACTAATACAGCAAAAGCCAACTATAAGTATTATACGATACCGCATAATCCTTGAGTAGCTCTCCTCACTCACCGCAAAAAGTAAGGTCTTAGAAAAAACCGGAATTCACTGCCTTGAACATGAAGATCTACGTCTTGAGCCTAGTACCCAGTGGTCGTCCTTTGTTGTTAGGCAAGCTTTGATAATAATAAAAAACCGAATGTACTGTATAGTTTCTCCCAAATACCTTACCCGAACGTATGGCGTGTTGATTGTAATAATTACGGCATTGTCGTCCTGATCGACCTTGAATGTGGGTGTAATCATACTCGCGTGTTGAATGAGATCGATCGAGGTGGTACTGTCAAAAAAAAAGTTGGCAGCAGGTGCTTCAATTTTGGCTATGTCCGAACAAAAGCAGCTGCCTAGTCACACGCACAGCTGTTCTTTCTCTTTGTTTTTACACTATTAACCATGCTGCGGCGTATTGTGGCAACTGCAACTACCATTCCACACCGATCGATTGTCCGTGCGGCAGGAGCTCCACGCGTAAGTTTTTTGATCACGCGATTCAAACAAAAGATAATTCTTCTTTCTCAATGTAAACTGATTGATTGGATAAAAATGGGGGATGGTTGCTGTCGTCATATAGAATGTGTCTACCACGCGTATCACAAAGCTGAAAAAAGAAGTAGCAGCTACTTCCGTCAAGCCAACCACAACAGCTGCAGCAACACCAAGCAGTAGTGTACCAGCACAAGGCAATGTACCAAAAACGGACGAATCCAGCTTTTATTTTCCGGGTACAAAGGAATTCGATCAATCACCGACATTGCAAGACGAAGAGGTAGAAGGAGAGGAAAACAAATTCAACTGGTCCAAGTCGTATTATGGATTATCGACGCAGCCGTTCTCGGCAGAAGTATCCGATATACTCATGCAACCACTAGAACCCGCCGACATTGAGATCAAACCTGGTAAGACAAAAAGTGATAGTTTGGTATGGAGTGGAGGAGTGTATTTGTTTGTACGTTGTCGTTAACTGATCATCATCATCATCACTTATAAAGATGGAATGATATACTTGCCTGAAATCAAGTATCGTCGTATCTTAAACAAAGCATTTGGACCCGGAGGTATAAAGAAGATAAAGCTTTTTGGCTGACAAACTGAGAGAAAGAAAAACAACAACTGATGTTTGATATGCATGTTATCTAAGGATGGGGATTGGCACCTCGGGGTGAACATTCTATATCATCCAAGAATATTTCCCGAGAGTATGCGCTGATATGTCACGGAAGGTCAGTCTATACAGAATAAGTGGCAGCGGTGTGAATGAGGAACTGATAGAAAGAAACGTCACTGTAGATTCATTTCCCAATCCCGCGGCGAACAGGACTTTTTTGATATCTCGGGACTGCCTACAGCGTCCGAGGGATGCAAGAGCAATGCGTTGATGCGCTGCTGCAAAGACCTCGGTATTGCATCCGAACTCTGGTAAGAGCACACACACCCATTTGTATCTGCCACAGTGCACGACACTGAGGGTACATCTTGTAGGGACCCAATCTTCATTCGCAAGTACAAGAAAAAGTACTGCGTCGAGGTGTGGGCAGAGCACGTAACCACGAAGAAGAAAAAGAAGCTGTGGCGGAAGAGAGACGATACTCTGGGTAAGGGAAAAAGAAAAATCATGCAACTTCAACGGGAGAAGCGGCTGAGTCCCTCTCTTCAGAACAATAGCGAATTAACGGCTTTGTTTTCTTTTATCGTATGACAGACTACCCGTACAAAGAGCAATCGTTTGCCTAAACACTCCTTACTACGCTTAGCATCCTTTACATCTGTCTCCAACGGCAACAACAACAACAATCCACTTTCTTCCTCCCTCAAGTATAAATCGCATGTTTCTGCGTGCTGTGTATAAAAAAAGTTAAATGATTATCTTAGAAAAAGAAAGCATGACAATTGTTGTGCTATGTGATGTGACCATGTGGACCTTGTCCTGCTGTTGCTGCTGCTGCTATTGGACTCCTGCTGGTTCTGCCTGTCCTGTTGTTGTCCTGCGTGATGAAGATAATGATGCTATTCAGTACCATATAAAATGAGGGGCGCATACTGAACTTTCACTGCTTTCCACCTTTCTTCCTCTTCTCCTCTTCTATTGCCCCATAACATATTTTTAAATCAGACTACAGCAGCAATAATAACAATAATAATGGCATTACATTATTCAATCATTTTCTTCCTGATATTTCTCAAAGCAATCACATACATTGTCGCCAAGGACGATCAAGACGATGACGCCCTATCGATGAACAGCAACTACAGCGAAGAAAGTGACAACAATATTAAAAGGCACTCGACGATGAATACAGACGACACTGCTCCCAATGAAGCAAAAGTAACATATCAAGCAGCTGCACCGCCACCATGGTCTCTTGGCATCTATGTTGTATCGTCATAATCATACAGCATCTATTACACACTGCCATCACTATGTAGTAGTAGCTCCATTCTACTATGGTATCCTCCACTCCACAATCATCGCACACCACACCTTCTTCGCAAACCACCCCATGCAGTCACGTTTATGTACATATTTGAGAAAAATACCCATCTGCGAAGATCTTTAGTGTATAAAAACAATTTTCACGTGCTTTTGTTTATTTTTTGATAAAAGATTAAAGTTACAAATTTTATATATGTACAAGTGCGCTTTTTGATTGCAACGCTGGCGGGAGGATATGTGATGATGTGCTGAAAAGATGCTCGTGTCAAAGGAAATATGCAATGGTAATAAATGAATAGTGCAAAGAAATGAAGTATGTGATTTGGGTTATTGAGAAAGAGAAGGGAAATATGCAAAAGGTAAATTATGCGGCAACCCACTGGTAAAAGGAAACCATGGTATCGTTGACTATCCGGGACAGCCAGGAAGGCGATGGGGCAATACCGTTCTGCATCATCATTTTCTTCTTTTCGTCATGCGAATCTTCACTGGTAGTGCTAGTGGTGCTGGTGGTGGTAGACTCTGGCAAAGACACGACCACCTTCTCACGCGATGACGCTATCAAGACCTGGGGATCAAGCAAATCTGTGTCGCACGCAAATGACCGTGCATGCAGATACTTGATAGCAGGACTCCGGCTATCGTCATGAACGTCATATGAAAGGCTCCAGCCGCAAGCATAAGCATCCTCGACATCCATCGAACTATTGCCAGTCGCACTTTCGTAGTCAGTCGTGATAATGGTGTGCTGTTGGCTCGGTTGGATCGGTACGGGGACAATGCGATCCTTGTAAGAAATGCTGTAGATTCGACGGGTGTTGTGAACCTTAATCAAGACTGTGCAGCCGTCAATCTGCGGTGGTGGAAGAGCAGTTTGCAAGGTCATTGTGGTGTTGTCTTGAGGCTCAAACACCATGCGGTTATTGTCGGTGTCGCAGGCGGACCAGGTGAAATCGATAGGTTTGTGTGAAACGACATGAGGTTGGTTGATCCACAAGCGCATGGTGATTTGTTGTGCGTGGCTAATGAGACGAGGTTGAGCAAGGGCGCGCAACAATCGATTGACTCGACATAATTTGAAGAGGGTGTCAGTGTCAACGTTGGCGAGGACAAGTTCGATCAGCTCGATGGGTAACGATGAGAGTGAAGCACCACTACCACTACTAGAATAGAAAGTCAGTTCAGATATCAAATTATGCAGCAGGCAGACAGCCAGCCTTTGCTATTTATATCAGGGCAGCAGCAACCCGAAAGAGCCTTAAGATAGGTTACCTGCTAGGAATGGCACCGGGATGTAGTTTAGAATTCCAAAGCTGCTCAACAAGCGATTGAATCAAACGAGTCTGTTGGATAAGCATGGCCATTGTGTCAAGTAGATATGTGTGCGTATGTGTGTGTGTTTAAAAGACTTGAAGTGCTGTAGAGAAAAAAGGGAAAGGGATTGGTAGAATTCGGAGATTTATATAAGATGTCGAGTTGTGTGTGTTCGAAGAAGATCCAAGTCGGAAACAGCCGGGGTTGGGGGGTGTGAGTTGTGTGGGGTGGTGTGAGTCCTAGCAAGTTTATCGATAACGATCAATCGAATCTGATTGGCTGGAGCACAAACTTGAATGCAGGATGATGGGCTTCAGCATAGATAATTTGACCCATACACACCTCACGCAATTATACACACACACACGGGTGCCTGCATCTAGAGCAGAGAGACCACGATGTCAAAAGTGACATCATGTTGCTAGCAAACTTTATCTCTTGTGTATCTCTCATGATAAATCCTGAGTAATCATCATTTTATTATTCGAAATTAGCGACAACAACAACAACATTAACTGCTTCAGTCTTTCCTCAAAAGATAGTAGCAGTAAGTCATTATGCACAGGCCAATTTGGTTCTCTCTTTGTTGCTGGGTTGATATCGATGGGTTGTGGGGGGTGTTGAGGGGTTCAGTGGAAAGAGAGGGTAGGGGGAGGGTTTGATCGAAAGGGAGAGAACGTTAATAGAGAAATTCAATGATGCGGAGGGTTTGATTCGCGCGGGGGATAGAAAGTAGAGAACAAGGCTTCTTATCGATTGGAACGCAAATACAGAAAACTTGAATTTGGGCCGTACACAGCACACACTTTAATGGAAAGGCAGAAATTTGCAAATGAAGTGATGATGATAAAATTTATCGATTTGTGTGGGAAAAATAAAGGAGGCGCCCCACCCACCCACCTAACCACAGTCTGTACAATTTGGCGCAGTGTACACAACATACACACGTTCACAGTTGTTATCGAGTTTCCAATCGTAGCAATCTGCCCTTCTTGTTACTCCCTATATTTGCTTATCTTTATTTTTCTTTTTCGTTTGAACTGCCAGCCGGCGATGTGCTACTCCATATCATGATCACTATCATGAATCACCGCGCATATATCTCCAAATAACTTCACTAATGCTGCTGGCTTATAGCTGGCTGATACTTCCTCATAAAGAACCTCCTTTCCCTTGCTGCCTCATCAATTCCCGCTCCTTCGACCGATCAAGTTGCTGTGGCTGCGGTGGTGAATTCACGCACTAAGTTCATACACCACACATACACACCGGCTTTTAACAAAACTCAAAAAATCATTGTGCATATCTAGAGTTTATACATATCCCATTTTACGTAGGAATTTTTCCTGTTAGATATGATGTACACCCAGGATACGTTGCTAGGTTACTAGGTGCGGACAATCTCCATGGTTAATAATTTGGTTACCATAGCAACCATATAGTAAAGGATTATATGTATCTCTCTTTTTGTTCATATGACCTGTATATTTTTTCTACCTCTTCCCATCCAAGCAACAACAACACAGCAATTCGCATTCTGGTCGGCTGTCCCACTGAGCTTATTCCTGCTAATAAATTCCGCTTGTACATCATCAGCAAATAAACATTACACAAATGTTGTTTGTTATCTCTTTAAATTTTACCGAGTCGTGCGTGCTCCCACTTATTCTACAGGATTCCACCACGAAAAACATGTCTGGCAGGCAATTTTTTTAGCGTGATTGTCTTGCAGCCAATCGACTAAAGAAGTCCCGGAAGCACTAAAATAAATGTAAATGTATTTTTTACTACAATTATCTTCATCGTCACTAGTGGTCAGCAATGATGAGCCTTTAAAAATCACCAGCATTGTTATTGTTGCCATCCATCTCAAAGTCAGCCAACTGTTATAATATACTCTTCCGGTGATTGCTGTGATAAAGTTTGCTTTCAGCAAAATTTATAATGCGCATAATGATTTCACTTTGAAAACAACGTGGGATCGTCGCGGTTCCGAACTTTACGTAGCAGCTGTACTATATGAAAAATAAACAACTATGGAAGACGATGCGCTTTGTATGTGGCGCCCATAGAAAGAAGAAAAAAACAATTAAAGAAAGGCAAACAGAAGAGAAAATGGTCATCCACCATAATGAAGTATCGGTTACCTATCAATTGTTGAATTAGCAAAAATAAACCCTGTCAAATCCTCAGTGCTATAATTTAAATACATTTGAACCACAGCGACTTTCCATTGACACGGAATACAAACGCGGTAGTGATTTCAGGATGCGCATAGTATTGGATAATACACGCTCCACTATCGATAAGATCGAAAACCAAAATTTTTTTCCCGATATGACACTCCTGAATACCAGAGACGGAAACTGATAGTAGACAAATCGGGAAGTTGTCTATCATAGTAGCAAAGACATATTTTCTTTAAGCTTTTTGATCTCGCTTCTACTCTGTTCAAAGTATAACAGCAGGGTTTCGCATAGTATTGCTACATGGCTACGTTTCATCAGAAACACACCGCTGCTCCTCATCCAAACTTCGTTAAAAATAAAACGATAATGTTAAGGGGTTTAAAGGGTTTCATTGGTTGTTTTGTACGTAATCGCTAGGCCAATCAGCAGAGCGATAGATATCGATGACTCCGCTCTACGCAATACAAATCTCTGTTTTTTTTTGCTTATCAGTGATCGGGCTTAAACGTACGGCACGCACACCATTTATAGAGAACTTGCGTGAACTTTTGGATTGTCGCCATACCAAATATATTTGAAGTATATAAAGTCCACGGAACAATCAGCTCTTTTTTTGATAACAAACAAAAAAGAAAAGAAAAAGATGCCTTCAATACTCCACGCCATCTCGACGCCAAACGGTGAGCAGTTGTCATTCCAACCTACCATCGAATTACCGCCTTCGCCACCTCACTCGCCACCCAAACACCATTTTGTACATCCTGGACTACTATCATTGCCAACAACACAGCAACGTGTAAATCCAACAATGTGGCTGCCTGCCTGGCACGCTGTGCATGATGCCATGACAACGTGGAAAGAACATGACCATGATATAATTCATATTGACGATGCATCGACTCCTGCTTTTATCACCAACAGTAAGTGCAGTAATACGCTCTTTTGCTAAGAACAAGCAATGAGAGCAGGATCTTACTAATGTAATTTGTCTGTTGTACTAGTCCTGGACCCTTGGTTTCAATACAACTCTTTGCCACGACAACAAAAAGTAAATGAGAACGAATGGAACGAATTTGTCGAGTTTAACGAAAAGTATGCAGATCTGATCGTGAATAGATATCGATCTCATCATGATATCAGTAAGTAGTAGTAGTATAGTAGCAGTATTCTTCCCGGAAAACGAGATCAACAAGCCCTCTTCATTCTGATCATCAAAAGTACTTATTTGACTTGCATAATTAGTTTGGGTGCATGACTATCATTTAATACTGTTGCCAAGTATGCTACGCCGAAAACTTCCGCAAGCTACTATCGGCTTTACTATCTATGCTTGTTGCCCAAACTTGGATAAACTTGAAGGTACGTTGTAACGTAATTAGAGTAGAGCCGCGGTCCTATTTTACTCCGCGGTTTCTCTTTTTTCTTTGCATCGCCCCTAATTGCGTAAGAATTCTTTTTTAGGATACGGACGAGCCCTGCAACGTAGCATGTCTGCTGCCGATCTCATTGGAGTTCAGGTACGTAGCGACTGTTTTATCACCGACTCGCTTATATAAGAATGCGCTTTGTTAACTTCTCTTTTTTTTTTCTTACTTTTCCTTCAATCCCTTCACACACACATACACGACAACAATAGTCCGAGCTTGATATGCCTGTACTTTCTGCTGCTTCGGCTACTGCGGCTGCCACTCCAATCACCACCACCAGCACAGCTACCACGTTACTAACACCTACCGTACACTTGAAAACGCCCTCATTCGCAGCACAAGAACGTTCACGCGATATTCGGCGATTATTCAAGGGCAAGCGCATCGTCTTATGTCAAGACACTGAACCTGCTGGTGTTCTAAAAACGGTGGCTGCTATGGAACACTATCTCTCGACGCACAACAAAGAAAACACCATCTTCATCCACATCTGCACCCGCGCCAGCATTCCACGACCCCTCGACTCCATCCCTGACCTCGTCCGCCAAATTAACCAGCTCTACGGCACGCCAGAATCTGTGCCTATCCATTTCTATCATCAGGACATGGACACCGACGAATACGACGCGTTGTTACTGGCTGCCGATGCAGCGCTAATTATGGGCATGCATCCACACGCTTCAATTGCTGCACAAACATACATTGCCAGACAACAGCAGTCCCTCAGTAATACGACGCCATCATTGATCGTTTCCCACGGATCTCCTCTACAGGGCCAACATATCACAGCAGATCAATCCAGTCCCAGTGCCTTGGCAGCGGCATTGGAAAGTGCACTCGATAGCGATAAGCAACAGCCACAACAACAACATGCAGTATCAAAGCAACAAAAACCCAAATTCCTTGAAACCTTGTCAAAGAAGCGACAGCAACAACAGAAATTGACGGCAAAACTGAATCCGACCCAAGTTGGCGAAGCATGTCGCAATGCACGACGGCGCCTGTTTTTGTTCGACTATGATGTAAGTTTCTGAGACTCATTTTTAATAATCTCATGAATGAGTGCGGTGATGATAAGGAACACGTATGCTGACGCGATTTCCTTATTTGGTTTAGGGTACTCTTTCGCCGATTGTTGCAAACCCTGATGACGCCAAACCTACACGGGCCCTACTGCGGTATTTGCAAGCATTGTGCAATGACCCTCGCAACGTGGTATGGATTGTTTCGGGCCGTGACCAAGCGACCTTGGATTCCTGGATTAGCAGCACCGTGCATGGCATTGGTCTGAGCGCCGAGCATGGTTCGTTTATGAAGTTACCTGGCGAATCATCATGGGTCGACATGTTGGCTCAAGCAGACATGAGCTGGAAATCACGCGCCTTGGCTATCTTTGAATCCTACACAGCACGCACACCGGGAACGGTTGTGGAACAAAAGAAATCATCGATTACGTGGCATTATCGCAATGCGCATGACGCTGACCTTGCTTTAAAACAATGCGAAGCTTGCTTTGAAGAATTACAAAAGATTCCTGGCGGCGGCGTCGATATTATGCGCGGTAAAATGAACCTTGAGGTTCGGTCTTTACTCGTCAACAAGGGTAATGTCGTCCAACGGATCCAACAAAGTGTCGGTGCTGACTTTGTTCTATGCGCTGGTGATGATCGTACCGATGAAGACATGTTCCGTGCCCTCGAGGACGAGCCCGCTTATTGTGTCCTGATAGGTCCTCAAGATAAGGAAACCGATGCCAAATACTGTGCCGAGACAAGTGAACAATTTGTTTCTTGTGTTGGACAGCTTGCCAATGTATCGTCTACCCATAGTGCATTATAAATCTTTCATTCTTTTGATAAGCATACACTTCCACTTATTATATACTCCCTCTGCATACTAAATTAATATTCCCCGACCTATCATCACTTGCTATCACTCATCATATCTATTTTGTACAGTTTATTCGTCCATTTTTTATTTTTTCTCAACTTTCGCATCTTATTTCTTGTACCTGATAACCCGCATACAACACACACACAAAAAGAACAGTTTCAGATCATCTCATGTTAGATGTTATCTACAAATTTTTTATGTAATAAATCCCATGTACACATTAGTCTCTATACAAAGTGGAAGTTTAATGAATGTTTAGCGAGTAATTAAGTCAAGATCTCTACGCCGTCTTCAGTGACGAGCAAGGTGTGTTCAAATTGAGCAGATCTTTTGCCGTCTGCAGTGGTTGCCGTCCATTGATCGTCCCTGTGAAAAGTAATCATGGTATTTAGGATAAAACATTCAATATCTAAATGCTTGTTACTTTTCTAACTTCGATTTAAGCCTACCAGAGCACATCCTTCCATGTTCCTTCATTGATCATTGGCTCTATGGTAAACTTTTGCAGGGAAGAATGTTAGCTAAATCAATACAAGCATAAGCAGGAGATTACCGCAGTCTATAAGGAAACTCGATGATTCTACTTACTACATGGCCAGGCTTGCATACACCAATTGCTTTGTTGTTGGCATAGTGAGGTACGTTTGGAGCACAATGGAACAGCTGATTGATACCGTGACCACAGAAGGTACGAACAACTGAGAGTCCATTTGCGGTAGCATGGGTCTCAATAATCTTGCCAAAATCACGATATTTCATGCCGGGCTTAACAGCATCAATGGCCTTTTGCAAACATTCGCGAGCCACCTTGACCAGCTTCTGGCCCTTTTCATCCACATTTCCAACGAGATAACTTTCGTTAAGGTCGCCATGGAATCCACCGAGATAGCAAGTGACATCAATGTTGACAATATCACCGTCTTGGAGTGGACGCTTGTCAGGAATACCGTGGCAGATAACTTTTTTAATTGATTACATAAAAAGGTGAGTTGTCTATTGAACGTTTACTGGCTTTACTCTTGTTTGTCAGCATGTAATCTCACCTTCATTAACAGATCTATGTCGAAATAGGACCATGTGGTCAGATAAAAAACAACAGAGTACTGTCCCATCTCTCTCACTAGCCCTAAATTTATCTTCCTTTCTCGGGTATGGTAATAAATATGGTGCTTACGTGCAGACAGATTTGGGGAAATTGTAGTAGTTCAATGGGGACGGGTATGCGCCACGCTCGATAGTAGCTTCATGAACAATGCGGTCTACATATCCAACACAAATATGTTTAGTTTCCCATTCTCCCTTTTGATATACTCGATCTTCAGAAACAAATTTGCTTCTCTCTCCTACCAATTTCATCAGTGGTAATGCCCGGACGAATGGCTGCTGCACCAATATCCAGCACCTCGCGTGCAATCTTGCATACTTTTCGCATGCCTTCGATTTCCTTTTCATTCAAGCACTTGATAGTCGAGCTTGCTCGTACGTTTTGTTCAGAGACAGGGATACCTAAATTGATTGTAATAGGGGTATGTTAAAAGATAGAACCACACTCTCTCTTTATCCAAAGTATTATGTTGAACAATGAAATAATTGGTTACCCGTGACAGCATAATCAGCTAATTGATCGCATGTAAAAAAAGGTTAATTATCCACAATCATTTACTTCGATACTACTTGTTTTCAGCTCGCCATCTTTGCTTACGCTTAGCAATTTCACCAGGAACCTCACGCTTTGGAGAAAGCGGGTATACCGGGCGCAAGGGACCCGTGAACTTGTAGTTGGGGAAAGGGTTGTGTGGTTCACCTAATATACGACATGTATGCGTTATGTTTATATCCAGTCAGATAAATTTACCGAGGTAGAAGGGACTCTTACTCTCAATTTTGGCCTTGTGAACAGCCTTATGTGAGCCCTGTTTGGACAGATAATTAGGTCAAAAAAATCTGTTAGCTCTAAAACTGCCTAGTAGTTCAGCTATTTCTTTGCATGTGTTCCTGGGTTTTTCCTATTTAGAATAGAGAAACGTTACCCAGTTCTTCTTGAAGCAATCTTGTGAGCAGAAGAATGAACCTTCAATTTTCAGTTTAATACAGGTGGGACATTGAAGCTTGGCAGGTTGTCCACAGCCTAGCGATTGACACACTTTGCCTTCCGTTGATGCCATTTCGTTATGTATAAAAGTTCAGAAAAAGGGTTCAAGAGACACAGAAAGGGTTAAGTAGAGAGTGGAGTTCAAATAAGTGGCTTGGTGTTCAGCATACGGTCTACAGTCGAGGGAAATTGACGCGGACCTTCGGGCTCCTGCCTGTCTCTCTCTCTCTCTCATTTTTGCATAAAAGTAGCATGGCAAGCAGTAGTAGTAGCAGTCGACAACGCATTGTGAAATCTATGCAAGGCATAAGCCTTGTTAAAGTACAAGGGCGAACGTACCGTGTACCCACCTCTTCTCTTGACAATAACCGACAACAGTCGGTTGGCTTGGAAACCAGTAAGCACGTCATGACCATCGCTGTTTTCCACACTGTTTATGAATATTAAAAACACCCCGTTTCTGTACAGAAAATTTAGATCTGCCTTCTTCAGCAAGCAGCTCGGATGAAGAAGAGGGAGGGACCATATACACCGAAGAAATTTTGACCATTCACCATCCCGTCCATCCAAAATTTCACGGCATTCTTATCGGCAAAGGTGAACATTTTTTTCTAAGCGCCCGCACGTATATAAAGTAAATGCAGCCAAAGGGAACTATGTTTACTGAAAATATGCAACAAATTTAAGGTGGCTCGACACTGAAAAAACTGCGCATCGAAACGGGAACACGTATCGATATTACCAAGGGCAAAGATTATGCATTAATCAAGGGCACGCAGGAAAAAATTGATAAAGCGACACAAGCGATCGAGCAAGTCATTCAACAAGCCTACGACAAGGCCCGACTGACCCATTTCTTGTCGCTACCGGTCACAACTGCCTATACCACACGCAAACTTGAAGAGTTTCATTCTTCGATCTTGTCTTCCACGTTTAAATGCGATGGCATGGATCCATCCATCCTTGTCTTGCCAGCCAATCTCCACATCACCTTGGGCGTGTTCAAGCTGCTACATCAGACCGAGATTGAACGTGCGGTCCGGTTCTTGAAAGAAGAGTGTCCCAAAATAGTCCGTGAGGCGATGGCGGATCAAGATCGCGCGCTCAGTGTCCGTTTGCGTAACCTGGCGATTATGCAGTCGAATCCAAGTGAGTGCTGCTTTAGTTTTTGAGATTGTGCTGCGCCCAGACGAGTGGAGCGGAACGAATATACTCATCGTTTTCCCGTGTTGTATACACTTAACATTGCAGCACAAGCACATGTCTTGTATATCGAGCCGAATGAAGACAAGGAAGACACACCGTTGAAAAAGCTATGCCGTAAGTAGTAGCAGTAGCAGTAGCAGTAGTATTTAGTGGAGTGAAGGTCGTTGCTGTTGTCTTATCTGATCCTAGATATGCAAACACATAGACACATATCTCCCATCAACGCGCTCACTTACGTTCCGCTCCTCTTTACTCACGGTTACTTTTTTTTCTTTTGATGTATATGACACAAACTAGAGACATTGATTGACAAGATGGTCCAAGCGGGTTTAATGGTGCCTGATGACCGGCCGCTTAAGGCAAGTGTTCCTGGATTCTCTGTCTTGTTCTCTCCCAAAAATTTTTTTTGCGGTTCCCCTAAACCCTGGTCTGTAATTGGAAATTTGCTACTGACACATCCATCATATACATGTAGACACATGTCACGTTGATCAATACAGCCAACCGATCAACTTCAGATGAAAGTGGCAGCAACAACAAGCGCCGGCCGTTTGATGCACGACCTATTCTCAAGGAATACCCTCATTTGGATTTAGGTTTGGTGCAGCTTGATAAGTTGCATTTGATGAAGATGGGACGAAGAGGACCGGGAAAAACATATATTAGCGAAGGGTCGATATCCATTGAACCGTAAATTTACGATGCGGGCGGGAAAGGTCAAAGAAGGAAAGGTGCCACTGGTAGCACAAAACGTAATAATTATGGGTCCTCGATTGCGGAGTAGTGGGAGGGGCGTAAACAATACTTCTGTTGCACAGCACTTGTGTAACTCGAAGAAAAAAGTGGAACGGGCCAAATTGTTGGAAACGCAACATGAACCATCATGCTAAGAGCATACTTACACTAATAGTATGTATATAATATATGTATATAAAGAAGCGTTATATAATGTGAAATATATGTAGAATATGAGATAATGAAAAGAGAAGAAGAAAGGTATAAAGATACAACATATGCAGAGAGGGAGAGGAAGAGAGAAGGAGAATAGGTATAGACAAATGGGACGGGATGGGATGATGGTGTTGTTTATGTGGGAGAGGGTGTAAATGGGGTAGAGGGGTTAGTTAGTGAAGCATAGAAAACAACAAGATCCTTGTTCCAGCAATATATATGATAAGTTCCATAAGGTAGAAGAAAAGAAAAACATGCAAGATGATGTGCCCCAGTACAGCCGACAGCGGGCTAGTAGCAGTAGCAGTAGCAGCAGCAGTAATAGTAGTAGTAGTAGTGGTACTGTAGTAGCGGTTAGCAGCTGGTAATGCTATTACTGATATGGCCGTTATTAGACGGATGAATAAGGCGATAAAAGGAGACAGATATGGATGAATGTAAGTGTACTAGTACCATATAGAAACAAAAGAGACCGTAGAGGAAGCTCATCTTTCTTCACCCGTCCCTTCTGAATGGATCATGAGCAGCCGCCATATGGGAACCCATGTCTGTCGAAAGATCCAAGGGATGCCCTGAAGGAATCAGAGCCGCAGCTGCTGCTTGTTGCTGTTGCTGCTGACGAGAATCCATGCCCATATCACCACCACGCACTCGATACATTGTCAAGAGAGACTCCAATTCCTGAATCCGTTGCTGATAATCGCCCAGTCGTTCATGTAAAGCGCGGATGTGATCGACACTCTTACGTAAGATGGTGCCCTTGTTGGCCTTGGATGCATCTCGATCGGGTAGCAGTGTTGCAAGTTCGGTGATTCGCTCATTTATATTGTCCCTCCGTCGTCGTTCCACTGCGTTGTGTGATTCACGTCGTCGTCGCTTCTTCTCGAATAACTGCTGCATGCTGGTGTAGATAGATTGGGAGAGGTAGGAAGATACATACATAGCAGCATAGTAGAATAAAATTGTAAATGAGCCTGCTTCTCACGTGTATTGTCTAAATGGTTTAATATGTGCACACACCATCACAACATCAACCCTTACCTCTTCCTCTGCACCGCCTCCCCCCCAAAAAAAAACAATGATCTTCTTCTTCATCACCATCTTCTTTCACCATCCCCCTTCCCCCAAAACTCCCTTCCTATTCAGTATTAAGAACACACATTGGCGGTTCAATTACCAATCCACACCATTTTCTATCGCTGCTATTTCTCTCTCACAACTAGAACAACCGCACCACACATGGCATCACATCTTATTCCTTTTAGTGCGCTTTTGCACCTAGGAGTACGAAAAAGTAAAGGGCCAAAGACACAAACACTCACTTTCTCTGCTGCATTTCTTCATCAAAGCTGCCTGCACTCGTTGGTGACACCATCGAAGCGTCTGACTGTTTCCCTGTGAATGAATGATCGACAACGGCAGTATTGCCTGTGGCTGCGCCAGACGTTGCCACGGACCATGGATCAGCTGCTGTTGGTTGTTGCTGCTGATGCTGTCCCTGAGACGAATAATACATGTCTTTCCTCATTGACGGTGATCCTGACGGTGCTTGCTGTGATCGTGAACCTGACGAGGTGGCTGCAACTGCTGCGGCAGCGGCTGCTGCTGCCGCCGCTGCTGCTGCCGCTGAGGGTTGTTGGTTAAATGTAGGCGTTGGTGTGCTATACGGTGGATGTTGTAATGCATATTGCTGACGACTCGTGGATGCCGAAGAAGACGATGTATATGGTTTCGGAGAGGCAGGTGCGTTTGTATTCAAAGGCATCATGGATTGCTGCTGTTGATGCATTTTCTGGTGGTTTGGATGTGGCGGTGAATCAAGTGAAGACGTCGTGAGCGGCGAAGGAAACGCTTTTTGATCATTGCCGATAGCGGCAGCTGCAGCTGCTACAGCATTTGGGTCGTTTTGCGACTGTGGGTGCGAGTGCTGCTGGTGGTGGTGGTGCTGCTGCTGCTGTTGCTGTTGAGGTTGTTGTTGCTGCTGCTGCTGCTGCTGTCTCTGCTGGGCATTAAAAGACGGATGCTGAAATTGTACATTGTACATGTCGATCTAATAAAAGGAGAAAAAGTACGAAGCCGAAAGCGACGATTTGGAGGACTAGGTAAGGAGCAGTGAAAAGGCGGTAAAAGAGGCCAAGCAATAGAAAGAAGAGAAGAGCGAAAGAAGGAAAGGGAAAAGAGAGAGGGAGGGAAAAGAAGAAGAAAAAAATATGACGTAGAGATACACACAGACATGGCCTCTCTCTCTCTCTCTCGCTCGCTCGTAGAGAGCATGAGAACAGTGGGTTCGACCTTGTGACACCGGGTCACGGGCGTCAAATGGGTGTGTGTGTGTGTGTGTGTGTGTGTGTTGTTGCACGTAGTAGCAGGTCTATGTTCTGTGTGTGGCTCTGCACCACTCATTTGTTCCTCAACTGCTTCCCATGCGCTCCCTGAAATAGCAAAAAGCAGTGTTTGTGCCCCATTTTGTGTGTTTATCCTCTTACTCTTTCTCACTCTGTTCACTCTCGCTGTTGTGCAGAGTACTTGTATCAAGTGGCAGGCAGCAGCAGCTTCAAATGAGAGACATAATGGCACATCTTAGCGGTTACGCGCTTGTTGTATTACATATCGCCAGCCTAATAACCTTCCCTCCTCCCAAGGCACTCATACTGATATACTGTTATTGTAGACGGCGGGCTTTTGCAGGTGCAGGGTCCTGATGCATCAGCAGATATGAAATGAATTGTTATGCATGAAGAGCTGGTGCGTGCAAGTATGAGTAGTGTGCTGGCCCCTGCTTGCTTCGTTAACAAAAAGCGCTCTCCGGCCCTTGCGCGCATGGAAAGTGCGTAGAAACGCACACTCCCCCATCCCCCAAAAAAAGAAAGAGTCAATAGTGTGTACTCTGTTTCTATTTAATGCTCGCTAATAAAAGAAAAGAGAGCGTGCTATGCATAGTGCGTGTTCTTTACCTCGCACAGCTCGGGAAAACTAGGCTCTTTGCAGGGTGATACACAATGTACATATCGGGAGAAAAGTAACCAACCCGCAGTAGTGCGATAGTGGTGTTGCTGGTTCCAGTTTCAATCGCAATAGTAAACACAATAACATGATGTTTGACTGACGACCTAGCAGTAGTCACCTCGTTAGCAGCCAAGTAGTGTGATGAGGCAAGAATTATGTCTGTATTTAACGTCGTTATATTATATTATTAGGTTCTTTGTATTTTTGTAATCTATAGGGTACCCAAACTTTTTTTTGCTGTGTTCTACATGACGATAAAAGCAGGAGTTGCTGCTGATAAATAGCGATGGTGATAGTGATAGTGGTGATGATGGTGTTGTTTGTTGTGATAAAATGAATACAAGGAAAATAGAGGAGGAGGAGGAAGTAGAAAACTAATGTAAATTGGATGAAGATCTAATGATGCTGCTACCAAGTAATAATTGGTTGAATGAATCATGCTGCCGAGCAAAAGCCAAAGACTTCGCGCTGGCCAACAAAGCTCACAGCAGCAAGGTAATGATACCAAATACCGCCGCAAACAAATAGATGCCATAGTTGGTGAGAGTGACCGAGATTATCAAACTTGCCAGGCCAGAAAGCTTCGGGCCATTGGTTTCCATAGACAACCACGCCAAGGAGGTAGCATGCGATCGATTTCATTACCGGCGATAACCATGCGTTCATTGGTTCTGGTCCGTAGGTTGCATACAGATGTCCCACAGGAAATGCTGCCGACGCCGCGAGCGTGATGAAGAACGTTATTCTCAACCATTTCATTTCTAGACAATCAAGGGGAAATCAGCATCATGTATAGCTTAAGCACACGGAAAACAGCAACAATCAAAAATTTACCACGCTTTTCAAACCAGTCCATGAATGGGATGATCGTGCCGATCACGGCCAAGGTGCCGGTGCCAAGCATGTAAGTATTACGCCACATGTCGTGGCAGTAGAATCCATAGTACTCGGTCAAGACCACACTGGCACAGATGAGTACAGAGATTCCAACGTAATCCAGGCAGGCGACACGCTTAAAGATTGCATAGTCGTTGATTCCAGACAAGGTGTGCCACACTGTCGAGCACACGAGGCATTTGCACGCGGCGCAGAAGAACACGGCAAAGATAACTCGGTCGATCAGCGGCGCTTCCGAAAGTAAGGGCGAGTAGAAGAGCTCGTAGATGCCAATGCACAGGAAGACAACAAAGCCAATCAGATGGGTGTAAATGTTGCCTGTCTCGTTATGCAGGTACGAAAGGGAGTGCCAGCATTGTGCAGGTGTCGATAAGAATCGGTAGCCCGTGAGGATATGCTACATACATGGATTGACGTGCATGATCAGAACAATTGTTCAAGAGCTAATCTTTTGTACTCGGCTACGAGTGCTAACCAAGAAGCAATTCCATACCTGATTGTTTCTCCAAGGAACAGGCAATTCTTCATACAGCAAAAGCTCCATGGCACCTTTCGTCATGGCATCCTTCAGGTGATCCATTTGCTCGCTTGCACGGCCAGCTACCTTGTGGATCTTTTCATGGACCTTGCTACCGACCTCCATGGCTCGTTCAATCGTATCCGAAACTCGGCTGTCGACTTCTTCAATCTTGGACATCATGGCATCGATGGTGTCATCCAGCGTGGTTTCGAAATAATAATCGTCGGCCGAGCCTACAAGGGTAATTTCCAACTCGCGGTATTTTTCGGACAAGTCGGCCAGCGATTGTTCCAGTGTCTGTGCCATGTACGATCGCAACATGGCTTGTTGCTGCAACATGTTGTTCTTATCGGCAAATGAACAAGCCTTCCAACGATGGTGCCATTCCTGCTCGAGCCTCTCCAGAACCTCATAAGCTCGTTTTAATTTGGTCCGGCTGTACTCTTGCAACAAACGCTTGCTGTCATTGTTGACGGAATGCTCAAACTGTGAGAGTCTATACTTGAACTTTTGCAGTAAAGGAGCAAGCTGTTCTCGGAAAAAGGTGTCAATGTCAAGGGTATCGTCGCATGCTGCAGCAGCAGTTGTGCTGCTGTTGATGGTGAGCAGGTTCTCCATTGTGCGTCGCTAAGTTAGTGTTGTTGGTTCCGTTTTAGCCGTCGTTGAAGGTTGGCGCAAAAGCACAGGTTGGATGAATAGGTGGAGGGTGGGGAGGGGGAATATGCAAAGACAAAGCAGCCGAGGAGTTGGAGTTCTTTTCTGCTGCTTGGATATGTCTGCTAATAGAAAGGAAGGACGACGAAGGAAAGAAAGAGAGAGAGAGAGAGAAAGTCAGTGGGTGTATCACATACATAAAATTCTCGAGTCAAAAATTGGGGATATACAGCATGCCCTCGCTCGCCCAAGCTGAATGCTGAGTTTGTACGTACACTTTTTGTTTGTTTTTTATGGCATGCGGTGGGATGATACAAATGCAAAGGAGGGGCAGTGTGTTTGGCAGAAGGAAAGGGGGATAAGAGCTCTCTCCAAAAAGGTAATGAGCCATCCACCACACGTTTCGAACTCGCAAGTTTCACCTGTCATTCTTCTTTTTTTCTTCTCTCTTGTCCTCGTGGTTCCCCATTGGCCCTGAACTGCCAGAGCCCTGCCTGGGTCGTATTTATGGCTTGTCCTTCAGGGTCATCGGAACTCCACAAGATTTCTAGTACCGTTTTCGTGCTCCATGTGAGCCCCTCAGAGCAAGGCTATTTCGTCCAACCAAACAACAAAGTCAGATCCTGACGCTTCTTGATCTTCACTCTCTTTCTTGAAAAACAGGCTTTCACATGCTAAAACGGCATCAGGATGGGAACAATAAAGAATGTGGGAGCATTGTTGTTTGACGTCGTGGCAGCACATCGCTTTTTCTGACCCAGTCATATCTTGTGTATATGCCACACACTCTACAGTAATGTAACAGAGTTTCCTGCTTCTTGCTGTTTGGAGAATAGGGAGGCATCACGTACCGACCAGCACGCCCATCCCATGATACAGCGCTGTTGCTGATCTTGAGCTACAAACAGCTGCTGTCTAAAGTAACCGAACGATTTGAATTTACTTATGATGCTGATGCCGTTGTTGCATGAATTATACGTAAACTTAGGATAAGAATATTTCTAAATCGGGTTGGAAGATATATGCTATGTATCTCTTGATCTTGCAACTGTTGTATAATCCTCTATTGATAAACGAATGCCACGGCTCCATTTTGTGGTGTACACGAATCAGAAATGCGCTTTATTTTTTAGTTTGGTTTTCGTCATGGAAGTCTATGGTCCTTGCGCTAAATGACCATTTTTGAACGAGGTTCTGATATGATATCACTTACACGACGTATTATAGAATGTTAATCCGTATATACATAACATACATTGGATGAAGTCTGCCTAGAGATTGCAAATAATGTTTTCTCTTGTGTAGTTAGCATCCAGTGACATGTATTTATGCCTGAAAGACAACCCTGCTCGTCGTCAAAATGCAAGGTCAAACCATTCAAAGTCGCCAAACATCTAGTTACACAGTGCTAGCGAAGACCTTTTAATATCATAGTGTGATTGCCGGGTAAGCGTCATCTCACTACAGTTTGCTCGTTTCAGTTCGCTTTTCTAATATTTACGACCCTACATGTATCATAGCTACAAATATGACAATGCTGTGTTATACCTAAAAGCCATGCTATTTAGGTTTAGTAGAGACCAGGAGAGTGGTAATATTTTGATAATCACCTTATTGGCTTTCCAAGAAGCTTTTCTCATTGAGGGAAACATGTCTTATGGTGCTGATAAGAAGTATTAAACGTATACAAGTGCAGCCATTGTTTATGTGTTTTGGTTTTGCCCAAAGAAATTCAGCACACAAACGTTTCGGCAGTAAAGGATCCAATGACTTGAAGTGGATATATATAACCTTGCTGAGCAAGCCCATATAAAAGAACGTTTCGAAACGAGATGACTCGTCTGTTGTTGCACAGCAGTAATAGCACGATTTATTATTATTATCCCATTGTATCTATATGCTACTATCATATAAAATTTTATAGTATTACTGTACTTGTTTATCTGCTAATGCCATTGAGTCTACTTGTGTCGTATATCAACGCTTGAACTCTTGATAGATCGGAGCAACAGTGCGACCAAACATTTCTCTTGGCGTGTGCTAGTTGTTGTGCGATCATACACAGGGGAAAAACGGAAGCCGCACTGGTGAATATTTTAATACTGCTGCTTGTTAGTGCCCAACCGGTATATACACTGTTTCCCCTTCGAATAAGTGAATAATAAGCAGCGATCAAACGATTGCTCGTCCCTGGCTTTTCAAAACAGTTTGTGGTGAAAAGCGAATGAATTGGGTGCCATGTACTGTATAGTATGTTTCTTGCGCTATGACCACTCCACATACGAAACTTGCTTTTCCTTCTTGTCTCTCCTTCCCTAAAAGGTTGGTGTCACCCTAATTGAATCCCAAGCGATGCTAAACGAAAGTGAAAGAGCTTTTCTGTGTAAACTTTTTAAAAAAATTACAAGATGCGCCTCTCTCATGGCATACCTTCTTATATCCAGTGAAAATTGACAGCAGCCGGTTTGAATCATCAAAGCGTGAGCGCGTTTGTGAACATTTTATGCGCTGCGCACAGTAGAAAAAGTAGATAGCCTAAGCCGGTTTATCGCACCTCGCTTTAATCGTCGCCTTCATCGTCATTCTCAACGTTTTTTTAGGCTTGATATATACGTTATCATTAAAATTTTCTAGGCATTTTCTTCTGAATTTGCTGGTAAAAAATTTCACCGTTATCATTGGCCCGCATTAGTGAAGAAGCGTAAATCATGCCTGAAAAGACGGTTCTGCGAAATTGGTATGCTGTTGCTGAATACGTTCTTCGTGAGTATCATCATCTTGTTTCAAAGATCTAACTGTGCATTTCCATTGGAAACCATCATAAAAACGCAAGGACCAAACAGATAACAGGTACAGATAAAAAGTATAGTACGAAAAGTAGTCAAAATATGACAATTGCCGAAAAAGAAAATGCAGCAGGAGCGATTCTGTACCACTCATTTTATTACGTACGTTGCTCTTCTCCCTTCCCGAACTCTCATTTGCTCCTCGTCATTAAGCAACAAACACATAATGGAGCACTGCTTGCAGCGTTCCTTGAAGCGCACACATACAGAAGACTACGATTTGGATGAAGAGCCAGTCAAGCGATACAAAATGGAGTCTATTCCGTATGTTTTTTAATATTTTGAGATCGCATACTTGCTTGCAGCTGCTGTTGCAGGTTGTAGTAGTGTTTATTGGATAACTTGATCGATCGTTTGCTAAATCATGAAACAATGGTTTCCTGTCAAATTGTCAACAGTTCCCCTATTCTTTACCCAAGCTATTCGGCTGCCCAAGCATTACCAAGTCCAGATCACACTGTGGATGAACCAACAGCAACAACGACTGCAACTCACCACGGCGTTGTGGATCATCCCATTCTGAAATCATTCACAATAACGACAAAACGGAATAAGCAATACAACCAAATCAATGAATTGTTGCACACAGTACACGTCATGCGATTTGGCAATCCTGAATCACGAGAAAGTTGGTGGGACCGCAGAGAAGAAGAAGGAGGACGACAGCAAGAAGGACAGGAACAACAAGAAGACGTACAAATGGGCGATTACTTGTCACCTTCGGAAGCTTCCACGGCGTATGAATCTGTGAATGCAACATTACGACAAGCATTTTTGCAACGACATAATCATGGTCATGGATAAGAACAACCAGAGTGGTCAGTGTACCATCATTATGATCATCATCAACGTCATCGTCGTCACCTTTAGCTAAGGACATCCAACCATCCCAAATTTTAAAAACAACAACCATATCGCAACATAAGGATGGATACGCTTTCACCACTACTGTTACTATTTCTACCAACAGCATTAGCCTCAACTAGCTCTCTGTCGTCTCATGATATACCTTTACACATCATCTCCTTTCCTCTCCCCCTTTACATCAGTACCTCTTCCCTTTCAATATTTGCTCATATCAACACCAAACTCATTGCATTTTCATCTTTCAAAATCAACCATGTTAAACATTCGCTGTACAGAAGATTATTGTCACTATCCCTCTTTCACTACATTGCAAGAACGCAGACATCGTCCATCCGACTAATTGTGGCTTCATAGTATATATCAATTTTTATAAGCACTTTCGCTATGTACCCGCAATATGCTGTGCACTTGTTTGATTCTTATTGACTGCCGGTTGATTTCGAAAGATTCATAATTAGAGGTTACGTGCGTTTGCAAATTGAAATGCACGCACCTCAAGATGGACCAACCCCATAACCATTACTGTGTCACACAACAATATGCATACAACAGCTAACGCAAACATGTGTAGCAGCGCACAGATCGAGTGAAAAGATTATCGAATATGTGTTTCACTTTACAGCTGTCATTAATGATCGATTATCATCAGAGCATTTTAGTTTTGTATGTTTTTACAGTTTTGTGATATGGGAACACATCAAGTAGTGTGATACCTCTCTCTGCTGCTATGGATCTCATCAATTGCATATCATGCAGCATTACTGCAAGAAGCCATGAAAATGGTTAATTACAGCACAATAACAGTGGTAAAATGCTCTTATTCTTTGAATGTACAAAACTAATATCACTAGAGGTTTCAGTTGATGCGTCTCTTATGCGACTTCCAAAGTTCATCACGTAGCAAATTCTTCTGCAGTTTACCTAGATGCATTGTTTGTTTAGTGCTTACAGTGATCAGATGACGTTAATCAGCAGATCTAATATTTGACGTACCAGTTCTATATCATAGAAATCAAAGTAATTAGTCTTCTCATCTTTACATATGCCTTTGTCATAAACTATTGCTGTCATAATTAAGGAAGACATACCCTGATTTTGGAATACTTTTAACAAGCATGACCTTTGAGGGGCATTTGTAGCCAGCCAGTCTCTCGCGACAGTGCGCAATGATCTCTTCCACAGTGATAGTGTGGCCTTCTTTGACAACGACATAAGCAACCGGCCGCTCACCCCATTTATCATCTGGTCCAGCTACGACGGCACTATGAGCAAGTTAGCAGAGGTTTTTAAGCTTTTTTGAATTATGACACGTAATAGGTTTTGTATGTTAAGTGTTGAAGTTACCATTCTAGCACTTTTTCCAATGATCCAATCACATTTTCTAACTCAATCGAGCTAATGTTCTCGCCACCAGAGATAATTACGTCTTTAGCACGGTCGACGATTTCTATTGCACCATCCGGATAAATCACAGCCAAGTCGCCTGTCCAAAAGTATCCCTCTCTAAAGGCCTTTTTGGTCGCTTCCGGATTGTTAAAGTAGCCTCGCATGGTTGTGTTTCCCACCAAACACAGCTCGCCGATTTGCATACCATCCGGTTTTATATCCTTGGCCGTTTTCTGATCCAGCACACGCACTTGATCCAGGGAAAGAATATTGTAGCCTTGACGCGAAAACAAATCGAGATGCTTTTCCTTTGGGTGTTGTGAAAGTGCTCCATCGTCATAACTGAGGATCGCCGGTCCCGTCACTTCAGTTAGTCCATACACTTGGGTCACATGAACATTCAGACTGTTGAGTCTCCGGACCAGTTTGTTTGGAAGCGTCGAGCCGCCGCTAAAGCTGTGGACAACATGATTGAGTCGGACAGCATCCTTATGATGACACAGTTCGTTTTGTACTGTTGGTGCAGCGCAATAGTGTGTGATTCCTTGTTCCTTGATTAGCTTCCATACGTATCCATAATCGATCTTGTTAAGCATATATTGTGTGGCTATATGTGTTTGTGTTGTTAATAAATATGAGGATAAGCGCAATATTTCAACAGCTCATCTCACTCATCGTGATTGTTCACTTCATGTGCCTCCGTGACCCTCAACGCATAATTCTCTTTATTATGTCTCCCGTTATTCACACTTACCTCCTACAGCCATCAAGGCAAAAGGAAAATCCCACCCGTTGCAATGAAATAACGGAAGTGTCCACAGATATTTAGAGCTATGTGTGATCTGAGCTTGTATACACATGGTCATTGCTAGCATATAAATGCTACGGTACGAGATCATCGCGCCCTTTGGTTTGCCTGTTGAGCCCGAAGTATAGTTTATCGTCATTATTGCATTTTCATCCGTTGTCAGCGGCAAGTCTTTCCACATGAGCTTGGTTTCTGTTTCTTGCAAGAGCCGTTCGTACGGGCAAAGCGGGTCGCCACGGTTCTGATAGTCAGCGATATGGATTAGCTTGGTGGAAGCCCTAACCGTGGTGGATACACGCGGTAAAATCTCGTCCTGTACAAGCAGTATCGATGCTCCAGAGTCCTGCACCACGTATTCAATTTCCGGTGGAGCCAATCGAGTATTGATGGGGACTAGTACGCCACCTGCAGCTGGAATAGCAAAAGTGGCCTCCAAAAATGCGGGTACATTTTGGCACAATACCGCTACTCTGTCCCCAGGGCGTACGTGGAATGCATGAATAAGGAGGTTGGCAAGTCGTAGCACTCGGTCTGCTAAAGTTTCATAGCTGAACGACCGATCGCCGTGTATAACGGCAGTCTTGTCCCGGTATATCATGGCGCTTCGCAGTAGAAACCGAACTGGATCAAGCGGTGTGTAATATGGCATCTGTTCTGGCTTACGATTGACTTGATCTAATCGTATCAAGCACATATGCATAATGAGTGCAAGATTACGTGAAAAACGCAAAAAAGAGATGGATGAGTACAGCTGTTTCTTTCTTCGCATAGTTGCTTTCTGCTATGACAGTGGTGGAAATTATGAAGAAGATGTTGCTCTTTGTGTACTTTTTCCTAAGCAGTTAATGAGAGAATGACGATGTATTGACCACTTACACTTTTCGAAACCAGTCAGATGGCCGGCGATGTTTCGTATTCTTTCTTGCGCTATTGCTGCCATCTCAATGTACTAAGCTGATGGAAGGAGAAAAGAAAAAAAAGGTTCCTGCACCAATGCGCCAGCAGAAACACATCTTTTAAATAGTCTAATTCCACCACTGCATGGGACCTTGCTTCAGCCCACGCTTTCCCCCTTTTTTGAGCCTTTAGGCGAACGATGACTACAGCAAGAAACATCATCATTTTTAGATTACCTCATGGTGTTTTTTACATTTTATCACTAGTAGAGCATTATTATTTTATCAATCAACTAAAATTAAAAATAATAAAAGTGCCGTTCGCCACTTAGTCTTCTACGACTACTTAATAAGATGTTGATCTAAGTATAAGTATCTCTTAGAACTCTATCTTGTTTGTTTTGAAAGATTGATACCCCTGATGAAACGGCTTTTTGAAAGTTTTGGTACTGTAGCTTGATATTACAGCAGTGATTCCGAAAGTCACTGCAGCTGCATATCTCATCAACCAGTCAGATTATCCATACAGTACTAAACTCAAAGTACCTGCTACTTTTTATACAAGTATTGGGAGAACGATTGTGCCTGTACCATAACATATCAGCCTGACTATGAATGACAGCTGCATTTCCAGTATGTGTCTTATTGTATGTATGCATATGCAGTATGTACATCTTTCAGTACTGTGACTTGTTATATGATACGCTGCTTTATGCAGGAATAGCAGTGGAAAGTAAGAATAGTTAAACGTTCATGCATATGCTGGCTATCAGAGTGGCGTGTACACTAGTGCTATCAAGCCTGAAAAGACGATTAATCAGAACACATAATTGTATTTCACATTTACGTATGGCTCACCCACCAAAAAGAAAAAGGCACACAAACTATATATGTGGGAACCGGGTGTGGTCTTTATGGTTTATAGTTGGGGTATCGACTCATCTTCAGAGAGAAAATGTCGTAAGCGCGTTTGTTTTGATGTTGTACCACCTTACTGCAGGATGGAAATTCAATCGATACAATGCGTAGTACGTAGGGGAAACAGAACTCGGCCCACAGACTTCCATCAGTCAGTGTAACTTTCATTCCATGGATAATTCAAATCTCAAATTACCTTTTGGGCATTTTAAAACCTCACAAACCTTATAGGGCCTTGGAAGGTCGTTTTAGGTGTTCGAAAGGCTACAACAGCTACTAACGTCTCTCCAACTTGGATGAAAATGTACGCGAAAGAATGGAATAAGACGGAAAGAAGATTAAGAGAGCACTTACAATGTATCTATCTCCAGATGATTTCATATACTTTTAGAATTCCACTCAAGCAATAGCTCTGATAGTTACATTACTATGTGGTCTATATAATCCAACGATAGACTCACATTGACTGCTTATCGACATATAATACAGTTATCAATGCCACTATTGTGCTCACTCCCAATTTTGTATTGCCGAAACAAATACTACTGTATAACCGGCGACTTGATCAAGATTAAGGCCAGATAAATTGACTGTATCCAACAAATACTCAAGCAAATCCCTTGAAATACACCCCGTCAATAGTCGTGCCTTCATGGTCTGCTATCAGATTGTCACATCCAGTTGATGTCTTAAATCGCAAAGATTAGTAGATAGGGGTGGGCAAAGAACTTAGGACAGAAGGACCAATAGCTTATATGTACGCTCTCCATGTCTTTGGCGAGTCTAAAAGAATATAGGACTTTGTCTTGAACGACACAATCGCTCACTGTGCACTTTTCAGTTCTTAGAAGAGTAACAGCTTTGATAACTATGTGTGTTGTTTCATGCATATGATTTATTCAGCCACTCTTTTGTAGCGGGACAAAAGAAAAGGTAAATAGTCAGATCGAGACCTTGATCCAATACACCATCCAACACACAGAAGTTATCAGTACAGTGGTCCCCCGCGTTTCGCAACAGTGGAAAGTCCCAGAAATTGTTGCAGAAATCGAAGATTTGCAAAGACCAGGGGACTTTTTGTAGGATAAGTTTCTAGTCCGGACTGATTGTTGCAGAAATCGCAGCATTTGCAAAAGGTAGGGGTGCAAAAAGCGGGGGATCACTGTAGAACACCTACTGTACTACATGATCAATGAGTAGTCAATCGATACTGGAATACACGAAAAAAAACGCATTACTAGCATACACTGCCCACATCCCATACATTGATTATTATGAGTGCTTATCTTAATCGTAATATATTACTACCAGTGTTCACCAGCATGACCAGATGCACATTACAGACATATCAGCCTTTCGACTGCCCGCCAAAGATAGCACTGTACAGGAGTGTGTCTCTAGCAACATTTCACAAGAAAACCACACAGGCGTAATTTTTGTCTGACTTGCACTTGCCACCTGCGAACACACCCACCCCTCGTATTCTTCAGTACACCTGCTCCATTCATCGATACGTTCATTGATCAATATGGAACCTGCGCCTTCGAAGATATGTACAACGTCATAAAGATATACCGCGCTCAGGATCGCGCCCTCGTGCAGCAAGAAGAGGGTGATTAAAAAATATGCACACACACACACAGAGAGAGAGAGAGAGATTCAAACTAAAAGGCGAGCCCTTCCCGAGCGCATACAACCATTTGGGAGCACACAACTACGCGAGTGACTTAAAACAGCAGAAGATATCACTAACGGTGTATGGATGTCGCACAAGATGCTAGCCACAATGGTCAGGGAGGCAGGACTAGCTACGCCTGGAGCTCTTCAAAACAGATAAAGAAAGTTTTGCTGCTACTGGCCGCCAGTCAAGCAAGGGTTCGTCTTCGCTTACCCTGAATAATCACAGAGTGCATCTACTTATGGCGGTCACGGTTTAGGACCACTTGTCCCCTCATACCCAACTTCTCAAGCACAACCGTTCCGGTGGCAGTGACCCTCAATCCCACCTCAAAGCGGGGAATGAGCTAGAGCCCTTAACAAAGAAGAAGATTGATTCCAAGCAGCATCGCGTGCCTGCAATCAAATAGTATACTAATAAAGCATATACCCAGAAATTTGTCAAGAACAATCAAAAGAATAATTTGCATCTCAAAACCTATTGTTATGCGCCTCTGGTAAGGGGCGTTAGAGTCATACCCAAGATTTTTCGGAACGACCTTGTGTGAAACAAGGCTCAGTTTCATTGATTCAAGCAATCCGAGTTTCTTTCTAAGAAAATCAATCGTAAATGTTACAGAAATGAAAGTAAATGTGTTGGTATTTAGCTTTTTTCTTTCAGTATCACCCGTATTGGCAGTGCGAAAATTTGCAATATCTTAATGCATACCTGTTGGTCGTTGCGCGGGCTACTGCGAAGAAGCTGTAACAACACTGCGTTATGTATATACATGTATTTCCTACTGTGGTGGATGCGTAAACATATCATATATTACAGTGAAAATTAAACGATAATAAAGCTCCACCACTGCCAATTTCGTTTGTCTACCACCTTCGAGCATTGAAAGCCTGACTGGTGTGAAGTTAATGAAGATCCACTGGATAATTGTCTGTTGATTTCAAAATACAGCAGCACACTAGTAGTAATATGCATTATCGATCAAAAATAGCATGCACCAGCCAATTATGTCATGTGGACGCTAGTTGTAGGTTTCATGAAAGAGTAGCTTACGACTTCCACCGACGTCATATATTGTTGACGGCCGGGATAAAGAGCAGCAGCAGTATTAGTAGTTGTACTGTGCTTCTTCGTATACCACTTAGTGTCCAGTTTCTCGGTACTAGACAGTAACGTTAGGATTGTAAAAATCACGATGATTTTTTGTATGTCCTCGTTAATGATATAGTCATCTGTTCAAGAGTTTCATCCATTCGTGCGTGTTACTTGGATAGTTTCGGTGGCAGTGACTGACCCGTCCGGCATACTGTCCAAATTTAAAACTCACCATTTCTGCTGCTTTTTTTTGGCTCCCTAAAGTATATTGTAACAAGGCTTGCGATCTCTGTCTCTCTGTTTCTCACTTACCAACATTGCCCTCTCGATTTTCCTTACCCTATACCTCATTACTTGCAGCAAAGTAATTGACCAAATACTGGTTTAATTTCTTTTACCGTTCTTAATCCACAAGGAGCTGCAATTTGATACAATCCACACACATACACGCACTGCAAAAAGAACACAGATATATACCTTTGTACATATATTTATACTGTAACGCACACACACTGTCCCTAATGGCCGACCCTTTCGAATGCAGCAATTCTTCTGTCCGTACCACACATTCTAATCTTAGCGAGAATAGCCGCAATGTCATTATGAATGATCTTTGGCTGATTCTGGGCAAAATAGGAGAAGGTTCATTTGGTGAAGTATTTGAAGGTAAAATAAGCTATATATATATTTATGCTAGTACCGTATCTCAGTAACTCACTAAAAACATCAATCCGGATGTGTGTAACCTTTTACAAAAAATAAAATGACAATTAGGTCAAGATATAAAAGACGGTACGATTTATGCAATAAAGCGCGAACGGAGAAGTATGCGCCATCCTCAATTAAAACGCGAGAGTGAGCATTACCAACTACTCGGGAAGGGACGTAAGTAGCTTTATAGATACACACGATCGATAACAGAGGGACAGCGATATAAATATCATGTGAGAAAAGACATTTAATGCGAAACACACGTTATTTTTCGTTTCGTAGCTGGTGTCCCACAATGCTACTGGTATGGCGAGTTCGACGAGTTCAATTGTATCGTTCTTGACTTGCTTGGCCCTAGTCTGAAAGATATCCGCCAATGCATGACTCCGTTACCTTTCGATATCATCGTGGATCTTGTATGCCAAATGGTGAGTAAAAGGAGAGATGATGTGGGGCTACATCCAAAGGAATAGTATCACTGCTTTGCTATTTTGCTAACTTATCTATGTAACAGATCGACATCATCCACCACGTCCATAAGAGCGGTCTTGTATTTCGGGACATCAAGCCCGACAACTTTTTATTTTCAAGAGCATGCGTGCTACCCGAGGTGAAAATGGTGAAACTCGATGGCGACAAACCACACTATCAATATGAAGTTGCCAACGCACGTGCTGTATTTGATCGATGGGGGAAAGAAAATGCCAAATTGCACATCATTGATCTCGGATTAGCGACACGCTGGCTTGATCCAGAAACTGACAAACCAATACCCGAAGCAAAGCCAAAACGGCGCAACAAGATCGGCACAGCACGCTATGCATCCATCAACGTCCATCGAGGCCGAATGCACGCACGACGGGATGATCTTGAAGGCATCGCCTATATCTTGCTCGATCTGATTCTTGGTACTTTACCATGGACCGGCATTCAAGCACGCAACTCTGCGGCTGGATGGGATCGGATGCGCGCTATGAAGAACGATGCGTATATGCCGGAGATGCTGGATGGGTACCCTGAAGGTCTTGTCAAGTTTGTTGAATATGTCCGAAAATTGAAATTTGCAGAGGAACCCGACTACGATCTATTAAAACAGTTTTTACGAGGATCATTACCCGGAGGAACACACGCTGCTCCAACACGATCACCCTTTGACAAGGGTGAAAATGCCCAGCCTCGACAACGACATCGTCTTGCAGCTGACATGACACCCTATTATGATCCTTCCTCATCAACACGACAAGGAAATCAGCAGGTGATGACAGATCAGCCTCCAGCTCAGAACGAACCAAGTGACGGGTCCTCGGGTTCTGCAACCAACAAGAAAAAGTGGGAGCTCCAGGAAAAACTGGTTGGCTGGTACACTTATAAGCATGACGAGGAGCCTTGGCAACCCGAAATTGACTGGGAACGCAACGAGGGTAATGAAAATGCTACAGGAGCGTCTTGGGGCGAAGACAGACCGAACGTAGCATGGGGACCCAAGGGCGAGGGAGGAGGCGATAGTGGCTGGCCCGGTTCGGTGACGCGAACAGACAGTGGAACAGGATGGGATTGTATGCCTTCCTCCCAAGAAACCAGGGGTGATTCATGGGGCAGCAAACAAGATAGTTTGAAAATGGATGTCGATTCTGGATGGGGTAACGAGACAGCCAACAAGGGTTCTGCAGGCTGGGGCGCTACTGCAGTAGCGACACCAGCAGTGGCAGCAGATGCTACTGCATCCAACATGGGAACTTGGGGCTCCAAAACTGACGATGACGGATGGCGATCTTCAAGGCCAATGGCTGCACCCAGTAACCCAACAAACGGTGCATGGGGAGCAAAGCCCGCACGGAAATCAAGCTGGGAATCCATGCAAATCGACCCTTCACCGAGGCCCGCACAACAACAGCAGAAACAACAGCAACCGTCGCATAACATACGATCACAACCTCAAGCACCTCAACAGCAAGAGCAGTATAATGTAACCTCAACAACACAGAATATAAATACCAGAAACAACGATAACAATACCAACTCAACAGGGAAATGGAATGCGTGGGCTGCAAGTCATAATGCAGGAAATCAGTCGCAGTCAACGCTTCCACCTCGAAGACACCCACCGCCACAGCGGCAACAACCGCCACAACAAAAACCAACACGATCTGGTACTACAGAACAACATCAACAGCAGCAGTCATGGAATACACAAGATTTTGGTGGTGGATGGGTGTCAAATACAGACAAAGATGGCTGGACTACCAAAACGTCGTCAAGACCCTTGAACCGACAATCTCAACATCATCGCGGCCCACGAAAGCAACCCTGGTGAATCTAACAGCATTTGATTACTCAAAAACAAAGCATTGTTTATATTTACATTGTGTTTACTTCTATTTTCCTTCCCTTTTTTTTTCTGACAAATTGCACAAAAACACATATTCCTTCATGCCCGGGTCTGTTTGCAGAAACATAATCAAAATCAAAAGTCTCTGTTCTCTGTCTGGAAAACCCAGCGGGTTGCATATGCATACATCTATGCGATAATAAGATCCTTTTAGTCCCAATAGAATACGGATTGATCCGATACAGCTAGGACAGTTCTTTCTTTTTTCCTCCACTACGGTGAAAAGAGCCAACATCATCTATCAAGCCGCTAGGAAACGCGCGTTTGGCATTGAAACTTCTTGCATCACGACTTCTAAGGCTGTTCGGGCAACGGAAGATACTGCGGATACTCAACAAGTAATTCCAATATAAAGCGTTTCCAAAGTCATGGTGATAAGATGTAGATGGTTTGCTAAAATTTTAAGAGCTCATTTGAACAATGCTCAAGCATAGTAAAGCTTTCTGAAGCAAAGGCACATGGTTGCAATAGTATCAGTCAAATGTTGGTGTAGGAAAGTTACTATTTCAAGACTTTGGACGGCTTGCGAGTGCTCACCGACCTGAATAGAGTTTATCTACAAAGGGGGTCCTTTCAACAAGTGCAAATGTGAGTAGCTTGTGATAGGCAAACAACCCTCATATTCTCTTTGTGTATAAGCATGTGACTTCTGGGAGTGACAACGCTACTGTTATTAGCCTGATGCTATCCACTAACCCCGGATGAACATCATGTTGTGCAACGATGGCGGCTTTTCTAGCTGACAATAAAAAGTAAGTGGTATTGTTTATGGAATTTGTAGTAGCTGCACTCAATACAACGGATGATCCACAGTAATATACTAGACAAAACAGCAAGTAGGGAGTATTTGAAGAAATAAGATGGTTAAGCAAAAAATATACAAAAGGATATGTAAAGAATACGAGATAATAGCTGTAAGGGGCACTAAAAGAAGAAAGGAAAATATACAAAACTGTTACGTTTAGAGGAAGTAGAAGAAAGAACAAGAACAATTTTCATGAAGTCCATTCTATAAAGAAGGATGACGAGTCGATTCATCACTGTACATAATATGCAACAAATTTTAACGCAGCTCTACTTCTTCGTATACAGGTTCTTGCCGGCGATTAGCTCGGCGACATTTTGCAAAGCATGCTGTGGGGCCGATTGAGCTGCTGACAGCTTGACTTAAGTCTACGATTGTTTTAAAGCGAATAAGAGGAGGGTTATCCAGAATCTTTTCACGACGTAGCGAGTGATGTTTATCAACAAGAACCATCAAGCAAGCCTACATCATCAATGTCGTTTAAAAGGAAGTTAGAAGAAAGAAGATGAAAAGCATGCGTGTGATTATAAACCCGTGAGAAGTTCTACGTACAATAACGGCCATCGCTACGCCTAATGCACTACTGGCAGCAATCATAAACATAATACATTGCTGATAAACAACTGCATCGGTCATTGGCGTTCCGGCCAGGATTAATCCGACCATCGTCCCAGGTATGTTTATCAGACCCATAACGCTAAGTTGCGTAATGACCGGAAGCATCGACACACGAATAGCTTCTACAGCCAGGGGTCTCGCTGCTTCAAATCGTGTTGCACCAAACGATAGTCGCGCCTCAAGGATAGGTCCGTTCAGACTATAGATGAGGATCTCACGGCTTAACACCATGTTGTAAACTACGACAATCAAGGGTAAGCGAAAGCCGTACCTCAAATGATCAAGGCACTGTTCTGTTGCCATTGCAATGCTGCTCATTGAGTTACCAAGCAACATGCCCACTATTGGAATGAACTTTGGTGGTGACCAGAAGGGCTGTTCTTTTAACGCGAATGCTGACCCAAGAAAAGCGATGAACACATTACTGACTAGTAAGATCACAAGCATGTTGACGAACTGGATATCATGTGCAAATACTTGTTAGTAAACGGATCAAGTTATGGAGTCTTCTACTTAACTTGCTTCTACTTACAAATCCCTTGAACGTTTTTTTGGCTCGATTGAATGTAGTCTCGTAAGCGCCTAGCAGCACCAATGTCACTGTATGTTTGCATAAAGTAATAAAAACGGTTGAGCTCACCGCTGCACTTCTTGTACGGCCTTTATTCTTGTCCTAGACCGTGCAGAAACATGATACTTACAGGTCATTAACACAACGATACCAGCATTATTAGAACTTAGGACGTCGTCGAGAACATAGCCCTGCAAAGGAAGAAAGCATGGATCGAATGAGAAAAGTGGTCCAAGTATACCATACGAAGGAGCAAAAGTGAAAAGAATGCTCACCATCATTGTAAGCTGAACAACGCAGCGGATGCCTGAGATAATTAACGACAGTTCTAACCGGGTACCCATGCAAAAGCTGATCAGGGCTATATTGATTCTGGTTAAGTATAGCACGGAACATTTCATATATGTGATGCACTTCTATCTTACCAGCAACAAGAACGAAAACTGAAGATTGAGCAACATGCCACCAGTCAAGCTTAGGTTGTAATGATGGATCGTAGTCTTCAGCTGCCATATCAGTAAGTGTAGGGAAAAGAGGGAAAGAAGGAACATGACTAGCTTGAAGAGATGAAATATTTAATCTGATCCTCTGTCTTGTACTCTACACTTTTCGGTGTAAGGTCGGAGATCACATGCCCAAGCTTCGGAGCCGCTGGAGGGGAAAAGGATCCTGGGACATAAGAGATCAATAACGAATGGACAAGGATGACATCTAAGCAGCAGTAGAAGGTTTCATGCAGTAGGTAGACACCTATACATTAGGCATGGTCTTTTTTATAATCATGCTTCCTATTGACTACTCTACAGAACAAGTATAAGCTAATATAAACATTGACCGGTTTACTGTTTGGTATGTACAGTGCGAGCTGGTTTGCAATGATGGAACGCAAACAAGGATCAGATAACTTTTTTTGCTTATTATGGCGCTAAATTCCACAATTGTGATGGTGACCGGGAATCTTCCATATCGCGCCTTACCATTATTAGCATTGATTTCAGGTGGTAGGCTACACAGAGAACGAAGATGAACCATGCTTGTGGCACAATCTTTACCCAGTCAAGCTCGATCTTGTACACATTATATGTATACTACAATCGATAAAAAAAGATATACGTCGAAACGAGGCGCACGTACATGCCCTAATATGGCAATTACATTTAAATACTATAAGGATTTCACTAAATTAATAAGTACGCAAACAAGTCTGCTCATTACATCTGTTTCTGGAGTTGGGAAAAATAGAATGGTCGTAGAAAAGAGGTATTATGTTGCTCTGCCTGGGTCTGGTAGAGCTACCGGATGGATTTTTGTATGTAAACTACTATATAGTTATTATAGAGAAGGAGGTGGAGGAGAGGAAGAGACGGAGAGAAAAGAAGGGTAGTGTGAGGGATAAGAGGGAATTCATTCGACTCCGTAGGCTTCTGCTGTGTAAGCCCTGATTCTTGCTACGAGACCATTGACCTCGCCACGGCATCGTAGCACCGCGTATTCAAAGTCTTTGGTGGTAGAAGTTGATTGGTTGACATCATCGAGTAGAGGTCCTATTTCGGCTCGCATTTGTTGCACAAAACGCTGTAAGTTCTCTTGCATTTTGACACGCATAATTTCCAGTCCGGCTATCAATTCTTTGCGCTCTGCTGCACACTGCTTGATCTTTTGCTCTGACAGCTGTGCAATGAGTTTGCCACGTTCAGACATGAGGGAGACTTGATCTTGTACTGATGTTAAGTCCTGTCGTAACCCGGCCGCTTCTCGCTCAAACCGTGTGCTGAGACGTGCCACCGATTCCTTCAATACAATGTGCTGGCGCTCTGTCTGCTCCTTTTCGGCAACTGCGACATTCCGATCGCGTTCGAGTACCTGCTCTTTACGACGGAGTTCTTCGAGCTTTTTGCGGGATGCGAGGGCTTCATCTCTGAGCTTTTTGACCTGGGCTTCCATTGCCATTGATGACTTCTTGGTCGTGTCGAGCACCTGCTGTTTAACTTCAAGCGTCTGCATCAAGCCCTGTATATCAGTTCGGTATTTCTTGTTGGATTCAACATAGTTGTGTGCGTCCAATTCGCTCTGTGCTTTTGCTTGGCGTGCTGTCTCGAGCTGGAAATACAGAAGAATGTGAGATAGATACAGTGAGATATAGCGAGATAGAGAGAGAAGGGATTTAATAGGAGAGTATAGGGACACTTGCTTCCCAAATAATACACCTCCGCTTTCAAAACGATACTCAGAGAGCATGATCGCGCTTCTTGCTTCTTTTATGGTGTGGAGCTCATCGAAAAGCGGGAAAACACATGCACACACTCTAACTATTCCAGCCCTCAAAAGAACGAAACGGCAAAAAGAAAATCTAGGTTCGAACTGTATACCTGAGAGCGAGTGGAGATAAGTTCTTTTTGAAGATTGTCGAGTGTGTCTTGCAATTGCTCAACTACCCGAGTTGTTCTCGATGACGTCGACGTTGTCGGTTGAGGATGTACTGGAGGAGTAAGCATCGGTCCGAGCAGCAATGTGCTGTGAGAAGATTCCTGTACGTGAAGCATTGATTAGGCGTTTTTTGGGCAATTGACTTTCTGGTTGGTTTTGAGTGAGGGTGTGTGTAAAGATTGGGTAGAAAAGCGAAAGGAAGAGGCATCGCTCGAGCTAAGACCAAATAACCCATAGAACCGAGAATACTTGCAGTTAGGGGTTCCAGGAGCACGAAAAGGGAACCTCAAGGACCGCACTTGTTCACAGCACCGTCAGGGTCAAGCGAAGTGGGTGAGGAAGTTTTGGAGTGGGATAAATGAAAAATGCCCGCGGAGGTGGAAAACGATGTTATGCTGGGTGCAACATTAACAGCAACAACAACAATAGTAGCAAAATCAAAAGACAGAAAATGTGTCTCTGTAAGGAAGTAACAGTAGCTCCAATAATCAAATTAGATTCTTTTGCCCCATCCGGGCTCGTGCTACAGAACCATAGCAATACAAGATATTAGTAAGTGAGCGAGCCGTACTTTGATAGCATCTTAGCTAAAGCAAAGCATTATTTTTGTAGGTCGTCAGCAAACGCAGGGTGATTATGCATCAGGCCTGCTGCTGCTCTTCTATCTATGATCGGCTTCCTTCCCTCTATACACTAGCCCTGTAAAACATTACATTAGTCGATTATTGAATAATGACAGCTGATCCTCGTCCCTGGGCTCAATAATTTCGTTCCTGGCATTTTTCTATTGTAATACGATGAGTGCAAAACAAGAGTTGCACTAACAACATGGCATGTTTGCGCTGTCAAGGTCTGTGTTGTGCTTGTTCAGACCATGTATGTACATGGCTCGCTAACGTACCTCCGCATGATAATCAGCTAAAATAACGAGACGGCCTCAGAGAGAGAGAGTAACAGAAAATAAGCCATATGGGTGGATCTTCTCGTGCTTTGCAAAGAGGGGGTCGGGAGGAACGGCTTGATTAAGAGAGCGTGTATATGTGAAGAGGGTGATTGGTGAATGGGCGTTGACAATATTATTACGAAGATGACCCTTTTCTTTGAGGGTCATCCCCCGTGAAGTAGTAAAATGAGGACTATGGACTATAATCAACCATGTAGAAGTATAATTAGCACATACACTAAAAGATTTTTCATGGCCTCTTTTGCTTTCTCTCTCTCTCTCTCTCTCTCTCTTATACATTCACACAACCCCTTCTACCTTTTTTAACGCCTCCTTCCGAGTATATTTAATGCAGAAATAGAGCATGAATGCTTCGCTCTGCATTTGCATTGCATGGCTTTTAAAAATACTAGGTGGCAGCTAGCCCAGGGTCAAATAAATGAAACGTCATAGTGTACATACATACGCACCTTTAGAAGAAAGAGTTATAAGGCTGCAATCGACGTGCGGCAAGAGGCTCTTCGTTATAGTAGGAATTTTCTTGTAGCCATCTCGTAGTATGCTATTAATGCCCTCCCCCTTGGTTAGCAATTGTCGATCGAAATAGTAATAAAAGTGAGATGCATAGATGAGTTGTAATTATCGAGAGAAAATCGTTCATTTTCTTTCTGGAACAAAATAACAGGCGAAAGTATAGGAGAAAGCTAATTATTGGTACCATAACGGAGATAACATTGTTGCTGTGAGCACGGGCATGTCAGAGAATTGCAGATCGTTATGATATTCTATCATGATGACATGCGGACGCCTTGGATGACAACAACAACATTATTCATCGTATAGAGTTCAGATTCTCTTTCCCTATTCCTATTGTGTCTTTATTTTGTAATTAACAGCATGGTAACTATATATAATGCACTTGCCACACGTATTACTATCATAGACTGGATATAATGTGTACATTTTAGGGTGGGGAGATGTATGATGTTTGATTAAATTAGTGGCTAGCTAATATTGTATATGATCATCAAGACGATCTTTCCAACTGATATGTTATGCTTGTTGCACTATTGCGAGCAAGACGTTGAAATGGACTCCAATTACGAATTCGTTACGTAATT